GAACTCAATATGTATCTTTTTGAAAAATGTTTTGACAAAAGAGTACACACTCACACTCTATACTGTACGTGAACTTACCAAAAAAGACTGCTGCCATCGATATCTGTTGTGAGCTGTTGATCGTGTGATTCACTGAGACGTTTGTTTTGGACTTTTTTTTTGTGAGCAGATGCAACTGCTACTGCATAAGAAACCCTCTGTAACTCATGATTGTGAAATTTCCTGTTCGTCTGTGCATTAACACACGTTCATACACATAATACTCTGCTGACTGATGTAAATATATTTGTGAAATGCTTTGATAAATCAGGGTTATTTCAAACTGTTACCCAACATTCTTTAAAATATCTACTTGATATTTTGTTTAACAGATATATATATATATATAAATCTGTTAAACAAAATATCAAGTAGATATTTATATATATATATATACATATATATACATACATATATATATATATATATATATATATATATATATATATATATATATATATATATATATATATATATATATATATATATATATATATATATATATATATACACATACATACATATACATACACACACACACACACACACACACACACACACATATATATATATATATATACATATATACAATTTTAACAAGCAAATAATGTGTAATAAAAAGCAGATTCAGATTATGCAGAGCTTGTATCAACAGCTTGTGTTTGCTAAATGAGAGTAAATGTTAAAACAGTCTTAACTGATGGAATATTAAGAATAAATGGCCTTTGTTTGCACAACATTGGCCTGTGTCAAAAATTATAAAAATTATATGCACTGTATTGAGTGATAAGCACACACACACACACGCACGCACACACACGTGCACGCACGCGCACACACACACACACACACACACACACACACACACACACACACACACACACACACACACCCTGCAAGCACTCAAAAGTACCTCCCAGTTGGGTATCAAAAGTAGGAAACGGCGCTGTTCATTGCCTCTCCCCATGTCAAAATCCTGGTACTGGGAGTTGAATCTCTCTTATGTAATGAAGAGTTGCAATTACCTTGAATATTCCTGTCATATATGTTGTTACAACTCCACTATACCAAAAAAAGGTTTGAAATGAGAAAACATGAACAACTTTTTTTTTGCAAAAATTTATTTTGTAATCAATTTTAACAAGCAAATAATGTGTAATAAAAAGCAGATTCAGATTATGCAGAGCTTGTATCAACAGCTTGTGTTTGCTAAATGAGAGTAAATGTTAAAACAGTCTTAACTGATGGAATATTAAGAATAAATGGCCTTTGTTTGCACAACATTGGCCTGTGTCAAAAAATTATATTTTTAATGTTATATTAAATAAACTCAAACAAGTAGTATTCACAAATATTAGTTTGTAAACTTAAATGGTTTAAGACAATCAGATAGTTTGGGTTGAACTTAACTTATTCAGTTTAACAGTGTGTACAACTTTACAGTTATTAGTGGTGTAACGGATCACAAATCTCAAGGTTCGAATCACACAACGGTTTTTGAGTCATGGATCAGACTATTTTTCGTAATAGTAAAAAAGGAGATAAATGTAATTTGCTTTCCATTAATACAAAAATATTATTGCAAAAACCAACATAACTTAAAAGCTGTCATTTTAATACAAATAAAAATCAGGGAAGAACCAGCTGAAATAAAGAAAACATTTAATACAAAAAATGATCTTTGCTACTATAGCTGATAACGCTAAATATAGAAATCTAACATATTTATATCTTTACAACATATTTATTTTCAATAATCATTCAACAATTCACACATAAAACTTCATGTTTCATTATAGGTGAATCATTTTTGAAAACCTATTCAGTGACATAATTTGGATGGTTGTTTGTGGCCTCCCATTGGTGACACAATGTAATTGCTACACACAACATTTGTCAAGTTCCGTTAAACAGGGATTTGAATCTTTATCATAAACATCAGTGTTTATATTTGAACTATAAACTGTTAAAGTACTTCTGTGTTATGTAATTGTTTGTAACTAACTGAAAACTGTGAAAACTGAATCTGTCTCGAATAAACGCAGATTTGAATGCAGCGCTTTGAAAGATTAATAAGCATATGCAAATCATTATTATTTATCATTCATGTTGTGCGGATTTGAATTGAGATCACAATCTTTTAATGTTTAATTGTGCAGCTTTACACTAAATGCATTAATGCAGGTTAAACAAACAGTGACAGAAAACACCTCTAAAAAACCTAAAGCATTTACTGTAGGTCCCACAACAAATTTTTTTTGTCATCATATTTTACAGGGAAGCCGAATTGCTTTCATATACGTAATTTGAATGACGCTGGAGGCAATCTTTCTGTAATTGTTATAAATGTTGGATTAACCAAGAACAAATACATTACTAATCTGCAGGTCATGTGCGGGTTCCAAACTGTGCGTTGTGATATAAATTATAAGTATATTTATATGTACATTTTCTAATTTAGCAGACACTTATCCAAAGCAACTTACAAATGAGGGCAAGAGGCGTGGCACCTAAGCCCACCCCTAAATCCAACCATCATTGGGGGATAAGCAAATCATAATAAATTATATGAATGAGATTGTATGAATTCATAGGAATTAGCCATTAAATCAAATAGTTATGAATTATCGTGAGAATGTGTTGAATAATAAATGAAAGTATAGACTTTATATTATAATATGTAATATGCTATTACATAATATAATTATATAATATAATAAATAAATAAATAGCAAACTGTATTATTCTAATATTCACGTATATACTGTATATGTATATACATGTGTGTGTGTGTATATATATATATATATATATATATATATATATATATATATATATATATATATATATATATATACAGTCCACTCCAAAACACTTCAGACCAATTCTTTTATTTTGGCTGTAAATGGACAACATTTGGGTTTGATATATAACGGTGAACGTGATCAAAGATTCATTTTTGCTTTTATTTTAGGAATTTACAGTTGAAGTCAGAATTATCAGCCCCCCTTTGAACGTTTTTTTTTTTTATATTTCCCAAATTATGTTTAACAGAGCAAGGAAATTTTCACAGTATGTCCGATAATATTTTTTCTTCAAGAGAAAGTTTTATTTGTTTTATTCCAGCTAAAACCAAAGCAGTTTTTAATTTTTTTAAATCCATTTTTAAGGTCAACATTACTATCCCCTTTAAGTTATATTCTTTTTGATAGTCTACAGAACAAACAATTATTATACAATAACTTGCCTGTTTACCCTAATCTGCCAAGTTAACCTAATTAACCTAGTTAAGCTTGTAAATGTCACTTCAAGCTGTATAGAAGTGTCTTGAAAAATAACTAGTAAAAAAATTATGTACTGTCATCATGGCAAAGATAAAATAAACCAGTTATTAGAAATTAGGTACTAAAACTATTATGTTTAGAAATGTGTTGAAAAAAAAAAATCTTCTCTCTGTTAAACAAAAATCTGAGAAAAATGTACAGGGGGGCTAATAATTCTGACTTCAACTGTACATATGGATCTGACACACAACTTAGAAAATAACACCTTTTATTTTAAACCCATTTTCATATGAGCAAAAGTATTAGAAGCGAAAGACTTTTAGCTGCAAATCCTTTCCTTGCAATAACTGTTTCAGCCCGTGACCACTGACATCACCAAACTTATGCATTCTTCTTTAGTGATGTTTTTCCAGGCTTTCACTGCATCCTGTTTCAGTTGTTGCTTGTTTTGAGGGGTTACTCCCTTTATTCTTCTCTTTAGAGTGTGAAATGCATGTGGAGTTTGACTTGGAGAGTCTAAAACTTTCCACTTTTTCCCCTGACGAACTCTTTTGTTGTTTTGGCAGTGAATTACAGAAGGATCTCCCAATCCGCTTGGGTGCACCTTTCCTTAAATTAGAAAAATGTTTCTGTAGACTTCTAAGTTCATCTTGCTGCTGGCAAAATGAGCTACATCATCAATGAAGATTAATCAGCTCATCCCAGAAGAACCCATCCCACACCATAATATTACCTCCACCATGTTTTACAGATATGTTTGGGATCTTGAGCAAATCTTTTCTTTCTTCAAACTTTACCAAATTGATGGAAAAGCTAAAGGCTGTTGCTGTTGTCCCTCGCTGATGTTTTAGGGGTCTTTATATGGGCACGTCTGTTATTTACTATACCGGTGGTTTCTTTCTTCTCTAGGATATTCCAGTGGTTGTTCTGGCTATAGTCAATGTTTGTGTGATGGCTCTAATGGATTTTTCATCTTTTCTCAGATTCACAATGGCTTATTTTTCACCCATAGAAAATTCTTTAGTTTTCATTCTGGTTATACGAAGTATTAATGCAGTATAAACCGGTAAAGCACAAATCATTAACTGAGTTTAGACTTTTAGTGCAATCTATTGTTTGAATCATCAGTGTAATAGGACATTTCTGGGTAACAAACCACACCTGCCCTAAGTCATATGCTTTAATACTTTTGCTCACATGAAAAATGGGTGGGTTTAAATAAAAGGCGTCATCAAAGACCAAGTTCGCACGTTCCACCAGCTCTGCACATTTTCTATGTCTTCTTAACCAAACACACCTGATTCAGATCATCAGCTTATTAGCTGAGACTGAGATACCTTTAATGGGTGTGACAAACAAAGGAGACATCCAAAACATGCAGTGTTGGTGGTCCTACAGGAACGTGGTTGAGAAACACTGATCTAGGAAGTTGTCTATCAGATCTCGATGTAAAGACATGAAAATAAAAGCTAAAATGTTAATCGTTACTCATTTTTGATATCAAATCCAAATGTTTTAAGCCTACAGGCAAAATAAAGGAATTTGCCTCTGTTTCAAACCTTTATAAGGGACTCTATGTATATGGTCTTATATATATACACACACAATATGATATTTATAAAAATATTAAAACATATATAAAATTGGTATTATATAAAAAATGTGTATCATTATTATTACTATTATTAGCTTCCACAGCTTTAATACGTTTAATTTAAATTCATTAAATCAATTTAATTCAAGGATTAATACCCAGGACAGTTTCATTAAGTGCCACTGCTCTCCAACTGCACCTGACAACATAAAAAAAAGCAATCAATGATACTGAGGATATATGAAATATGCTGCAGAGTAATCAAACACTGCTCTCCTAGCTCTTTTAAAGAAACAATTATCCAGGTGAAATATTTTTCACCGCACATACCAAAAGATGCACATTTTCAGAACATTTTTCAGCAAATTCAGTTTTGTATTATCTATAATTAAACACTGTTGCACTTAATCAGACACTACAATGACTGATAAGACTGTGATAAAAAAAGTTGAAGAGCCCTGGAGTACAGAGGATTATGTATATTGTGAGATGTATTGTTACATTCTGACCTGACTAAGATTATCTCTGCATTGACAACACATTAATTATATAAAAATGAAAACATTAACAATTATTTATTTACCTGAAAGGAAGATTTAAAGCTGGACACTTGCGTTTTCTGTAACAGATGATGACTATGATGGGGGTGGTGATGATGACAACAATGAGGATGATGATCAGGCCAATATCATACTTGATACTCTGATCTCTATCAGCTGTTTCATTGGTGATGTTGTAAGAGAATAAAAATAGATATAGATATATATATATATGAAGGGTTTAGAGTGCTCAATATAAATGTAGTTGTTTATTACAAGCAACAACAAAAACATACTTTAATGCCCTCAGGTTCAACAAAAACATAATCCTTTGGGTCAAAACAATGCATATAATGTTAATGATGTAGTGGAATAATCTAATTAGCATCTGCATAATAAAAATTACACAAAGCAAACTGGGTTTTGTGAAGCACTAAGAATGTTTGGAAGAATAAAATTCGCTCAAAAGTATTATTTTACAATTGTCACACAAAACTATGGAATTTAATAAAGTGCTGCTCATAAATCCATCGCAGAGATCTTAAACAGAACTTTCCTCCTGCTTTCAGTTTATCAATAACTAAATGACCCTTGAATGGACAGTTCACCCATAAATGAATACTCTTTTATCATTTACTCACTTACTTTACACTCTCAGAAATAAAGGTACGAGAGCTGTCACTGGGGTGGTACCTTTTCAAAAGGTACATATTTGTATCTAAAAGGTTCATATTAACACCTCAAGGGTACAAATTAGTACCTAAAAAGTACAAAAGTGTACCTCTTAAAATTTGTAGGTTCTACTTTTGAGGTACCAATATAGACCCTTTAAGTACAAATGCTGTTTGAAAAGGTACCACCCCAGTGACAGCTCTTGTAATTTTATTCCTAAGAGTGAACTAAGGATATCAACGGTTAGTAATTTCTACAATTCTTGATCATTTCTTCATTTGTATTCACCAGAAAAAAAGCTGGTTTGGAAACAATTCTAGGTGACAAAATATTTATTTTATGATAAACTACCTTTAATAAATACACTGTAAAATCCAACAGTTAACTTTATCAAATGAAATGAAGTAAACTTAAAATTTACTGAAAGTTAATTCCACTCATTTGAAAAGAGTTTTGAACTCAGCATTGAAGGTAATGAGTTAACTACCTCATTACTAAAAACTTAAATAGATTAACTCAAATGGTTTGTAGCAATTAGTTTCTTCAAATGGTTTGAGTTGCCTTAACTTTTTCGGTTTTACAGTACTCAGTTGGGTTATCGTCATTTATGGGGTTTTACTATGCTCAAATTGCTACGTTTACTTAAATGGATTAAGTTTACAGTACTCATTAGGATTAGGTTTTGAACTCAAATACTTTGTTGTAATCAGATTCCTCAAATAGTTTGAGTTACCTTCACTTTTTGGGTTTTACAGAGTGACAGTTACATTTTCCATCACGGCAAATCATTTATGAGCTACAGTATATTTCAGTATTTTGGTTATATAATTTGAGATGTAAAGTATAATATTGGCTCAAAAACAACAATTTTATTGATTCATTTGATCTTACCTGGAGCAGTGGACGACACAACGAAAGCAGGACACGGATCTGGCATGCAAAAAAAAAAGGCATTGTTAGTTATTTACCTGAAAACTAATCACACCTTTTTGCTTTATTAACCTTATTCAAACATTATGATTGCCATAATAGTCTCAATAACCATAAAACTGTTACACCAACAGTCTTATCAGACTAATAAATAATAATAAATGTAAATCAGCATGAAAGTGGGAATTTCACAGCACCTGCAATCTGCACTTCAACATTACACAGCATTCTCCTGCTGGCACATTTTTTGGTGTAATTATGTAACTCAGAGGAACAATTCCTGAATAGGGAGGACATATTTGTGACTGTTGGGAGTTGGGAAATTTCCCAACTTTCCCCTGAATTAAACATTTGCATAATGCCAGTGTTTACTGCTGCTAAATGTATTAATGGCACCATGGAACAGGTATAATAAAGTGTGACCTGTTCTGATTTTTAATAATTCTGACCTCATGTTAATGTTCAGCAAAAGAGCATTTTGTAATGCAATATTAAAAAAAACAACAATACATGAATGCATATTTTAACAATATGTTTTGTAAACAAAATTTTTATTTATTTTTTGCTAATTAATTTGGTTCTCCACAAACTTGCTGTGATTAAAATGATGAAGTGTGTCAGGTGCTATAAATCTTATAATAAGAGCTCTTGAAACCAACGTACCATTACATTTTGCAGTGTAACCTTTCTGTTGAATAAAAAGAAAGAGGAACAGAGAGAGGCATTACTAATCACAGAACACTAAAAAGTGTTAGGAATACAAAATATGACATTGAGCTTTGGCCTAATGTTTACCCCAGTGTTTAGACAGTCCTCTCTGTATGTGAGATTTCCGATCTCTTCATTCGGGTTTCTTAGAATTAACTTCTCGGGTCCAAGAAATACAACTTTCTTCTCATCTACATCGTCATTTTCATCAACAATATTAATTTCCTACAAAGGATTAATACAGTCTTTTCACAATATGGCCTCAAACAGCAGACAAGCAATATTTATATTTGCCAACTATACATTTTAAAATGTCCTGTTATGAAATGCATGTCATAACAAAAGTCATAAAGTGTATTATGATATCATTTGCTAAATTTGTGATCAGTTCTCACCTTTTCTGACCATATTCTTGTGCAGCCGGATCCACGTGGCCTGCTGAGATGATAAGAAACTGAGTGGTTTGCCAAATGGGTCTCAAAACAACAGGTCAGATTTGAGCCATATGCCTTAGGTGAGAAAATCCAAATGCCCCCTGTTCATGGAGAAATGCAAACGTTGAGATTATTTTTCACTCAATGGTCAAATTTGGCACTGGCAACTAAATTTAGCTACTGGCCATTCAAAACTTATATGATCAAAAATATATATTTTAAATGTATAGGTCTATTACTAATTCTGGATTATTTGCGATTAAACTCTGAATCACTTAATTTTTTAAGCTTCACAACAGCAAGTCGTTCCGTAAAATTATTTTTGTGATTTTTACTGTATTTGTCATTTCATTCAAAAATCCTTTATTTTGTTGTAATTTCTAAATCAAGTTGACTGCAATATGTTTTGACATCTATTAGGGTGTGAATTTATAGCTATTCATCGCGTCTTGATCCGACGCAGGAGCCACACCTTGCAGGTAGGCCTAATTCAATGTGGCGTTTCTTCTTTTCAAGGTAAAAACTAAAAGGCACAAATGGGCATCTACAGGCGTTTATGCGGTATTAGAAAAAAAGAGAAACCTGAAGAGAAACTGCGATTTCTGTATAAATTATGACGTTGTATTTCATTGCGCTTTGTTTTCCAATAGCCATTAAAAGGGTTGAAATTCTCATAGTTAAATGATATTAAATGTTGGGATACGGGTGTTTGTTTCAAATCCCTCATTAATGCAACTGCAACACCGTCAGTATTTGGGGCAACTTTTTATATAAAAATAGCCTTTTAGATTAACTTACTTCACAATAGTTTGTGTTAGTGCGCTTTACAGACTTCCAAGTAAACCAACCTATATTACAGTGTGACTCTAGGCTACTTCCCATTTTTTACCTCATATGTTATGAGGTAAAAATGCCTATGAAAGAATATTTTCATTGCCCCATATTACCTCTAAACTAGATTATTACACAAATTATACTAGCTCTATAAACTTGAACATATGGCCTAAGTCAATAGCAGTAAAACTTAGTGAGGGGGGAAATATGCAATTTAATAGCTTAATTAAAAATGAATAATAAATAAAATAAATAAACAACTAACATTCAGAATAGCTAAATCAAGCTGCTTGAGTGTAATTTTAGAAGCAGCCTAGTCAGAAGTGTAGATTTCAGTATAGCTCACATTAATATTTTTAAGTAAATACTTTAAATAAAAACGAGAACATGTGATTCAATAGGCAAATACATATAGGGCCTGGTGATTTATAAATAATATAATATAAAGTTGAAGTCTTTAGTTGAAGTATTTAGCCCCCTGTTTATTTTTTTCCCCAATTTCTGTTTAACGGAGATATTTCCCATTTTATAAACCTTTACCGTGATTATTACATGCTATTTGAAGTTAGTTTGTTTTGATTAAAATCCTTTTAATATCGAGTAAAGAACTGTCTTAAAACAAACGGCATTAATTATTTTACTTTCATTAACAAAACGTTTGTTTACCTTTAGTAAACGGATAACGTTACCTTATGCGATTTTAAGTTCAATAACACTTTAGCTAGGCTGTTTAATTAAATTAATAAACGACTGGTATTAATTAAACAAAATAGCCAAAATAGTTATATCACGGTACTTACACAGTATTTTCATTACGATGTCCATAATATCCAACGTGTGGAAATGTCATAGAGCGATAACGACTTACAACTTTACTACAACTACAGTAAAGTAGTTGTAGTAAACAACTACAACTTTCTTCCAAACTCTTTTTGGATCATCAGATGAGATACGCAGCAGACCCACAAACTCGCGCGCGCGCACGTTTCAGGATGAACATCACACACAGCAGGGGCGAATAAGACTATGGTTAATGACGGATCTGTCTTCTTCTTTTTCGTTTAACGGCGACTAATCCATTAGTTCATTATTTTAGAAGAAGAATGATGTGTAGACTATTAGGCTGCGTCTCTTGATCCGCTGCTACTACTTCACACTACTACTTCACACAAATAACGCCTCCTTTTGATTTCGATTAAAAGAAGTCACATGATAGACAGGATTTAGAGCCCTCCTTTATTTTAATACCATTGATACCCTGTAGATGTCAGACAACGACAACATATAGTTCTGGTTAAAGTCTTAAAAACCCTATAATGAGGAGATTAAATTTAAACTTTAACTTATACCAAACATATACTTCAAAATGTAGGCTATTTAAGGATCAAGATAATAAACTTCATTTGTTTGGTAAATAAAGCAGGTCGCTTATATAGGCCTAATATATATATATATATATATATATATATATATATATATATATATATATATATATATATATATATATATATATATATATATATATATATATATATACTGAAAGCTTACAAATTGTGTTGTAGATAAATTGTCTAAATAATTAAATATATATATACTGAAAGCTTACAAATTGTGTTGTAGATAAATTGTCTAAATAATTGCATATTATTAATTATGAAATACTGAAATTAATATAAAAACAACATACATTTATATTAGTACATTAACAAATAGACTGAATGATGGGTTTGACCATCTGCAGATTTCTGTGGGTCTAGAGCAACAGTTATATTGATGAAATCTATGGATTTGAGCAGCCTTTTATTTCACTTTAAAAGGCAATGAAATCACTTATACTTCACTATAAAAGTAAAATTACTGAGTCCACACAGGAGTTGGAGAATAATGCTAATTGTAGAAGAAAATATTAAACAGTGTTCAGAAGTTTTTGCATGTAAACTCTTCAAATATGTTTGAAATATGTTTACATTGTGTTACATCACAATAATTGTGGCATTAACAACTTATTAGAAATTCCTAAAGTATTATTTCAACCTTTTTTCCAGACTGCACCTTCTCTTAGCATGATGGAAAGAATTAATAATCACACACACACACACACACACACACACACACACACACACACACACACACACACACACACACACGCACACACATTTTAAACATGATAAAACAGTTTTCATGTACAATATGGTTGCATAAAATCTTATATTTTAGTAAGTTGAAAATATATATATATATATATATATATATATATATATATATATATATACGATACAGCAATGACATGAGGATCCTGTAATGCATGTGAAATAAAACAATCCAGTTGTCTAGAAGAAAGATGATGGGATATCAATAGAAAAGGATATCAAGCAAACAACAAAAAATGAACACAATACAGAATACTAAGGGAAATTCTGGCATCTAAAGTGTAACAGACAGGATAAACACAAAAAGAGGGAAAAGAACTGAGAAAGGGACTGTAAAAAAGACAGCGAAAAGAAAGCAGAGAGGAGATAGAGTGAAAAGCAACCAAGAAGCAGGAGCAAAAAGAAGCAACAATGGAAACAGGGAAGTAAAGCACAGCTGGTTAAAGTAATAAATTAAAAGAGATGGAAGAGAGAACAGGTAGAGGAATACAAAAGTTATGTTGTTAAAAGTGAAACATTAGAATCACACACAGCAGAAAACTAACAGAGAAAATCACAGTTACACGACCAGATAAAGCTGAACACCATGGCCTGGCAATATATATATAATAAAAGTCAGGAAGAATTGTATGAGTGAAAGCTTATATGACTAAAATTAAAAAGCAGTATGAGAAATAGGTGTGAACTTAAAAAGGAGAGCTATATAAAAGAAGCAAAACCCAAGATTAGTCTAAATGAGATTATTAAAGACACACTACAAGAAGTCTAGCAGAAGAAAACATTTCAAAGAAAGCAGGCAAAGAAAGAAAAGGAAATACAAAAGAAAAATGATAGATAGATAGATCTATAATCTATAAAATATCTATAATAAACAAATCAAGCAAAGAAAGAAAAAGATAAGGAAAGAAAGAAAGAAAGAAAGAGAGAAAGAAAGAAAGAAAGAAAGAAAGAAAGAAAGAAAGAAAGAAAGAAAGAAAGAAAGAAAGAAAGAAAGAAAGATTTTCACAACACTTTATTACAAAAACATTAATACATTATTCAAACAATCAACTCACAAAAAAGTGAGAAAAAAGAAATAAATTAATCCAAAATGGGAGCAAAGACCAACTCATTTTCATAAATCTCACACAGAGCACCGGCATAACACCACATCAAGTCAAAAGAAGGAAGATCATCCATAGCTTTAAAAAACCTAAAATCAACTAGAATTCTTGATTTGACAGAATTACCAAAAACTGCCAACAAGTTGTGATTCACATTTCCTTCAATTTTTTGCTTTCTCGTACAATATACTGCCATCTTAGCTTGTCCTAATAAAAAATTGAGAAGCTGACATTTAAAGCGTTTCCTCTGAACATATTTAAACCCACAAATGAAAGTTTTAGTGGAAAAGGTTTCTCCAAAAGATACAAACAAATTCTGTAAAACAGTAAACAAAGGCTCAAGTCTGGAGCATTGCATAAACGTGTGAAAAACAGTTTCTCTCTGCAAGCAGAAAGGGCAGTCATGACCAACATCAGGATTTAAAATTGAAATAAAAGCATTAACTGCAACGGCACCATGCAAAATTCTCCACTGTAAATCTCCATGTCTTTTAGTTAATGGTGACTTATACAGTGATCGCCATTGAGGGTGCTCATCCTCATTTAATTTTAAAACCTCACGCCATGGAGTGTCCACTCTATTGTTCAGACCCATTTTATTAAAAACTTTAACACATGTTTTATATAAAACCTTCCCAGAAGCTGACTCTTGCCCAATTATTGTCACATCTTTACAATGTAAAAACACCCCTTCACAGTTTTCTAAGTTGGGAGATAATGACAAAAATGGGAAAACATCGTTACAATTTGGAACAGTTAACCCTTCATAATAGTCCTCCAACAACCTGATCTCTTCAGTTGTGAGAGAAGCCCTCCATTGTTCAAGAAGTTTGGTAACTGTCCGTTTAGAATGTAGACCCAAATGTCCAGCAACTGCGTCAGCATTTTTAAAGTCTTTTCCAGCTGACTTTAATAAACACCCAAGAGTTGTTATTTTAGCCGATGAGAGGATTTCGTTGAGTGCAGGAAAAGATCCCCTTAAGGATATGTCCATACGTGAACCACAGATTAAAGGTTCTTGTAGCAGCCAGTGTAAAGACGTTGTGTCTAAAGGTCTGTGCACAGTAAACAAAGTCCATATCTTGAAGATATTACGGTAGAAGATTGGAAGTTTGGATAAATCCATCCTTTTAGGATTCAGCCAAAACAAAGTTTTCTCAATGCCCACATTTCCAAAAGACTGCATTAGCAAAAAGGTTATAGATCTCCAGTTTGCGTCCAATGGTCCATTCAAAAGTCTCTGCACAAACTGAAGCCGAAAAGCTGCTGTTCGGCTCTGTAAATGCACAAGTCCATGACCTCCTTCTTCCTTCGGCAAATACAACACAGCTTTCGGAACCCAGTGTAGCTTATCCCAAAAGAAATCTATCAATATTGACTGAACTTTTGACAACAGATTAAAAGGAGGATCCACACACATTAGCCGATGCCACAAAGATGATGCCAACAAATTATTAATTATCAATATGCGGCCTCTGTAAGACATATTTGGAAGTAAAAAATTCCATTTACTAAGACGGCCTTTTATTTTTTCAACAACACCTTCAAAGTTTTTTTGTACAACTGCTTCATTTCCTAAAAACACTCCCAGATACTTAAAACCCTCTCTGGTCCAAAGTAAACCATCGGGGAGGTTTGGTTCTCCATTTAACCATTTTCCGATTAAAATTGCCTCGCTTTTAGACCAATTAACTTTAGTAGAGGAAAACTCCTTGAAATCATTTAGCAATTTTAACAGCAATTCAACATCATCTTGACAACTAATTAAAACAACAACATCATCTGCATATGCTGACAATTTAAACACATTTGGACATGATGGAATACATAACCCGTGCAAATCTGCTCTTAATTTAATTAAAAAAGGCTCAATTGCTAAAACATACAACATTCCGGACAAAGCACAGCCTTGCCTTACACCTCTAAAAACCTTAAAAGGAGCACATAAGTCACCATTAACTTTCAAAATACTCTCAACGTCACAGTACAACACCTTCACCATTGAGATAAAACTTGAACTAAAGCCAAAAGCCTCTAGAGCATCCCATAAATACTTATGCTCGATGCGATCAAAAGCTTTTTCCTGATCAAGCGACAAAAGACCAATATCTAAATTAAGCTTTTTGCCAAGGTCCAGAACATCCCTGATAAAGGATATATTGTCAACAATACGTCTACCAGGTATACAATATGTCTGGTCAGGATGGATCACCTGCTCCAAAACTGCCCCTAATCTGTTTGCCAGGACTTTTGAAAGCAATTTGTAATCATTGCACAACAAACTGACTGGTCTCCAGTTTTTGATGTCGTTCAGATCTCCCTTCTTTGGCAGTAACGTGAGAACTGCTCTACGGCAGCTTGTGGGAAGCCGCCCATAGGCCAGGCTTTCTTTGAGCACCTCTAGTAGGTCCGGACCCACATCCGGCCAAAAGGACTTATAGAAGTCAATCGACAACCCATCAAGTCCAGGTGCTTTCCCACATTCCATGCTTTGCAGAGCCTCCTCCAACTCCTCCAGAGTTAAGGCCTTACTGATCTCAGCATTAGCCTCTTGGGACAGCTGAGGCAAGTTTTCAAGGAAGACATTAGTCGTTTGTTCATGCATTAGATCACTTTTATACAAATGCTCATAAAAACTCACCGCTCTTTTTCGAATATCAGAAGGTTCTGACAACAAAGATCCATCTTCTGATTTTAAAGCATGTATAAGCCTTCTTTGTCCATTTTTTTTCTCTAAATTAAAAAAGAATTTAGAAGGTGCATCCATCAACTCTATACTCTGATAGCGGGATCTGACCAGCGCTCCTTGTGTAACGGTATCCAAAAAATTACCTAAAATATTTTTCTTTTTATTAAAAGAGTCCAAATAAGCCAAATTAGATGTGTTGTCAACAAGCATTTGAAGCTCTACCAGCTCCTTTTCAATTGATTTTATTGAACGGAGAATGTCTCCTGTGACATTAAGAGTATATTGTTGACACAGCTGTTTAACCTGTACCTTGGCAACCTCCCACCACTGCTGCAAACATTGAAAAGAAGTTTTTGTATTTCTAAAATTCTTCCAGAACTCTTTAAAAATCTCCTTAAAATGCTTATCAGACAATAAATTACTGTTAAAATGCCAATATGCACTTTTTGATTTAATAGACCTTTGAGATATAACACATTGTAACAAACTGTGATCAGAGAAACTCACTGGGCAAATTGAACAGCTTCTAAAAAGATTAAACTGGTGCTTAAAACAATAAAATCTATCTAATCTTGCTAGTGAAATCAGATTATCACGAGCATGAGCCCAGGTATACTGTCTTTGACTGCCATTAAAATTCCTCCAGACATCAACAATTTCATGGGTTTTTATTAATTGAATTAGACGCTTCTGTGAAGCCATGTGTGGTTCAACATGATTCCTATCAAGCATGCTCTCAGTACAATTAAAATCACCCCCTAAAAACAAAACTTTATCAGTGTCACAATTACTTAAAACATTACTCAATGTATCAAGGAACACCATCCTTTCTAAAGCATTAACTGGAACATACACGCATATAAAAATAAAAGAATACTTTTCAAACTGGGCATCAACTTTTAAAAGTCTACCTTTTATGACTTCATCCACCTGATAGGAAACAGGAACAAAGCTCTTGGAGAATAGAATAGCAACCCCACTGCTAGTTGAATTCAAATGACTTAAAATGGATAACCCATCAAATTCCTTACCCCAGTCAGAACTGTTTAATGCATCACTATGTGTTTCTTGAATACATAAAACATCAATTCTCTTTTGTTTAATTATTTCATATATCTGATACCTTTTCCTAATATCTCTAGCCCCATTTACATTAAGAGAAGCCACAAAAACCTCCTCCATAGAAAGGAAAGAAAGGCAAAACCAAAAATAGCCCAAGCAGAAAAAACAGAAAAGAAAAAAGGGGAGAACGTATTTATGTGCTGTCATTACTGAGCCTTGGTTGGGCATTAAGTTTGCCAAGCAATTTTTCTAGTCGATACACCTCCTGTTTATTGAATCTTCCCTCACTCTTAAAAAGCTTAGCTTTTTCCATGAATTGCATTACATCTGGGAAATATTCCTCAATTTTTACATTTCTGGCATTTTTTGTCACTTTAAGAAATGACTTTATGTCATCCACAGTGTAAACCCGGCTAGAAAAACCGCTTAATGGCAAACTGCACGACACACTGCATTCTGAAAAGTCGCTCTCACTCTCAGTTTCGGATTGACTCAGATCGCAATTATCCGTCTTTTTAGCCTGTTTACCTGTATTCTGTTGTTTTAAGCGTCTCTTCTGAGGCGTCTTAAAAGCACTGTCATCTAAATCCATGTCCAAATTCAGATCCTGTTCTTTATTGAAAGACGCTTGCTCTCCGGTTGTACCCGGGTCACTGCTATTGCGCAATACATCCACCGCAGCCTGTATAGGCTGTTCATCAACCTGTAACGGCCCTTCTCTTCCCACATCAACCACATCATTTCTTTTCTCATCATTTTTATCAGTCATGATCACCTCAGCTACTGTCTGTGGTACAGTTTTCTGAGGAAGACTTGTGCTAGGCGCGTCACTAACAGCTGCCACAGCGGCCGTGCGATTCTGCATCTCAGAGTCGCGCGCATCAGCAGGTGAACGATTTTGATCTTGCTGTTGGTTTAATCGACCGGGGCATGAGCGAATTAAATGACCCACTTCCCCGCATGAAAAACACTTCATGCTGTTTGTAGTCACAAATATTACGTAATTAAATTCGTCCTGACGAAAGTTTAAAGCCACATCTAATTCATCCAAGTTGTCCTGCAAAATCATATAGGCGTAACGCCGAAAAGACACAACATGCTTTAACAAAGGCGACTTACACCCGATAGGAATCATTTTTATCGGGGAAACAAGTTTGCCATAGCGAGAAAGCATTCCGGTCAGCACCTCGTTCGAAATAAAAGGTGGTACGTTGGACAAAGTTATTCTTTTAGATGGGGTGGACAGCGGAAGCACTGGGGTGAAAATTCCACCAATAACTATTCCACTTTCAACCAATTGATTCGCCAAATCAACCGTCTTTAAGAATACTACAATCGCATTATTCATACGAGATGCTGACAGGATGCTTTCAGTGCCGACAACTTCACCTATAGCCAAACTACACTCCTCCACACTAACAGTGGAGTCCACTTTGATCCCATGACGCCGTGTCAGAAAATCAAAGCTCCGACTCCCCGTCATAGCCATTCTGACACGAAAACCGAGAGCAGATGCTCCGGTATAAGTTTAATTGATTCTCTTTCTCAAACTAATGAAGCCAACAACCTCAAAAAGTAGAGAAAAAGGATAGAAAAAGTAAATCTTTCGTACCTGCACACACGCCAAACGCTCACACACAGCTCCGCCCACTCACTCAGCACATGCGCAACCGAAAGAAAGAAAGAAAGAAAGAAAGAAAGAAAGAAAGAAAGAAAAGAAGAGGGAAAAGGAAAAGAAAAAACAGGTCGCTTCCTAAAAAGAAAATATCTTTATAATAAACAAATCAAGCAAAGAATAAAAGAAACAAAGGAAAGGATGGAAGAAAGAAAATAAATAAAGAAATGGAAATGAGAACAGAGAGAACAGGAAAAGAAAAGATAAAGAAAGAAAGAAAAAACAGGCAGCTCCCTAAAGAGAAAATATCTATAACAAACCAATCAAGCAAAGAAAGAAATAAAAGAAGGAAGAGAATGGAAGAAAGAAAGTATTTGAAAAGATAGGTTAAAGGAGAAAAAAGAAAAAGAGATAAACACAGACAGCTCCCAAAGGATGGAAGAAAGAAAGAAAGAAAGAGAAATGAAAGAAGACTGAGAAGGAAAATAAAAGAAAGAAAAAAAAACAAGCAGCTCCCTAAAGAGAAAATATCTATAACAAACAAATCAAGCAAAGAAAGAGAAATTAAAAGAAGAGGAAAAAAGAAAGAAAAAACAGGTGGCTCCCTAAAGGGAAAATATAGTAAACAAATCAAGCAGAGAAAGAAACAACACAAAGGAAAGAAAGAAAGAAAGAAAGAAAGAAAGAAAGAAAAAGAGAGAAAGAAAGAAAGAAAGAAAGAAAGAAAGAAAGAAAGAAAGAAAGAAAAAAAGAAAGAAAGAAAAAAAGAAAGAAAGAAAGGCAAAGTGCAGTTGGTTTGAAACTTCTTTTAATAAAAAATAAACCAGATGTTTTGAATGAAGGTGAAATGATTGTGATTCCTTTTATAATGATCTTAATAAGGCATTAATGCACTTGACCTTTAAGAAACTGCAAAAATGGAAACAGTGGGAAGTAAAGCACAACTGATTAAAGTAAGAGTAAGGAAGAGAAGACAGGTAGAGCAATCCAGAAGTTATATTGTTAAACGCAAAAACATTAGAATCACACACAGCAGAAAAGGAACAGAAAGAAGCACAGTGAAAAGACCAGATAAAGCTAAACAGCAAAGCCTGACAAGGAAATGACAGGAGGACATCAGAGCGAGGCAAAGCACAGGAGATTTTCTTTTATACATAAAAATATTTTGAAACAAATGACAGGCTTGCATTAATTAAGAATAAAGAGATGTTTAGCTCGGAGGTAGATTACATTGTGACAAAATATACCACCCATCCCAGTGCCATTGCTGTATCTCACAGTATTGCTTGTGACAGCAGAAAAATCCACACACTCAAACAAACCAAAGGCACTCCAGCAAACACACAGCCCTATACATACCAGAGACAGTTTGGGGGAAGTTTCTCTATAGAGTCTTTCAACTGAATATCAGCACTCGAAACAATGCAACAGATCCAGAGGTTTTACCTCATACAGTTCATACAATGGCACTGTGATGATTTTACTATATGTACTGCAGATAACAACACCATATTCAGCTAGACAGTCTGATAAGTGTTAGGAGGGAGGAGTTGGGCTCTTAAATTAGGAATTAAATAAAAATCCTTAAATATAATTATTCAAAATTTTAGGTTGGATTCTATTCCCCCCCTAAATAAATATTGTCATTATTTACAGTCTCAACTTCAAACAGATCTTCAGCACAGTGTGATTTAATGAGGAAGTCTTGTTTTTTTTCTCAGTCAACTTCCAGAGAATTGTTTTGATCAGTATGGTGTGAAGCGGTTGTAGCCACCACGGTATAAACTGGCCTGTAAACAAACAGAATGAGTCAGACTTGTCATATCAGTAGTGACAGGTGGCTTTCATTATTTGCTCATCAGCATCTACATGCTTGCAATTCTTATTAAATTACCATTGTTCCAACTCCATAAGTGGTTGTGGGTCCCACGGAGTGATGGTAGGGGTCTGTTGCTGTGGCATAGACTCTTCCATATCTTAACACAATAGAAATAAAAAATTTAAACAATAGATAGACATACAGACAGACAGATGAATAGATTCTTACCCATCACTGTATGTGGCGGTTGCAGCTGCTGAGGCCGACTGGGCCACTCGATATGTGGCTGGATATCCTCCCTTAAAACAGTGAAGGTTAAACTCTTGCATTACATGCGTGCGGTGAAACTGAAAAAACTTCGTGCTACCGGGACAGCCCCATCCTCATATTTTAGGTTAGCATTTAATAAAAATGATAACACTGTGGCTGAAGATTAACTGTATATTTAAAGGGTCATGTCTAGGCCGACAGGGAATCTGCGTGCACAGAAATCCACAGATTTGAAGCCCATCATTGAGTCTATTTATTTACTTGTGTAAATGTTTGTAAACTTCTATCAATTGCGTTTTTTTTTATTAATTTCAGTAATATTATTGACTATTATCAAAATGTTCAAATGATTTATTTTGAACATGTTTTTATATGATATATCATATGAAGGACTTGCTTTGTTTACCAAATAAGTGGATCTAACTTGATTTACATTGTAAACATTAAATAAAAGTTGAGAAGTCATGTCACTGGGTCACTGAAAACTCTAAATTTCATTGATCTTTTGACATGTAACAGATGTGTGGACAATGAAATCATAGGGTTCAGAATTGAAAACTTTCCTGTTATTCTTAAAACAAGCTTATATTGAACCCAGTCTACCATAATATGTGCAATTAAAAAATAAAAATCATGTAGTTAATTACACCTGAGGCCTTCTCTTGTTTTGGGAACACACATTAAGATATTTTAAATTAAATCTGAGAGCTCCCTAATCCACCATAGAGAGCACTGGTCTATATCACAAGTGTCAAATCCAGTTCCTGGAGGGCCGCAGCTCTGTTTAGTTCCTTCCCTGTTTCAACACACTTACCTGTAGGTTTCAAACAAGTGTGAAAGACTCAATAAGTTTGATCAGGTGTGTTTAATTCGGGTTAGAAGCTAAACCTCGCAGAGCTGTGGCCCTCCAGGAACTGGATTTGACACCTGTGGTCTATATCAGGCATGCCTAAACTCGGTCCTAGAGGGCCGGTGTCCTGCAAAGTTTAGTTCCAACCTTAATTAGACATACCTGGGCAAGCTATACTAAGCTTTCTAGAAACATCCATGAGTGTTGAGGCAAGTTGGAGCTAAAATCTGCAGTACACCGGCCTTACAGGACCAAGTTTCGACACCCCTGGTCTATATAATTATAATATTAAAAGTACCAAAAATTGTCCTTAAAACTGGCCATATGCCTTTCATTGGTTCAGTTGGAAAATTATCAAGCTATGAAAATTATATTTATGTCCACATAACACAAAATTAAAGACTTCATTCAACACTTTTTACTCCCTCAGTGTCAGTATAGGGCGCACATTCACAAGAATCAGTCATTCCTCTGATGTATACCACAGATGCACATGTGCAAGTGACACTGAGGAGAAGAAACTGTTCAATTAAATTTTACTTTTGTTTTATGTATGCACACAAGTAATCTTGTAGCTTTAAAATATTTGAATTGCATCACTGAAGACACATGGGCTGTATTTATGATGTTTTATAGTATTTTTTTGGACCATTGCTCTGACCATCTATGGAGGATCAGGGCATTAATTTATGTTGCAAAGACAAACGAATGTCTCTGGGATTAAGAACGACATGAGGGTGAGTAATTATTGATAGATTTTCCACTTTTGTGTGAACTAAACGTTTAAATGGAGTTAAACTCCACCTTCTCATAAGAAGATCAAGACCTACGAAACTGCATAACACGGTTTTACACTAAATGAAGAGATCCTTCTAGATCACTTCAATAACAACTTTGTCGTTTGTTCTCTTCATTTTATCATGGATTTGTTTACAAATAATTCAGCACATTTGTAAGATTTACTGTAAGATGATTTTGGGCTATCTTTATTAGAACCTACAATAATCTAGCAGCACTGTTTTTATTATTTGGTATTATTCTATAATTGGCTTTGAAACATGCGTACACAAGTTTAAATTAGTGGGCACACAGATATCCTTTTCATCTTAGGGACATCTTTATATATGTTCACTGCTAGTCATAGCATATTTACTCCAGAGTCTACAATCTCCCACACAAACAGTGTTCTCATGAGGAGGGCAAAAAAAACAAAAAAAACAACAATTATATCTAAATTATGATGTTTTTGATTTGAAAATCCTGATAACATTATAAGTGGACTTCAAAACATGACAAAATCAAAAGTTAGTTCATGGCCATTTTAAAAGGTAGGAGTTAGGCTTATATGATGTAATAATTACATTAAAAAAGAGGACGAAATAAAAAGATAATAATGGTAAAACAAACACATCCATTTAGCAGACTTTTCAAGAATATACTGTAGGTATTTGTAGCATATTAGGATATAATTAGTCACATTCTCTGCTTCTCATTTTTTTAAATGTGACCAGTTCAGACAAACCACTATTATGAATACACAGTCACAAGGTGAATTACAGTAAGTCAAACATTGTGACTTATGAGCAATTTCCATGCAAATGAGAGCTCTGAAAGTGTTTGCCAGTAAATGGGTAAGAGTTGACTGTTGACTTACATAGACCTCAGCACCATACAGTCCTTCCTGATACACCACTCTGCAGAAGACAGATAGATAAGGTATGTTATGCATGTTAAATAATGTCATAAAATAAAATAAAAATCTAATTCACATTTAACTCAAGTTCAAGAGCCTTAATCGAAATCAGAATAAGCTTTATTTGCCCAGTGTGTGCAAACACATAAGGGATTTGCAGTGGTTTTTATGTTCTCTCTGTGTATACAGATAAAGATTTTTTATATGTATATTGCTTAATTTTTTATGTACAAATATTATAGACTGTATGTGTATACATATAAATTTCTTTTTTATTTACATGTACAGTCTATATTTGTACTTAAAAACTGTAATCACCATAACAGTAGTGTTTTTCACAATAAAAGCAGCAATTGGTGTGCTAGCTATTTAAGAGCGATTCGGCATGAGGAAAGAAAAAAATGTATTGCCTCAAAAAAATTGTAATTTGTAATTGCAGGTATATTTTAAAGCTAAATGAAAAAAAAAACTCATCTATCTAAAATATCTTGCAGTGATTAGTTTTCCATTGAGAGAGACTGACCCTGGGTAGGCTGGCACTGCAGCTGGTGTGGCAGCGGCGGCTGCGGAGCGGATTGTGTTGTAAACTGCTCGACCTCGTCCACGGAGACCAGAGCCTCTGTAGGCCAAGGTTGGTGTGGGAACGGGATAGGGGAAGCTGGCAACTAGTAGACCCAGAGAAAAAGACAGTGGGCAAAACGACAAACTGCATGCACTGAAATCAAATGAATCTGTTATTTGAACAACAACAATCAAAGCCAAGATTAAATCTCAAACCTGTATAAAGTTCAGGGGCGTACATGGCACCCATTACTGGATTGATTTTCCACCCGGCAGCTACAAATAAGAAATATTTGTAGTGAGGAACTGAATTTTTTAAAAACATTTATTTTCAAATTAAAAACGTATAAATGAGCCATTCACAGAGAACATTTTAAGGAACTGTTAAAAAAATTAAAATGCAAGAACAATGATGATTTTTAGAACGCTGTGCTGTGGCATACATGAAAAAACAATGTGCAACAGTCAAAACTTATGCACAGGCCTTCTAAGCAAGTGTTAAAATACAATATTGAGGATACTTTTTCATTCATTCATTTATTTTCCTTTGGTTTAGTCTCTTATTTATCAGGAGTCGCCACATCGGAATGAACCGCCAACTATTCCAACATATGTTTTACACAGCGGATGCTCCATCCAGCCACAACCAAGTTCTGGGAAACACTCATACTTACTCTCATTGACACACACACACATGCACACACACACACACACACACACACACACATTTACACAACGGCCAATTTAGTTTAATCAATTAACTTAAAGCGCATGTTAAAGCGCTTTTTTTTCTAATAATATTGATCGTTTATTTTCACATTGTCATATATCTTTATATTTTAATAGATGTTCTGTTCAAAGGAAAAAAACACCCTAAAGAAATGTATAATACAAACAATAGGATCAAATGAGAAAACGATTATAGCAGTGAACATACTATTTCCATGTTTTTTTCAAGACTTTGTCTTCCTCCTGTGCATAAAGCATAAATGCAGAGCTCTAATCTCACAGGAAACAAGTCAGCACCTCCAAGTGACTTTATTAATAAACTAGTTTCAGAACCTTCAGAGCATCATTGTTTTTGCAGCAGTTTAACTGACAGTTTCAGAATGAGACCCTCTATGTTCTAAAATAATGTTTCACAATCAACAACTGAGGCTTGCTTACAGTATGTTTAGTCTTGAATGCAAGAGCATGTTTCAGACAAATAAATAAAGCATCTGAACAGTCAAAACCTAGTGTAAATCCCAGTGACAAAGAAGAACTCTAAACACCTCACAGCTATGGCTTTTTTCATAGCTATTTTTCAGTGGGGTTTTCATCTGCCTAAATGCACTTTGGTGGATAGAAGAAGAACTAAATCCAGCCTTGCTGCTAGTGCATATTTGCATAGCAAATCATTGATAAACAGCCAAGTGAACTGCAAAAATGTGTTCTCTGCAAATGGCCACTAACATTTTGGCTAGAACATTACAAAGGAGCCTCACCATTAACTAATGGCGTCTGGGGCTTTTTTGTTACCACCCTTGCTGTAGCGTTGTTCACCTGAGGAAGCAAAGTTATTTAGTTGTTTATTTGTATTTTCTTGCTAAATTAGCAACTTATCATTGTCATACCTCAATCTTCCTTCCCTCCACGATCGTACCGTTGAGCTTCTCTCTGGCTCGATCTGCTTCCACTGCACTCTCAAACGTCACAAATCCAAAACCCTGAAAGATTGATATCAAACGCAACTCAACTGAAACTCAAATAAAGTGAAAATCTCTATGCAAATTGCAAATTGATTGAATTGAATTGAATTGAATTGGGAGCATTGGTCTTTTGTTGATTTTGGTTGCTTCTGTTGTCTAAGTTTCAGCTGGGTATTTAGTCATTATCCCAGATACAGATATATATTGATTTTTATATTTTGCACTAACATTTTAAAAATGGCCAACTTTAATACTAAAACTTTTGATTTTCTTTCTATCGTTTATAAATACATTTTGAAATTGCTCTGAGTACTCATATGTTCAAACAGACTGGTAGAATAAAGAAAACATTAGTATAACAGAAGATGATTGCTTAAAAACATGCAAATCCCAAAGGCAAACTACAGGTTTATATATACCACAGCAATATTTGCCTGGAAAAATGCTATTAGATTTTTCACAAAAGTTCCATTGTGAATCAGGAACTTGGTGTTGGAGAACACTATTATAATAAAGGGCTAAGAAGAATATTTTACACTATGAGTATCAACAATATTAAAACAGATTTTTGTAACTTTAATTTAACTATGAAACAGTCACCATTACACTGTACTAATGATAGCTATAAATAATAATTAACTATTAATAATAATTATTATTATTTAGATTTTTTACTGTTTTTATCTTCCACCTTTTTTGTTATGTTCTCTCTTTCCTTTTTATTTTCTCTGTATTTTATATTAAGAATATTTGTTTTGAAACACACAGGCGAGTCAGCTGAACAATTTGTTCATACATAATTCTGGATTGTAATTGTCGACTCCCTTGGCACAAAATTTACCTTGAAAATAAAATTGAATTTGTTGCCTTCCTTGATTCACAAAAGATAAGGAATTGTTCTGACTTTCTAATACAAGGCTTTTATTATATATTCTCTTAAATATATATATATATATATATATATATATATATATATATATATATATATATATATATATATATATATATATATATATATATATATATATATTATAAGATTATAATTATAAGTAAGATTATAATTATATTATGATTATAATCTTACTAATATAATTATAATCTTACTTATATCATATTATATAATTATAATAACAATCTAATTATAATATAATCTTTTTTGTAGTACTTCACACGGAAGCATACACGGATATAAAGACATTTTCAGTTCCCCTCATTTGCAGATTGCTTAGGCTAAATTCACTAGACAAATCTGAATGGAAATGGAAATTTACAAACCTTGGATCCTCTCTCATTAAAGATGATCTCTACATCTAGAATCTTGCCAAATTGCTGAAATGCCAAAAAAAAAAAAAGATCATGACTAAACAGTTATACTCATATTTGAAAGGATTAATTACCCAAAAACGAGCATTCGGACATTTACTCTCTCTCATTTTAAACCTATACGACTTTCATTCTTTTGAGAAGATAATACTCAAAACCTAACCTAGGTCCCATGAAATTTAAATAAAACTTTTTAGTTTTGAGTATGTCTATATCTCTCTAGTGTGCTCCAAAACAGTGACAAACCTATATAAATATAACCTGATATAAACATCCAAAGCTTGCAGTTTATCACTTCCGCTTGAATGATTCAACAATTTTTTTAGCACGTCAGCCTATCCTGAAGTTTTTTTTTCAAAACCTGACCAATCAAATGCTCTGTAGTATCTGACATGCCCCGCCCATTTAAGACGCTTCGCATTTGCTTTTCATTAGATGCGCTTGAGCTCAACCACTCTCACTGGCAGAGCAGAGAGAAACCAAACCACTGTGGTGTATGTGTATACATGTATAGTGTACGTGTATATGGTGTAATTTTAAAGGGGAGAAGCTAATCTATGTCCCACCCTCTCTTCATCTTTCAGTTGAGATTACGTCAAACATTGAATAGAAAATGCACATTTCAAAGCACTTCATGGGACCTTTAAAGGCTCCAATGCTGTTTTGGACTGCATTGAGTGAAACATTTCAGGTTTGGAAGGATGTGAGGAGTAAATATTGTTCAATGTTCATATTTTGGGTGATCTTTTATAATGAAAGAAAAGTATTGCATTTGTTTTACCCCAAACATCTGCCTCAAGTCTGGGTCTCGAAACCTAAAAGGGATATTGGAAACATGGAGCCTTTTAGGTTGAGCCTTCCCGCCTCCTTCCTCGTCACTTCCTCCTGCAGCTCCGCTACCGGAGGCCACAGAAACACTGAGAGACTGTGGGTCAGACGTCACGGGTGCCAGAGAATCATCCTATGAGGGAGATAGGGATGAAAGTGTGGAGCACAGAACAAACATTAGTATGCATGTCATGACAAAAAGAAATGCTATTGTAAGATTTCTGGTCAAGCTTACTGCAGTCTAACATTTTATTGGGAGAAAACTGGTTTTATAAAGTGACCACAACAAAACGCAAAAGGAGCATTCCTCATCCAGTGATTCCTCTCAAGCAAAAGTGAGGAAATGTGATCAAGTTCCCATTTTAGTGAGCCGACTAAGTACATGCCTGTTAGAGATGGACATAAAAATCACAATTTGCATTGAAAGTAGACTAGTCATAGTTTAACTTCAGTAAACTCAATCCAATCTGTAACTTGAGTCAGATTGCTAGTATATTTATAATGTAACCTTATGACTATGACCTGAAATTATGTCATATAGAATGCATGGTTACAGAATATTTCCTATTGCACCTATTGTGTCAATGAAATGCCCCCATGCAGATCAATACATAGGAGTGTTTGTGCTTCAAACCCAACACATCCACTATTTCACAATGCATCACGATGCCAGTTCGTATGTCTGCACAGCCTACCTCATCAAAAGGCACAAAACGGTTACCATTAAAATGGATTAAGAAGTCAAAAAAGTGTATTAAATGTTTTAAAAAGAAAAAGCCCATTGCTAGAAGAACAGTAGCCGAGCATAGCGAGACATTTAAAAAAAAACAAAGAAAAAAGAAATTGGTGAAATAAAGTCAAAAGAAATTTTGGTTAAAAAAGGAAATGTGAAGGCACAACGAGTCATGTGATGTGAATCTCAAAGCAATGGAAAAATGTTAAGCAAATGAAAAGAATGGCTATTAATGAGTTCGTTTGTAAGAGCCAGTTTTTTTATTTATATAAATTTGGAAAGTGGAAGTAGAAAGACAAAAATGACGTCTGCTTCAACTTATCCGACTGCTATAACAGCACACTGTATACAGTGAAGTTCATACAGTAAGAACAATAGCTCCAATATGGACAGAAAATAGGGGGTGCATTCGGTTTATTATGTTTCCTTCCAAAGTTTCTACTTAAAGGTGCCCACTGTATTTGTTTGCCTTTTGTTTTTGTTATCAGGCTTTTATATATTTAGGCGGATTTATAGTTATCAATTTACAAATATAAGTTGGACATTGGTTATAAGTAGGCCCACACAGAATCTGCAAGCGCAGAAATCCACAGACTTTCAGCCCATCATTAAGTCTACTTATCCAGTTGTTTGTAAATGTGCGTAAATTTATATTTATTCAGTTTTTAAATTAATTTCAGCAATATTATTGACTAATATAAAAATGCTCATATGATTTACTTACAATACAGTTTGTAAAGTATTTTGTGAAAATGTCTGTCTTTTAGTAGATATATGGTAGCTATGTTATATTATACACTTGCTTTGTTTATCAAATAAATAAATGGATCTATTAGGATTGTAAACATTAAATAAAAGTTTATATATATATATATATATATATATATATATATATATATATATATATATATATATATATATATATATATATATATATAATTTTTTTATTTAACAAATTAAGTTTTTAGTTTTGATACACCCAAAATCATCCCACATAAATCCACAGATTTTTTACAATATTCTGCGCAGAAATAGCGAAAAATGTCAGCAGATTCTGTCTGGCCCTAGTTATCAGTAACAGCCAATATTCCCACACCAATGCATCTATCAATTCAATTTATGTTCCTTTCTATAGCACTTTTACAATGTAGATTGTGTCAAAGCAGCTTAACATAAAAGTTCTAGTAAATTGAAACTGTATCAGTCCACTTTTCAGAGTTGAAGATCAGTTTATCATAACGATATTCTGTACAATATTTTTATTATATGTAACGTTTACATTTTTCCTCATAATGTACATTTTTAGGTGCATTTATTGCTAATTAGCAATGATGTTTATTGCTTACTTCCATATCAACATTTCCATTTCAATATCAATGTATCCATAAAAGTGTAATTTCATTTATCTGTTCAGTGTATTTATCAAAAAGCAGAATTCCTTGATAGCTATTTTTCTCATTAAAATAAATTTTCCAGTTTAATCTGTACAAACAATCCTTTCTTTAGCATTCAGACAATGTTATAAAAATCAATGTTATAAAACAATGTTATAAAAACCAATTAGGCACTCAACGAAGGCAAGTATTTAAGGAAGGTTTTGCACATTAAACCAAGTGAACCCTACCCAAAAAAAAGGAAATGAAAGTGTCTCGAAAAATGGGGAAATGAAGCGGCCTACGCAATTCATCCTATGACTTACCAATTTACTGTTATTTTTGGAAACAAAACAGAGCAGTGTATTAATTGAAAAAAAGAAGTTAAAAAAACAGAAACACGCATAAAGATTTACGCACAGACACACACACGCGCACACACCCATCCACACACGCAGACATATCGTGGTTATGGTTCACTCTGAGCCGGCCGGGCTGATTGCTAGCTGTAAAGACTACAACAGCACGTGTCACACAGGAAATACTGCTGAATTATCATCATCATCATCACATTCATCCAGAGACACAGGCCAGGGAGGGATTTGGGGAAAAGTGGCAGATTGAGAGAGGGTGTGATGGGAAGGTATGTGATGAATTCACGTCACGATGCAGAGTGCGTTTCTGACTGGACCTGGAAAACATAGATGGGGGGGAGGGGTCATCATCCCGTCTGACCGCCCCCCTTGACCCCTCCCTCCACGGCGGCGGCGCATTGTCCCAAAATCTGGCGTTCTCTAGTGATATAAGCAGTGTGGACAGAAGATGGTGTGATAGAGAAAGACACAACTCATTTCATGAACCTATTTTAGAGAATACATACTTTCATGGTGAAAATAGCACTATATTCTTGCCAAACTGTGCTTAGTGCGGGAGCATAAACATTTGTTGTCATTTAAAATGGTCATCTGCAATTACTACTCCCAGTGAGACATGATTAGCAATGCCCCACAAACATTACAATGACAATCATACATTTCCATAGTGACATACTTTAAAGAACATCGACCTATGGCTCAGGTTAAAGAGATAATATTTAAGCAACTCACAGACTGGACATATTTACTTTTGAGTTACATCTCAATGCTTGTGCCCTCAAGGGATAGTTCAACCAAAAATAAAAATAAACCATTACTCACTCTCAAGTGGTTTATATGTTTCTTTCCTCCGTTGAACACTTTCAAAGATATTGTGAAGAAAATTAATTACAACCATTGACTTCCATAGGAAAAACAAATACTATGAAAGTCACAGGTCTCCAGCATTCTTCAAAACATCAACAAAAGTATTCAACAGAAGAAAGGAAATCAAAGAGGTTTGGAACAAGTAAATAGGTGAGTAAATTATTGGATAAAGGGATAGTTTTTGGGAACTATCGCCTTAAAAACACTTTAGTACACATGTCTATCTGCGTTGATCATTAAAACCCCAATATTAAAAGTCAAAGTATAATAATAAAAAAAACATATGCTCAACTCAGTTTTACCTTATTTATAGGTACATTAACATAAAACCTAAATAGCTTAAATGATATTAATAAACTATAATATAATAAACATAATAATAATAATAATCTAATATAAATATTTCTTAATATTAAACTAAACTAAAACTGAACTAGAATGCAATTAAATATTTTAGCGTACTATATATAGACATTGATACTACAAGGCTTCCTCTTTGTCTTCAATATTCTGCAGACACAAGCACCACCGTGTGGTCCTTGGAGATTTTGACCCTTTTGACCCCTGTTTTAAAACTCCTGCACTACATTAATTATAAAATAAGAATAAAATACTTTAAATGACATTAAGAGTAAATGTAGTGTTGACTTGATAAGCTCCCTTATAAAATTCAAATTTGCCACTGAAACTAAGCTTTATTATCATAAACATTTAAGACAACTCACTCATTAAAAAGAGAAGCAGAAAGTGGAAATGGAAGAAGGCCTTCTTTCATCATAAGTCTCCTATACTGTCTATTCAGCTGAATGTCCATACATGGACAAGGCAAAGGAAGGATGTGCAAAGGGCATAAGAGATATTTTTAGCTCAAACAGGAGATCCCAGAGGACCAGAGCATGATTATATATCAGCTGCCTATACATATTCCTGGCATACCTTTTCTGATGCAAATACACACTGATTTTGCTACATACAGGAACATTGTTTCTATATAATTTTCATACTTTTAGATTGACCCTGCTTGACTGCAAGTAAATCATATTATTCAGTTTTTTTTACTTCTAAAATCAAATTATTTCTTTATATTTATAGATGTACCTGCCCAGTGTTGACTAAAGATTTTATTCTTATCAAGTCAGTTAATGATCAGGTGATCAGTCTTACCGTGTTACTGGCAGTTATAGACTCCGTCCCGTCGTGCTGAGGGCCCTGGTAGACTCTCAGCTGATGATGATCTGCATATTCTGAATTTGGATGAGCAGCGCTGAAATCGAGGGGTGGCAGTCGGGCAGCAGGTGTGGGCGGGGCTTGTCCAGGTGGAGGATATGAAGGGGGTGGGGCATAAACCTGGGGAAGTGAAGGATCACCATTGCCTGGCCCCGCCTCCTGGGCAGCAGCACCCTATAATAAGAGAGAGAGAAGCATTTACAAACAGAAAAATCTGTTGACTGGTTATGAAAACATTTATTATATAATAATAAGAGAAATATTAGATATGTCAAAATTAGAGAATAATTAGACAAGTCTGTTAAATAACTGTAGATTATTTTGCCAATTAAAACTACTATTTAAATATCAAAGGACATTTTAACATATTGTATTAAAAGGATTCAAAGGCACCTTTTATGCTTTATATACAAACAAAGCCAGAATTATTAGCCCTACAGTTAAATTTGAAGTATTTTATGTTTTTTCAATTGTCTGTTTAATGGAAAGATGATTTTCAACACGTTTACTCACATTCTAATTCTTAATAGTTTTGATAACAGATTTTTAATAACTGATCTCTTTTGTCTTTGCCATGATGACAGTACAGAATATTTTACTAGATATTTTGCAAGACATTAGTATTCAGCTTAATGTGCAATCCAAATGTTTAACCAGTTTAAATAAGTTAACTAGGTATGTTATGGTAATTATGCAAGTCATTGTATAAAAGTGGTTTGTTCTAGACCAAGGGTGGGCAAACTCGACCCTGGAGGGCCGGTGTCCTGCAAAGTTTAGCTCCAACCCTAATCAAACACACCTAAACATGCTAATTAGTGTCTTTAAGATCACTAAAAATCTATAGGCAGGTGTGTTTGATTAGGATTGGAGCTAAACTGTGCAGGACACCGGCCCTCCAGGACCGAGTTTGCCCACCCCTGTTCTAGACAATCAAAAATATATTTCCTAAGGGCTAATAATATTGACCTCAAAATTGTTTGAAATTAAAAAAAAATATTTATTCAAGCTGAAAAAAAAAAAGACTTTAAGAAAAAATATTATAGAAAGTACTGTGAAAATACCCTTAATTCAGTAAATATCACTTGAGAAATACACTTTAAAAAAATAAATGATCAATTAGCCATGACAGCATATGTTTTTAGTTCGTTGGAGCATATTAAACTAAGTTAATCATGTTCTAACTTAATCTTATAGGTTGCACACACTGTTTTAGGTCAGTTTAACATAATAAAAGTTTAATGGACACGTAAGGTTAATTTGTTTCAGCTTAAAATTTAGGGCAACAAGGATTTTTATACAGTGTATTTGAAAAAGAATAATTATCGCACTGAAGGCATAATAATTTTGCCCTCAACTGTAAATAGCTCTATAGATTATTTTGAGGGATGTAAACAAAAAACAATGGTCCCAACATTTTTCCAGTTTTAAATTTTTAATTTTTATAGCTTCCAAGAATCCATAAAGAGCCAAATATTGATGAATAATGTTGTGATCGCTGTTTTAAGATTAAGTTATGATTGAATTACCTCTTGTTACAGTTAAAATAGTTTGATAACAAGCAGAAAATGTTCATAGGCCAATGACATGACCACATTAAAATGGTCTATATGGCATATATACATTTAATTTTAAGCTATTAAATAGATATAACTATTCAAAATATACTAATACAGTAGTCCAAAGAAGCATTTGCAACAAATCCATAAATTAATTTAGCTAAAAATATTCATCCAAACATTTTACCAAATAATTTTCCTAATGAAGGCAACATACAGTTACTGTTTTGCTTGCAGAAACAGATACATCCCACATCATTAACACTAAACACTAACTTAAACCAGCATCTCAGACATCACATAAAGACACTGTGAATGAAATAAGTCGTATAAATGTAGTATAAATGATGTGTCTCACCCCTTCAGTGCATTCCGCAGGCGACCCAATACTCACCAACAGCTGACGCATGCTTTAATGCAGAGTTTTCACCCGCCCACCCCACCATAAGTTCCTCACATCCACCAATCACAGAGCAGCAAACCAGCCTCAAGATTTTTTTTTACACCAGCCGTGTTCATTTGTTCATGTCAATCATCAACCCATTTCACCCACCCACTCTCTAGACACTCAACACACACACATCTGTTTGGATAAAAGTTGATCTATTCATACAAACAACTTAGTGTTTCTCCTCAGTCAAGCCTAACCCTAGCAAACCTCAGTAATCGCACACAATGGAATATAATCACTGTGATTTATTTAAACCAGACAGGCAAGATATCTATAGCTACTGAAGTATGCAGTGTGTCAAACCAGATAAAACAGGCATTGTTACAATAACAGATTATAATAATAGTTTATTTGATGCTATCCAAACAGAGTGTGAAGATATTCATTCATTCATTTTCTTGTCGGCTTAGTCCCTTTATTAATCCGGGGTCGCCACAGTGGAATGAACCGGCAACTTATCCTGCATGCTTTTACGCAGCGGATGCCCTTCCAGCCGCAACCCATCTCTGTAAAACATCCACACACACACACACACACACACACACACACACACACACACACACACACACACACACACACACACACACACACACACACACACACACACACACACACACACACACACTACAGAGAATTTAGCCTACCCAATTCACCTGTACCACATGTCTTTGGACTGTGGGGGAAACCGGAGCACCAGGAGGAAACCCATGCAAACGCAGGGAGAACATGCAAACTCCACACAGAAACGCCAACTGAGCCGAGGTTCGAACCAATGACCTACTTGCTGTGAGGCGACAGCACTACCTACTGCACCACTTCATCGCCCAGTGAAAAGATATACTTACTCAAATACAAACTAGGAGTTTTACGCTAAAGAGTTATTTTGTGACACGTGTTTTGTGCACACAAAACCTTAGGTTTCTTGTTTGAAACTGTAAAAATAAAATCAATTATTTAGTCTACCACCCAAAAGTGCAAAATATAAGACTCTATATGCCAAATAATAGACATAAAGTTATAATAACTGATAAAAAGCTCTTTACACACACACACACTTTTTCAGTTTACTCCTTATCATCCGGTTCACAGGGCCGATAAGTCTGGGTAAATTTAGACTTTGCTGATAAACCGACACTGAGAGAAACAGCTCTGATTAAATATCACCACTGCACTCAGATTTCTCCAGCAGAAACAAAAGTATTATGTTACATGGTGTCTGTTTGTCATCATATCATCATAGCTATGATTCAGCATTAGGATATATATACACACACACCACTATATATGCCACACAATTATCTGTTATTCACAAAAACATGACATATCTTGCTGTCAGTCCTTTTTTAAAACACTTGGTGCGACATGACACCCTGGTTAAAGATTTATGAGATGTAAACAGGTGTTGTCAAACCTGTGAAAGTGTAGCACTACAACCCGCTGACTCAAACTCACAAAAAGTGTTGCATTGCTGCATGCCACAGAACAAGTTAAAGATCGCAGTTATAAAATGACAACACAGTTATAATGACATGATCACAGTTTTAAATGAGTTCCCTTTAGACTTTAGACCTTAAAATATTTAAATAACAAGTACAAAAAGCATACATTTATATAGATATTTAAGCAGCAGAATGAATTAAATACAATACCAGGCTATATTCTGGTAAGAGAGAGGAAATACAGGACAATCAAGCACGATTTAATTGTTCAAACAATTTCTACTACATGTTATAAAAAAATATATGATAAAATGTATTGTAAACAAATGCTTTCATGTTACTTTAACTCATTTTTACTTACATACACTGAAAAAAATAGTTAAAAATAATATATATGATGAATTTAAACAAACAAATTAATTTAAGTAATATTCAACTTAATTTGTTTGTTTGAATTCAGCCCAAATAAATTGTTTACAACCCCTTAACCTAAAATTTTGAATATTTAGGTAATCCGAGGAATCATCTTTCAGTCATTTCTTTCAGTGTAGTTTGACTGATGTAAGTTGAGATAGAAAAGTTTATTCGATGATTTAACTACAAAATGTAGGTTGCTAAAATCTTTTTTTTCTTCCTACTTGTTAGTTATCTTGTGAGATCTGAACATAAACTCTTTTGTTTCCCATACTTTTTTTCGTTACTGTGTGAGTATTAAAATAACACCTCTGTCTAGCAGATAAAATGTCTTTCCAAGCGCAGTGACAGCTTTGAGCCCTTCAGCTGTCAGGTTTGGGGTGAAAGATCAGAGGCAGGATGCCAGGTGCCTGATCTGACAGCTGCGGGATCATTCAGACACACACACACACACACACACACACACACACACACACACACACACACACACACACACACACACACTGCTGACAAGAACTGCTTATGTTGTCTATAGTCATGTAATACAAAGCTCTTGGAATACTTGATTCTGATTAGCCAGTTGCGGTGTTCTGTTATCAGATGTCTTTACATAATGACTGCTAAACCATCTGCCTGGCAACCAGTTTCTTACATTTTCATCAGCATATTTTTATTGAAATCAGTGTAATTTTGTTTTATTAACATGGTGTTGGGTGGCACAGTGACTCAGTGGTTAGCTCTGTCACATCACAGCAAAAAGGTTGCTGGTTTGAGTCCTGGCTGAACCAGTTAGTAATTCTATGAGGAGTTTGCATGTTCTCCCCCTGTTGGCGTTCGTTTCTTCTGGGTGCTCCGGTTTCCCCTACAGTCCAAAGACATGCACTATAGGTAAATTGGAGGAACTAAATTGGCTGCAGTGTATGAGTGAGTGCATGAAGCTGGAAAGGGCATCCGCTGTGTAAAACATATGCTGGATAAGTTGTCGGTTAAGGTACATAGCTGAAGTAAAATGAATGAATGAACATGGTGTTGTAACATTTATGGGGACAAGCCAATACCAATACTTATTTTTTACAAATTATTGGCCAGTTCAAGTATTTATACTCGTATAAAGTACTATTACTCATATAAAGTACTATTGTTATGTCACTCTGTTTTCAATGAACAGGGATTGGAACCATTTATCATTTAAGGGGCCAACATCAGAGGTACAAAGTGTCTCTGTCTTACACTTTAGATTTTGTACAGGTTTAATTTTGCTTTAAGGCCTATTAAATTAATTTTACCCAGAGAAATATTCTGAAACTATCAACAGACTTGCAGCTCATTGTTTTAGCTTAATTTATAAATTAATCATCGATTATAAATCATCCTTATCAGGCCATTTCTGTCATGCCAATTGATCAAAAATAATAATTCAAGTTTGTTTTCCATTTTAAGTCTTTCTTTTAATAATATTTCAGTTTTGTTTAAATTAACAAACATATTTTAGGTTAACAGATACAAAACAATCAAGTGACACGACATTATTTCACTATGCATGTGGATTATATTTATTTTTTGTTAGCCATTTAATATTGGTTAAATATTTATTGTAAGGTCACACAATCTGGTTTATATCATGGTCTATTTTAGGGATTATTTCATAATTCTGAGTGTGTATTGTGCAACATAATTGTTTTTTCTTCAGTAAACAAAATTACACAAAAATGTATTTAGTAAAGCCAAAGTACTCTCAAAAACCATCAACTTAATACCTTTAGAGACAACAAACAATGATTTTGGCTGTCAGGGTAAAAAAATCCTTTCTAAAAAAGCCATTATGTGGACAAATCAAAATCAAAAGCATTCACTCATATGTTCAATACGACACGTGGATATTATAGCCAACAAAGTAAGCGGAAACAACTAAGAAAATTCCTCTGTGTTAAGTCCTACTCTTTAGATGACATAATCTGCTGCTGTGTATCACTTTTGATAAAGTCAAGAGGCAATCAGACAGTCAACATCTATTTCTAAATGTGTAATCTGTGTGTGTGAGGAAATCTGCAGTGAGAGAAACCGACTAAAAATATAGAGTGTGACAGAGAGAAAGAGCAGGCACACCGTTTATCAGGAAGACTGGAATTTCTCTCTCTCTCTCTCACACACACACACAAACATACCACACACACACACACACACACACACACACACACACACACACACACACACACACGCACACACGCACAAACACAAGTATGCACTGAACCTGTTTTCAGTAGGCCACCTAGCAGGGACAAATATAACTAACCGCAGCGTCCTTCACTGACAAACACATTTCATGCCACATTGGTGGATCTTGCTTTACTTGATATACAAACCGTTTGCTGGCCAGTGATTGGTTGATTTGTTTAACATTTTACCAGACATGTGACAGAAAATGCGTATGATAAATGTTTTTAAATTGCTCTTAATAATTTTATTAAATAAATAATATACTAATTAAAATTGTAAAATAAAAATGGTAAAAAATGTTAATAAAATAAAACTAATAATAAAGTAGATACATATAAAGGTAGATTTGTATATTTACCTGAACAATGCCGGGGTAGCAGGAGGCCGTCTGAGGGTAAACTGGGAGTCCGTAGGGCTGAAGGATCACAGTAGGAGAAGACAACATGGTGCATAGCCAGAGAAAAGGACAGAAAAAAGGAACAGCTAAAAGGGACGGGAGACCAAGGGGAAGAGAGAGGGGAAGGAGAGCTCTCGGAATCAAGAAAGAACCAGACTGAGAAAGTTTAAGATCCAAATAGAAAAGGAAAAAAGATCCAGAGGTGTGAAAAAGAAAAGGAGAAGAAGTGTGAGTTGAACTGCACAACACTGGTGTCAACTTTTAGGCAATAAACGAATATGAATAAAAAAACTGCAAATATAAGAAGCTCTATAAAGTTGAGAGTGCCGAGTTAGTCTGTCTCACAAATGGCAGAGGAGTTCAGTGCCGAAAGATCTCCAGGGGACACAGTGTGTGTGTGTGTGTGTGTTGCTGGAGATGTTTGATAGACAGAAACACATGCTCAGAGTTGTGTTACACTCCTTTATAAATAGCCCCCCTTCCTCCTTTAGTTGTGTATCAGCAATAGAAATAAACAGGCAAGTAATGTATTTGTCACCCTTCGTTGCTCATTGAAAAAGACACAAAGAAAGTTTGCTATATCAAAAGAACAAAACATATGCAGGTACTATATGGACTGGACTGTTTTGACTACAAAGTTGAACAATACAACTTTTTTACAATCTTTAATACTTTAAAGGGCATCTATGATAAAAATCATTTTTTGTAAGCTGTTTGGACAAAAGTGTGCGTAAGTGTAGTGTGTCCACAGTCATATTAGGGTGATTTAAAGACAGTAAGTCTCCTTTTTTAAATTTCCTTACCTTAAAATAAGATTCAAATCCCTCCCATTTTAAGGTCCACCACAACGTGACATAGAAGTGCGGTTTCCCCTCCCACCGAATTGATTGACAGTCGCGTATTAACCTGTCTCAATAGTACCGCGTATAAATAATCATGCCAACAAGACAGGATGTGCACAAAGCAACTGGGATTAAAAGATCTGTTCAACCCTCTGTGATCATCAATCATCATCAAATATGATCAAGAATGAGTTTAAAACCTTTTTAAATCAGTGCATGTTTGTAATTACAGCGATTTTACTGTCTTTGTCACCACAGCCTCATTTTAATTATAAAAGAAATCGCTTCAATCCCGGTTAAATCAAGTTTATTTTATACATTGACATAATGGATATCCATACAGCAGTGGATATTAACATGTATTCTGTCACATTTGTGTGCAAAAACAGTGCAAAACTAAACGCACTGTGTGTGCGTTCGTACATGAACTTTGTAACACCAGGCACGTGCACACATGGGCTCAACCTGTGCAGTGCACATGCCCTTTTTAAATAAATTTTATCCTGCAAATGCCCCTTTGAAGGTCTCTGCACGGGCCTGGTAACGACATTGTGTATAACTCATCGTTGCAACTCCACAACAAGCACATCAAATAATAAAAATAATCATGGTAAAGTTCTTACTGTAGTATTTCTCAAAAATGTAACGTGAAATCTGCTTCCTTCTTGTCTGTCACTGTGCTGTTTACCTGACTCAGCCGAGGTGAAGATTGAAGCACACTCTGACAGGCACGTGGGAACGGTGGGTGAGGAGAACCAGTATTTAAGACACAGGCCACAAAAACAGCATTGTGTTCAGAGCAGAAAATCCCAATGTTCTGAAAGGTATAATAAATAATCTGATAAGTTTTGAGCTGAAACTTTACAGACACATTCTGGAGACACAAAAGACTTGAACAAGGGGTAAAATAGGTGCCCTTTAAGATTTCAAAGACTATAAAATGGATAATCTTTTACTTCAAATTAGGATCAAATTGTAAAAAAAGTGAAATTTTTATCAGTATTTTAGTTTTTTTTTTTCTAAAGAAAATGTGTTAATTACACATTACAACAAGGCCAGGTTTCACTGGGGCTAAGCTTAGACCAGGACTAGGCCTTATAGTTAAATTATTTTTTAAGCAGCTTTTATTAAAAAATGACTCAGAAGAACAGAGCAAATTACTGGTGTCCATCATTAATCAATGACACTGACATATTTTAAGATGTCACTGCGAGTTATTTTTTAAGTTAATTTAATCAGTAAAACTGGAGGTCTGTCTTGTTTTCAGTCAAACTGATCAAAATAAAGCAAGTTTATTATTAAAACAAGAACAAATACGCCAGTGGGTCTCTAGACAACTTTATAAACCAACTTTATTTGAACTGAAAAAGAATTTTCATACACTTTATTGACCTATATTTGTTCTTGTTTAAGCCAAACACTCACTTAAGCCTCAAACAATATATAATTAATGAAGTTATTTTAAATTTAATTAAATTACGATCTTTAAAAACGTAATGTTAGAAACACATAAATATCTACTGTAGTGTAAATTAATATTATTGAACAAATTCATTCCTCCTGGCAGACAAACCGCATTACAGAATGGCAAATAAACTTTTACATTAGTAAATCTTAAATAAATCAACAGACTGTAACTAAATCATTCAGCAACGTCAAAACTTCTTGACAACAATCCTAAAGTTGACTTGTAAATATGACTTCGTTCGGCCATTTTATCCTGGTAAATATGACATTTACAGATTCACTTGAATAGTAAACACAGATATTCAATAAAATACTTGTCTCACCTTCGCCCAGTTCTGAATATATATGTGTTTTAAACCCTACGCATATATTCTACATCATCTTATTGTAAGTGACCAACAGAGGGAAGCAAATCCCTCATGAAGCTTTCCCTGAACACACTACCGAATGCACACGCAAAGCTTTGTGGGTTCTGTAGTTTAAATGGTGGGTATAAGTTTCCGGGAAGGCCGGATGCACGCTCTCTTTAGTGTTCGAGCCTGACACGGACAGGTAATGGCGGCTTTAATGTCCCTTTTCAGCTATAAATTTCTACTTTACGCATGCGTAATATGTACGATTAAGTAATATTTAATGTTCCCTTACGTAAGGTAACAGATGTACGTATTAATTTCTTAACTAGTTGAGTACATAATGCCGAGAAAAGAGCTTTATTGCAGTTAACGTGTTTCCACAAGGCGCGTTCAGGCCTAGCAGCAATGTTAGCCTGAGGTGAAACCGCGTGCTACCTCTACATATAAATGACTCGCCGGGATTGCTAATATATATATTTATATGAAGAAATCAAAATTTATAACGTGAGGACGAATGTGCCATTATACTATGTTCTGTTGAGAAGGAAGCGCTTTTCAGTGTTTGATGTCAAAGCTAAACCGGGTTTTCGTTCCACGTTAGCTTTAATGCTTTTTAACTTAAATTAAAATTTACCTCTAATCAAGCACACGTTAATTATATATATATATATATATATATATATATATATATATATATATATATATATATATATATTATACATATATATATATATTATACATATATAAATTATACGCTAAATTAATTATAAGTCTAAGTGACGTTTCACTTACATTGCAACACCTATTATTTAGCACAATGGCGTTTGTATATCCTTTGCAAATTTGAGTACCTTTTAGCAACTTCAAAGTTTTTCTTTACCTTTTTTTGTTCAGGCGTCAATAAGTCGCCATGCCGGTTGCCAAGACTTGGGTTTGCAGTAAGACGTACGTCACCCCAAGACGTCCTTTTGAGAAGTCACGTCTTGACCAGGAGTTAAGACTCATTGGTGAGCGCAAAGTTGAAAATAAAATGATTATTAATGTTTTTTTCCCCAAAAACGTGTTTCTTACAAAAAAAAACGTGTTTCTTACAATTGTCTTACAATTTTACCTGCCACAGGTGAGTATGGTCTCAGGAATAAGAGAGAAGTCTGGAGGGTGAAGTTCACTCTGGCCAAAATCCGCAAGGCTGCCAGAGAGCTGCTCACTCTGGATGAGAAGGATCCTAAGCGTCTCTTTGAAGGTAACTGAACTGTGACTGTCGTTCAAGACTGGGTGGCCAATGATTAAAATAATGCTTGTCAGATTGTCAGTGTTGCCAAGAATTCCTCGTCAATGAGGCCATATCTGCCAATACATCCTTACTGGTTCTTTATCACACTTGTTTAACATAACAATATTTTGTGATTATTATTTTTAAGGTAATGCTCTGCTCAGGCGTCTGGTGCGTATTGGAGTGCTGGATGAGGGAAAGATGAAGCTCGATTACATTCTGGGCCTGAAAGTGGAGGATTTCTTGGAGAGGAGGTTGCAGACTCAAGTCTTCAAGCTTGGGCTGGCCAAGAGTATCCACCATGCACGTGTGCTCATTCGTCAGAGGCACATCCGGTAAGATTTAGGAAGCACAGGTTTAAAACTCAAATAGAACAGGATTTTGAAATGTTTAATCCTCTGGTGCTGCTTTCTCTAGTCTTAAGTTTTAGTTCGACTTTTTAGATTTATAGAAGCAAATTATTTGTCTTTTGCTAACTACATGTGCAAAGAACAATCTTAAATTATATATATATTTATGGCAGATTGCTCAAGTTAAAGAACTGATATCAAACACATTCAGTCTTATTAGATGTTTTTCTAAAGTTGTTTTTAATAATGATCAAAGTTGGTTGACATTTGAGCTTGAGATCTATGAAATGGATTTAAACTTAGGGTGCAGTACCAAACAGCTACTAAACATTTTACTTTTTTTTTTTTTGCCAAAATATCAAAACAGGTTTTTAGGATTTGTACAATCTTATTCAAAAGAATAAAACAAGTATTAGTTATTGACAAGTGCTCCAGAGGGTTAACTTTCATTTCCTGGTATGTGTATATTGGTTGTCATCAACACGTGTTGAGGCTTTCTTCCTCTTTCATTAGCTGACCACGTTTAAACTCCTCCCAGTGAGGTGGAATGAAATATTCTGCAAGGTCAATTCGGTGATTAAACCGTATACCTTTGCTTGTAAGCCAAAAATCTAGACCTTGCCATGAAGTCTGGGGTGCTCTAGTGCACGAAACAGTCGGAGGTAATGTACGTGGGCACTTTGGCAGATTTTTTTACTAAAATAAAGCTGCACTTCTCTTGGCCAGTGATTAAGCTAAAAACTGTCAGATTTTCAGTGGTGTCAAGAATTCCTCGTCAATGAGGCCTTGAGATCAGCAGCTTTACTTTTGACATCTAAAATCTCTCTGTGGACCTTTTTTTTACAACTTTTTTTATTCTCTCTGTAGGGTGCGTAAGCAGGTTGTGAACATCCCCTCCTTTGTGGTGAGGCTGGACAGCCAGAAACACATCGACTTCTCCCTCCGCTCTCCATATGGTGGTGGCCGTCCTGGCCGCGTCAAGAGAAAGAACGCCAAGAAAGCCCAGGGTGGTGGTGGAGGCGGTGATGATGAAGAGGAAGATTAAACTGTTTCCTCTTAAAGAGGTGGAGGGACTCAGCAGTGCTTGCTCTCTCTTCTCCCTCAAGTTTTCAATAAAAATGGTTCATTCCCAATTTATTTGTCCTGCTGCTTTCAAACTGATCTACTTCAAGTAACTACCAATAATGGCATTTTACAATCGATTTACCTTAAACAAATTATGTAATTTAACAGTTGCACAAATGCTCAAAGGTTTCAAACCAACTCGAGTGTATGTTGACAACCCACTTGAGTAACTCGAGTTCAACCTAATGTGCAATAAAACACAACATGACAGCCAAAACTCAAGAAACTGATACCTAGTATCCCTAGTGGGTTAAACATTTTTTAATTCATTTATTTTTGTAGTCATATTTGACTGTCATCATTTGCTGGTCAAAATGAAATGCATTTAATTACAGACTTAAATACAGAAAAACTGCAAACATCTAGAGGTAAAACCCAAATTTGTTTGGGTACATTGGCTGAAGCAGCCATTAAATCTAAACTCACTTCAAAGAATATATTAAGATAAAATATTTTTTATTTAAATCTTAATTTTTTAGATTGCACTTTCGGCTAGGAACTTAATACATTAGTTGTAATCTATCTTCATTGTGCTGATGATAAGTGGTGATAATCTTGGAGTGTGCAGTAGGCTTTTTTTATGTGCTCCGGCTTAAGAAATGTCATCCATCTTCTACAGATCGTCCTGGGGACTGATTTGTCCTCTTGTCTCAGTGTTGCTTGTCTGATCACTGTGAGTGAGGTAAAATATGAAATTATATGTAACTTCAAATTGTATTCAATTTATTAATATTAATACATGATTGTTTTAAAGATGTTTACCTTTCACCATCCTTTTCCAGTGTTTAAACAAGGAAAAACAAAACGATCATATTAGCACAATCATAAAATGAATTTTTTTTTGTATAATTAATATAACCTTAGGTATTTGCTGACCTTAGTTCGCTGTCCTGCTACAGCAGCTGCCTTTTTTGGTACTCCCAAAGTGTCAAATGAGTGGCTTCTCACCCTAATAGCTCTCTGATAACGGAGAAAGACAATAATTGATTTAATACTCATTTTAATATCAAGGCCTATTGTCTGTTGCTCTCAATAAACTTGATTTACCTTGAAGTTCTCAATGAATCCTCCACCGCCCTCTGGGGCACTTCTCCCCCCTTCAGTGAGAGGGATGCTGGACTGCGATGGTTCTCCCAGCATGCACTGGGAGCGGGAGGACAGTTCACATCGCAGTGCTTCCAAGAGAGACGAACGTGTACGTAACTGAGATGGAAGCACGAGTTTATGAAGTGAGACCATGACTAAGCTTACTAATATATAATATATAAATATGTAGTTCTCTCAAAATTGAACGTTTGCTAGGCCTATATATTTACCCACTGGCGTACCAGACAAGGAGTCCTTATTGAGGTCTTAATTTAAGAGTAGTCACGAAAAAACTGCTTCCTTCAGCACTTAATAACAGTTTAAAAGACATTTTGCCGACACAAAATTAATACATTTAAAGCAGTTGGTTCCTGAAAATAATTTAAGGTCTTGATAGGTTTGTGTAAGAAACTAAACAATTTAAAACAATATACACAGGCTTTTAATTTTAGCCAGCCTCAGCACTTCCGGTAAACTATCTTTCCTTTATAAAATCGCCAAGTTTAAGGTCTATTTCTTAAAAAAAGCAGTAAATTCACTGTCTGATAGATATACGATATAAAGCGGGTCTGAGAACGAACGAAGCACTATGGTAAATTCCATTTTCCCCCACCAAGTCTTTAAAATATGAAGGTTTATTTTACACCGGTATTTTTAATGAAGTTTGTGCACTAGCCTGTCCTGACAGCGCTAGTGGTTACACGATCTTTCATCTCGTTTTACGCTTAAACAAATAAATGAACGCCGAAGTCTATTTAACTCAATGTTTTGTAACTACATTACAACATCAATGGTGTTAAAAAGAACCTCATGTAATAGAAAACAGTTAGCCTACATTAAGCTTTCACCAGAAGTTCATCATTGGGTGAAAAACACCAGCTGTAGCCCATTGCCAGTAGGTAATTTAGTTTTTTTTCTGTATTTTTATTTTAGTTTTTACAATTTTCTTTATACAGTACATTGACTTGCATTTTATTAATTAAACATTTGATGGCCTGGGAGTGGGTAAATAAACTGTAAATATTGTGAATTTATGGAACTGTCCTTATATTTTTTAGGATGTTTGGTGCCTGATTACCTCCAGTCGACTGAATTTTTCAGCCTTGTAACAAGAGATTTCAGCATTTATAAGTTTGGTCAAGAGGAACTCTCTCAAAACAGAGCCCTGAAAAATAAAATGCAGAGAGACGCCTGTTGAAAATTTATAGTGTGACTTGATTGTTTTGTTGATATTTCTTTTTATTAATCACATCTCATCATCAATTAAATTATGTAGGTATACCCACATGTTTGATCTGAATCCACATGGTGAATAATTATACAGATATCAAAAAGGTAAAAACTATCTTACAGAAATCTAAAGCACTCTGTCATTTGTTTTTACCTCTGTAAAAATGGGTGGTGTGGGAAGGGGTGGGCCAAATGGGGGCACATCCTCCCTAGCAGTGACAGACACCTGTCAATCAGAAAAAAAAGCTTTGAAGCAGTGGGTGCTGATAACGTATTATTTAACAATTTTCTAATCATTTTTTAACATGTTTTATTTTACTTGAAAGGATCCTCCATCTCCTCCCTCTCCCTCATTTTCTCTCTTTATCCTCCGAACTGCAATGAAACAATGCAAGAAATGGGATCTGATCACATCTGAAATGAATGGAGTGTGACCCTCCTGGTACACCAGAGCAACAATATCATTCCCAATGTGCCTTTTTCTCTGCAGCTGAGGGGAAACAGAGAAATAGGGTTGTCATTCAAGGAAAATGAAAATGATGCTTAACTTTGTTTTCTGTCCTCTATTGTGTGTATTGATGAATATTTAATATTATTTTGCAAGTTATTTGGAGTCACCAGTAGGTAGCGCCAAACCTCTTTTTTTAGTCAACTAGAAATGAAATTGACTTGGCTGATTCCTTCAAAATGAATAACCATTGTTGGGAGATGGGGACAGTGGTTTGAGTAAGTGACTGGCAAGAACTAAAATAACTGTTTAAAATGTCATTAACCTGTTTTAAAAGCAATATCATTCATACAGCAGTCAATCAATTATCCATTGATTATCAATTTATAGCATGTTATTATGCTAACTCATGCCTGTAACATGTTAGAAATATGCTACATGTAAAACATACTTGTCAAATGGTAAAACTTGCTAATAATTCCTAACATGCTGATTTCCTTGCTGAAAGGAAGCTGAGTCTAAGCTAGTTGGCTGGTTGTTGGGTTTTAGCTGACCAGCCTGGTTTTTAGAGAGGTTTTGGCCATTCCAGGCTTGTTTCCAGCCATTTCCATTCTGTTCTTAGCTGACCAGGCTTGAAAATGGCCAGCTAAAACCAGTCTGGTTTAAGTTGAACATAGCTGGTTTTGGCTGGGCTCCCAATCTGGCTAGGCTGGTCATCTCCTAGCCTGACCAGCTAAGACAGGCTGGAAATGGCTGGAAACCTGCCTGGAATGGCCAAAACGCCTTTAAAACCAAGCTGGTCAACCAGCTTAAACCAGCCAACAAGCCTTGGTTGGTTTAGGCTGTTTTTTTTTTCTTTAGGGATGTGCTAGCCACATTTTTAACATGTTTAGTTGTGCTAACAAGGTTAAATGTGTGATTCATGTCAAAACATCAGCCATGTGTTGAATTCATGGTTAAAATGTTAAACATGCTAACAATTAGCCAGTTGATGCCATCACTGTGCTAACCTTTTAGAAACGTGTGTAAAATGATAGCAAAATGTTACAAACATGCTATGATGCTAGCAACATGTTATATTTTGCTAACAATTTGTGAGGAGTCTTTCCTTCTTTTTCTTATTCCACTTTACCATTATAGCATGTAAAGCTGTCTCAAACATTCAGGCAAGGCTTTTCAAAGCCCACAAAAGTCCTCATGTTTAATGTTCACCTGTTGTGTATCTCCCTCAGTGAACGGCAGTTTAGTGGCAACATGGAACATGATCTCTCGTCCATGGAAGGAGGTAAAAACGGCTTCATTCCCCGTTTGACCACGAGACACATCCAGACCTCCTCTGAAACTGGGAGAGGTAAAATGTTGATGTTCATTTGACAGGTGATAATGCATTTTACACTAGTGTTTTGTAATTTGTCTTGATATTGAGTCCAAACCCCCTTACCCAGTAAATCCTTGCAGATTGACCGTCTGTCCAAGTATTGATAAAAACTCTAAAAACTCCTCACTTTCCTCATTGTTACTGAGCATGTCTTCCTCTGTTAACTACATTACATATGAAACGAGGGAAAAATGTTAGAATACATTACAAAATTACAAAAATCTGTTTACGTGTTTTAGTAGTCCTACAAGACATACACTACCTGATGAAATTCTTGTCATAGATCCCAGTTGTATAAGCAACAAATAATCACTTGACTTCTAGTTGATCATTTGGAAAAGTGGCAGAAGGTAAATTTTTCTGATGAATCATCTGTTGAACTGCATCCCAATCATCACAAATACTTTAAAAGACCTGCTGAAACCCTGCATGGACCCAAGATTCTCTCAGAAATCAGTCAAGTTTGGTGAAATAAAAATCATGGTTTAGGGTTACGTTCAGTAAGGGGGCTTGCAAAAATTTGCAGAGTGGATGGCTACATCAACAGCCTGATGTATCAATAGATTTGTGCTGCCCATTACATTACAAACCACAAGAGAGGCAAATTCTTCAGCAGGACCTTCTCATACTTTAGCCTCAACAATAAAGTTCCCAAAAGCAAGCAAGGTCAAGGTGCCCCAGAATTGGCCCGCCCAGTCACCAGATTTAAACATTATTGAGCATGACTAGGGTAAGATGAAGGAGGAGGCATTGAAGATAAATTCAAAGAATCTTGATGAACTCTGGGAGTCCTGCAAGAACGCTTTCATTGCCGCTCCAGATAACTTTATTAACAAGTTATTTGAGTCATTGCAGAAATGTGTGGATGCAGTCCTCCAAGCTCATGGGAGTCATACACAATATTCTTTCTTTTTCTCACTGCATCATGAATTTATATTCTATACTGTACATTATTTCTGTTAAGTGACAAGACTTTTGTCTAAGCAAAGTCAGACCTTACTGTCCTAATTAAATATTAAAAATCAAGGCATGATCAGATTTTATTCTGGTAAAAAAGGCGTAATTTTGAGGCCTTTGCCTTTCATATAAGCTACTTCTGAAACCAAGGGATCAACTAGAAGTCAAGTTATTATTTGCAGTTCCTAAAACTTAGATAGGCAACAAGACTTTTGTCATGTTGTGTATAGTCAACACTGATATCTACATACCTGTCCTTCTTTCTGGTATAAGACACCAAATTTAAAGTTTTGAGACACCCTGTGTTCATCAAACGCCATTATGATCTCTGGGGCCTTCAATGCAGAAAGAGATACATGACATTTTAATAACTTAACTAACTTGCTACGAAATAATTTATTTTTTGAATATGTCAAAGCAGATTAGTTAGTATTATATTACCACTAAATCAAAGATGGATTTAACAAGTAAAGGTTACCTTTAAGTAACTCACAGCCTCAAAACACATCACATTGACATTCGAGCACAGCATCTTCAACAAAACAAATCACAGCAAATTAAACGTCTTTTCAAATTCATTTAAATGTGAGGCAAGTGCAGCCGGCTGTGTTTTACCTTTGCCAACTCCACTGCTGTGGGGAATTGTTGAAAGAGAGAAACTGAGAATGTGCCATGAATTGAGCACTCCTTCATCCTGATTAATTGGGGAAAACGAACATTTATCAGGATGTTCTGGTAGAGCAAGTTATTTAACATCATGTGAAGTGGTCACGAAAAACACACCTCAGAATGACCCTTAAACGATTTTCCTCTTCCTCAAGACAAACAGACAAAACTAGAGGCCCAAGAGCAGGGTCACAGGCGGTGAATGAATGATGATACTGCAGTAAAAGAGTAAAGAAATGCATGCAAGTAATTTATTTTCCACTATTCAGAACTTCAACAGTTATGTGGCATTGATAAACTTTTCTGTAATAGAAAAATCACTGACTCTGTGGCGGAAAAACTCCTGATAGACTTTAGCTTCACTGTCTCTCTCCATGATGTCGTAGCTCTCCAGGCCGAACCCCCCCTGAGAAAGAGTTGGACTGGTCTCCACTTGTTTATCCAGAGGAGGGTCGATCCAATAACCTCCAGATTTAGGAGGCAGGATGAGAGGTAAGCCATCTCCAATCTTTAGCAGTCGTGTCTGGGTGATCAGTAAAGTTAAAATGATAAACTTTCATTCTAATTTGTGGTCACTATGACTTTTTAAAAAAGTTTTTGAAAGATGGTCACTTAGGCTGCAATTAATGCAATTAAAACAGTAATGTTGGTAAGTATTCTAACAATAAACAAAATACTTGTACGAATAGTTTCTATTTTATTGTAATTAGGAATAATGGTTTGTATTTCTGTGATGAGAATGCTGATTATCAGTCCCAGAAAATCTTCTGAAATGCTAATTTCTTTTTTGTTTAATTTAGAAAATTATGGTGCTGCTTAATGTGTTTTCTGAAGCCATACAGTTGAAGCCAGAATTATTAGCCCCCCTTAGAATTTTTTTCTATTTTAAATATTTCCCAAATGATGTTTAATAGAGCCAGAAAATTTTCACAGTATGTCTAAAAATATATATTTTTTAATTTGGAAAAAGTCTTATTTGTTTTATTTTGGCTAGAAAAAAAGCATTTTTTTAATTAAAAAAAAATTAGAGTCATAATTATTAGCCCCTTTAAGCTATATATTTTTTCGATAGTCTATAGAACAAACCATTGTTATACAATAACTTACCTAATTACCCTAACCTGAATAGTTAACCTAATTAACCTAGTTAAGCATTTAAATGTCACTTTAAGCTGTATAGAAGTGTCTTGAAAAATATATAGTAAAATATTATGTACTGTCATCATGGAAAAGATAAAATAAATGAGTTATAAAAAATGAGTTAATAAAACTTTTATGTTTAAAAATATGTTGAAAAAATCTTCTCTCTGTTGAACAGAAATTGGGGGAAAAATTAACAGGGAGGCTAATAATTCTGGCTGCAACTATATATATAGTTTTTAGGATTCTTTGATGAAAACAAAACCAAAATAAACAATTATTTGAACAAGAAAATAAATATTTGTACATATTTCTACACATAACCTTTAAACGAATTATTACCAAATTACATCATTAATTAAAATACTAAAAATAATTATATAAAGTCTTATACTTACCACAAATATTTGCCCAGTTTTTAAATTTTTAAAAGTTAAAGTATAAAACAAGTATTTGATGGTATTTTGCCATCTGTGCATACATTTACCGCATCATAAATAAACCCTTAAATCATGCATTTGTACATTTTCACAAATGTTTATACATGCAGACACATGTAATGTTTTAAAATATATTTTCCACCACAGTGTAATGTGAGCTACATCCCAAATATGAACATGAACATAATGGCATTTTGTAAAAAATAAAAAAAATAAGTTGTTATTAATGTATTATTAATATTATATTAAATATAATAATTTTAATGTGCCTTTCGGTATCAAAAATAAAATTATACTTAAAGTTAAAAAATTACACCTTATGACATATACTAAAATATACTAAAACATGCTAATTCTAATTACGAAAAATTCTAATAAATAATTTTGAAAAGTGATTGTTCGATTTTTTTTTTTCTAACACAATCTCTACCTTTAGAGGTGGTGGGAACTCACAGCGCTGTTCATCTAATCTGCTACCCTGCAGACAAACACAACCATAGACAAATTCATCATGATTCCAACAGAACCAACACAAGCCTGTTGTATTTACAAGCAAAGAACATGGAGAGAGTAAGATGACTGTTACCTGCAGCTTTTCAATGATTGCAAACAACTCTGTGACCTGCAGAGAAATGACAGTCTAGCAGTGAACAGTTACACCAGGTATGATCAAAAGGTTTTCAATACAGAAATTAAAAGTAAAAGTTAATTACTGAGTTAAAAAGTTAACATTTTACAGAAAGTTCTTAAAGGTATTGTTCTGATCCCCCACTCCCCAATTACAAAAATTGTCAACTTGTTGTCAATGAATACCATTAACATCCATATTACAGAAAAAAAAAACACAATGGAAGTACTACTGATTTTGACCCTAATTTTGCTAATCAGAAAAAAAGCCACTCAAATATCTTTGGAAGAAGTGGAGGATCAATAAATGATAACAGAAATTTCATTGTTTAAGTAAACAATCTCTTTGAAAGTAGAAAATATTTTTAGATGTATTTTTTATCACACGCACAGCCAAATCCTAAACTTTACTAAATGTATATAGTATTTGCTTTATAAATTAAATTAAATTCACTTAAGGTAATGAGACAGTAAAAGGATTAATTAAGTGATGATTGAGGACTGATGATGTACACATGCTGTTAAAAAAAAACAGAAACACAGAAAAGAAACACAAAACCACAACTGACTTCAGTCACAGCCTTAGATAAAATCTGCTGAAATATAAAACACTGAATCTCTCAAAATCTCAGCACTGGATCATTAAGCAACTCTACAAACAGCAGCTTTACTTATTACCAACCTGTTTGCCCTTATTTAAAGAGGGACCAAATACTCTCTGAACTGAGTAAATGTTACTCAGAGGATTTTGCTGTGCGCAAAAAAAACTTTTTAAAGAAATTTTCATTACAAAGGTCTTCTCCAAAAATGGTTATTCTTTGGCATTGCTGTTAAAACCGTTTCATGAAAAAAAAGTGTATTTTCAACAACTTCAGAACATCTGAAAGCAGATGGCTTCTTACTTTCTGACTGGACGGCACAGACGTAAGTGGCTTAGCCTCACTAGTGGGAGAATCCAAAACATCCAAAATGTTGTGACCCACAGCCTCATCACAGCTGTAACAGAGAGAGACGAGTGTTCTGGAAAGGTCTGCATGCAATAACTGAGTTTAAACATCTGAGCACAACAAACAACTCAAACTCTCGCTGACCTGCTCTCGGTTCCAGTTATGAACTTGTCAAGCCTGTGCACAGAATGAAGACGGTAATCTTTAATTCATACCGAATGTATTGCATTCATATTACAGTAGCAGTTTGTTTTACTCACTCACCCTCCGTAAGCCCCGAAAGTGAAACTTCTTTTTCTGGAAAACAACTTCTCATTTCTCCCATCCATGGTAAGTGTTTATTACAGACAGCCACAGAAATATGCTAACCAGGCATGCAGGCCATCACTCCCGATGGGGAATTAACTGCTTCTCTCAGTCTTTCTCAGTGTGTGTGTATCTCTCTCTCTCTTTTCTCTCTGCCCCCTGCCACTCTCTCATTTAATCTCTCCCTACATCCTTCCTTGTCTCCTGCTGCCTGTTGACTGACAGGAGTAACTCTTGCATGCCCATTTAGCCATTGACATCAGGGGTCGGTGAACTACGGCACATAAACAAACCTACTAAAAGCTATTGGATAGATGCATTAGTGAATATTCACTTGTTGAAATCATTTAAAAATGTTTGTGTAGTGTTTATACGGCCTCGTTGGAAATGCTGCCCTGGGAGGAGGGAAAGATACGTGAATGGGCAATGGACTATTGCTATAGACCTGTTACCCTTTCAGTTAGCAAGATTCATCAATTATTGAGCAAGCTCTCTTAGAGAGAGGAGGCAAGGCAGCAGGGGAGAGAGGGAGGGAGCAGGAAAAAGAGGAAGAGAGAGAGAGGAGGGGGGGGGTCAAGAGACTTCAGCAAACAGAGAATAGAGAAATGAAAAAGTGATGTTGACTAGGGGCAAATGCTCAAAAAGATGTATTTCATTGTGACGGGAATTTAACTGTGAAGGCGTTTATGTTTAAATATTTTTACTGATTGATGGGATACAATACGCAGGCTTCACTTTTTCAAACCTGTTGGTACTTATTTCTCTTCATCAACCAAAAAAAAATTCTACAAAAAACAAAAAAACAAAACATCAGTCCAAGGCCATCAAAAAAAAGTGCACAATTAAAGAACCCCTATTATGGGTTTTTGAAAATACTCATCTATGCAGTGTATAACAGCTCTAAGTGAATGAAAACATCCAGCTGAGGTTTAAATCTGAAAGTGCACTGTGTTAAAAACTATTGATTCATAAACTAAACAGTTGACTCAGAGTCAAATAAATTAATCGTGTTGGGTCCGGATCTTTTGCCTGAACGCATCGAACGCGTTGAAGTTCATTTTCACAACAATACCGCAGTATAGCCAACCAAGTGCTGTTATTGTTCCTGTCATTTTTCAGATTTTTTGATACAATAACCTACACTATAATGCGGGATTCGCTATTTTGCTATTAAAGGAAGGAGCAGCAGAGAGCATTATGTATGGGACTTTGTGAGACTTTGACATGGACTTTGTTCTGTTGCAGTTCACTTGAAGCAGTTTCTTCTTCCTCCGCATCATAACATGTAAGTGTCATTAAATTATTGCCTCATTTTGTATAGTTTTAGGGTGTGTTGTAACTTGTAATCACTCTGCTTTCTTGTAATCACTATTCTATTATAGATCAGTGCTTGTACTGTATCTCTCAGGTTAAACCTGTATTGGGCTGTTTACATTTTGTGTCCAAAACCGTGTTGAAAACGTGATCGTTCTTCTTTCTTTACTGATTTGAATGCGTTTCTGAACTCAGGATTCTCTGCCGTTTGTCTTTGCTATGGCCACCATTCGCTATTCCTCACACACACGGCGCGGTCAATTTTCAAAATATTCAACTTTTGCCACTGTGTGGATTAATACTGAAGGTGTGTTGTTATTATTTGGGGTTAGCTGTAAGAGTAAAGTAATATGCTGGTGTTTAACTGCATTGCTTTATTGCATTCATGCATTGGGCTCTACATACTGTGCTACTTAGCTGTGATGGGCATTTCTCTCTGTCTTGTGCTGAACAAAGCTGACCAATCACAACTGACTGTGTCATCAGTTCAATCAGCGCAGATTAGCTTCACGTAAAGTAGAGGTTTGGGAACAAATCAATCGCTGAACGAATAATTTGGGAGTTGTTGGGATAATTAGGTAAAAATAATTGCATATTATAAGCAAATGAAAGTGTATTTTAACCTGTCGTGCAAATCAGCCTGTTGTTGGAGACCCCAAAAAACTAAATATGACTTTTCATGTTGCAAAATAGGGGCTCTTTAAAAAATCTCCATTGATATACCATGAATATTTTTTGTATACCTAGCTAATGAGCCTGAAGCACCTTTTGTTAGTTTTTAGATATAAAAAAATGTAATTATAATTTTGAACAATGTTGTAAACTGGTATATTGTTATTTTATAATAAGTATAATATAAATTATATTATCACTTTGGATGTCAGTGTCTACCAGTACTGGAACAGTCCTCACAATATTCCTTTTTTTTTAATTAAATTTTGAAAAAAATCATAATACATGATAGGAAACAAATATACTTTTATCATAAAAATACATTTTAGAAAGTTGTCCACAGACAAACCAAACCACCAGAAAGTAAACTCAGTGTTCTTTTTTATTTTATAAAAGTACAATGTTTTATTGTTATGAGTAGAAGTAGACCCTTCACAGTTTCTTCTTGCTCTCATCTGCACAACTAAAAACTATTTTATGTGCAGAGTATTCTATGTTATGTGCACTGTGATTAGGAAATACAAGTAAACACACCAACATATTTATTGACAATAAATGTGTTATAGATGATCAGTATCTAGAAAATCACCTGTTGTTATTCTCATTTACCAGGTGATACTGTAGTTTTTACCCTGTGACTTATAGGCAGGGCCAGATGGAATCTGCGAACGTTTTTTGCTCTTTCTGCAGAGAATTTTGGTAAAAATCTGCGGATTTCTGCGGAATTATTTAGGGAGTATGATAACTAAAACCCTAATATGTGAAATAAAAATTGTTATCTTTTTAACTTTTATCAAATGTTTAAAATGCAAATCCAATTAGATTCACTTTATTTGGTAAACAAAGCAAGTCTCTCAATAGATCTACTAAAAGACAGAAAATATTACTGTACAAACTGTATTGTACATAAATTAGATGAACATTTTCATATTAGTCAATAATTTTACTGTAATTAGTTTAAAAACTGAATAAATATAGATTTACTCCAGTAAACAAACAAAATTAATGATGGGATAAAAATCTGCAGAAAAATTCTGTGCGCGCAGATTCCTTGTGAGCCTATAGGCTATAACTTTAATTTGTTGGACTCATTTCAACAACATAACATTTGAATACCTATTCCAAGCATTTTTGTCTGAGGTCCACAAGTGATTATTTCAGAAATTATTAACTATTTTTCCAGTGAGTGCACAAATTGACAGAGGAAGAGTCTTGTAAGTAGTGTGTTATAATTATAAAAAAATAATGAATATTTGTATATATTCAAAACTATATCTGTTCTGCCTGGTTTGTGAATAACTGACCTAGGCAGAAATAAAACAAGAACTATGTCTTTTAAAGTTCCTTATTCTATTAATATTCAATTTATGATATAGCTTTTTAATATGCATAAAATGCTCTAGTGACAGATCTGAAATTTTGAAAGTGAAATAAATAAAATAGCTGTTTCTTCTAATTGCAAGGACATATTTAGCACGTTTGCATGAGTGATTTCATTCATTCAGCTTAGTCTTCAGCTTTAACTTTGGCCTAGTCCCTTTATTCATCAGGGGGTCGCCACAGTGGAATGAACCACCAACTATTCCAGCATATGCTTTACACAGGGGATGCCCTTCCAACTGCAATCCAGTACTGGGAAACATCCATACACTCATTCACATACATACACAAAGGACAATTTAGTTTATTCAATTTACTTATACCACATGTCTTTGGGCTGTAAGGGAAACCGGAGCACTTGAGAAAACCAGGTATTCTTGCTGTGAGGCGACAGTGCTAAGACAGTGCTGAGCCATTGTGTCGCCCATGAGTGATTTCATACACTAATAAAAATTTGGAACTACACATTATGAACTATATTTCCTGAACAGGGATGTAAATGGGCATGAGACTGACATCACATAATGCAGAGTTGAAAATGACAAAATGCAAACTAAAGAACAAAAGATTTACATAATGTAAAGCACTGTTCACCAAGAGTCATGCCAGTGAAATCTAAAAATTGGACATCAATGTGTTTGTAGGAGAAAAACAAAGAGATCTGACTCTATGTATCTTTCTGGAAGATCAGATTGAGAACAGCCAGGAAACAGGCCAGAACCTCTTCTTCACAGAAAACACATAGTTCATTGATCTTCTGCTGTATTGCCTCATTCTTTCTCAGATAATTCCAGTAGAAATCTCTGGGTGCTTGTCCATTCTTGTGGTAGTGTCGGATCACCATGACGGCCCTGTCAGAGGTAAAGCGTCGTGTTTGTTTTGCTGACTGATTTAATATGTACATGTATGCCTGAACCTGATAGTAATACTCATGTGTCTCATTCAGTTGTGCACAACGGCCACCATTTGTGGGTTTAGTGAAGACTTTCCCCACCATATCTCCAGTGGTTCCTTTACACTCAATCACAATTCTTTCAGTTTTTTCTCCTTTTAATTCTGCCAAGAAGTCCAGTCGTCCTGAGAGGAATCCAGACTCTACTTTATTACCTTTGGTGTACTTTACTGTCCTGCTGGCACCAATCTCACACAGTTCATGGTAGAACTTGAGGCATTCACGTTCATCTGCTGGGTTCAGGGAATATTTGCCGAACCTTTGCGGAGAGGATGTTGTCCATAGTGTCGACTCATCACGATAATCTTTCTTCTCAATCTCGCTGACATTCACTGGCTCTCCTGCAGAAATGTTTGCATGTTTTTCTCCATCTTCTAAGTGTCTCCAGCTCCTTGTCTGCGCTGTGGCATACATAGCAGGTACGGAGATGGCAGTTGTCTTGTACTTGTCTCTGAATCTGAATCCACAGTTCGTGTTTGAAACATTCTTTTTCCACTGTGTTCTCAGATCTTCATCAGAACCTTCAGTTTTTTCGAAGAAAATCATCTGTGTGATTTCAAGAACTTTGTTGTTGTCTTTCAGAGATAGTGAGATCTTAACCTCCCGGGAGCCAAGACGTGGAATGCTGTTGAACTGAAGCTTGAAGTTTTCCAGATCTTTCACGATGTCTTGAGCTTTCTGAATGACGTTGGCAGTCTGTGAAAGCCTGATGACTTTAGGGTTCAGAACACCATCGGGCAAGTTAATTCGTAGGCACTTTAGAAGTATTAGGTAGTCACTTATTGATATTTCACTAGGACTAGTGCCAGGCTTGGTGTTCAATCTGGAACCTGGTTTTGTTTTTTCAGACTCAAAAACTTTAGTGCGGTGTCTAGACTCAGCACTCAAACCTTTCTTATCCTGAACAACAGACGCTGTCATAGCGATTTCTGACTTTGATTGAACACCAGCCCCACTGGAAATCTGGTTACTGAGATCCAGCTGTGGTCCTTTAGGGAACTTCTTCAGAGTAACTGGTTCATTTTGTGATTTTTCTTTTCTCAATTGTCCCTTTGATTCCTTCTTTTTCTGTTCTTCTGGAGTTTTCTTTGCCTTTGAGTGCTTCATTAGACTTTGTCCGTTTGTATCACGTGCTGAAGGTAGATTATAGGGTCCTTTGTCATTCTTACCCATATTTCCAGTCAAGCCACTCTCCGTTATTTTCAGATCCAGCTTATAAAATTCTGTTTCATTCCTTAGTTTTTGCTTGTCCAACCAATTTCCCTTTACACAGCTCCTATCTGTACCAGCCTCCACTTTTGGATCCTTCACCCTAGATCTTGTAGGCTCCATGATTCTTATCCTTTGAATTGTTTACACCTAGAAAATAAACATTGGGGGTTAATGTTAAAAGTTGAATTCATGTCTAGCACAGCTCTAGGCTGGAAGACTCATAAGTTTTAAGACAGAATCTCTGTCCAATTTGCAACCCATTTAATGAAAAAAAGTGAGATCAGCTGTGTAGTGTTATCAGGATTATTTTGACGTTTCAATTGAGCCTCCTCAATCCCAAATTGAAAATATCAAACATGCTTAATTTTGAAAAAGAGTTTAATCTTGTGATTTTAATGATTAATTATAATAAACTGTAGTTCAGAGTCCATCTATTTTGTGGTGAATATTACATGAATTAATACTTTAATTCATTATGATGATACTGTACAGTTAAAGTCAGATTTATTAGCCCCCATTTTAATTTTTTCTTCTTTTTTAAATATTTCCCAAATTATGTTTAACAGAGCAAGGAAATTTTCACAGTATGTCTGATAATATTTTTCTTCTGGAAAAAAAGTCTTATTTGTTTTATTTTGGCTAGAAAATAAGTTTTTAATTTCTTTAAAAAAAATTTGGGACAAAATAATTAGCCCCTTTAAGCTAATTTTTTTTCGATAATCTACAGAACAAACCATCGCTATAAAATAACTAATTACCCTAACTTGCCTAGTTTACCTTATTAACCTATTTAAGCCTTTAAATGTCACTTTAAGCTGTACAGAAGTGTCTTGAAAAAATCAAGTAAAATATTATTTACTGTCATCATGGCAAAGATAAAATAAATCAGTTATTAGAAATAGGTTTTTAAAACTATTTTGCTTAGAAATGTGCTGATACAATCTTCCCTCCATTAAACAGAAATTGGGGGAAAAAATAAACAGGGGCGCTAATAACTTAGGGGGGCTAATAATTCTGACTTCAACTGTATATACTGTAAATGGCTATTAACATCCTAATTATAATGTTATGATAAACCAGTTTTTTAAATCTACACTGTAAAAAGCGACTTTACTTGCATAACTATAAAAATCAAGTCAAGTCAACTTAACATTTACAAGTTACAAAGGATTGACTCACTTTTTTAAAGTAAAGTCAGCTTGTCTCGTTTAAGCCAACGGGTTTTAAATAAACTAACTGATTGCTCTTAACAGTGTAGGAAAGATTTAATCAATATCATAGGATTCAAATTATTTATTAGACTTTTTTGTGTCATATCATGCGATCTGGATTTAAATTTAAAATGTCAACACTTTACATTTAGATTTCCCTGTTACATTAATGTATCACTTTACCTTTAATTGGTAAAACTATATCCATTTGTGTATTCTTGTAACATTACATCAGAACCATTTCTGTATTGTACGTGTATACTTTCACAATTTATAATTTTGTCCTGACAGCTTACATCAAATATACATAACATACACTGTAAAAAGCCATATACTTCAAAAAAGGAGTAAATCTATTGCCTTAAAAGTGATTTTGCTTTAAAAAGTAATTCTGTTGTTATGTTCACTTAATTTTATTAATTTTCCACATAGTTCATCTTACCCATTTTAAGGCAATTGGTTTACTCAGTTCTTTAAAGTAAAGTCAACAAATCACTTATGTTTTTTTTCTATATAATGTAGTGGAGGAAATAAATACTCACTGAGGTTTCCGTCTGATCTGAGCAGTCAAATGTTGAGAATTCATGAAGGCTTGATTATACCTGTACTTATGTTTTCAAATGAAGTGTCATCCTGAAGAGCAGGTCAGTCCAGAATGTAAATGAGCCCTTGCTATGTAAAAGTTTTTATGAGTCACATAGTCAGTGCCAGTGTGAGTCATTCAGCAGTGACTTGCATGAATGTCTTTGAAAGAGGAACATTACTTGGCTTTTGGATGTTGAAGCTGTAAAACCAAACTAATTAGCACCATGTAAAATATTTTAAACTGGGATTATTGTTGCAATACATTTCTTGGCCAAATCAAGTCAGTAAGTTGAAAGAAATATAAACTTGATGGATGCACATGTAAAAGTCATGATTTTTTTAAAAAAAGAGAAAAACTGTAGTATTAATGTGTTTGGAAATGAAAAAGTGAAACAGAACGTATTTTGTTTGATTAACATTAGTGCATTGGAAACTAACAAGAAAAAAATATTAAAATACAATTAATAAATGCTGTAAAAAGTTTATGTGGTCATATGCCAATAATTTAAGTGATTATCCATTGTTAACAAATAAGATGTTACAGTGCCGCAGTGGATGGCACGATCGCCTCACAGCAAGAAGGTCGCTGGTTTGAGCCCCGGCTGGGTCAGTTGGCATTTCTGTGTGGAGTTTGCATGTTCTCCCCGTGTTCATGTGAGTTTCCTTCGGGTGCTCCTTTCCCCACAAGTCATGCTCTATAGGTGAATAGGGTAAGCTAAATTGTCTGTAGTGTTTCCCAGGGATGGGTTGCAGCTGAAGGGGAATCCGCTACGTAAAGCATTTGCTGGATAAGTTGGTGGTTTATTCTGCTGTGGGGACTCTTGGTTAATAAAGGGACTAAGCCAAAAAGAAAATAAATGCATAGATAAATAACATTAATACACTTTAAAACGTTCATATGGTCATATCCCAATAACTACAGTCCCAATCCAATGTTAACAAATAAGACCTTTTCAAGCTTTGTCATAGTTAGATACATTTTACCTGTTTATTACCAAATCAAAATGTTTGATTAAAAATTCAAAACCTTTGGTGTACTTTACTCTCCTGTTGGCACCAATTTTACACAGTTTATGGTAGAACTTGTGGCAATCATGTTTATCTGCTGGGTTCTGGAAATATTTGCAGAAGAATTGGAGGTTGTCCAAAGAGTTGACCTGCATGATAGTGTCTGTATTAAATCTCAATTCAATTCATATTTATTTCCATTGCACTTACAATGCAGAATGTGTCAAAGCAGCTTTACATAGAAGTTCTAGTAATAGATACTTTTATTATGTAATTCTAAGTCACCGATGCAGACTTTTATTTGGCACGTCATTTTTTGGCGCCGGAAAAAGTATAGTAAACAGTATAGGAGGGCGGGGCGGGGTTTCCATCGCTTTTTTGAGCCTCATCACAATCACCGTTGTTTGAAGAATTCCAACAATACTTGCAAAGAGCAATTGTAAAGAGCGGAACTGCATTACATCGAAAACACCAGCACCGAGGTGTCATTTTCAGAGCATTGCTTCCGTTAGGAGAGTAGGAAGCCGACCGCAGAGAGGTAAAATTATGTCTGTTTGGCACTTTGGGAGTCGTCAGTTCGCCAACATTTTTTTGCTGCAGCGTATAAGATACTGTGGACGGACATGGTGTTTTCCCCCCAAATGTACCTCTTGTGCTAATGAACATGCTAAATTATGCCTCGTGCATGCTGCTGTTTTGTCTCAAATGCTTCGTAACTTAATGATACGTGAATTTTACAGAAAACTAATGTAGCAACACCTCGATCATTCATCACCCGCAGATGACAGATAACCACAACCGCTGTTTATTCATTACTGATGATATCTACATTTAAACTACGTGATTTCTGTGCGTTATTTTTGAAATATAACGTTACTTTATATACAGATTTGAACAGACTAGAGCGCTCCTGCAAGTTTACAAGTGTGTCTGAGAGAAAGTGTTCAAACTGTTTGATTGTATTTGTTATAACTAGCCGTTTTAATTCACATTTAATGAATGAGAACAGCGTTTAATCTCTTCTAAATCGTTTGTTTATGCATATTTTTCTCTGGTATTCAGTTACAAAGTTTGATTGACTGGTCGTCCATCCAGTGAGCATGGAGGCAGGAGAAGACCAGACCAACTCCAGCTCAACCAATAGCAGCGCAGCTTCAGGGGGAAACTCCCGCCCTCCTCAGATAGCTCAAATGTCTCTCTATGAAAGGCAAGCTGTTCAGGTGGGTCAGAAAGCCTGCAGTCTGAACTAATAGCCAGATTGAAGTGTAATTTAAATCACTTGTTCACATTCGTGTGTTAAATTGAGGGAAACATAGTTGTTTGTGCTTCTCAATGTTATAGGCACTGCAGGCCTTACAGAGGCAGCCCAATGCAGCTCAGTATTTCCAGCAGCTGATGCTGCAGCAGCAGATCAACAGCGCAACCTGTCAACTCCACAACCTGGCTGCTGTGCAACAGGTGAGACTCTTTAGACCAGGGGTGCCCAAACTTTTATTATGAAGGGCCAAAAACAAACTTTATTGAGGCTAGTGGGCCGAATTTGTTTAATAATATTTAAAAAATATATATAAAACATTGCTTTATATTAACTAAAAGGGTATATATTTTTTACATTTTATAATGAACTTATTACAGTAAAAACAAAAACAATCTCATTTATAATAGAGTTGCACTGTTTTTTGCCTTGATTTGCTCTGACTTGTTGAGTGACAGTATTTACATTTTAAAAACACAGATTAATTTACATTTAATTGAAACATTTCATTTCAGTTTGCTTTTTTGTTGCTCGGTAACAAAACAAACACACAAAAAAGGTTACATCAAATTAGAAATGAAAATCTCTATTAAAGGCATTCTCCCCAATCCTCTTATTCTCAAATGGGATGTTGAGCCAACTCAAGGGTTACTATGGGCCATCTTTGGCCCACGGGCCCTACTTTGGGCATCTCTGCTTTAGACCGATCAAAAAAAAAGATTGTATTTGATGTAACTCTTCGATATTGGAAAGACCTGACATCACAATATTTATTTTTTTGCAATTTTAATAGCTCTGTTTGGCAAGATTTCAATAATTTAGATTAAGTCTTTTTCTATGCAGCGCATCTTCATGAAATATAATAAATTATAAGCATATACAAATAACATATCAAAAGCAAGTTAAATAAACAGTGCTTTATGGTTTTATGGGGAGTGTAACAGTATTCAAGTACAGAAATGTAACAATTAAACATTAAATAACATGTTCAATATTCTATAAATAATAAAAATAAATTATTAATAAATGTAATTGAAACAATAAAATTTTCAAAATTATCATGTTACAGTAAATTGGGCTGTTCGATTTAGGAATAATATGTAATTATGTTTTTTTTTACAGATGTTGTGATTTCAATTTAATTTTGTAGTCAAGCCTCAGTTCAGTATTCTGTATCGTAGCTTCTTACGGCTAAAATGCAGTGAGTGTTAGTTTAAAAAGTTATATTTTATAAAAGTACAAATATTAATTTATATTAAAATATATTTAACTTAAGTTAAACATTTATTCAAATTTGTTTTTAATAATCAGAAATGAAACACTCATTTTTCTCTACAGCAAACAGTAAGCACAAATAAAATGACCCTACCTTTCTGTTAACATGTTAAACTGATATTAGGGAGATAGTGTAGCTTATTATAAAAACAAAAAAAATATATAATTATAAAAATACAGAACCAACATGGCTGAAACAACTCTGAAATTGTAATTTGCTATTGCTTGCTACTAGATTGAGTGTCACTAGCAATACATTCAATTGACTTTTTAGCAAGACATTCCTCATATAGCCACCTGTGGTGCTTTTTTAGTTGCTGGTTGTTTTATTTCCTCGTGCTGTGGCAACAGCTCATACAAATGACCTGATTTTGTTCGGTGTCTGTGAATTTAAAACCAAAATATTCTCAAATTACAGATGTTCTGTTTTCTTTGATATTAATTAGTCTATTAGTGCTTCAGAAGTGGCAAACGCCATTATCCCACTTTCAAGCACTTTCCTGCTTGTTTGGGCAGGGGGGGCTGTGGGCATTCTACATAGTTCGGTTGCCAATTCTGTTTGGGCAGAAAAAAGTATGCTCACTCAATTGGCTAGTAAGACTGTCACACAGACAGCTGTCATGCATTTGCTCTGGGTGGGGGAAATTAAATAGTACATATATATTTCATATCGCCGCCTCTTGCAATTAGCCAAGCACAACGTTTCAAATGGTGATTGCGATTCGATTTCCTTTAATCGCACAGCCCTAACAGTAAATAAAATCAGGCAGTGGGACAGTAAAAGTATTCTTCACCTTTTTCTGCTGACTGTAAGGATATTTGTGATTTTACCATAGATTTCTATGTTAAATAAGGACTGTGCTTCCAACCTTTCTATTCATCAAATTAAAGACAATCATCGACCCCCGCAAAAGTTAAGCACCATAACCTTTTTTAACATGGATATTAAGACACTTATTGAAAACAAAATTATTTATTTTTGATTTATGGGATGATTTATTCCTCAGTAAAAACAATAAATAGTTTTTACTGCCCTTTTTTGATCAACTGTTTTTTATTTGATCAAATAAATTGAGCCTTGGTGAGCATAAGAGACGTTATACAATAATACTTGCACCAGCGTTTTAGGTAGAAATGTATGCAATCAAAATTTAGCCTAAATATGATTAATTAATTTTGGATCCTATATTAGAGCATCATTTAGCATCAAATGCAAAACTTTCTAAATGTAATAATCATAAATTGATACTAGGTGAAAATACATTTTCAGCATGGTGTGTATGAGTTCTTAAGATTTCATGAATAATCAGTGTTGTTGTATTTGTAAATGATTGTTATTTATATATATATATATATATATATAATTATTATTATTAATATTAATACTATTATTATTGAAACACTGAATAATTTTTAAGCTGTTATATTTGATATGTTATTATTATAAATAATCCTAACAATACACCAGAGCCTAAAAATACTGCATGTAGTGTTATTTCAGAATTGTTTTGTTAAGTCTCATCTTAAATTACTACCTTTATTATATTTTCAGGCAACTCTCGCAGCCAGTCGTCAGTCCAGCTCTCCCAATAACAGCGCCTCTCAGCCTACAAGCTCAGCGCAATGCACAGTGAGGCTCTGATTTTACACTTTTGAAATCTAATAAACATGTGACATGGCAGTCATAAAAGCAGTCCTATGTTTCTTATTCTTTGTTTATCAAAAGCAGCTTGTTAAAAATCATTTGGTAAGGTTTAAATCAGTTCAAGCTGATCTGTGGCATGCTTTTGTTTTGAGGTCAACTTAAGCACCACCTCAGCTGGAGGAACCATGACAAACCCCCGTCCGATAGGGCCTGCCACCTCCGCAGCATCAACAGCCCTTAGCCAGTCAGTTTTGTTGGGTGGAAATTCAGGCGGACAGGGTCAGATGTACCTGAGAGTAAGTGTCTTACCATAGTGCACTTAAATCCAGGCCTTGACCGAATATGCAGTATATTTTGTGGTAATGTGAATGTATTGTTTATCCAAGCTCAATTCTTTTCCTAAGGGTCTAATTTTACTGGGCTTTCCACCTTCAGGTAAACCGCTCTCTTAGGGCACCTCTCACCCCTCAGCTCATCTTTATGCCTGGTGGTACAGCGACAGCAACTGTAGCAACGGTTGCCCAAACGCAGCCACAGCAGCAGCCACAGCAGCAGCCACAACAACAGCAGCAACAGGAAGCAACTCCCACATCTTCAAGTAGCCAATCAGACAATGATCAGGTGTGACATTTGACTTTCTGACTTATTTTCTTTCTTAACTCTTACAGGCCCTATTCTGCAGCTAAATTGGGTTGTCAGTTCATATTTTTAAGCTTGATTCTTTTTTGGTAGATGCATCATTTTTGAGAGACATTTTACATGAACTGAATGAGTTTTCGAAAGATTCAGGTTATAATGACTGGTTATAATGAAAAATTCTATGCAATAGATCGGGATGATTCATTTAAAGATGTCAAGTTCAAATCAAACAAGGGACATTTAAAATTGCATTTAATTATTTTGTATTTATAAATGCTGATTTGAACAGAAACAAGTCATCCATTCATTTCATTTAAATTAATTTAAATATGTGACCCTGGAAGGAGGCACAGTGGCTTAGTGGTTAGCACTGTCACCTCGTAGCAAAAAGGTCACTGGTTTGAGTCCCGGCTAGGTCAGTTAGCATTTCTGTGTGGAGATTGCTTGGGTTTCCTCCGTGTGCTCCGTTTTCCCCCACAGTCCAAAGACATGCAACTTAAGTGAATTGAGTAAACTAAATCGGCCATAGCGTTTGTGTGAATGTGAGAGTGTATGGATGTTTCCCACTACTGGGTTGTGGCTGGAAGGGCATCTGCTGCGTAAAACATATGCTGGAATAGTTGACGGTTCATTCCGCTGTGGTGACCCCTAATAAATAAGGGACTAAGCCGAATGAAAATAAACTAATGTGGCCCTGGACAAGAAATCATTTTATGTCTTATGGCAATAGCTAAAAATAGATTGTATGAATGATAATTTTTTGTTATGACAAAAATCGTTCAAATATTAAGTAAAGGTCATGTTTCTTGAAGACATTTTGTAAATTACCCTCCGAAAATGTATTAAAACTTCGCTTTTTTGTTGTTTACATTTACATTTAGTCATTTAGCAGACGCTTTTATCCAAAGCGACTTACAAATGAGGACAAGGAAGCAATTTTCACAACTAAGAGCAACAATGAATAAGTGCTATAGGCAAGTTTCAGGTCTGTAAAGTCTAAGAAGGGAAGTATTAGTAGTATTAGTATTTTTTTTTTTTTTTTTTTTTTTTTTTTTTGGTACAGTTAGTGTGATATTCAGAGAGGCAATATGTAAATACATTGCTAAACACTTCATTTAGAAAATCTTAAACATCATTTTAGTAATATTTAGATTTTTTTAAATCATCAAATTTTAGTTATTTGCATCTCAGACAAATACTGTTCTTTACATTTATAATACCATACATCAGACCATACTGTACATGTTATAACCATACATCAGTGGAAAGCTTACTTTTTCAGCTTTCAGGTGATGTATTAAAATCAAAAATGCTTAAAAAAGACACTTATGCTTTTGTGGTCATGGGCCACATATACTGCAGCAATTAGGGATTCACAATATATCGGCGGCCATATCGTTATCGGCCGATAAATGCTATTTTTAATATTATAGTTATCGATCCAATGTCAAAATTAGGCCTTTAAGCTGATAATTTAAGTAATTGTATAAAACTGCCTGCGTCGCACTTGCGTGGGCAGAACTTGTTCAGACTTGTCCAGTGCACTATAATGGAGCTTTCCTCACATTGTTGACAATGTTTATGAAAAGTGGGGATTGGGGGGAGACGGCAGAAAAGAATCACGGTGGCAGGCCAGATAGACCGTCATGCGCTATGGCCAGTCCGCTCCTGCCCACATGTGTTCAAAAGAACAAGGTTATTGGTTATCGATATCGGCCAAAAAATCCTTATCGGTGCATTCCTAGCAGCAATTAACAATTTTTGTAAACCTAAAATAAATTTAATTTTTAGTTGTTTTGTTGTTTTTTAGAATCATAAAAAAATTAAGATTTTTAATTCAATCAACATCATGCAGCTGTAATATGCAGTGTACATACAAACGAAAGGGACACCTAGTTGTTTATGTGTTTAAATGCGTATTATAGGTGTGTCACTCTTTTGTAAGTGCAGTGCGTGATATCACAGACAAAGGTATGAAACCTAACTCATCTGTGTTGCCAGATTTTTCCAAATGCAAAAATGCAAAAGAACAGGCTGGTAATACATTTAAATCCTAAATATCCTAAAAATCCTAAATATTATGATCCACGCCCGTTATAAAACATGTTAATCAAAAACCTGTTTTAAGAACCAAGCCTGAACAACAAGAAGGTAAATTTTATAATTGTATTTAAATTTTATAATACTTGGAAAACGCTGTATATATTTGGCAACACTGCTAGACTGTACAAATATAAACAAAACACACCTTTTTGTTGCTGTTAAGAGTTGCTATGTTACTTGTGTTCGTCATCGCAGTGTCACTTTCCATACACAATGATCATTTAGGGGATATCCCAGCACATGTAATAAATCCTCTTTTCAAAGCAAATTCATCATGCACCACAATATTTTGGGTCTGTCGTTTTCCATAATAAAATTTCAGTAATCTGAAATACAGCTGAATGTCATCCTGAATTACATTTCCATATAATCGTATAGCAGATGCTTTTAGCCAAAGTGTATCTTATGTTATACATTTAAGAATTCCTTTATTTATTGTTGAAAATTTATTTGTCCAATCCAATTAGTCTGTTGTGTTTAGATAATTTTTTTATGGGAGATATTTGCTTTCCACAGTCACACTTTTCATTGTATATCCTGTGGCATAATTTTCGTTGGTTTCTCTTTTTCAGGTGCAGAACTTGGCAATGCGTTGTGTGTCCACTCCTAGGGCGGCTACTGTGAAGACAGAGTTTGCAGACAGGAAGGAAACGACTGGTGAGTATAAAAATGAAGATATTATAGGCCTCTTGTTTTCTGCTTACCAAGTAGTTTCAATATCCACTTGGTTATCCTAAAATAAAAATAAAAACTAAAAAATACTAAAATACAGTGCTCAGTATAATTGAGAACACCCTATTTTGAAAATGAATATTTTCATCCATTTGTCAGTGAATATATGCTATGTATTTTGGTGCATTTAAACAAAACCAATTTATTAAACAGATATATTTATTCAAATAATATTTTATTTACCAACATAATTAGTAATTAAAAGATAATACAATTACATTTAAGCAAAATATTGCAAAAAATTTATAACCTACAAAATTGTAACAAAATATTTCCATTTTGGCTCCTATTGATCTTTTTCCCCTTTTTTACAATTTGTATTTCAGATTTTTGTAATTTTCCTGTTCAGAAGTCTGGGATAAGTAAAAAAAAGTTTTGGAAGAAATTAAAGGGTTAGAGAAATGATAATGACTTTGAACTGAGCTAAACCTTTAAAAATACTAGCAAGACAAGGACTAGATCTTGTCGTTTCAGTAAAACTTTAAAAGTGTAGGCCAAATATTATCTGGCACTTAAATGAGTACAATTATATAGTGTTTGCTACAATATTTCACAGAAAAGAAATGTAAAAATGTCCAAAAGCATGCTCATCACTTTAACTGGGTGCTCAGCCAAACAGCAAAAAGTGTAAAATATGTATTCAAAAAGGCGGCAACACTAAAGCTCCAAAATGCCAATTAATTAAATAATAAAAGGCTGATACAAGGCGTGTAACATTTTGAGCACAATGCTCTTCATCAAACAGTGGTCATCACAGTATGTTGCTCCTTTTTGTACACTTCTGGATCACATGATCTCATACATTATCTAACAACAAGAAAAACAGAAAAAAGTACACATTTATAAGTTATACAACTTAAATATTCAAAACAAAAATACAGAAACAAACTCTGATATTACATCACAAAATAAAGAAAACATAACAGCATATAATGGAAGAAAATACAACAAAGTAATACAACAAAATATACAAGATGTGTATAGATGGATGGATGAATGGATGGATGGATGGATGGATGGATGGATCTAAAATATAGAAAAAACCTTTACCCAAAACACCTAATAAAACATTAATGATAATAACAAATATCTTGTATGTTTTGTTGTATCTCCTTATTTTGTGATGTAATATTATGCTTTGTTTCTGTATGTTTGTTTTGAATATGTAAGTCGTATAACTTATAAATGTGTATTTTTTTTCAGTTTTTCTTGTTGTGAGATAATGTATGAGATTATGTGATCCTGGAGTGTACAAAAAGGAGCAACATACCGTGATGAACAATGATGAAGAGCTGTTTGCTCAATGTTACACACCTTCTATCAGCCTTTTTATTTTAATAAATTGCCATTTTTAGAGCTTTGGTTTTGTCGCTTTTTTGAATAAATATTTTACAGAAAATAAATGTAAATTTGAAAGTTGTAACAATGATTGTACACATTCATTACTTTCAGTGTTTCCTCTTTGACTTTAATGTCAAATTTCTACATATTGTTTATTTTCCAGTGCACTGACTATTTGATCATTTATATTCCTGTCTCTCTGACCTAAAGGTACATTCCCACTTAACCAGCAGACTCAGACTCCACAACAGTTTGGTCAATCAACCCAGCAGGTCCAACCACAAACTCAACCCCTTGCCAACGCCAAACTCCAGAGCTTCTCCAACACCGCCAATCCCAGCGTGCCTGCCCTCAACGTAAAGCCCACTAACCAATCCGCTGTTGCCCCACAGCAAGCAGGAGCTTCCTCCAACCCCCCGTCCTCCTCGCCCACTCCCTCACTCCCTCTCTCCCAGCTTCTCCTTTCTCAATCTGGCTTGCACCAAACTCGAGGTGTACCAGGTTCTACAGCCACCGTTACCCACATCCTGGTACCCACTTCTAACGTCCCCACATCTACTCAAGGTTATCCACTGGGAACGGTGGCGACCAAATCCAACATGACTGCCCAGACATTGGTGGTGCAGCCACTCCAGCAAACGGGGGCAAATCTGAGCACGGAGAAGCTAGCTCATGGTACAGGGCATGTGCCAATTCAGCCTAAAACGGCTCAGGGCCATCGGGTGCCAGTACAGATGTCCCCTCGCCACCCACCTCCCATTCTCCCAGCACCACCCAACAACGGCCAGGCCACCGCAGGTCTTCACCCTCCCCACGTCCCAGTTCAGCTGGTCGGAGCAAGGCAGAGCACTCTGGGAAACTCACAAGCGTTAGCATTGGCCCAGGCTCGAACTTGTTGCTCCCAGCAGGACGGAACAGCTGCCGTGGGAGTCAATAACCCGGGCAATGTTGTTACCATGGTTACTGCTATGGATACAAGTGGAGCTGGCATGTGCCTTAAAACAGCCCAAAGTGCCCTCCCTATCTCTCAGATGCAGACCAATCAGAGTGCAGTATTGAGTCAGGGTAATCCCGCTTCAGTCACACACTCCATGGATGGACAGAATAACTCTGGAGACTCTTTGTTTGTTCAGTCTGCACAAGCGCAGGTTAGTGGATAATGGGTGAACTCTGATTCTTCATTTGCCATGTCTATTGTGAGACTCATGCACTTATTTTTATCTTGTAGATAAAGCCTGCTATTGGTCCAATAAAAAGGAAGTCAGAGTCAGATTTGACCCATGAGATTTCGAATGAGCCAATCAGTGGAAGTCCCTCAATGCAAGACTCCGCCCCTCCTCTCTCGCCTGCTCCTTCACTGGATACAGGTCAGCCTTGTGTAGTGAAAGATTGACTGTTTTGGTTGTGCTGGAGCCCCTCAGATCAGGGCTGGGCGATATGGCACAATTTCAGTCTCGATAATTATTTGTCCATATTAAACGATAATGATATATATTTCAATGCAAGTTGTTAATACTTCCATATTTAAGAGTACCCCAACAATGACTGAAGCCACAAAATGTAGAGGGTCCATTAAATGGCATGATATTTTCTGTGGCGGTAAATTTGGTACATCTTTAACATCAACACACTTTTAGATTGCCATTGTTGCACATTTCTGCTGTGTGATTGGCTCTTAGATCAATTTAGGGTGCTTTCACACCTGTGAATCGATTCAGTTGTTTCGAAACAGAGATTACAAATGTTACATTGTTGCTCTTTGCTCTTGGAGCGGTTCGCTTTCACATTGCAAAGTTTCTAATCGGACCAAAAGAGCTAAAACAAGTCACGTGCGAGTAAACTCTCCTTACATTGGTCAGAGTATCAGGGTTTATTTTGCAGTGTCCCACTAAGCTGTCAGGAGAGGTGGTGGTTTGGTGGTGATTGACAGGGTGCGCGCGCGCGACGTGTCTGAGGAGAGACGCGGTGGGGAGGGGTGAGAAGGGTGCCGGAGACTCGCGAAACTTCCCACCCCACTCATAATTCTCTCTTCATATATAGCCGTATATGCCTATTACATATCCATAAAACACAGTGATACAACCGCCCTCGGATCGGATCGCTTTCTCACTACAATCGAACCGCTCCAGGGTTCGTTTCAATCGAGCCGAGACCACCTCATTCAAGCGATCTCGGAGCAATTACTTTGGCGCGGAACAGAGTGCGATTGCCCTGTTCACATATGCCAAACTAACTGCGCTAACTGGGCAAACGAGATGCGTTCCGAAACAAAAGTGTAGGTGTTAAAGCACCCTTAGAGTAAAAAAAGTCCAGAGTGACATAAATTTTATCGGGATTCGATATATAATATCGTTTATCGGCCCAGCTCTACCTCAGACTTCTCAAAATTAAACACTGCTGTTTAAAGTTAGTTTTAATTTCATGAAATGAATGCTGTTATTCAGCAAGGACAAGTTAAATATATCAAAAGTAGCAGTAAAAACATTTACAATATTATAAACATTCCTGTTTTGAATTAAACAATGTTTTCAGTGAAGTTCTATTCATCAAATAATCCTAAAAAAGCGTTTCACGCTTTTCACATAACGATAATTATAGGGCTTTTTGACCTTTTTGACTTGACGCTGAAGGCAAATGAATAATGAAAAATGGGTAGCAATTTAAAATAATGGTCCATTAATGTTTTTGCTAACATGAGCAAACAATTATTAATGCTTTTTTTACGGTTTATATTCAACTTTCTTAACTTTAATCCATGTTAACTCACTGTCTATTAAATAATGTTAACTGACTGCTGAAAACCTAGCTTTGCCATTACATGAATAAATTGTAGTTTAAAATGCAGTTACATTACAATTTATTAACTTTAAAAATATACATTATGTTCCACTTGTAAATTGTTTATAAAGATTAACTTTGTTCTTTGATGCTGCATGTATTCAATACAATAATATCTTTTGTGTTAAATGTTGTAATGTATTTAATCTTACAGTTTTTACTGCAGCATCATAGAGCATAAACAATTTACAAAAAAATATATAGTATATTTTAAAAGTGTATTTTTGTTTGCAATATGTAATTTTTGTTTTAAATATTTTATTACTAGAAATTTTAGCAGACCTTCACTTGCAAATACACTTTTTAAAAAAAATATATACATAAAACTTACATTTTAACTATTAGACAATAAGAAAAGAAAAGAAACAAACAAAAAACAATCAACAGTCAAATTAAACTAAAAAAATAAACATGCATTCCCCCAACAACCCACCCACCAGTGCTATCGAATGGTAAAAGTAGGTTCTAAAGGCATAGTAAACATATTATTCATAAGTTTGTAGAAAGGAGATAAAAGAAGACCAAATTATTTCAAATAACAAAACTGTGTCTATTAGGGTATACCGGATTTTTTCCAGATGTAATGTACCTGTTAACTCTGTCAGCCATTACTTAAGAGTTGGAACTTCTTTTTTCTTCCAAAACAAAAGGATACGTTTTTTTTTTTTTTTTTGCAGAGATCAGCCCATATAAACAAACTGTTGTTGAACTTGTGTAAGTCTCAGAAATTCTTCGGAAACTTCAAATATAATTAACACAGGATTTGGTTTAATCAGAATGTCTACTGTATCTGAAAAAAAACTTTTGTTCCAGTAACTCTGTAATCTGGGACATATAACAAGAATGAGACAGGTTGGAAACTGACATTTGTCACACAATGGCGACACTTCTGGAAATGTTTGATTCAATTTACACTTGGAATAGTGAAGCCTATGAAGCACTTTAAACTGAAAGAGACAATGTCTTGAATAATGGAACATCTGTGAACCAGTTCAAGACTTTGTTCCCAAATTTCACTTTTACATAATGTAATTTGTATTAAATATAATATTTACTGTTTTAATTGTTTATTTGTATTATTATGTAATATAGTTAATGTTTTTGCTTTGTCTTCACCTTGCTTATTTTCTTTATTTCTCATTTAGTCCCAGAGATAGCATTCTCCTCTCCTCCTACATTGTCCCTCTCTCTGCCTCTTCCTCTCCCTCGTGGAGCAGGACAGGGCGATCGAGCACCTGTTCCACAGGCTGTGGTCAAACCTCAGGTTCTCACTCACCTCATCGAGGGCTTTGTCATCCAGGAGGGAGCTGAACCTTTCCCTGTGAGTCTTTCTAGTTTAGTCCGTCTAGTGCAGTGTTTCTCAACCACAATCTTGAAGGACCACCAACACTGCATGTTTTGTATGTCTCCTTTGTCTGGCACACCTATTACAGGTCTTTCAGTCTCTGCTGATGAGCTGATGATCTAAATCAGGTGTGTTTGGTTAAGAAGTCATTGAAAGTGTGCAGAGCTGTTGATCTACTAGGCACGTGGTTGAGAAACACTGATCTAGTGTTTCATAGAAAGGCAGAATGTGTTTTCAAAAATAAAGTTTAGCCAGCATTAAACGTTCATTAAGTAGTGAACTGATTGCTTTGTGATTGACAGGTGACCGGGCCACTGAAAGAACTTTCTGGTGCTGTTCCACCAATCCTACATCCAGAGGACATCCGCTCTGATAGTGAGTGTTTGTATCACGAAGATGAATGGAAGAATGTTTCCTATAGTCTAAGTGGTTCTTTGCTCTCTCCATATTCGCATATGTGTCTGTCATTTACAGAGTTAAAGTGTGAATACTGTCTTAATTTTGCACCAGCCAGCCAGTTCAGAAGATCCAAGCGCTTTTGCACCATTAGCTGCTCAAAGAGGTGAGCCCAAAATCAGCGTTGATAAATTTGTCAAATGTTTCTGAAATATGTATCGTATTTTCTGGTAGATAATCTCACATGATGGTATCTTGTACAGAATTACATTACTGAAAACTGGAAAAACACATTTATTAAACACATAATTAACATAGGTGTGTATCAGGAGTCGCCTTCCTGCAGATTTCAGTTGCCTCTGGTGTATGCTGTGGTTGTGGATCAAAACGATATGACTAATAAAGAATGAACCTGAATGATTATGGGGTGTCTTGTTTTTTACATCTGAATCTTTTTTTTTTTTTAGGTACAATGTGAGCTTTAGAAACCACTTACGGGCCAGTAGAGGTCTTGAGGGTGCAGAACGGCCAGCAGGGGGCCCCGTGGTCCAGGATGTTATTGCCAGACGCCGGGCTCCTCGCAGAAGCAGCTCTGAGATCGCTTGTGCTAAAATAACAGGAAGGCATCTTCCTGTAAAGGTAAGATGATGGACATTGATAATCAAAATTATTATTTTGTGTTATTTACCAGTCTGTGGTTGGCTAGATTTTTAAAAGAATTAAAATTAAAAACTAAATGATGTTCTTTTTTCATGAAAAAATCTACTATGGTCCCCTATAATGAAAACCATCTTTTCTAAGCAGTTTGGGCAGAACTGTGTGTAGGTATAGTGTGTCCACTGTCATACCGGACTGATATAAAGACAATAAGTCTATTTTTTTTTTTTTTTTTTTTTTTTTAACGTTAAAATAGGATTCAAATCCCTCCCATTTTGAGGTCCACCTCAGTGTGAAGTAGGAGTTTGGTTTCTGCACCCACCAAATTAATTGATAACTGCCTATTTACGTGTCTCCATAGTAACACTTATAATCATATCCACAAGACTGGACTTGCGCAAAGCAACTGAGATTAAACAATCTCTTCACCTCTCTGTGATCAGCAGCACCTCAAGAATGAGTTTTGCAAATTTTGAAATGTTTTTAAAACAGTGCATGTTTGTAATAAAGACATAATTATTCACCACAGCCAGATGTACGTACAATTATAGAAGAAGACGCTTCAATCCTTGTTTGTGGACCTGACATCAGGTTTATTTTGTACATCAACATAATGGATATCCATACTGCAGTGGATATATCTGTGTGATCACATTTGGCCTGCAAAAACTGAGCACATGCACGCACATGAACTTTATAACAACATTGTGTGTGACTCGTCAAAGGCTTGAATTAACTTCACAACAAATACATAAAATTACTGGTGGGAAAGTTCTTACTGTAGTAAGGGAGATCTGCTTCATTCTTGTCTGTTACTGTGCTGCTTATGCGTGAGATGCAGCAGAAGAAGGCTACACACATTATGGCAATAGTGAGCGATCTCTGTGGCTTTGGCACGCACATGGGAATGGTAGGCGGGGAGAACCAGCTTATTTCCACTTAAAGGAACATGCAACAAAAACAGCTACAATGTCGAAACAGATCAAATTTCCAATATACAGAAAGGTATATTAAATAATCTGATGGGTGTCTTTGAGCTGAAACTGAAACAGACACATTCTGGAGACACAAAAGACTTCTCTTGAAAAAGGATTAAAATAGGTGCCCCTAAAATGCATGCATCATGGTAGGTATATTTGCTTCTTAAAAGTCAGCTTTCTTATCATATCAATAAATCATATCTATATTTTATACATTATATATATATATATATATGTGTGTGTGTGTGTGTGTGTGTGTGTGTGTGTGTGTGTGTGTGTGTGTGTGTGTGTGTGTGTGTGTTTTATTAATACTTATTAGTCAGAGATACAGTATCTGTTATAAAGAACCAGTCAGTAAGCATCATATGTTCCCTTTTACTAATAGAAATCAAAATGAGAGGACATTTTCTTCCTCTCTTAATCAAACATTATACAATTATAAATTCTAGCTCCCGAATCAATGATTAGGACAGAAACACAAATAATAATAATAATTACAAGATAAATAAAATAACATAATAAAGAAAACGAACACACATTGGGCTGTTGCCAACAAATGTTAGAGATGAATATGTAAATGCAAATTTACAAAGGGTTCAGCAGTAAAAAGAAAAAAAAAACATATATTTTTTGGTCACACTTTACAATAAGGTTCATTTGTTAATGTTAATTAATGCATTTACTAACATGAACAAACAATGAACATTACATTTACTACTGTATTTGTTCATGTTAGTTAACGTTAGTTAATGAAAATACAGTTGTTCATTGTTAGTTCGTTTATAACAATGAACACTCTCTTATTTGCTGAATGTGAGTTGTGAGACACCAATCTTCTGCTTAGTTGCAAAAAAGAAAAATCTCAATCACAAAAATCTGCAGAGCAGATATGAGAATCTTCCTAATTAAAAAACATTTAAATGTAAATGTAATTGTATATATTGTTTCCTCTTTCACAGTGTCGTTCAGAATCCAGTCGTTCTGATGATATCTCCAGCTGTGAGGGCGAGGAAGAGGAAGACTTCTTGTCGCTTTCCCCCAGCTCCACCTTTTCATGCCCGAGACCGACCCACTGTGGCCCTCAGCTGGATGACACAGCACCCGGCGGACTCCCAGTGGACGAAAACCACTTCCTATCTGGCAACCCTGCTGACTGGAGTGTGCAGGAAGTGTGTCAGTTCATTTCATCTCTTCAAGGTCAGTATTATGCTAGCGAATGCTATATATTTTTCCTTATGTAGTGGTCCCTCGTTATTCGCGGGAGTTACGTTCTAAAAAATAGCCTGCAATCAACAAAGTAGTCCGCTTTATTTTTTACAATTATTATAGATGTTTTAAGGCTGTAAACCCCTCAAAACACTATCTAAACACTTTTCTCAGACAGGCATTAACATTTTCACACTTTTCTCTCTTGTTTAAACACTCTCAAAGTTCATTGTGTTAAAAAAATCTGCCGTGTGAACTGTTATAGCAAGGATCCACTGTGTTGACAATATTATTTCATATTATTCTCCATTTGTGGAATCGCCCATCAGGTTGTGAGGACCTGGCATCCCAGTTCCTGTCCCAGGAGATCGATGGGCAGGCGCTGATGCTGCTCAAGGAAGAGCATCTCATGTCCACCATGAACATCAAACTCGGACCTGCCCTCAAAATCTGCGCTTCTATCAACAGCCTAAGGGATTAAACGGAGAGCAGAGCTTCATATTTCCATCACCAGCCTGAGAAACTGAAACCTTTGGTTATGGATCCAAAGATTGACCTAGAGATTAATCAAAATCCACAAGGAAGAATGACATCCGATGCCTTATTAAAAGCAGATAGTTCAGTATTTTTGTTTTGATGTGAAAGCCTGGAGTAATCGTTTTATTTTTTTTACCATTTGCTAGATCGAAGTTGACCGGTTCTCTCGTAAATCTGTCCTGTTTGCTAACAGTTCATGAGAAAATAACAAAACAAAAAAAAAAACAGCATAAAGATGATTATGTGTACTCCTTAAATGACAGAATCAACAGAATACGTCTCGATCTTGAATTTTGAATGTGTTACATGTATAATATCCGGGAGGTGCTTGAATGAGCATATGCATCTTGCGTCAGTTGACTAAATTTGTAGTCTTTATCTCTGTATGTTTGTGTCCTGTTGTCTTATACAATAATAATCAAAGTATGACTCGATAATGACATTATAGACAGTAATCAATGTTATTCCTGTAGTGCTTTTGACTATCAAAGTCAACGAAAAAAATGTGAATAAGTTGCCTTTTTAATAATAACGATGTTGCCTGAAACGGTTCTTTCTCCAGGGCTTCCCCAAGCTTCATTTCACCACCTTTGTTGAACAGAAAATGGTTATTTTTTGTTTGTCAGCACTTGACTAACGGGTTATTGGTTGTCTTCAGTGTGCCATTTAGGACTTTAACACAATTAGATTCCCATACACTAAAATAACCAGTCTGAGTAGTGCGTCTGCACCCACATAAATCACAATTTCAGCCGTTAGTGATCTACTACAGCTTGCTCTTTGTTTCACAGCTTTTATTGGTTCAGAGACTGTGAGAGATGGCAAATGTGTAGTTTCCTTACTATACAGTATTACTGAATGGAAGTAGTTTATTTTCTCTTAATCGCAGACCGAAGGAGTGATTGGATAACTGATCCAAGAACAACAAATTGCTTTTTTTTTCTACAGTAGATGATTGTAGCACACATTTAATTTGCATTAAAGAAGTAGTGTCGTTCTTCTTGGGTACACTTTACCAGCTTCATAGAAGAGTATTAGTAGCTTTACCTGAGAGCCTTACAGCAGCGGAGAGCAGGTATGATGAGGTGTGTGAATGTGAATGAGAGAAGGTGCCAATGAGAAAGCCGTGCTTGTGCTCTAAACATATGGTTCCTTTGTGTGCATAAGTATGAATAAAGGTGCTGTGATATTCATGTCAAGTCTGTCAAGTCTTTACTGCTTAGCCTGTTAAGAGTTTGTCAGTGAATAATGCATAATTAATAATAAGTGAATAATGATAATATTTTTTTTTAAATCTGTAATTTAAGTGCTGATTTTTAGCAATCCTGTATCAATCCTTTTTATCGGTGAACACAGTAGTACAGATGAGAAACCAATTCCTCCCAATGATATTTTGTGAAATGTACACTGTAAAAGTCCAAATATTTTGTTACTATACCTTATTTGAATAAGTTAATAAGTTTAACTTTATTTTAAGTCAGTTGAATAAAATTGAAGACTAAAGTAAGTTGAGAGACGACTAGACGCATTTCATTTGATTCAACTAAACAATTTAAAGAGCACCATTTTACTTCATTTACCCCTTTTACAATATGTAAAATAAGCCTTTGGTGTCTCCAGAATGTATGTAAAGTTTCAGCTGAAAATACCCATCAAATTATTTATAATAGCCTCCAGAGTCTGACCACTTGGTGTCTGAGTATAGTGTAGCTGTTTTTGTAGCCTGTGGCTTTAAATCCAAATGAGCTGTTTTCTCCCTGCCCACGCTCCCACGTGCGTGCCTGCTTCTCATCGTGCCTTACGTCAGATAAACAACACAGTGACATAGACAGAAACGGACGAGCTCATTAGTCAAAAATACCAAGTAAGTTTATTTCTTGTATTTGTGGTGAAGTTCATTCAAGTCTTTCTGAACATAAATGCCGTTTGCAGTATACACACACACACACACATTAGTGTTTACCGACACCATGCGGCGATGGTGATTATAGCGGTCTTGAATACAATTCTGTTTTAAACTTATTTGCAAAATTGCTCTGTGGTGATGTGTACACATGTTATTAATGTGAATTGAATTATAGAAACAAGGGGTCCGTCAATCAATTTGGTAGGCACTCTGCAGTGGGCCCAAACGGCAATCTCCTGCTCTCCCTCGGGAAACCAATGCAGAAGTAACTAAAACTCCAGATGTTTTCTGACTGCAATGGTAAATTGGCCAATTTTACAGCTGATAAAAACATGTTTAAAGCCTGGTAAAAATGGTTTTGGTTCATAAAACTAGTATTACTCTTCATGACAACTGTGAGGGGGTGAATTTTTTATAACTCATCCATTTCTTTTTTTATTAAGTCTGCATAATTAAGTGCGTGGCCACGAGTGACAGCTAGATCTGGCTGCTCGCTGTCTTGTCACCTCAGCTGATTCGGCTAAATAGCCGCTGAACTTGGCATATACATTGTGGTTTTGTGTACGTACACAGTCAATTGCCTTTTGGAATTATTTCCCACAATTATCAGGATATATGGCATGCTGTGTGCACTTAACTGTACTCATTTCCCAGCTGAGTGAAATTATACACTCATATACAATCTCTAAAAATGTATTTGCTTCATTTAAGATCATTTATCATTTATATTTTTCTTTAGTGCTGTAATGCACTCCAGAATCTGACAGACTGATTTGCTGTAGGCTATAAAACAGTCATCTGAATGTTGTAATATAGTGTTATGACTGGATTTCATAAATAGCCTAGCGTTTACTAACACGGACTATATTTGAAGTATTTAGAAAAAATTCACGTTTTCCTCCTGTAGAAAAATATCATAAGAACAATGCTTAGTGGCTCAATGTATTACAACTGTGTTTTTAAAAGACTACCAAGTACATGTGGTCAGAACACAAATGAGTCCCAGGTAATGAAGAATTAAGCGTTTCTCCCAAAGAAAAGCCAGTTTAAGCAAAATACTAGCAGCCGTCTGTAGCTCCGCTGACGCTTTGCCTCTTTGCCCTTATTTGGTCACCACCAGTGGATGCAATGCTGCGCAAACAAAATGGCAACAGTTGGCCATGCCAGCTTGTTGCTTCATTTGCGCTATTCAGAAACCTATGTGTGACATCACTGATACAACGTCCATATCTTTTACAGTCTGAAATCAAAATCACTCCTCAAAAAAAAAAAAACTCCTATTTTAACGTCATGAAATTAAAATAAAAGACTTGTGTTTCTATCACTCCAATATAATTATGTAGACAATGTACATACACACAGTTCTGTCCAACAAGATTTTCATCATAGGTGCCCTTTAAGTAAGGGTTTTAAACTGACAACTATGCAGATGTTAAAACAATCCATCAATAAACACACCTTTCTGCTCTGCTGAGCCAAAAAGAAATGTAATGTAAATCACAAAATATTTCAATCCTAAGCATCCAATATAATCATTCGAGTGTGCATGCAGACTGTGCCTATATGAGAAGGTGTTGATTTTTTACAGTAGGGGTTGATGTAGACATGTGCATCAGTCTATTCCTGAAGATGGTATCAGATTATTGCACATCGCTATTCACATGTCACAACAATATTTCAGGATCTTTGCCAAGGGCCAAGGGCTGTCACATGCCAGGACCCTATGCACTCAGTCACCCTTTTCCACCCACCTACGTCGCCTCTTCCCATAGGTCGACTTGGATTTAATCAAATTGATCATTCACTCAACTGAAACATATTGATCTAACCAGAAAGGAAGCATCATGTTTCTTGGATACGAAGCGATTTCATTGGTGGATCAAAATACATCAAATGACTGCTAATATCCAATTCAATTCATCTTTATTTCTATAGCGCTTTTACAATGTAGATTGTGTCTAAGCAGCTTAACATAGAAGTTCTAGTAAATGAAAACTGTCGGTCCAGTTTTCAGAGCTGAAGTTCAGTTCAGTGTGGTTTAATTTGTCCTGCTGAAAGTCCAAATGCGCAGCTTCACAAGTCCCAAACCAAGCAAGCCAGTGGCGACAGTGGCGATGAACAAAACTTCACCAATTGATGAAAGTGACGGGAAAAAAACATTGAGAGAAACTAGGCTCAGTTGAGCATGACCCTTTCTCCTCTGGCCAAACTTCTTGTGCAGAGCTACAGCCTAGGCGCCTGTGGCTGGAAAGCACTGGACGTTCATTGTGGACAATCTGCATATGTGAGTATGTCACCAGTGGGTGATCAGGCAGGCCCACGGGATCAATGTGAAGACTTATCTGTCACTGGTCTTTCAGGAATCAGTCTTATGCTCCGCTCTTCCATGACTGCCACAGCATTAGCTCAGAATATGACTTGTCCAGGATTATGCGATTATATTGTGTCCAGGTGGGGTTAGTTACGAAGTAAATAGTTACTGTGATAAAATCACTTTCCCACTGAAAAATTAAAGGGATATTTCTCATTTTTTATACTTGTAACATACTCTTTCAACAGTTCTGTATAAATGAATTCAGAGTAATATATAATAATTTACAGTATGATTATATTTTACAAGTAAAGAACATTTTGCAAGCAAGACAATTGCATATATACAGTAGTCAACATTCAAGGTGAATCATGTGTTTTTCAAAATTGTCCTAGGACAGGAATGGGTGTTCAGTAGTTTTAGGACAACTTAGATAAAAGGTAAAGATCCACTTCAAATGTTGACTACTGTACACTTAAGAACGTAAAAAAATTGAGAAATGAGTTCATGACAATGTAATGTAAAAATACAGAGAGGTAGTTTGTGTTAATGTTACCTCAAATAAAAATTACTTTATTTGTCCAACAACTGTACATGCTTAACACACAATGAAATGTTTTAGAAATGTTTGTATGTTTGAAAAAAAAAGTTTTATACATATATTGTGTAGAATTTAAGTGAAGTTTGTTTATAAACTTATTTCGAAAGGATCACGTGCTCATGATTGATCACAGCTGGTTCCACATCAGCTAACACATGATGCGCCAATTAAATAATTCATAACTCGGTATAAATCACCAGAGTTTCTTACCTTAGTCATCTTTGTCTTGAAGAATCCCCTTTTTCAGGGCAGCACACAGTATGAATGTCACTGGGTCAAGTCCTTACCGGGCCAGTCTGCGTTTCTTTGCAGAGTCTGCATGTTTTACCTGTGCTTGTGTTGGTTTCCCTGGGTTCCTCGGTTTCCTTCCACAGTCCAAAAACATGCAACATAAGTAAATTGACTAATCCAAAGTGACAACATAGGCAGATTCTTAAGGCCTGTGCACACCAAGACATTTTTTGCTCATGTTTTCCGTCTACGTTTAACGCTTTGTGACTAAATAAAGGGCGTCAATGTGATAGTGCACACCAACAAGCAAAACGCCAGGTGCAAAAGCGTCATTTTTTAAAACAACACCTCATGCTCGTTTTTTTTTTTGTTTTGAAGTGCCGCGTCAAAACCTTCTGCACCAATCAGATTGGCCCTTTTGTTCATGTGCACAGAGCTGCTGAAGTTACAGTAAACAGCACTTGGAGGCACTCAAACGCAAAACTGTCAATGCAAGCACACAATGAAGAAGATGCCCAGAGGCAATATGAACGTGGAGCTGCTTATAGCACTGGTGAACAATAATCATTTCTTCATCGCTAGAGCTGGAGCTGCTACTTGGGGACCTAAAACTGGGGGGCACAAACTCTTTCTGAAGGGGCAATGCCCCCCTTCGCTTACCCTGATGTTGTCTATTGGAAGAAATGCGTCAATAGAGCCGCCATTTTAGTACAGGGTAGCGCTCCTTTGAAATGAACGCTCCTTTTAATTGAGCGCCATCTAGCGGTCACATAATCTAATGACTAAATATTATGACAACTTGTTCAACTTCTTTTATAAATATATATAACTTGATATTACTTTTTCCTCACCACCACACTGGTCTTTTTTCAAAATGTTGTTGTTAAAAACTGTATTTTATATACTTAAATTTGACTTTTGCATGCTAAAAGTACTTGAGTAAGAGATGTTTTACTTGATTTGGGTCATTAAAAAAACTCCCTATGATGTGTGTGGCCTATACCTGCTGTAGTCAACCTAAATCCTACTGTAGGTTGACATAAAACCAAAACAACACCCATTCTTGTCTTAGGACATTTTATTAAGCAAATTTTAAAATAACATTAAGTTCATGACATGTTAAATATATAGTATAATTTGCTGGTTTTAAACATACAGAATAATAATATAGTTATGAAACAACCATAACATAACCCTTATGTCTTAGGACATCTTTGATTAACTTTTTATTACCTACACCAAATGTTGACTAATCAAGGTACATTTATAACAACCATTTATTTGTTAGACTACTGTATTGTCAAACCATGTTGCATACAAATGCATTCAACAGACTTACATGACAGTGCATTGCTGTAGAGGACAAATAAAACACGAGACAGGTGTTTAGAAAGAGTATAGTTTATTTAGTTTGACATGCAAACAAGACAAACTTTCAGAAAACAACCCGGAAACATTATAACGCGCGCACTCGTGAATATAACCCGCGGTTGTCTTCAACTGTTGTCTTCAATAGTCCTTCTTTGCTCAACAGCTTAGCTGAAACACAAAGCAAAACATTACAACAGTCAGAAAAAGAGCAAAGAGCCTAGAATCACCAAGAGGCGACACTCTACAATTTGGGAAACAATAACGCGCTTTTTGAATAAATTAAATAAAAACAAAGCAGCTGCTTTCCATCGCGACAGCAATGAGATCCAATGGACGGCCGATCGCTTTAACTTCAAAATGGCGGAATCCGGGGCTGTTGCTCTTGGTCATTCTAAGCTCTTTGCATAAAGTTAAATCATAACAGTTACCATGGTGTCTATTTCAAGCTATAGTAAACTAAAGTTTGAAACTATAGTTTAAAATAGACGCTGAGTGGGCCTCGCTACTCCCACCCACCATAACCCTCGCAGCGAGGTCCCACTACCGGCCCCCCGTGTTTCCCTGAGGATCCTCGGGGGTTGTTTTTTCCCCTGCCTAGGGCTCAAAGGCCGCCTCGTCCCAGGGAGTGCACGAGAAGACCGGGTGCCAGGCCGTGCCAGTATTCAATAGATGTTGCTCGGCGGCACATTTCGAGCAACAAACACGTAATATTCCTTGCGATGTTACGTTTATGTACGCAAACCACAAGGAACTACAGCACAGACAGGCCCGAGTGAAGCTTCACGAAGCGGACTTCGTGAGATTGGCGTGGCTCCACTCGTACCGTCGGTATAGAACTCACCTTGGTCAAGTACAAACAGCTACACCGAGCAAACTGACAACGCTGATAGAGAGCACACGAGCTTTATAGGAGCGCAGATGCAAATTTTTACAAGGCACGTCACTGCTGTCTCGTTGTCATGGCGAGCACTTAAGAGGGCTCATCTGATTGGAGCACATAGACTCGGGAATCTGCGTCACGGCCAGTTGCCGTCTGCCGTACACAAAAATATATTAAATATATTCAATGTATATTTTTTTTTACATTTTTGGTGCTGTGTAATATTCTGGGATGCAGTAGAATGTGGAGACAGATGAATATAATTAAGTATATGCCGAGCTAGTGTTGTTCCCATATACTTATAAACTTCCGGTGACCGGTTATTGTGCGTTTTTTCCATTGTATACGGTTCCTTTTACAGCATTCGTGTTGTAATGTAATTAAAATACATTCAGTTAAATAAACTTTGGCATTCATTTAGTTGTTCAAGCGTAAAACGAGACAAATTGCCTTTTACTCGCACTCGCCCGTCAGAATTGTCAGGATAGCGAGAACTGTAAAGTGTTTTGGGTTGACTTTTCCAATTTCATTAAAAAATTCTTATTTTCAAACTTCTGTATTTCCCCAAAAAATGTATTCTTTGGTTACTCTCTGAGTGTAGATCCTTCTCATTGTAAATTCATTATTGATTTATTGCTTTTTTTAACAAAATTTTACATCCATAAATGTAAATTTTCAAGGAAACACCCTTACTTTTTTATTTTCAGAAAGGATTTTGAAATTTATGTAAACTCTTTAAAAGACTCTAACAATTACACTGCATTTAAAACGCTTTCTTGGTGTAAATCATTTAAACTTGTTTAATTTGCTGGAAATCTATTTATGTAACCCTCTTTGTCTCTTTGTTCATATTATGTCTTTGTAATGTTCTTTCTTGCATTAAAAAAAGAGAAAAAGTAGATGAGAAGATTCCCCCTATGTGTAAAGCGCTTTGAGTGCCAAGAAAAGTGCTATAGAAATGTAAGGAATTATTTTTGTTATTATAAAGCACTGTTCATCATGATATAGCCATTCTCATAATTCAATTGCTATTTCATATATTTTTAAATATTTAAATGTGTGCTCTGAAGGTTGGAACGACGGGGGTGTTCATAATTATTGACAGAAAGAATTTTCAGTTTGAGTGAACAATCCTTTATAAAAACTGGGGGGGGGCACAAACTCTTTCTGAGGGGGAAATTCCTCAAATATTTTGATATTCAAAGGCTTTTATTCTCATAAACCGGATGTGAATGCTTCTGACTGTTCTGATTGGCTAAAGTAGACGTCTCACGTCAGCATGTTCTAGACGTGCACGCGCTCTATCCGGCAATCTTCCCTCTGCATTCACACAGCGCAGCATTCCGGCAAATTACCGGTAATCTTACAACTTCTCTTTTCGGAAAATAGCCAGAACGAATTTATCTTTTGAGCTCAGGGCTCTCTCTCGCCAAACACACTTTATAATCAGTCATCAGCTAAGTGTGAACTCTTGAAAAGTTTTTATTTAAACAAAACTAAACAGTCCTGTTTGACTCCAATTTAGGTAATTAAAAGTTTCATTTCTAGTGTCTGTCTATGCATTGAGATTTATGTGGATTTTTAGTATTTAGTCAAGTAATTAAATTACTTGTTGAGTAACTAAGTTTTCTGACAAAGTAATTTAAAATGTAATTTAAATACAATTTTAATGATGTTATAAGTAATCATTAACCATTTTGAAGGAACTTACCCAACAGCAATTATGTCTTAAATGTAAGAAAACTAGAATTGAATTATTTAACTATGATTGGACCCTGTTATTTATTTATTTTTGTGATTTTGCTTAAAATATCCAAGGTTTAAACAGAATTTTTTTATTTAATTTTGTTCATATAACCAGAAATATCGGCCATGTGTTATCAAATAATGCTGAAATGGTCAAAAATGGATCTCAATTTTACTTCAAAAATCTTTTATTTTCCAAAGTTTTAAGTTAAATTTTACATTACAATAAAAATTTGATCATATAAATAAAATCACTGGATTTGGCAACATTGCAATTTCAATGCATTTTAAAGAAAGAATATCTGTAAACACTTTAAAATTTGCATTTCATATGTTATTTTTTTAAATATATATGTGGCTGGTCAGGACTCTTTAGAAGGCACTGGAAATCCACAGCTTAAAGCCACAAGGACAAAAGAGAGTTTTCATAAACAGCGTCCATCCTGTTTTTCAGCAGCGCAAGTTCCAGAAGTATTTTCCCATTCATTTTCCATAAAGATTTTAAACAAAGTCGTACGAGCCATTAACCAAACATTTGCTTTAAACAAATTCATACAAGGACTGTGTACTTATCAGGAGGTGCTTAATATGTGTTTTGGTGCAACCCTCTGATTCTGTGAACAGCATCTTGCAATGTAATTTTTCAACACAATGTCAGCTATTAAACACATTGTGTATTAATGTGAACAGAACATTTCAACAAGAGCATATATTCATATATCATGTAGCAGCCTCACAACAACTTTTACTTCACGACTGCTATCCTTTTTAAAAAACAGTGTAGCTGTTGGATTCTCCATATCCAGCCTCCTTCAGATACTGTTGAATATTGATTGGCTCGGGCACACGGAGAACACTGCTGTCACTGGCACTCTTCTCTCCTGATTGGAGTTTACGCCTGACTTCAGCCAATGAGGGCCGATCTTGCTCTTTCCAATGACAGCAGGATTTGATAATTGAGTAACTAGAAAAAAAAGCAGTGGCAACAAGTAAATAAAAATACTACAAATACTTTTTTATATAATAATTTCTGAAAAAAAGGTTGTAACAATGAATTTACAGTGAGTTTGAGCAGTTGTTTGGTTTTCTTATTGGTTTCACCCTCTGATGATGCTGTAGAAGTTCTTTAACAGGGATTTCGGCAAAAGGAACTTCACCTGAAATAGGTTAAAAAATAGGATATACAAAAATGTGAAACAAAGTTAAATTTGTTAATCATTGTGAAAAAATTCTAAAAAAAATACTAAACTCACCAAGTGTCACCATTTCATACAGCAGCAGCCCAAAGGACCAACTACAAAGAAGAGCGAGAAATACAGATATTTGTGGTGAAAATGTAATTCAAGAGTCCACCTTTAGCTGATGATTGATTAAAAGCATGTTTGGCATGCTGTCCTGGAAAGAGTCCTGAGCTCATAGGACCCTCAAGCCCAGGGCTCCCTCCCATTTGCAGGGAGAGAGGAGAGTTTGTTTACACTCAGGTAGGTCTTGAGAACTTCCCCCCCTTTTTAGAGCTAATGACAAAAAGGAATTGCTATTTATATATATACTACTAGTTAAGAGCTCAACTTTAGTGCCAACTTAAAATGGTCAGTTCAGCTGTAGCGCATGTCTTTAGGCTGTGGGAGGAAACCTACACAAGCATGGGGAGAACATGTAAACGTCAACTGGTCTGTTGAGAACTTGAACTGTGTGCTGTGAGGCAACAATGCTAACCACTGGGCCGTCGTGTCGCCCTACAAGGGAAAGGTGGAGGAGTAGGGGTGGAAAGGTGATTCTTCAAGGCGAAGATAACTGAAGTAAGAAAATTTGGTTATTTATAATGAGCTAGGAATAATCTGATTAGTGAATCATGTGTTGGCTTATGCGGGACCAGCCGTGATCAATCATAAGCATGTGTAAACTTAAAGTGTAAAGTTTTCCTCATAATAGATATTGTGTGCTTAACTTACATATCACTTTTTGGAGTAGAAGGTCTCTTGGCCAGTAGCTCAGGAGCTTGCCACTTTTTTCTTCCAGGATCTTCACTGTAATTACCACTTCCTGACGTCCTCACGTACAAGTCGTCTAAACCCCAGAGTTTTGCAGTACAAATCCTGCTGACCAACACATTTCGAGCCTTTAAGTTGCAGTGGTGAAGATCTTTGCCATGGAGAAAGTCCTACAGGGAAAGAAGAATGAAAGGTGAGAATATACAAAGCCCTGAAACTGAACAATGATAGCAAATGGCAAATGACACCATGAAGAACTACACTTTTTTAACCCTTGTGTGCTGTTGGGGGTGTTTTTAACCACTCTGGGGTGATTTTAAGTCTAAATTTGGCCACAACTTTCGCTGTTTCAGCAAATGGAATGACTTTTGGTGACAAATCTTATTTTGACTCATATTTTGGGAAAATGCTTTTCAAAAAAATTTTTTTTTTTAAACAAATGTAAGAATACTTTCTAGGCAAATGGACTACCCTTTGTTATGTTTGTGGCTGATTTTGCTTCATTGACTTTCATTATAATTAAATTGTTTTGATCGCGAAGAGATGACACCCATATAATCATGCATTCATGAGTGTTGCTGGTTTTCCCTGTTAGGAAGAGTTCAAAGTTTACATTTTTACTGTTGATCGTCATTTGCAGTGCTTAGTTTATGCCTTCTATTTGGTGTATAGTGTGTGTGTAAGAGAGACATTTGTGCACTTATTTAGATATTTTTGAACTCTATATAAAACCCAAAAACTTTTTTTTTAATCTAAAGAGTTAATGCTGCCAACTCATGATCAACAGTATATAAATGACACATTTCCCAAAAGGAACAAGCACCCACAATCAAGAATGCATGATTATATGGTGTCAATGGGGCAAAACAGCCCCAAACATAACAAAAGGGTTGTAAATTTGAACAGTACACAAGGGTTAAAGGGCTTCTGTGTTCATACTACCAGTTAAAAAGCATAGATTTGGCTTTAAGAAAGTGGTGGTAGCCAGTGGTCAGCTTACCAGTGCTGAGGCCACATGGGAAGCCATGTTGAAGATTTTTTTCTCTGTCATCTGACACATGCCATCTGGTCCAACATTATCCTGTTTGAAAAAAATGATTAATAAAATATTACTTGTACTTTTTACAAGAAGATATTTATGTTTTTCTTTTCAAGATATCATGGTTGATCAAGTGATTTACTTGCTTTTTCTTACAAATAATTGAACATTTTTAAACACTATTGGGCATTATACACAATTATTTTCTCAAGTGCTCACAGTCTACTGTGATTATGAATGTTTGAATATGAATTGACTATACTTCAAAACACATATTTTACACGGCCATCAAGCATAAACAACAGCTAAAGCCAAAGTTAACATTGGAAATAAACAAGTACAGTACTCGCCGTATCAAATGGCAAATGAATTAGCAAGAGAGTACCAAGTTTATTTAGACATGCAAAGTTTGAGCTCAACAATTTAAGACACATTTAAGAAACCATTTTAAAAGATCACACTTTATTTTGATGGTCGGTTTGTTGAATTTAGGTTACATTACATTTACATGCCAACTAATTCTTATTAGATTATAAGTAGATTCTTAGGTTAGGGTTAGGGTTAGTATAAGTTGACATGTTCTTGCAAGTTTCTTATAGTCAGTTAAATGTCTGTTGAAGGAGCAATATCAACAGATATTAAGCATACAGTCTACTAATTCTCAAATGGACCATCAAAATAAAGTGTTGCCTTTTAAAAGATAAGTTTACAACACATGACTTAAAGAAGACTGTGAGCACAAATTAAGAATTTGTTGCCATTAATCAATAATGTGTTAGTTTAAATTTTTAGATCTGTTTATTGCTATTTTGGATGTTCCAATTCAAATTAAGCATGTTGTTCTCATTGACCAAATCAACTGTTAAAGGGCATATTCACATGTCAAAAAAAGACAACTCTGACATTAGTTACACACCATCAGTGCTTTGGAAAACAGAAAATTCAAGAGTTTCATAGTGCAAAACTGCTGTTGTTGTCATGTAAAGTAATAAAATCTAAGTAAAAATGAACATAAACCAAATTCAAAATGTGAAATCAGTCAGAGGTTGGTGTGATCATGCTCAAACATTCTATGGCTACATGACATGACAACCAAAACAGCAATAGCTACTGGCTTGGCTAGCATAATGCAGCATTTTGTTTGTAATTTTATGTATCCTTGTGAACAAGGGTGGTATTGACAACATAATCTACTCCATCTGTAAGTAAAACTAGAAAAAAGCAGTAGAAACAAGTAAATAAATATACAATATAAAACTGTCCAAAAACAAATGCTTATAAAGCTGCATTTGCTTTTCAGGAACAAAAAGGTGTGTACACTGTTGTCATATAATCATATAATTTTCTTCGGCTTAAAAAAAAACGCAGCAATGAAACGTATAGTCAAATCTTTTACCTGTCTACATCTCCACAAGAATCCAAGCAGATCTCTGTTCTCCATCTCCTCAATAACAGTAATGAGAGGAGCCCGCAAGGATATTACTCCCAGCAGCTCTGGTAAGAAGGGATGAGGCCCTAACTGGGACAGAAAGGCCGCAAATCCCAAGAATGACTGACTTTCCTGATTACTGGCTGAATCTGAGGATGAGATTTAAAAGAGGGTCAGTGTACCTGGAATTCAAGATCTCAGTCAGACATTAAGTGCAAGTTAAAAAACCTCATGGGCACCTTTAAGCACACGAAGCACCACATTTCTGTTTTCCATACGAGCCCTATAGAGCGAGATGGGGCTGTCTGACTTCAGTGAGTATGAAGCTGGGAGAGGAGCGACTCCGTTAAAGTTCTCCGGCAGTCGCTGGCGTGGAAGTTCTCGTGGCTTTGCAAAGGCTGAAGCTGTGGCGCCAAACATGCCATCAGTAAAGGCAACATTGTTGGCGTGATCGAGCCTGGCTGGCGTTGCAGGGTTGAATGTCATGTAAGTGGTTGTGTCCAGTGCTATGGGCTCCCCTTCCAGAGCATTCAGACCCAGAGGAGCTGCACAGACAGAAAGAGGACGAGAGACTGATTAGGTGGCACATGATGAATTATAAATATGAAAAGAGCAAAACAGGGTGCTTAATATTGAATATAATATCCATCCAATGTCATCTATGTTTACATGTAATGATGCATCAAATATTACACCTTTGACACATGAAATATATTTGTTTGCATTAGCACTAAAGCAAATACCAGTATTATTTTAAGAAATGTTTATTTTTTTATTATCAACTTTTCATTTCATTATAAAATGTGCAAAAATCACAGTAACATGCATTTTTATTTACGTATGAAAAAATACAATGTTTATTCATTCATTCATTTTCTTTGGCTTAGTGCCTTATTTATCAGGGGTCTCTACAGCACTCCTGAAGCTTGTTAAAATAGATGGGATCAGATTATTGCATGGAGCTCATGCTGCTATACACTCAATGCCACAAGAGTAATATTTTAGAATCTTATAGAGCAGCCAGCCAAGGGCCCCTCACATGCCAGGTCCCTTGGCACTCAGTCATCCTTTTCCACCCACTTATGATGCCCCTGCCTGTAAGGGATTGGGTTACACTTACTTAAAGTCCTATAACTTCTGAAGGACACCAATAAATAAATGAGCAAAATAACATTTTATTATTATACTTCTGAGTTTGCATGTTCCCCCTGTGTTGGCGTGGGTTTCCTCCGGGTGCTCCGGTTTTCCCCCACTGCACAACACGTGCAGTATAGATGAATTGGGTAAGCTAAATTGTCTGTAGGGTATGTGTGTGAATGAATGTGTGTGGATGTTTTCCAGTGATGGGTTGCAGCTGGAAAGGCATCTGCTGTGTAAAACATTTGCTGGATAAGTTGGTGGTTCATTCTGCTGTGGCAACCCCTGATTAATAAAGGGACTATGCCGAAAAGAAAATGAATGAATATTATACTCCTTTTATATACTGACCATCAATGCCCTGCAAGTTTCTCCTAGTCCTGGATACTCGACTGGAAGCAGGTTGCAGGCGTTCCACCTTCTCTGGACAGAACCTCAGCAGCATAATGAATAGCAGCGTGATCAAGAACATCATGAAGAAGATCACCGGTACGATTATCACCTCTTGTTCATACACACGAATTTCTGGGGTCAAGGAGTAAAAGGGACATTTCAAATGACAACTTTGATAATGTAGTTGAAGGATGGTCATGATTCCTTTATTTGATCTCACAGACATGATCTACTTACCACACAGCGCATCTCCAGCCTCACATTCAGAAGATGCAGCGCTGGAAGAGGCCGCCATCCTGCACGGATACCAAAAGGTAATTTAAAAGGTTGGAGGTGTTTTTTAATGATCTACTTATTATTTGTTGACCAAAGTATAAGTGGATTTCCAGATGCAGAGATCACTGAAGCTAAAATAAACCTCTCACAATGTCAGTATGAAATATTATGAGTTGGATTCAGGGTCAGTGAAACATGATCTTTGTTATCAACATGAAAAGACTTTGGCAGCTGAGACTTCACAGATCTTTCACGATCAGTGTCCTTTCCAGAGAGTTTTTTTTTTTTTTATCTGTAAGGATCACGGTCAGAGTAAGGAGAAAAAATTACTGATTTTGGCAACACTTTATTTTAATGGTCCATTTGAGTATTAGTATATTGTCTGCTTAATATCTGTCGATACTGCTCCTTCAACAGACATTTAACTGACTATAAAAAACTTTGCAAGCACACGTCAACTTACACCCTAACCCCAACCTAACAGTTTACTTATACTCTATTGAGAATTAGTTGGCATGTAGATGCAATGTAACTTAAATTCAACAAACAAACCATTCAAATAAAGTTTGACCCAGTTTTTCCCCTTGTAATGATCACAGACAGTATAAGGGGAAGAATTAAAAGAGTTTGTTTTCTGTAAGGACCACAGACAGAATAAGAGATAAATACTAGGAAATATATGCATGTACATATTTACTGTACATGTAAGTAAAAAAGGTTGATCTGCAGCTGACAATAGTGTCTTATATTCTCAAATACACACTGTGCGTGCAATATGAGAAGACCTCCTTTGTGAGCAAACAGCTGAACACACCCAATCTTTCTAAATGTCAGACAGTAGATTTGCCAGGTTGTGTTTGTGTGTTATCACGGCTCTGTGAGATGCTGCTTGTTTTTTTTACATTTCCATAAGTGGGGCTAAATGTGTCTTCAAAATGTAAATTGAGGGCAGACATTAAGCTCTGCCTTTGACACAAACACGGAACTGCTTTTTTATTGAATTTTGATGCTTAACCTGTTTGTCTGCATTTTTTTCTATTCTTAAAGACTACACTATGACACGTCACATGCACAAAGATGCACAGGGAAACACAAATAAACTAATCTTTACTTAGGAAGTGTATTTAATAACTGGGTATTTGTATAAATTGATAAATGCTGCTGGTCATTAAAAAAAAGATCTCTGGAAAAATAGTAATAATGAAAAATGGTAGTTGAGCACCAAATAAACATTAGAATAATTTCTGAAGGATCATGTGATCATATAAAGACATGAATTAATTTTTTTAAATTTATAAAACTGCAAACATTTATTTTTTAAAATTCCAATATCAATCTCACAGTATTACTGTATACATATCCAAATAAGTGCAGTCTTGTTATACTAAAATGAAAAACATGAAGAAAACCATAGCCCATTAAATTTTAAAACAGTATTGTAATACAATATTGACTTAATATTGTGTTTTAACACCCTTAACGCGTCTGTGTGCTGTATAATAAAAACTAATCCACAAAAAAAGATCAAATCATCTATCAGCTAATTCCACATATGCAGAATGCCAAGTCACATGTTCGTAACCCATCAGCACTGTGGGGATTTAATCTGCAGCTCTCTATTGGCTTACCTGATGATCACTGCAGTTGTAGACGTTCTTAGCTGTTCAGTTTTTCCTTGTCTCTATTCAGAAAGTTTTCCATGATGGCAATAATATCCCATTAATGAACACAGCACAAACATATCCCGCTGTTAGTCACCTTCCTTGCTGCTATAAAATTTCCTTATGGTGAACGGTACACCAAGTCTGCTTGTATTTGTCGAGGTCACACCTTTGTTGGTTACTTGGCCCCGCCCTCCTCACCTTTGCTTCAATCTCATCTGAACTCTCTGTTGTTGTTAATACACTCCTTTACTGTAGGGTTGCTAAGTATGATATATGCCTATTGTTTCACAATCTATCCTTTTTGCATTGAATTTAGAGATTTAATGCTTAATCTCTGTGTTTATCTCTGGTTTGGTATATTAAACTAATTAGAACTCTTGTGTTAAGCATCTTCTTCCTGAATCTAGCCAAACTGAAACCTGAAGATCCAGCTCCTCAAGTTTCTCTAGAAGGTTCAGACTTCCTGGCACGAATGCTGACTCAATCAGTGTGCATAAAACACAGTTAAAGAGGCCAAGCGTGTTTTACCTTTCGTTCAGATTTGTGACTAAAATGTTTTGATGAATCTTGGATTTGGGGACTGACTGAGAATCTGTAACTTTCTGTTGTCTTCTCTGCAAGTTACTTGCAGTCAGAGGTAATTTTTACATGGGTTGTGCATCAGCAGCAGTGTACATCATGACAAGAAATATACATTAGTTAACATTTAAAGTGGATCAAAAATGTTTAAACAAATATTTAAATCAAAAAGATAAGAATGGGTGCTGTTCAATAGCTTTAGGACAAGTTTAATGAAAGCTTGTTCTCCACTTCAAATGCTGACTGATGTATACTAAACATTCTTACACTCTCAGAAATAAAGGTACGCTAGCTGTCACTGGAGAGGCACTTTTTCCAAAATGTACAAATTTGTACCTAAAAGGTCTATATTAATACCTCAAAGGTACATATTAGTACCTAAATAGTACAAAAGTGTTCCTCTTAAAATTTTTAGGTACTAATAAATACTTTTGAGGTAACAATATGGACCCTTTACATAAAAATATTTACCTTTTGAAAAGGTACCACCCCAGTGACAGCTTGCGTACCTTTATTTCTGAGAGTGTAGGAATGTCACCTAAAAAAGTAATGTATTTACCGCATTTGTTCTCACCAATCAAAACATATATCTTAAGAAAATAGTTTGTATTTTGTGATCTTAGTGTTTTAATCAGGCAACTTGACTTATCCCGGAAAAGCATTATATAATAGTATTAATATATAGCAAATGAAAGGTTCCTGTGAAACTCGATTTTAAATCATGTTCATAAGCTTAGTGTAGCAAATCACGTAATATGGTGCCTATAAAAATCATCATACCTCTTTGAAATAATGACTTTATTTGTCATACAGCCTGAACTCAAATCACATTTCAAATAACTTTTACAGCCTTTGACATGCTTTTGTAGCATAATACTGACCAGTGCCTTCTTCAACTTTATCCTAAAGGACTTACAGGGTATGATAGTTTTCTATAGTTACTGTATAGTGTAAAGAAATACATACAGTAGGGAGCGTGTGAAAGTGTCACATTGTGGCCTTGATTGGACAAGGCCCTGCCCACTTCTCCCCTGAAAGACAAAAGAAAGAATGATTGGAAAATAAACCTAAAATTAAGTTTTTAAATCCCACAGTTAGTTAGGAATTCAAGATTAATTCATGACACAGTGCAATAAATCATTAGGAAAACCAGCTTTGGTACAGTATATATAATAAAGTAGATGAGCATTCATCATCCAGTTGGATCATTAAACCAGTTAAACTAGTTAAACAAGATGGTTAGTTGGCAAGTTGTAAATAAACACGTAATTACACATGCATGACAAAAACTACATGTTACTTAATTGACAAACAGTAAATGGACGTAATGATCAGATTGTCCTGGCTAATACGACATCACTAAAAATGTTTCTTTTAGACTGAAAAAAATGCTACTTTCCACATAAAGATAATTAGTACCATTATGAGTTTAGGAATCACGTAAGCAATCAAATGCTTGCCATGAGATCTGTAATTTATTGTTAATCAAACTGAAGATGATAAAATGAGTGATTCACTCACTGCTTTTTATTTAACTGTAGTAACTTCAAATAAATACTGAAGCTCTAAATGAACAAATTAATGGGTTTGAGTTCATTTTGGGATTTTTATTAAGGTACATACCCGAGCCCCATCTCAGAGTTTTGCTTAGAGCCCTTATAAATTTAGGACGGGCTCTGCAAAAATATGTAAATAAATGAATGGCATTAGTCAAACAAATTGTTAAAGTTGGTTAATCAAGTAGTCCAATCAACAGTTAAGCCTTAGATTGTAGTTACCGATGCGATGAGCTATGAGCTCAAATCTGTCACAACCAAAGAAAACCTCAACCTTCCCATTGACATGGCACACAATGAATGGAAGACCAAAGGCCTGATAAAAAGAGGACAATTATTTACTGCAATTTAAAAATCATCACAAAGATGCTTTGGCATAAAAAAGTCACTAACATTTTTCTCCAGTGCTTCCTGTGTGACACTCTTCAGCTTGTCTTTAATTGGCTGAGATTTGGCATTGGTCAGCAATTCTTCCACCTCATTGGCTGAGAGACCTGCCTGTAATCCTGCCTGCACAAAGCAGAAACACAAAAAATGTCTTACAATAGTTTGCTTTAGGCATTAATTAAGATTGACAATATTTTATCTTTCATATTAAAAAGAGACTTTAGGAGAATATTGGATTATTATGCCACGGAGTATTTGAGTGAGGGTGGCACGGTGGCTCAGTGGTTAGCACTGTTGCCTCACAGCAAGAAGTTCGCTGGTTCAAGTCATGTCTGGGCCAGTTGGCATTTCTGTGTGGAGTTTGCATGTTCTCCATGTGTTCATGTGGGTTTCCTAAGAATGCATTGGTTTCCCCCAGTCCACAGATATGCGGTATAGGTGAATTGGACTATATTAACTAAATTACCTATATTGACCATAGTGTGTGTGCATGTGAATGTGAGAGTGTATGGGTGTCTTTTAGTACAGGGTTGCAGCTGGAAGGGTATCCGTTGTGTAAAACATATGTAGGAATAGTTGGTGGTTCACTGTGGCAATCACCGATAAATGATTGTATGAATGAGTATTTTATTTGAGCTTTACTGGTACTTAAGTATCTGTAGATGTTTATGAGGCCGTTGTACCATTTGCAATATTAGTGTTGAATTTTACAAACATGCGATTACTCACAAGTCAGCTGTTCCTGGATCTTTACTTGCATATCTTTCAAATCACTCCAAGATACTTTAGTCCTCATAGTTTACTGTTCCAATAACATGGTAAATGATCTCAGCTTCCCCAGAGATATTATAAAGAGATCTAATTAACAGTAGTGTATTAATCATTTCAAGTTTCTCCTCTCGTACGTGACACAGATTCATCAACTAGCATTTAAAGTATTCTCATTCATGCAAGTAGCCTTGTTCGCTATAAGGGAAATAATAGTAAAATGCACACTGTCTAGTGTCTGGTTAGGTCTTGTTTCAGTGATGGCTATATTTTATCCTTTAAGAATGAAATGAATTGTATTTGAATAAAGAGTACATATATTTATACAAACATTTTAAAAAGTAAAAGTTGTTAATAATCTTTGTCGAATAGCTAAAAGGGTTTTTAATTATAATAGCTAATTACACTGAACTAACTGACACTGGTAATAATTGAAATATCATTATGTAAATAAATACTATTTGGTCATTTGTATTAGTTTGTTTGTTTTAGTTTCTCCATCCTGGGTATAGTATACATCAATGAGTGAGGGAGGCTGGGTATTGTCTAGATTGTTTTGCCATGCTCGTTTCCAGAGCTCTCTAGAAACCTTCTCCAACAGCACATTTTCTTCTTGGTTTTTCTCTGCTATAGCAGTCACAAAGCGCATTTCAAGCAAGGTTTCTTAGATGAAAAAAGAAAGAGAGAGAGAAAAATTGTTTTAAAAAAAATAAAAGGAAATAAAATATGTATTATAGCTGAGGCCATGACCATCATCATTAAAAAAAAACCTGCAAATTTAAATACCTTTGTTAAAAACTGGAGGGGGATTCAGAGGGACCCCATAGTACTCAGAAATCAGTTTCAGATCTGCGAGCAAGTACCGCTGCTTATTATCAACTGATCCAGGTTCAATGTTACCTAAAAAAAAAAAACTTGATTGAAAGTTTTCATCTCTTCATTAATAAATGCAAAATACAGGTGATGTGTAGCTGAATTATGACGTAGCTGTTACAACATAATTGCTGCCAGAGGAATCTGATGTACAATTACACGTAAAATTGTGGCATATTAATTATTAAAGCTGGCGGTTCATTCCGCTGTGGCGACCCAAGATTAATAAAGGGACTAAGCCGAAAAAAAATGAATGAATGAATGGTTAAAGCATTCTAATTAGGAGATTGCATCCATTTTCTATCACCATCAACTCTTAAGGCTCATTTGTAAATGAATACACTATAACTTCATTGTTGTGTTTATTTGTTTATTTGGATATAAGGAAGGATATTTATGTTAAAGCAAAAATGGTTTTATCCATTTCCTGAACCTTTAAAAACTCCACCTAAAAAGGCTGGTTTATATTTAAGGTCAATGTTCCAAACATTTTTGTAGCGACAGCACCTAAACACAGAAAATAAATTATATTGGTACACTTAAAGCAAAAAAATTAAAAAATTTATTAAAAAGATAAAATGACGGACCTCAAATGCCAGCCAAGAATAAGGAGAGACAACATCGTAGAAAAATTCAACCACTTTTCTGGAACTGGACATCTGTAAAATAACCATAATGAACATAAATACATAATTATGGGCTATAATTTATGAATAGTTAATCATTTACATTTTTCATAATTCACACACTTCATAATTAATAAAAAATAGTGCTCATATAAAACCTGCAAATCATCTACTATTAGAATAAAATACTTATTTCAGCTGATGATGTGAAATGAAAAATCATCACTGAGTCATTAATTGCAAACAAACTTTATTTTGTATAAGATTTTTAACAATACACTCAAGAAAATGTGAGTATTAATAAGATTAGTGACAGCTCATTCAAGGGAGCCTATCAACATCTTATTTAAAACATAAAAAATATATGAATTCATGCATATACAATTCTACTCTAAGCTTAATTTTCAATCATTGTTCTCTAAAAACAACCTTTTTCAAAGCTGATCTGAAGAGAATGAACTCAGTAATCAATAAAATACTTTATTAAACGTACCACAACAACACAATTTCTACCATTTTGTGCATATCTGAAAAAATATTTCACGAAACTTAACATTGTATGATGCTAAAACCTCTATTACCTTATTCAAAAACAACTTTTATTTGTGACCGCTTTTGTGAACGCACAATGATCACTATGATCACAATGACAATAATTTCAAAGACACTTTAAGACAAAACAGAAAACTCATGAATATTCATTTATACTCCATCCAGCATAACCAAATATCTAAGCCACAGAAAATTTCACAAAACCTGTTACCAAAATATGTTTTGAAAGCCAACATTCATTAACACATAGATATATGATATGAGTAAAACATATGAATATATATTTTTAAATGTCTTTGGCATAATGTGAGGACGGGCCGTATGTGGCGTATGAGCTGTAGGTTAGGGACCCCTGCTCTATACTCTCTTAACATTCTCATTTTAACATAGACTAGTTTAAAGAACCATTTAGCCATCAGAGAGGATTACAATTCACAATCTGACCAGAGAGTATTACAATTCACCATCAAAAACCTGATAATTCAGCACCTCAATTTTCTCTAGAAGCTTAAAATATCCAGCCATGGCTCTTGAATCACTTAATGTGCATGAAACAAACTCTCTATTTATGATTTGGGACAAAAACAAGAATTTTTTGAGACTTAAAAGCAAGTGAATTTGAATAGGTTTATTTAGTGGTTGTTCAAAATAGAGTTTGGAGGTGCAACATCACACTGTGGGCTAGGTAGGGTGAGGCCCAAACCACTTCTCCCCTGAAAGACAAAAAAAAATGAGTGGACAATTAGAGCCTTTGACCAAAGATGTCAATATCCTACAGTTTATGGTTTTATTTATGGTTTAAAACTGGCTATGGAAAATATTAAAAAGTAATAATTGAACAAATAAATGAAAACCAACAAACAAAAAAACTGAATTAATAGCAACCTAAGTGTATTTTATCATATGCAATGTAGATTTAGTGTGCATTAAAAGCACTATGCTTTTGGCTCAATCTCTAATGGCACACTTCATTTATCCAATGGTCCAGTTGATTCAGATAAATTGCATCCACAGATGATGTGTTCTATACATTTCTAGCTCAAATCTGTAAGATTTCCAAGACTCTTCTGTTTCCTTGTTTCTGCAGTTGGTGAGGTTTTCTGCTTGTCTCTGGCTGGCATGACAAATTATTACATTTTAGTGTATTTTGAAATCAATTAGATAGGTGGCAAGCCATTGATTTTGATTATTTTAATATATATAATAAGTACGCTTGACCAGAATTCTTGTGTGAAGAAAGCATCATTATTCACTAGTGATGTTGTCATCTATTACAGTATTTTAACCCATAGACGTTGGGACAGCACCAGATGCCAATATTAGTTACAAACAAAGGATATAGTGCTGCTTGAATCTTCCACTACAGAATCTGGAGTACACAAGGTGTACTTGATGCTATACAAAAGTTTATTGAAGAATGCTGGTCTTTTGTTTGGTTCAGATGCAATTGAATGTTACAGATATGGATTGCATCTGAGGTAAGACTAAATATACACGCAATCTTTCAATGTGCACTCATGAACATTTACAAAGGCTGTCGAGTGCACATGTCCATTAGGTCCACAAGTCTGCTTGTGTGCATTAGTTTGTTTCTGATTGAACCACATCACTTTCATTACAACCATTGATTTGGATTTTGTCTAGAGATTGTGGGATTATCGATCTTAAATAATCCACTGACAAATAACCCAATAATAACTCAATAACTCAAACTAACACATAGGATTTTTCCTGGTGCATGTAATCCCGATGCTTTGAGCAGACTTCTACCAGATATTCAAAGTGACAAAACATCACAGATGTGCTCAGTAAATTAAGGCCTTAATATACCTCAAATGAAGTTCTTAAGTCTTCGCTTGAGAGCAATAAGAAGTTTGAAAAGGCTGAGGGCTGTATTTTAATGATCTAGGCGCAAAGTACAAAGTGCACGGTACAAAAGCATTAAGGGCATGTCTGAATCAACTTTTGCTATTTTAAGGACGGAAAAAAATGTGCTCTGCACCGCAGCGCATGGTCTAACAGGGTTGAGCTTATTCTCTAAATGAGTTATAGGTGTGTTTTGAGCATAAACCAATCAGAGTCTCATCTCACATTCCCTTTAGGAGTCAGTTGCGTCGCTCCATGGGGCACTTGCTATATACAGTACATAACAGACTTTGTTAGTGGAAAAACTCAACACTTCAATAGTGAGAAAATAGTTAAACAGCATCTGCAGCGAGAGGATACTTTCACTTTCTTTCATGGATAAGGAAACTGTGTTGTACACACTACGCCAAAGATATCTATTAGCCTACATAATTATTTTGTTTATTAAGCGCAAAGATTTGTTTCAAAACTATTTCTAAATTCAGTTCTAATTTCCAGCAAACAAATAAGTGAACAATAATAATGAAGTGTGGTCAAAAAACAGAGTTACATTCCAAAACCTGACAGGTGGACAAATCTAAGCTTGTTTTTATTAAAACAAATATAAATATGCATATAATAAATAATAGTGCAACCAATAATAACATTATGCAAAAGCAAATTGTCGCGAATAAACTGAAAAAAGCCCCTGAGGTGAAGAAGGCAGGGAGGCAGTGGTTTTTGTATTTATGTAGAAAATGATTTTTTTTGTAATGTTTTAATCTTTTAATTCTTTTTCATTTGTAAAGATATTTGTGTTTTGCTGTACATCCTGTGTGTTTTAAGCAAGGTTTACAGCTAATGCATTCTGCGCTGGACTTTAGACCTGCTTTCAGCTGGTCTATTGCACAGTCTATTTTAGATCCTCAAAATAGCAACGTGTCAACAATGTGCCTTAACACACCTTTTTTCTAGACCGGAACACCCATAAGTCCACAAAGTGTTGCAAATGGATTTGCTATTTAAACAACATGGCTAAAAACAGGAAAATCAAGGTTGCATTGATCTGAAAATAGCAACACGTCATGGAAACACGTCTTGCGGCTTTTTGTGCTTGGTATATGATAGGGCCCTGAGTGACAGTATACTGTTTTCAAGCACTCCACAGTGCTTGCATGCACCCATAAACATAAACTTACCTAGAAAATACGCCATAAGCTCAAATCTGTCTGAACCGAAGAAGACCCCAGCCTTTCCGTCAACCTGAACCACAATGAATGGTAAACCAAAGCACTACAGAGGGGAAAATTGTGTTAGCGTGTTTTATTTATTAACACAAATACATTATGCTAAGGGTGTAGAGATGCAAGCAAGCACCACTGACTTTATATTTCAGAGCTTCATTTGTGATACTTGTCAGCTTGTCTTTGATTTGCTGAGATTTAGCAAGGATCAGAATATCCTCTACTTCATTGGCTGAGAAACCAGCCTTTATTCCCACCTGTAAAAATTAAAAGGATTTTAAAGAACAAAAGAGTTTGTATTATTGCCTTTGTTATAGGTTTAGCATATGTCAGTGGTGAAATATATTTTAGAATATACTAATTACTGTAATCTTGATTTAATTTTGTAATCTTGAGTATAGCATACCTCTGTGAGTGAGGCAGGCTGGACTATGTCCTGATGAGTGCTCCACATTCGTTTCCAGAGCTCCCTAGACACCTTCTCCACCAGATCATCACCATCTTTTTCCTTCTCTGCTACAGCGGTCACAAAACGCATCGGAATCACAGAGTCTAACATTGCAAAGAGAAAGACAGACAAGAAAAATGGAGGCAGTGCTCCATCATTTTTCTCCCAGGACACCCAGGAAATATTGAGGTGAATGATGATAGTAACTGCAGATTTGGTTTAAGAAAAAAGTTAAATTTTGTACCTACATGACTAAATAAGGTAAAACCCTTCCTCGACAATTAAAAACATGCTTTAGAAATATTTGGTGAGAGACCTTTCTTGATAAGTTTTGATGGTCGATACATTGGAACCCCAAAGTACTGAGACAGCAGCGTCAGATCTGAAGTCATGTACAAGAGCTTACTAGGGTTTAACACAGGGGGCTGGTTTCCTATGAAAAGAACAAACTTAATAAGCTTTTCCCAAATAGTGAAAATGTATGTTATAATTAATATATGTATTTTATTCATTTGTAAAATAAAGAGAATAATCCTAAATTAGTTACATTTACTGTCTGGGATTTTTATATTTTTGTACTGTACAGATTGGAATGAGGTCATTTCCTTGTTACCTGAGCCATACATGACGCCTGCTAAATATGCCGGTTTCAATTTGAGTTCGACGTTCCAGATATGTTTGTACCGACACAGTACCTTAACAAAAACAAAACAAAAACACAAATATAAACTATAAAAAGAAAAAAAATATATTAAAAATATAAAAATAGCAATGATTAAATTTATACTATTCTGTAGTTCAAATGGTAGAGTATTAAAATGTTAAAATAAACTGATCAAAAGTGCACCTTTAATGCAATGTAAGGTTAAAGGCAGAAAATACTATGCACCTCAAATGCCAGCCAGGAGTAAGGAGAGGAAATATCATAGAACAACTTGATCACCTTTCCAGAACTGATCATCTGTAATAAATAAGCACATTTTAACATTTGATGAGAAGCTGAATTTCACAATGACATCACCAAAACTATTTATACAATTATAATTTATACTATGGAAGAAAGAGTCAATAAAGATAGACAATGTGTAACATCATATTCATCAAAAGACGGTTTATGTGCAAGTAACCGCACCGGTCCGAGCAGGGAGCGAGCCGGCATGGGAGACAAGCTCCGAGGATGCTAAAGATTGCAGAACAACGTCTGTCGCTGGATCCGAGGACTGAGATTTACGCGATCACCAGCTGGCTTCCGTTACATAAGGGCAAATATAGATGACTAAAACCTCATTTACTCATTTTACTCATACTTTTTATGATTTATAATGTCCAAAGCATTGATATTAATATTAAATGCTACTTTTCTGCCTTTATTAGCCTTTTTCTCGCCTGTTTACTGGGTTAAAAATCTTACATTATTCCATCTTCACCTGCTGGTGAAAGCTAGAGCAGCTGGCGATCTTCATTCTGTAATCTATTGCTTTTCCTGCAGTTCCCGGATGTAATGTTGAATTTTATCAGTCAAATTTGATCCACTGAATTTATGGAAGTGAATATTTGAACTGAAATAAAATGAACTGAAAATTACCTTTTGAATATTATACATCCTATTTTTAAAGGGTATTGAATATTTTGTAAGTAAAATCTGAAAATTGAATATGAATTATTAAATTTTCAAGTATGAAAATTTTCAAGTGTTTAAAATATTTTTCGTTGAAATATTCACAGCTTAAATAAACAGATATGTTAAATTTCAGGACCTAAAAATACAAACCCTGGAATTCAAGTCATTGAAATGCAAGAACTTGTTAATACGGTGTATTATTTTTTTCAGTTTGTGATATTCAACAAGCTTTTTAATTTAAGACTTTTGGCATTGATTTTGTTCCATAGATACTTAGACAAGTTAGTTTGGGTCGTAGCCTATCCACTTGTTAAGTGTAACGTCACGCAAAGCGGCTTCCGGGTCCAAGCGCTATATTAAACTGTACCAAAATAAGTTATCAAAAAAATTGATTCGGGGATATTTGATCGGGGAGATAAACAAACCTCACTATTTAAATACAAATATTTTATGTAATTCATATAATCAAGAAGGCTGCAAGATTTTGATAATTCCAATACAATTTTTAAACTGAATTGGATTAAACATTATATTAAACATAAAAATGTAATTTAGTATATATTCCCAAACCTTATTTTTTGAAAAAGTCGGTGGTATAGAGTTTCTTTTAAAGTGTGACTTTGAGATTAATTAACTCCCCATTCAGTTATCTAATTTTCATAGGCAGGCTATTATTATATATATATTTCCTAGAAGTTTGATTCATTATCCTGCAACTTTTAAACAAGTACTTTTGGAATAACCAATTTGAGAATATCAATTGGAACTTGATCTGACTTTATAACAACAAATATTGTGCCACTAATAAAGTCAGTGAAATATATTTTAAAGTTATACATAAAATACATACAACCAACCATTTTCTCAAGAGATATAATCTGAATCTTGTGTTTTTTGCAAATTAGATGTTGAGACTGTGATGCATTTCTTTTTTTGATTGTATGTATGTTAAATATTTTTTGGTTTGATGTTGAATGTCTATTTTAATATAATGAGGGGTCATAGAATTAATATAAAGAAAAAAGACATCATTTTATGCAGATAAAAAAAGATAACAATAAGAATCGCCTGTTTATGTTAAATCTTTTGATACTATTAGACAAATTTCATATACACAAGTGTAATGGATGAAGAGGATTCTAACATCTTCCATTTCAAGGCTGATTATAAAATCGTAAAGCAACCATAACAGTGAATATAAAAACTTCTCTATGGTAATTGTCTTGTTCTTTAAATTATTTATTTATTTATTTTTTATTTTATTTATTTATTTATTTTTTTGTTATTTTTCTAGATGTTATGCAAAATGTGAATATTCTATTGTAATATTTGTTATGAATTTGATTGGAAATGTTCAGTAAATACAATACTTTTTTTTGCTAAATCAAACTTATGCTAATGGGAAGTCATATGTCCTCATTTAGTATCATAGAATTGATCCTGTACTAAACATAAATGGAGTAGATTAGAAATTTTTTAGTAAAAAAAAAAAATGTACAAACAAAGTTATTAGATTATAATTTTTTTAAAACAGCTTTAAAGCCTAGAGGTACATTTGTTTGGAATCTTTGTTTTGAAGATATTGTTTGGAAAAAAGCTTGGTTGCTTCCTTTTAGTTTCTGCATAGGTAATAAACATAGGGAACTACATTTAAAAATATTTCATAACATTTATGTTAGCAATGATACATTGTTTACATTTATGCAGACTGATGGAAACTGCTCGTTCTGTTTGGATCATCCAGAGTCTCTGGTTCATCTTTTTTATGAATGTCAACATTCAAAGAAGTTTTGGGAAGACATATCATTGTATGTCCAAAATAAAATCAGGTTTTCGATGTAATTTGACCCCAAAAGATGTAATTTATTTTTTCTTCTTTTGTGCAATTTATAATGAATCTTTGGATTTTATATGGTACATTTCATATTGATAAATGTAGATTGAATAATTCTAAACCTTGATTAAAGGTTTCTATTATAGATTTTAATTTATATAGACTCACTCCAGTATATTAATAGTAAAAGTGTCAAAATACAATTAAAGCTGCGAAAGAGTTATATTGAATAGTAAGCTTGCTGTCAATCGGGTAAGGTAAATAATCCCTTATTATAATAGTTATATTTTCATTGTAAGGTTTTCTATTTTGAGGTTGTCTTTTTATTTATTTCATGCCATTTATTTTTTTAGCTTATTTATGTTATTAGTTACGTTTGTATTATTTGGATGTCATGTTTAAATTGTATAATTGCTGTTGTTAAAAAAAGCACTTTATCAAACGTAACGTTAGCAAAGTGGTGTAATACTTTCGAAAATCATGATCGCAATATAGAGTTGAAGTCAGAATTATTAGCAACCCCCCTCCCCTTCTTTTTTTTTTTTTTACTTTTTTAAATATTTCCCAAATGATGTTTCACAGAGCAAGGAAATTTACTCAGTATGTCTCATAATATATTTTTTCATCAAGAGAAAGTCTTATTTCATTTATTTCAGCTAGAATAAAAGCCGTTTTTAAAAAAAAAAAAAAAAAAAAACAAACATTTTAGAGTCAAAATTATTAGCCCCTTTAAGCTATATTTTATTTCAATAGTCTACAGAGCAAACCATCGTTATACAATAACTTGCCAAATAACCCTAATCTGCCTTGTTAACCTAATTAACCTAATTAAACCTTTAAATGTCACTTTAAGCTGTATAGAAGTGTCTTGAAAAATATCTTGACAAATATTATTTAGTGTCATCATGGCAAAGATAAACTTAATCAGTTATTAGACATGATCAGTTATTAAAACTATTATGTTTAGAAATGTGTTGAGAAAATTTTCTTTCTGTTAAACAGAAATTGGGGGGAAAAAATAAACAGGGGCGCTCATAATTCTGACTTCAACTGTATATATCCATGCCTAATATCCGATGGCCAGAAAGTGATTATTTATGTATAAATTGTTACAATATTGGTATTTGTGATGCAGAAGTCCAAAGTTGTGTAGACCATGATTTTATAGAAAATGTAATTTAATGTGTGATATGACTAAAAAGTGGCCATAAATGAATATTTTCTCTATTTAAATGAGTAGCAGCTTGGACCCGGAAACAGTATTTCACACGTCACGACTTAAATCCGGCAATTACTGAGGATAATGATTACATGTTCGACATATAGCAAAGTTTATCTATAGTATTTGCCTATGGCATGCTGGCATTGCATTTAAAACTGGTTAAAATGGTTCAGAAATTTGACTAAACAATTCATTTTTTAACTGAACAGATCCAAGTGCATCTCTTCTTGAGTCATCAATTTACTGTTTCGAAAGATCCACTGAATTTATTAAGTGATTTACATGGAATCAAAATCAGGAGATCCTCTGAGCTTGAGTGCCTGTGATTATTGTCATGAAATGTACATTTTCTAATGCTGCAATTTTAGGATTTATTGTTGTAAATCATAATCATATTTTCTGTCATGATGAGCTGTTGTTTGTGAACTAAATCTACTATAAGGTCGAGATGCAAGCCCAAATGTATAGAGTGTTCAGAAATGTTGACTTTACTCTTCCCTAATAAACATAAACACAAAACTAGAATGGTTACATGTCATTCTTTTCATTTGCCTTGTGCTACTTTTTTTTAATATTGTATGTTTTTATTTGTCAGCACATTTTCTTAAATATACACTATGTGGTATAATTAGTTATTTTCATTTGTTTTTACTCTTGAACTGTCATTATTGTTAGTAGTTACCAGTGTATGACAAGTTTTGATAATAAAGTTCTATCCTTTATTTATTTATTTATTTATTTATTTATTTATTTATTTATTTTGTAATTGAAAAATCAAGTACTTTTGTACGAGTGAAATTTGAAAGAGCGTCTACATAATTATACTGGATAAATATTTAGTAAGGGTAACCTACTTCGTCCTTTACTGGCAGACATCCAAAACGCTGCTGTGTGCAGCTGACAACTTGAGAGGAGCTTATAGAATTCCCAACACAAATACCTGCTGCCAAGAAATGAGATTCCGATGCATGCTGTATTGAGAATTAATAGTCAACATTATGATATGAAAAACCTGATATTAGAACAATTAGTAATATTTTTCCAAGGTATGATTTAATGTTTTGAAAGTGGCATGACCCCACCACATGTCTGACACTGTAAATGCATGTTTCTTATTTTATTTCTTACTTTTTTTATCATTTTCATCAAGAGGAAATCATAAGAGCATTATACTAATAGTACATTTTAAATTCAGTGAACCACAAAAGTAAAATTTTGAATCTTGCAAATTTAAAGAAATATCCTGTATAAACTCTGCAAACATTTTCTAAAAGCTGTTGCTGTACACCCCTCACAAATCTAAGCTATAAATTTATATTTTTAATAGGAAGCCATACAATATTATATTTGTGCATATACATTAGTTTAGTCAGTACTGAAGCCAAATCTGCAGCTTATCTAACAAAATAACTTATACACATATACTAGGATGTTACTTTGACATGCACTTGACCTGAAATAGCAGTTACTTGAAGCTGTCTTTTAACCTTCTGTTCAGGAGAGGAAAGAAAAACATTACTGATGCTGCAATTCCCTACAAGATGCATTTAGTAATAATCGTGTTTGCATTGTGTTATTTAAATGTCTTGTTATTGCATGTCTTTAACTTACCCTGCTGCTCTGTTGTGCTTTTCTGATTTGGATGTGATGTCTGTATTATGGTGCACTGCCACCGCCGACTACACTGTAAAGCCCCAATGTATGCTTGATTTATATAGAGTCCAGCTATATTTATCTTCAACGTGACACTGAATGACTTCAGAAAAAGCAACTTCCAAACACTTGAATACATTTTTTTCTAGGCCTACTGGCCTAGCTTGCTGCCTAGCTATCCAGTCTGCTAACATAAAAGGCATAAAGAACCACAGTTTGCAGTTTGAAGATCCGTCCCTTCTGTCCATTATTCTGTTTTTGTAAAACTGTGAAACACAAAATAAATCTATTTTTAATCTCACATGAGTCAGTAAGATATTTTTCCGTGCATCAGGCAGGAGTGGGCGTAGCCAGCAGGGGAGAAGGTCAGTTAGCTCACAAAATGAGACACAAACCGTGAGGAGAGGCATGAGTTTATAGTTTACAAAGTTAAAATGCAAAGAAATGAACAGGGATTTAATGCCCTGCTACATTTGTTATTCATAATTTCATAAACAGAAAACCACAATTTATATCATTATAAAGATGTGTGTTCATGTAAACACTATAAATGAGGACTTCTCCCTCAATCCCCGTATCCAGCAGACTCAGTGCAGCAGGTCTCCTGACCTGTTCATTTTAACCATTAACCCTGCTGGTAATCTGGAGGATTTAGGCAAACACAGCAGCATGGCGATGTGTCTGAATGTGAACGAACTCCTGATAAAAGACAACATCCGCCATTCTGTAATTCTCGTGCTGCTCTCCCTACAAAAAAGCTAGCAGCACACACACAGCTTTGCTGTATGATCGGCCCTGACAAGATCGCGGGGGAAAACATGCAACAAACCCCGTGGATCATGGAAACAAACGCATATGAGCCTACATGAACGGCTAAATACTGTGCCGTGGTTTCCGTGTCTCTCAGCTCGGGCTTGACACTGGCAGGTCTCATGAATAATTAAGCAGCCGGCTCTTCTCATAGGATAAGAAAACTCCGCTATGAATAATAATGAGAAACCGACGCGTCATCATTGCACTTGCAGTTCTGCGCTACGTCGCTGATTTTGATCCCGCCCCAAAAATCATTTTAAACCCGGAAGCTGAAATTAGCTGACAAAAGCTCAAAAATATCCAGTTTCCCCCCACAATTAAAGCTGACAGGTGCTAACAATAGCCCCTTTCACACAGTGATACCGGTAAATATCTGGAAAATTTCCGGAACGACTTTACCGGTATATTCAAAAAAGCACTGTTCACACAGGCGAGGACGTTACGGAAATTTTCCAGAAAAGAGCATTCACACATCCATTCCAAAATACCGGTAAATTCTGACATCATTCACCACAAATGAGCTTTAAACGGCTGCGCTTGTATTTGTAAACATTTGACTAAATTACAAACTCTGTGGATGATCAATATTGTAAACAACTTTCGCAGGATCACTTTCGCATGTCGAGATGTTCATGTGCGTGTGCAAGCGCTCACAGGCTGTTTCACAGGCACACGCAAAGCTTGAAGGTAAACAAACAACGGCTTATTATAAGCATCTCATCGATGATTATTTACACAGTTGGCATTAAGAAGAACATATAAACGTGATCTGACTAACTTCTAGCAGCTAAATGTGTCTGGAAAAATATTCAAAGGCTTTTATTCTCACAAACCGCGCGGACGTAAATGCGCCTGACTGTTGTGATTGGCTAAAGTAGACGTCTCACGTCAGCACGTTCTAGACGTGCACGCGCTTATTACGGCAATCTTCCTTCTGCATTCACACAGCGCAGCATTCCGGCAAATTGCCGGTAATGTTACAACTTCTCTTTCCGGAAAATAGCCAGAACGAATTTACCGGTATTTTCAAAAAGGACCTGTTAACACATACAACCTTTCCGGAAAATTGCCGGCAATTTTACGGAAAGGTCTGTATGTGTGAAAGGGGCTATTGTCTTAACTGATGCTCAACACACACCAGGGGCGGACTGGGACTAAAAATCTGCCCTGGCCACACCAGCCCACATTACCACACCAACACAGCCCCATCCACGGACACGCACATTCACTACTTATATTGTTGTACAGATGGTGACATAATGTAAGAAGTACCATATTTTACGCAGCTGATGTCCTCCAAGCTGCAACCCATCATTGGGAAACCCCTATACACACAAATTCACATACGTGAAGTTTATTCATAAACAAGTTTCGAGAGGATCACGTGCTTATGATTGTTCACAGCTGTTCCAACTTTAGCTAATGACTGATTATCCTATCAGACGATCCTTAACTCACTATAAATAACCAGACTTTTTTCATCTAAATATCTTCGTCTTGAAGAAACCTCCCCACCCAACCCTACTTTCCCTCCTTTCAAACGGGCGTCACGGTGGCCAGCGATTAGCGCTGTTGCCTCACAGCAGGAATGCCCCTGGTTTAATTCCTTTCCAAACCAGATGGCATTTCTGTGGGCACTTCTGTTTGCTCGTTCTCCCCGTGGTCACGTGGGTTTTCCCCGGGTCCTCCGGTTTCCTCCCACAGTTCAAAAACAAGCACTCTAAACAATTAATCAAAATACATTAGCTAAACTCTGAGTACACCTTTCAGCATACATATCCGACACTTAGCTACAACAAGCAAGAAGGGGAGTCATCGAGATCTACCTGAGCTCAAACTCCCCTCTCGCCTTGCAACGGGAGGGAGCCCAGGGCTCGAGGATCTTATAAGCTCAGGGCTCTCTCCCGGGACAGCACGCCAAACTAGATTTACTATCAATCATCAGCTAAGTGTGAACTCTTGAAATGCACTATGGCCAATTAGGCCTACCCAATTCGACTATAGCACATGTGTTTGGACTTGTGAGGGAAACCGGGAGGAAACCCATGCGAACATGCAAACTCCACACAGAAACACCAGCTAACCAGCCGAGGTACAAACCATCGACCTTCTTGCTGTCAACAGTGTCCTTTCCAGTCTATTTCAGTTAATGTTATGCATTTGGCAGCGTCTGATTTTAGAGCAATTTTTTTGCGTTTTCTTGGCTTTTCGGCACCGCCTTTTCTTTTTTTTTTTAACGGTCCATCTCTGACAATTAGCTTGTGTTGCACTTACTGTTTGTTTGACATTCTTGCCAGATTTTGATTACGTCCATGTAACCTCTGATTGGGTCTGCCCATCTCGAAACCAGTCAACCATTGCCGATTGGGCCAACGCTTAACATTTATTATTATTATTATTATTATTATTACTATCATCATCATCATCATCATCATCATAATATTCACATCTTGCAAGAGAAAAACATGTAAAAACAATACATATTAAAAAAACGTTATTTAAAAAATAGCATACCGGCCCACATTTTAAAAAAATGGTCCGGCCCTTCTGGCATTTGCCAGAATTGCTAGATGGCCAGTCCGCCCCTGACACACACACATCTGTTAATATAAAAAAAAAGTTCTCCAGGGTGTCCTGAACCTTTAATCATTGGATGGCGCTGGAAGACAATACAGATTACTGACAATGAACAAAGAACTTTAAAGCATTGCACGGACCCATACCCGATTGCCATTTCTTATACTGTTTTCCTATATCTGTTTTCAAATCTCAAATGTACTTATGGTCTAAAACCATGACAATGATGAACATATTAGATAGCAGTTACTTAAATTGTAATGATATTAAAAAAAATCTTTTTATTGTATTTTTGATCAAGTAAATGCACCAGTTCTCTCCCGCAACACAAAATAAAAAGAGCTATACTGGACAGCAAGGGTTTTTTTATACTCTAAAATTACTTAGGAATTTAAGAATTAAAATATGCTGTAGGACACTAATCTAATAAGAAAAAAATGGTGGGAAAACCAAAGCACTGCAAAAACCGGTGGAGAAAAAAAATCACTGTAAGGAGTATTTATTCTAATACACTACAAAGACATTTTGGATAGAAAGAAGAAAATTAAAGTGCACTGACTTTATACTTAATGGCTTCACTTCTTTGATTGTCTTTGATTGCCTGAGATGTGGCGAGGGTCAGCAATTCATCCACCTCACTGGCTGTAGGACCTGCCTTTAATCCTGCCTGTGAAAAACAAAAAGAAAAGACATCATGTAATGTAATGTAATGTAAAGTTACACTTACGGCCACTTTATTAGGTTCACTTATACGTTTTATCAACGGTTCAGGCTGGTGGTGTAAGGGGGATATTTGTGGGGGATATTTTCTTGGCACACTTTGGGCCCATTGGTACCTAATGAGCATCGTGTCAACACCATCCCTTCGCCAAATGTCCATCTCTTTATGACCACAGTGTATCATCTTCTGATGGCTATTTCCAGCATGATAACGCATCACGGCATAAAGCATGAATCATATTGGACTGTTTTCTTGAACATGACAATGAGTTCACTGTAATCAAATGGCCTCCACAGTCACCAGATTTCAATCCAATAGAGCACCTTTGGAATGTGGTAAAACGAGAGATTCGCATCATGTATGTGCATGCAACTGTGTGATGCTATCTCAATATGGACCAAGGAATATATCCAGCACCTTGTTGAATCTATGCCACGAAGGATTAAGGCAGTTCTAAACTCAAAGGTGGGTCTAACCCATTACTTGTAAGGTGTAATTAGGAGGGGTCAATCCCCTCCAAACCCCCCTGTAATTCGCACCCTGAGTATACACTTTTTAGTGTTTACACTTTATGATGGGGTTCTTCACACAAGGAATATCATTTTTGGACTGTGGAATATTACGAAACGTCGTTCGAATGAAATTAACCATGAAAAGGGAAGCTTTTTACTGAAATTGTGTGATAAATTGCTTGGGTACAGTTGAAGTCAGAACTCTTAGCCCCCTGAATTATTAGCGCCCCTGTTTATATATTTTTTTCCCCCAATTTCTGTTTAACGGATTGATTGTTGATTGTTTCAACACATTTCTAAACATAATTGTTTTAAAAACTCATTTCTAATAACCGATTTATTATATCTTTGCCATGATGACAGTAAATATTATTTGACTATATGTTTTTCAAGACACTTCTATAAAGCTTAAAGTAACATTTAAAGGCTTATCTAGGTTAATCAGGGTAACTAGGCAGGTTAGGGTAATAAGGCAAGTTATTGTATATCAATGGTTTGTTCTGTAGACTATTGAAAAAATAGCTAATAAAATAAGGGGCTAATAATATTGTCCCAAAAATGTTTTTTTTAAAACTGCTTTTATTCTAGCCGAAATAAAACAAATAAGACTTTCTCCTGATGAAAAAATGTTATCAGACATACTATGAAAATTTCCCTGCTCTGTTAAACATAATTTGGGAAATATTTTTTTTTAAAAATTAAAAATTAAAAGGGGGGCTAATAATTCTGACTTCAACTGTATGTATTATTTAGATTGCGTTAATCAATCATCAACCGGTTTGTAGATGACATGATCATAAAATAAATTAAAGCCTCTTAATTCCTCTGAATCTGAGACTGTATCTCTGCAATTCTTAAACATACTGACACCCAACTTAAAGTGTATCATTGTCACCTTTAGACTGACCACATCACATAAACTTGGTTACAGTGTCACCTATTGGCCAAGAGTTATATATCATTCATCATTATTAATAATGAAACTTACAAAATTGGTAATAACTTTTGGTAGTAAATGTTTATTTTGACAAAATTTGTCTCAATTTTTCATTGCGTCATGCTGACAAAGACAACAATTTTGCCATAATCTGCCAAAATTTGTTTGCCATATTGATTTTGTCTAGATTACACTTTTAATGGTTATTTGTCTCCACCCTGCTAAACTGTGCTTAATCTTAACTTCGTCTCTTCATCTAAACACTACTTGGCCATCAAAAGATACAAGATATTATTTTGTTACCTATTCTACTCTGTGACCAACAGTAAGAGTTAACATTTTAGACTTGAATGTGTGTGAATTTGAATATGTTTATTTGGTTGTAGGTTGTTTAAATACAAAGTTTGAAAGAGTAGTGTCACACTCTTGGCTTGGTAGGGTGAGGCCCAAATCATTTCTCCCCTGAAAGACAAAGGAAAGAATGAGTGGACAATTAGAGCCTTTGACCAAAGATTTCTATATCCTACAGTTAGGTAGACATTTATTGTTTAAAACATTATCAGGAAAACTGCCCAGTTAGCAAAGAATTCTAGTCCAGATTTGGCATCAAGCTGGCACAGCAGGCATTCGTCCGCACTGGCATACAACATGTGGGCCTAACATAACCCAGGTTTGGCCGAGGTGGCACCATTTTAGAGGTGGCACTCAAGACTTGGGCCAGTCAAATGTAGTATTTTGCCCAAATGTTAAAAATGTATATGTGGACCACTTAAGTTTGGCCTATCTTGACCCACTTTTAAAATACATTTAAATAATTTTTAATTAAAGAAAAAATTCTATCAATCAGGTCGCTTTAAGAAAAAGCACAGCCATAAAGCAAAATGCTTGATGGGTTTAGAAAAAACATTGCAGTCGTGACACACCAACACATCAGGTCCAGTTCAGGCCCAGTTATGGGTTATTAACTTGGCTGAGACTTGGCCCAGATATGGTCCATGTTTGCCTCTTGTATGGAAGCCAGACTTGGTCCAATCATGTACCGTAATTCACTGCAGCATGTGGGCCAAGCAAATGCTTATGGTGTGGGCCAGAGAAATATTGCTATGGGGGTGGGTAAGTAAAAGATGAAAACTAATACAAAAAAAACAAATAAATAAAACAAACAAAAAACAAAATAATTAGCAAGCTAAGTGTACAGCGTCTCATCAAGTGCAGTGTGGATTTAGCCCAATCCCAAATAGCACACTTCATTTACGCAAGGGTCCAGTTGATTCAGTACTGTAATTTGTTTTCAAGGACCATGATAGGAGGCCATGATGGACAGAGGCCATTGGGCAGATTTGGCCAGGATGCAGGGGCTAAACCCCTACTTTTTTTCGAAGGACATCCTTGGATTTTTAATGACCACAGAGAGTCAGGACCTCGGTTTAATGTCTCATCCAAAAGACGGCAGTCAGTCAGACACATCACACTTTAGTATTCAGCCTAAAGTGCCATTTAAAGAGTTATATGTATGTTAAAGAAGTGTATGTTAATGTATGTTAAAGAAAAATGAGGAAAGCCATTGGACAACAGTGGTTTGTTCTGTACAAAATAATTCTTAAGGGGTTAATTATATTGACATGCTTATCAGGCCTATATAAACTGCTTTTACTCCAGCCAGACTAACATAAATAGCCTGAGACTTTCTCCAGAATAAAAACGTGAACATTTTCTTGGTCTATTAATCATAAATTTTGACTTCACATGAGTGTGTGTGTGTGTGTGTGTGTGTGTGTGTGTGTGTGTGTGTGTGTGTGTGTGTGTGTGTGTGCGTGTGTGTGTGTGTGCGCGCGCGCGTGTGCGCGCGTGTGTGTGTGTGTGTGTGAGTGTTTGTGTTTACTCCATACCTCTTTCACTTCTTGGAAGAAAATACAAAAAGATGAGGCAAAATGGCAAAACAGTCTGATTACCTTTGTTTGGATGCATGCAAATATGAATGTTGCTATTTTTTGTTGGAATAATTTTCATGGAATAACGCCACATGAAAATTACAATTTACTAAAAAAATCACACAAACATTAAAAAAAGTGAAAATGACAACAAACAGGAATTTAAATTAAGAGAGAAATAAAAAAGAGCACATGCACATCCTAATTATTTATTTGTAACATTTTGTTATATTAGATATGTGTTTACAAAGGTGTGTTTTGTTTTTGTTTGCATGTAAATCTAAATTAATAAACATATGTTATGGTCTTTGTCTTTTTTTTAGTTATCTACAAAAATACAAAAAAGGTATACAACAAAGCCAGGTAAAAACCATAGTAAAAAATAGTAGATAGAGAATAAATTGTAATTTGTCAGTATCATCCGATAAGCATTCAGCTGAATCGTCAGGCAGTCATTTCCCATCATGCTTTTGGTAAAGTGCGATGTGAAGTGTGATGCCATGTTCTAACATCTGTGTATGTATGATGGAGCGTTTGTTTTGATTTGTTGCTTATTTGTAATTTGTGGCTTTGTGCCAACAGGTGTCTGTTCACAGGGGTTTTATAATTAGTGGCGGCCGAGTCTAACGATTTTACTAAACTTACATTAGCTGTCCCCACTCGGCACCAGAGGGCCAAGACTGTAGCCCATGTGTTGGTTACAGAATGGTTTTATAAGTTTGGTGTTCCAGTGTGGACATTCAGATCAAGGACGTAATTTTGAGTCTCTACTGATGCAGCAGTTTTGTTTACTTTGCGGCATTAAGTCTCCAACCCAAACTCATTCTAAAAACGTAGTCCCGCGGACATTTATGGAGACCGCAATTTATGTAGCCGGAGGTACATTTTTTTCAGCGATTGCTACGGGGCGATGTGACGCTGTTCCTCTTCGTGCTCGCCCGCTGGCCGCTTACCTCCGTGTGAAGGGCTTTCCCACAACAACCAGTTTGTCCAGTTAGCTCATCTTGTACGCCGGCCGAGTGGAGGCGTGGAGAGGAGCTGATTACGATGATCGGGTTCAAGTCCGGGGAAGAGCGATTCCAGAAATCAGGTAAGACAAAAAAAGAATCCAAAAAATAAAGTGAATGAGTTCATAACAGGGTGAGAATGTGGTGAAATCCGAAAACGTGGTCAAAATCAGATGAGGGCTTTTCTTTTTCTGGACGGCTTTTGTAAATCGTTACTTGGGTTTAAGGAAGCAAGCCAGCACGCGGGTCAATTGGTAAAACCGGTTGGGTTCAAGGAAGGAAGAGGAGGGTGGGTCGGCTAATTGGCCGGTCGCCCAGTCAATCATTAAGCCAGTCGGACAGACGGTCATTCGACAGTGGCCTCCGGTGGGTTAACACGAGAACAGCACGTGTGCCAATGGCGCTCGAGAGAGACGTTCAAGATGCGACAAAGCGCACACAGCGGATTTGCGAAAACAAAAACTGCACAAATACGTACCTCCCGGGACGTATTTCGTGGTCTCCAGAAGCATCTGCGGGACTACGTTTTCAGAATGAGCCTGGGTTGGAAGTCTCGGACAACACCATTTCATCCAGCTGGTAATGGTCAGTGTGTGCACTTCAATAGGACCCTGCATAACCTCTTATGTACTCTCCCGCCTTCTAAGAAAAGAGATTGGGTATCTTGTCTTCCAGGCTACTGGTGAGTCACCACACTTCTTTATGTTCAGTCAGGAACCATGACTTGCAGTGGATTTTTTGTTGGGCCGAGTCTCAGAGCCAGTGGCAACAGCATGAGTGGGTTGTAGAACATCAGGCAAGGCTGTGGACTGCTTTCAAGGGTGCACAAGATCATTTGAGACTAACTGCAGATTGGTGGAAGGAGTGTTTTGATTTGCAAGTGTGAAATTTGCCTCTCAAAATTGGACAGCTTGTTTACCTTTTTGAATGTAGATTAAAGGTCAGAAGATTCAAGATATGTGAAGTTTGGTGATTTAAAGGGTCATAGAAGTGCCCAAGGAAGGAGGCTCTAAATATACTATTGCACCAGTACATGATGAGGGTAAGATTAAATGGGTTTATTGTTCACTAATTGAGGCTCAGGTTCGATACTGTGTTAAGTATTTTGTAGTTTTACTGCAACACAACTGAAGTAATACAATACATCTAATTCCATTACATCTACTGCAACACAACTGAAGTACTACAATACAACCAACTGCTGTACATCTACTGCAATACAACTGAAGAGCTGTTTTAAACTGCCGAAACAAACTTAAAATGAACATTATTTTGTCCGGATTATATTCTAAATAATGTGATTTCGCTTCATTCTTTGTTTTAAGTATATGAGGGCCTTTAAAAGAAATTGTTAAGATTTAGAGTGTCATTTGGTATTGGGGTTTGGTTTTTAGGAAATACTCCATAAGCTCAAGTTTGTAAGAACCAAAGAAGACCTCAGCCTTCCCGTTACACACAATAAATGGAAAACCGAAGCACTACAAAAATTGTGTTAGTATGTTTTATTAACACAAATAAATTTTGGAGGGAAAGACAAAGGGTGCAGAGATGCAAGCAAACAACATAGACTTTATACTCCAGGGCTTCATTAGTGATACTTGTCAGCTTATCTTTGATTTGCTGAGATTCAGCAAGGGTCAATGCTGAGAAACCAGCCTTTATTCTTACCTGTGAAATTCAAAAGGATTTTTAAGAACAAAAGAGTATATTTTATTGTCTTTATTATAAGTTTAGCATATGTCAGTGCTAAAGCATATTTTGGAATATCCACGTATGTAATTGTACTTTAATGTTGATTTAATTTGTAATCATGAGTGTAGCATACCTCTGTGAGTGATGTAGGCTGGACTATGTCCTAATGAGTCCTCCACATTCATTTCCAGAGCTCTCTAGGAACCTTCTCCACAAGATCACCACCATCTCTATTCTTCTCTGCTACTGCTGTCACAAAATGCATCAGAATCACAGGGTCTAAGGTGGCAAAGAGAAAATGGAGAATACATCACAAACTCTCTTTCGGCTTATTCCATACTTTATCAGGGATCGCCACAGCGGAATGAACAGCCAATTACTTTTGTAATTGTTTTACATAGATGCCCTTTCAGCCGCAAGCCAGTATTGAGAGTACAACCCTCAGTTCTGGGAAACACCCAAACAGTCTTCTCATTCTTGTTACTTTGTCTTTGTAGAGGAAACCAGAGCACCCGGAGGAAAACCATGGCCTCCTGGTTGAGCCAGAACTTAAATCAGCAACTTTGTTTCTGTTAGTCAACCATGCTAAAAACTGAGCAACAGTGCGGCTCCAAAATACATTACATTACATTAAAAGAATATAAAAATCATTATCCTCTTCCTAAAATTACAGGAATTTTCCAGGAGAAATAACAAAACGGGAGGGAGGTGGAAGATGGGTGTGAAATACGAAGACTCCAGGGAAAAACAAGATTGTTGGCAGGCATGGTCAGGACATTCTGTCCCAGGCTAAACCACGGCCGTGTTCTTTTAGCAGGCTCTACATCCAGTCATTTGTAACTGATCCAGGATGCAGCAGCAAGAGTGGTTTTAATGAGCCGAAAAGAACACACTGTTCACCCTCCGCATAATCTGAATTGCTACTGGATCCATTTGCTGCTGAGTCTTCTGTAACTGAGGGGATGCTGGAGTATCCATGTGCAGTATTTATTAAACAGAGAATGGTTAGACAGGCAAAGGTCGATCACAGGAGCAAATGCCTACATACAGGTGATACAAAAATATGTGGTCAAAACAGGTAAATGGTCTGGACAAAACAACGGAAACAATAAAACACAGCAAAGGGTCAAAAACACGGCAAGACAAGAAAAGGCTTTATGGTGTTACAATAACAAGATCGCAATCGTGGATCGCTGGTGATCGTGACTTATAGGGAAAACCAAAAACAGGTCAAATGTGCACCTTCAACTCAATGTAAATAAAGATTAAGGGTAAAATTTAAAGTTAATATCTTCCACATCGATTATCGATTATGTTGTCTGCTACATTGGCAACTTTAAGAACTAAAAGAGCTCTGAAATGAGACACAGCTGTTCACAGCGAGTGAGCAGCATTAGTTTTAAGTTCAAATATATAATCATTTAAACAAATAATACGGCTTGCACAAAAGCAAGAGAGAAGTCTGACAGGAAATTGCAGATCGCCTCAATGGGCTATGTAGCAATATATTATAAAATATGGGCAATTATTTAGGCCTATTAACATGAAATTAAGTAATTGTCATAATACTTAGAAATTGTGCTTGACCGTGTGCATGAGAGAGAGAATATGCGCTTGCTGCCAATTGTTGTTTGCAAAAAATAATTTTAATCCATTGCAGGCTCCCTGTAACATACAAAATGTGCTAAATACAAGCCCATTAGGTTTAAAATAAACAAAGAGCCGTGCACGCACAAGCGGCGGGATTTTTAATCTGCTCCTGAAACTGCTGCAAATACCTGCTTTCTCTTTGACACTTGAAGTGAGGCTACTGCTTGGCCCGGATCCATCTCCCGATCATTCCACTCAGGGTTTACAGCTTTAAAGTCATTATTTAAGAAATGTAGTCTTTATATCAGTCAGTGCTTTCTTCTCCCCATGTTGGCTTGGGTTTCCTCCGGGTGCTCCAGTTTCCCCCATCACTCCAAAGACATGTGGTATAGGTGAATTGAATAGGCTAAATTGTCCGTATGAGTGTGTATGACTGTGTATGGATGTCTAAAAAAAAACAAAAAAAAAAAAACAAGATCAGTCCAAATATTTGTACACCCAAATGAATATGTTGGGGGTAAATATTAAATAATAAATAAAAAAAAAATATATATATATATATATATATATATATATATATATATATATATATATATATATATATATATATATATATATATATATATATATATATATAGATGTAAAAAATGTTTTACTTTCTTTTTTTTTTTTTAATGAAACCAATTTTCTTTAGGAGGTTTAGACATACATGCATCACTCGACTCACTTAATGTGCATGAAATACACTGTTAATGATTTATGACAAAAAGAAATCGTCAACTTAATGGCATAAAATTTTAAATATGTTTATTTAGAGGTTGTTTCAAATATACAGTATGGAGGTGCAGCGTCACACTGTGGGTTTGGTAGGGTGAGGCCCCAACCATTTCTCCCCTGAAAGACAAAAGAAAGAATGGGTGGAAAATTTAAGCCTTTGACCAAAGATTTTTGTATCCTATATACAGTTAATGGTTTTACTTGTTATATATTTAAATGGTTTAAAACATCATCAGAAAAACTGGGTTAGGAAAAAATTGGGTTTTGGCCCAATCCCACATGGCACATTTAAGCAAATTTTCACAATGTAATCATTTGGTTCCAGCCAAGTACGCTTGACCAGAATTATTATGTGAAGAAAGCTTAATTATTCAGTAGTGATGTTGTCATCTATTTCAGTATTTTAACCCATAGTCTTTGGGACAACACCAGACGCCAGTAATTAGTTACAAACAAAGGATATGGCACTGTTAAACCTACCAGTAGAGAATCTGGAATACACAAGATGTAGTTGATGCCATACAAAAGCATCTTAAATAAGGCTGGTCTTTTGTTTGGTTCATGTCTATCAGATTCCAATAGGCTATACAACTGAATGTTACAAATATAGATTGCATAAGGTAAGATAAGGTAAGACTAAAAATACAGTTGATTTCATCTAAGATGCAATCACAATAAAAATGCATAAGACTAAATATACATGCAATTGTTTAATGTGCAAGTCTGTGGACTCTAGTAAAGTTTTGCTTGTGTGCATCAGTTTTTTTTATTTTTTTTAACTGCATCGCTTTCATCACAAGCATTGATTTGGGGTTTGCCTAGAGATTCAGGGATTATCAATCTTAAATAATTCGCTGATAAATAAAGTAAATTCTAACTCAAACTAATACAGGATTTTTACTGGGGCATCTGATGCCAGTGCTCTGAGCAGACTTCTACCAGATATTCAAAGTGATATTACATCACAGAAGTGCTCAATAAATTAAGGCCTTGATGTATATCTCAAATGGAGTTCTTACTCTTTGTTTGAGAGCAATAAGAAGTTTGAAATGGCTGAGTGACAGTACACTGTTTTCAAACACTCCACACTGCTTGCATGCATACCCATAATCACAGCAGTGATGGCAGCTGTGAGAGAAGAATATAAATAAATGCATTTAAAGCTTTTATTGGTGCATTTTAGAACAATGGAGATTCTGTGGGTATTAGATAATTTTTAAAGTCTTACCAAGGAAATACGCCATAAGCTCAAATTTATCTGACCCGAAGAAGACCTCAGCCTTCCCATCAACCTGAACCACAATGAATGGTAAACCAAAGCACTACAGAGGGGAAAATTGTGTTAGTGTGTTTTATTAACACTAATTTTGCTAACCCCAGACATGCAAGCAACCCCCAACTGACCTTATACTCCAGGGCTTCATTTGTGATACTTGTCAGCTTGTCTTTAATTTGCTGAGATTTAGCAAGGATCAGAATGTCTTCCACCTCAGTGGCTGAGAAACCAGCCTTGATTCCCACCTGTGAAAATCAGAAGGATTTTACAAAACAAAATAGTTTATAGTATTGACTTTGTTATAGGTTTAGTATATGTCAGTACTAAAATAGATTTTGGAATATCCACACGCCTAATCTTGATTAAATTTGTAATCATCATGAGCATAGCATACCTCTGTGAGTGAGGCAGGCTGGACTATGTCCTGATGAGTGCTCCACATTCGTTTCCAGAGCTCCCTAGACACCTTCTCTACCAGATCGCCACCATCTTTATCCTTCCCTGCTACAGCGGTCACAAAATGCATCGGAATCAGAGAGTCTAATTCAGCAAAGAGAAAAAAGGAGAATATAAGAAATGTGTGCATCGATGGATTTGCTCTTCAGTGTTTGTACTCTCAGCAGCGAGTAAACCACACTGAACTGAACTGAATTTAAACTCTGAAAACTGAACTGACACGGTTTCAATTCACTATAATCTACTCTGGCACAATCTACATTGTAAAAGTGCTATAGAAATAAAGATCAGTTGGAAACTGATTCCAGCAACCCAGTGCGCCATCATTTTCCTCCCAGCAGAACCAGGAAATATTGAGGTGAATGGTGATAGTAACTGCAGATATGATTTAAGCAAAAAACAAACAGATGGGTTACGTTTTTGTAATTACATGTCTAAATAGGATAAACCCTTTCTCAACAATAAAAAATGCATTACAAATATTCTCTGAGAGACCTGTTTTGCTTAGATTTTCAGGTCGATGCATTGGAACCCCAAAGTACTGAGACAGCAGCGTCAGATCTGAAGTCATGTACAAGAGCGTTCTAGGGTTTAATCCAGGGTGCTGGTTTCCTATGAAAAGAACAAACTTGATAAGCTTTTCCCAAATAGTGAAAATGTACGTTATAATTAATATATGTATTTTGTACATTTGTGAAATAAGGAGAATAATCCTAAATTAGTTACATTTACTGTCTGGGATTTTTATATTTTGTAGTGTACAGATTGGAATGAGGTCATTTTCATTACCTGAGCCATACATGACGCCTGCTAAATGTGCCGGTTTCAATTTGAGTTCCATGTTCCAAACATTTTTATAACGACACAGCACCTTAACAAAAAACAATTACAAACATACAAAATGGCAAATATCTAATTTAAAGGTTTCTGTAGATCAAACGGTAGAGTATGAAAATGCTGTGGGTTAGATTACAAAGAAAAGCACTGATCAAAAGTGCACCTTCAATGCAATGTAAGGTTAAAGCCAGAAAATACTATGCACCTCAAATGCCAGCCAGGAGTAAGGAGAGGAAATATCATAGAACAACTTGATCACCTTTCCAGAACTGATCATCTGTAATACATAAGCACATGACATTTTAACATTTGATGAGAAGCTGAATTTCACAATGACATCATCAAAACTGTTGAACCATATATTTTTTTCCTGGAAATATGCGTTTTTTAATTTGTGCATACAAAAACACACAAAAAAATGCCCAAACATTTTGATATGAGACATAAAATATTCAGGCATGTGAGGACAAAAAAGAAAATACAATAATTTTTTTGTTTGTTTTTATTTTATCCGTTTAAATGTTTTGCAGTAGTCAGTCAAGTAATATTTAATAGGTTTATATGGCGCTATTTCTCTGACAAATGTGAAAGCAGTATTGCAAGTCAAGAGCGCATTCATGTAATACGAGCGAGCGAATCTGTTTGCTCACGCACTAATTTTCTCTGTTTGTGGACAAAACTTGCTAGCTCTCAAATATACGCTGCAATCCTTTATTGACAGACATCCAAAACAATGTGCTTGACTAAATGCTCTTGTAACTTGTCTTTTCATGTCTTCATGTGTTGGTATTTATCAGCTGACAACTTGTGAAGAGCTTATTGAGCTTCTCCGCACACAAACACCTGCTACCAAGATATGAGTATACGATGCATTATTGAGCATTAATAGTCATTATTATGATAAGAAAAGGCAACGGCGCAGTAGGTAGTGCTGTCGTCGCCTCACAGCAAAAAGTTCGCTGGGTCGATCCTCGGCTCAATTGGCGTTTCTGTGTGGAGTTTGCATGTTCTCCCTGCGTTCGCGTGGGTTTCTCCGGTAGCTCCGGTTTCCCCCACAGTCCAAAGACATGCGGTACAGGTGAATTGGGTAGGCTGAATTCTCCGTAGTGTGTGTCTGTGTGTGTGTGTGTGGATGTTTTACAGAGATGGGTTGCGGCTGGAAGGGCATCCGCTGCGTAGAAATGTGCTGGATAAGTTGGCGGCCCCGGATTAATAAAGTGACTAAGCCGACAAGAAAATGGATGAATGAATGATAAGAAAAACCTGATAAAATTATAAGAACAATTATTAATGTTTTGCCAAGGTATGATTTAATGTTTTGGAGGCGGCATGACCCCACCACCTGTCTGACACTGTAAATGCACGTTTCTCGTTTTATTTCTTTTTTTTATCATATTCATCAAGAGGAAATCATGAGAGCATTATACTAATAGCACATTTTAAATTCAGCAAAACAGAGAAACACAAAGTGGAAGCTTGCAAATTTAAAGAAATATAATATATATATATATATATATATATATATATATATATATATATATATATATATATATATATATATATATATATATATATATATAAAATTCTGCAAACATTTTCTAAAAGCTGCAGCAGTTAAAAGTAAAACGTTAAAAGTTTTTTTTTTTTTTGTAAACAGTGTCGACTATTTTGCATTTAGTAATAATTATGTTTGCATTTTGGTATTTAAATGTCTTGTTATTGGATGTCTTTAACTTACCCTGCTGCTCTGTTGTGCTTTTCTGATTTGGGTGTTATGCCTGTTTTATGGCGCAATGTCACCGCCGACTACTGTAAAGCCACAATGCTAGGTTTTAAATAGTCCAGCCAGGGCCGTGCAGAGACCCTTCGAATGGGCGGGGGGGATAGGGGTTGGGGTTGGTGATGAAGAAGTGAAGGGACACTCTGCACAGATTGAGCCCTACCTGTAGACGTGTCTGAATCCAGCTATATTTATATTCAATGACACTGGAGACTAGAGATATGACTCCTGAAAAAGCTTCCAAAAACAAATTAAGTACTTTTGTAGGCTTACTGGCCTTGCTCGCTGCCAGCTATCCAGTCTGCTAACATAAAAGGCATAAAGAACCACAGTTTGCAGTTTGAAGATCCGTCCCTTCTGTCCATTATTCTGTTTTTCTAAAACTGTGAAACACAAATACATTTCTTTTAATCTTACATGAGTATTGTGCAGTGGTTTATCGTTACAAAGTAAAGTTATTTAGATTAATTTAGCCAACATCAATGAGCCATAACAAAAAACAGTAAGATATTATTACAGAAAAGTCTCACAACTACAGCTACATTTATCAATTCAGGCAACAAAAATTATACTTGCAGGGTATTTCCCTTGGTGATAGGAAGTGTAAACCGTTATCACAAAGTTTTGCGATAAGAGATTGTCGATCTACCGTAATGCCAAATTGACTAAAATGAAACTGAAACTTCTGGTTTTATTCCGCTACCAACTTTAACCATCAGGTGGCGCTAGAAGAAGACAATAAAGATCACTGACATTATTGCCATTTCCTTCGCTTCAGCTGTTTTTTAAATATACTCAAATGTACTAATGGTTTACTAAAATTAAATAGCAGTTATTTTAAATTGTAATAATATTTGAAAATATTATTTATTTTAATGTATTTTTGATCAAGTAAGCACCGTTAGTGTGCAAAAGAGACTTACTGATAAATCCTTCTGCCCTTAAACATTCATTGTTACAGATATTTTTCTCTGTGTACATGATTTATTTTGAGCTGTTTTTTTAACAGAACAGATTTTTATTTAGAAAGGCTTAAAATATACAGTGGGTGAATGAAAACTGATCACATTTTGGCCATGGGTTTGACTGGATTAGGCCCCATCCACTTCTCTCCTGCAAAACAAAATAAAAAGAGAATGACTGGACAGAACATTTTTCTTTTACACTCTAAAATTACTAAGGAATTTAAGAATTAAAATATGTTATAGTACAATAATCTAATAAGAAAAAACTCATAGTTACCAATGATGTGAGCCATGACCTCAAATCTGTCAGAACCAAAGAAGATCTCAGGCTTCCCGTCCACATGACACACAATGGTGGGAAAACCAAAGCACTGCAAAAACAGGTGGAGAAAAAAATTCACTGTAAGGAGTATTTATTCTATTATACTACAAATAAATTTTGGATAGAAAGAAGAAAATTAAAGTGCACTGACTTTATACTTAATGGCTTCACTTGTGACACTCTTCAGCTTGTCTTTGATTGGCTGAGAAGTGGCGAGGGTCAGCAATTCATCCACCTCACTGGCTGTAAGACCTGCCTTTAATCCTGCCTGGGAAAAACAGAAAGAAAGGACATCATGTAATGTAATGTAATGTAAAGTTACACTTAACCGCCACTTTATTAGGTACACTTATACGTTTTATCAAAAGTTCAGGCTGGTGGTGTAAGAGTGTGGGGGATATTTTTCTTGGCACACTTTGGGCCTATTGGTACCTAATAAGCATTGTGTCAACACCATCCCTTCGCCAAATGTCCATCTCTTTATGACCACAGTGTACCATCTTCTGATGGCTACTTCCAGCATGATAACACACCACGTCATAAAGCATAAATCATCTTAGACTGTTTTCTTGAACATAACAATAAGTTCACTGTACTCAAATGGCCTCTACAGTCACCAGATTTCAATCCAACAGAGCACCTTTGGGATGTGATAGAATGGGAGATTCGCATCATGAATGTGCATGCAACTGTGTGATGTTATCATCTCAATATGGACCAAAATCTCTGAGGAATATATCCAGTACCTTGTTGTCTGTGCCACAAAGGATTAAGGCAGTTCTGAAGGCAAAAGTGGGTCTAACCCATTACTAGTAAGGTCTACCTAATAAAGTGGCCAGTGAGTTTATATAGCACAGGTGGCCATACACATAAAACACTTAGATTGTTGGTGGGGAGAGTGAATAAATGTCCACCTCAATAACACGGCTGAGATGATTCTCTTGAGCAAGACATAAATTAATAAAATATATTCTCATAGAAAATCATTTTGAAAATAGTAAAAATGCCTGCCTTTAATCCTGCCTGTAAACAACTGAAAGAAAAAAAAATCAGTGTCAATTTCAGAAACTGAAATGCTTACATTTTAGATTTTCATAATTATTTTCCTCTAAAGAAAGACAAACATTTAAATGTTATGAATGTGTATTTACTGAGTAATACTCTATTAAGAAGAGATGTTGAGCCAAATTAGAGAGGGGTAAAATTTATTTAGAAAGAAGTAAGCACCATTATGTTATTTTTAGGAAGAAATTGCAAGGTCTATTAGCAAAATTTATTGACTTTAATGATCCTTGTTGAATTTCTCACCAATATAAATGAGGTTTTCCATGTCAGTTTTAAGAAGTTTTAACTCAAGATCAACATGTAAATCTATTCGAACTAGCTGTTCTTTAAATGCAGGTTATGCATCTGAGGCCTCTTTATTAAAAACAAAACAGTATACCTCAGCAAATGAGGCAGGCAGAGTAATATCTTGATCGTTGCTCCAGATACGATTCCAGAGCTCTCTAGAAACCCTCTCCAACTTCACATCTCCCTCTTTCTCCTTCTCTGCTACCGCTGTCACAAAGCGCATTGCTTTCAGTGAACCTATATGAGAAGATAAAGGAAAAGAAAGGATAGGAGCAATTTAGTAAGAAATCAAGATTATGCCTTATTTAGATTTTTCTTTAAAAGCAGAGTTCACACAAAAATGAAAAATCTGTCATCACTCACTCGTTCCAAAACTATCATCACTTTCTTTCTGATTCTGATAAAAAAAAAATGTTGAGGAAAGATGGAAACCTTTAACTATTGACCTCCATAGTATTTGTTTTTCTTCTTTAAAAGTCAACAGGTTTCAGCTTTCTTCCAAATATCTTTTTTTGTATTTAACAGAAGAACTAAAACAAGATTTTAACCACTTCAGGGGGAGTTAATGTGCAAATATTCCTTTCTGTGTGAACTATGCCTTTAAATAAAAAAGTACTCTAAAAATAGTCAAACGTTAATTTTCTATACATAAAACGTATGACTTGTTCTGTAAATACCTTTCTCAAACATTGTCTCAAAAACGTTGGAAGGTTGACGCACAGGAACCCCAAAGTACTCGGACACATGCTTCAGATCACTGGTCATGTACAAAAACTTGTTGGGGATCATTCCAGGAGGCCGATTGCCTACAAACAAAAGACACTTAAAGTTATCTTTGGTTATCATCTATAAAAACTGCATACAATTTTTAGGCCTTAATCTTTTAGCTTTTGTTTGATTATTCTTCGCAGAGAAGTTTTTAGTACATTATAAATCATATAGAGCAAGATCATTTTGTGTAGAATGCACCATTTTTGATGATCTAGATTTTTTTAACTGTGTCGTGTAGGCCTTTATTGACTAGTAAAATAGATTTATTTGTAAAATATACATGTAAAATGCAGCTCTAAGATGTACTTTGTCCAGTAATTCAGGGGTATTCATACCAAGGGGCTGCAAAGAAGTGTTAGGGGTTCTGTGGAACTGTTTGGAACAAATAGCCTGACAAAAATATACCAAAACAATTAAGTAAAATATTTAATTAATGAAGTGGTAAATTAAATAACAGACACACATTAGTATAAAAGATACAACTAAAAAAAAGGACAAAACATGTTTAATTATCTGACAAATTTTCATATTACATAAAAAATATAATAAAAAAATTGGTGTAAAATATATATTTGGTTAAAATTTATGATAAAAATATTTAAATGTTATACTGAATAAATTAGAAAAATTATAATAAAATAATATTCATTAATTGAAAGTCTTCTTATTTCTCAGTATAAATTGAATATACACAATCAGAGGCAGTCAACTCTTTTGGTAATTTATAGTTTGTGTGTAATAAAGGCTTCAGTCTTTTATTGTATTTATGTATTCAAGTGTTCAGTGTTTTGAGGGATATTTAGTGTCTGACCTACAGTATCCTCTGATTAGTTATTTTAGAGGTTTGTAGGTCAAACTATACAAACTATGCATCTAATTTTACTGTATTTTAGACTAAATGTTGATACCAACACCAATTGACCAGAAAGTGTCTTGTGAACACTTACGATGTCAATCGGTGCTCTAGATCTGCTAATTTTAGACTGTTGAACGATTTTTTTTTTCTGGCATAGACCGATTGGCGCGATTATGGATTCTCAGTGGTATTAACGATTATAAGGGTGGTCAGAAGTATGTTTATATAATCTGTCATTTTAATCATTAAAATTATTATTTAAAACATAAAACCATTTCTCACTATTAAAGGCCTTCAGTAGGGGTCAAGCGTTTATTACACTTTTTAGTGTTTACACTTTATGATGGGGTCCCACACATAAGGAATAATATTTTTTGGCTGTGGAATATTACAAAATGTCTTTTGATAAGAATTATCTATATAATAATATTATAATAATGTTATAATTTTTTTACAGAAATTGTGTGATAAAGTGCTTGAATATAAATGTATTATATATGCATATATTACTTAGATTGTGCTACTCAATCATCAATCAGTTTGTAAATGATCTGATCATAACACAGATAAAAGCATTCTCTTAACTTAATCTTGAACTGTTGTTTTTAATTACTCAGTGTGTGACAGGCTTGTTTCTTTTCTTATGACAGTATGAAAAAATGTGTTTTTTTCAGTTACTGTATATGTGCATGTGGATATGTCATTCCTCCTCTAATACCTGAGTCGTGCATGACAGCCCCTAAAAATGCTGGTTTCAGTTTGAGGTCGATGTTCCACACATTTCTGTAGCGACACAGCACCTTCATAAACGCAATTAAACAGACGTCAAACATCTTAAACTTAAATATGAATCGTAATATACTATTTCACTAAATGCGACACACGTAATACCTCAAATGCCAGCCATGAATAGGGAGAAACAACATCATAGAAGAGCTCGACCACTTTTCTGGAGCCAGACATCTGCAATGAATATGCACACTCGCAAAACTGAACATATAATTAAAAGTAAAAAATATTAAAAAGTCATTTAAATGCAAGCGCGCACGTACCTTACCCTTGGATGAGAAGTGTGTCAAAGTTCAGAACTGAACACGGGGTCCACCCCTTATGTAAAATGCCCTTTCCTACGTCAGTTTTGCAACAGTCCTTTAAAATCTAGTTTAGACTAAAAACGAACTGCTAATTAATGCACTTTTTTTGCAATTACACTTTAACGTATTCTGTACGCCAAACATAGATACGACCCAATACGTTTTATTATTTAGTAACTTGGGTAATAGGAATTGAGCTTGCGAGTGCAGTGCAATTTACAAAAGCTTTCTGATAAAAATGAGTTTATGACAACGACTTGAAAAAATATTTCATGAACGCAACAGCAGAGCTGTGCATACAGTGTGCATCTGTGTCAGAGCTCCGCCCACAGCAGCTACAGTGAAAGTTCCCGTCTGTTACAGGGGTTGCCAGATATGCTCAAGAAATTCAAACTAGGATGCCTATTTATGGAGTCAATCTAGTCAATCCATTTATATATACTTGCAAAAAAAAAAAAAAACGTTTTTCAAACAAAAAATAAAATATTGAGCAATAAATAAATAAATGCAATTCCCCAGAAAAAATGCAAAGCGTAAATTATTTTTTGAGAAATTTTTATTTATGTATGTCCCTAGAGACACTCCATGCTAATTTACTGGCCCACGAGAGAAAAATTAGGACCTGTTTAAAATGATTTACGACCTACAACACAATATTTCACTGAATTTAAAATAATAACTCTACATCCAAAAATAACAAACGCTAAAATCTCCAAAAACTTCTCAAATAGCATTTGATGTTTTAGTTTTAAGATAAGCCTCTGGGGCTTTTTTAATAAATGGAAAAAAATGCTTAGCTGTCCTTTTGATGGTGTAATTAAATGAAATTAAATAAAAAAAAATAAAAAAATAAAATAAAATATGGAAATACACGAAATTTAGACGTTTGTGTACAGTGGCTACATGCTGTAGTGATTTTTATGCAAACCTGGCAACTCATAAAGCGATTCATGAACATATGCGGTAGTAGGAAGTGGTGAATGAGGAAAGAACACGCCAGTGCGCGGGCGGTTAAAGGGGACTGCTGGACAATATTTTATCCGCCACAATAAACCGTCTTTTAAAGCACAACTCCATACTTCATCGCTGTAAGTATTGCTGTTGTCATTTGGAAAATATGGATGGTATTTTGCCCATTATTATGTTACCAGTTTCAATCTGTTTATCTGCAAGTATTGGATGCATGTGATACCTTTCAGATAAATCCCTATGTCAGTTGTATATAAGCTGGTATTATTTTTGTTGTGCTTTTAATATAGTGTTATAATATACTAGTATATTAATGATCAGTGCCTGTCTGGATGTGACTGCATGAGTTACAGAGCTGTCATGACAAGTTCAGTAAATCAACCTCAGTCAATCAAGTTTTGAACACAATCAAAGATTAAATGCCCACTAAATACATAAGCATTATCTTTTGCGTATCTTATATTACTGGCAATGATAAGATAACTGGTTAAATGCTGACAGTTTTCCAAACTGTTTTAACCTAAATATGATTTACTGTTTATGAAATATGATTTCATAAATAGTGAGTCAAATCTCATGTTTCCTTGATGTAAACAGAAGGATGTCACCGGATGAATTAGTCTATCTAGGAATCCTTGCTGCAACAATACCTGTGGGATTCCTCTTCCGCTACCTAAGTAAGTCTGGCCATGTCCATCTTTACATTGTTGTGTCAGTATTAATGACATGAATATTAGTAAAGTAAGAAGTTTCTGTTGACATAGTTTTACAGTATCCTTAGAGAGTGTGCTGACTGAGAACATATCGTTTTGTGTGTAAAAAACTATAAAATAATAAATGATACAGCTTGAAATCACATCTAAAACACACAATAAGGTCAACTGTAAGTACAGGCTTACTGACCAAACTGAACTTATTCATTCACAGAACAAAAACTGTATACTAAAACAACTAACTTTTAAAATGAATGTTTGGTGGCACGGTGGCTCAGTGGTTAGCACCAGGTCACTGGTTCGAGTATCGGCTTGGTCAGTTGGCATTTCTGAGTTTGCATGTTTCCTTCATGTTCATGAGAGTTTCCTACGGGTGCTCTGATTTCCCTCACAGTCCAAAGACATGTGCTATAGGTGAATCGAATAAACTAAATTGTCCTTAGTGTATGAGTGCATGTGTGAATGAGAGCGTGTGTATTGGTGTTTTCCAGTACTGGGTTGCGGCTAGAAGGGCATTCGGTGTGTAAAACATATGCCGAAATAGTTGGTGGTTCATTCCGCTGTGGCGAACCCTGATCAATAATGGACTAAGGAAAATGAATGAAATGAGAGTTTTTCTACACAATAATCGTCTTTCCAAATATACAGACTCTACAGATCTCAGTTGTTATGGTGCAGGGCAGGCCCGGATTGGCTAATCGGGAGGACCGGGGAATTCCCGGTGGGCCGGTCTGTTTTTTGGCCGCGAGGGCCGGTTTCCCTAGCTCCAGAATCTGTTGGTCTCAGCAGTCACATTTTTTAAATGTATTTATTTATTTACTTGACCACAGCCTTTTTATTCATTATTTTACCGCAGCTTTGCTCTTTTTAATCTATTTTCTCGCAGCTTCGTGAGCAAGATGCAGCCTGCAGGTTAATCAGCCAGATGAGTCACAATTTTTTTTCATATTTATTGTTAAGACATATAACACTGTTAGGGTTGTTGAACATTTATAGTTCTAAAGCAGCTGTTTTCTCAAAAAAAGACGTGATAGTGTCAATGCCAGGGATTCAGGGCCCCTACCATCTTCTGAGGTGGGTATAAATATACAAATGTTAAATATTTATGCCAACAATAGGCCTGCATAAACATAAGCATAATGACAACACAAAAAATGCCATATAACCAGATATCTTTTTATAGTAATTAGTTTTTTGGATAATTTCAACATGATAAGTACTAATAAGATGGAAGGCCACAATGTTTGGAGCATAACGAGTGCATTATTGACTTAATTTTGGAGACTGACTCTCTGAGATCATCCTCCATGTTCAGTTGTGATCTGTAAATATTTATAATATAAGTTTAAAAAAGTGTCAGAAAGCTAATCATAGTGCTGAAAAAATGATCTGCTGCAACTAACACTTGCTATGTTGTTATTAATCTAAATAATGTAATCACCCCAGGGGTCGCAATCCAATGAAAGAAAATCGAAAGGCTGATGACTGTTTTTTTGACATGTTGTTTTTTTACTATTTTTAAAAATCTTTTTTACAGTAGGATATGGGTATAATATGGTACAACTAATAGTTTAATACATTTATTCGATTTTTGGAACTCAACACTCACTGTTGTGCGAGCCCCACTTTGGGTCAAAAATGTAATGGTCAATTGCAAATAAATAAATTCCCGCTTATTAAAAATGACTTTAATGACAGTTACAGTTTATAAGTAATATTTTGTTCCGGCAACAAATGTTAATAAATACAATGTTCCCATAAATGCAGCATAGGGGCGATGCAGTGGCACAGGAGGTAGTGCTGTAGGTAGTGCTGTCGCCTCACAGCAAGAAGGTCGCTGGGTCGAACCTCTGCTCAGTTGGCTTTCCTGTGTGGAGTTTGCATTGTAGGAATCCATCTATTAGCCCAATGACGAAACTAACAGCATGGTCGAAGGTTTAATGCATGTAAGCCTTTTCTAGTGCTTCTGAAAAGAATTTTATTATTTATTAGAATTTATTTATATTAGTTTTTTAGCTCCGAATTCAATCTGACTCCAATTTCAATGATCCTAAAATTTAGATTGTATTTGTAATTGTAAGAACGGATCACATTTATCATTTATGATTTAATTTAGAGTTTTGATATTTTCTGAGGTCCGATATTCTAATTGTATGTTCATTAGGGACCAACATCACTCAGAGTTCCACGCCCCGGGTTTGCGCATCTTCTCACGGACAATATGTCGACACTCTGAGAAGGGTGACTTCTTCGCATTACCCCCTGCTGTAAAGTAGCTCTGTTTCTCCAGCCTGTGTTTGCATTGTCAACAGTGATTTGAATAGAACAGTGGAACAGCTGGTTTCTTCATCCCTTCTCTTGTCTAATGAAATTCCATAACAGTTCTCAGGGTCTGATATTTTGGATCCTTACAGCATGTTCTCCCTGCTTTCACGTGGGTTTCCTCTGCTTGCTCCGGTTTACCCCAGTCCAAAGACATGCGATACAGGTGAATTGGGTAGGCTAAATTGTCCATATTGTGTGTGTGTGTGTGTATGTTTCCCAGAGATTGGTTGCAGCTGGAAGGGAATCCTTTGTGTAAAAATGTGCTGGATAAGTTGGCGGTTCATTCCGCTGTGGCGAATCCCCGGATTAATAATGTGACTAAGTCGACAAGAAAATGAATGAAATGCAGCATGGTGGCGCAGTGGTTTGCACTGTCAACTCACTGCAAGAAGGTCGTGGTTTGAGTCCCGGCTGGGTCAGTTGACGTTTCTGTGTGGAGTTTGCATGTTCCCCCCATGCTCGCATGAGTTTTCTACCCTGGTTTCCCCCACAGTCTAAAGACATGTGGTATAGGTGAATTGAGTAAATGAAATTGGCCATAATGTATGAGAGAGTGTATGGGTGTTTCCTAGTACTGGGTTGCAGCTGAATGGGGATCCGCTGCATAAAACATGCTGGAATAGTTGGCGGTTCATTCCACTGTGGCGACCCCTGATAAATAAGGTACTCAGGCGAAGGAAAATGAATGAATAAATGAATACCACACAAAAGATGTCAACTGATTTTTAGTAATAGAAGAATAACGACATGGATTCATAAGAATAAGAGTCTCACTTTAGGGTTTAAGTAAAAAAGAAAAAAGACCTTTCCAAATGTTGTTTAGCACTCAGTTTCCATCCTAAGTTTTTATTTTACAACAGTCTATATTTGAATATACCTCACAGTATGTAAAAAAGCCACATTTTACATTTCATCTTTTTGTGTGCATTATTTACCAGGTCCTCCAGTCAAGCAGGGGGCAGCGTTGCTTTTAGGTTTGATCATTTCTATCGCAACCTGTGGGATCCACACCCTTCACTCACTATGCACAGTGTTAGGAACATGGATAATTATCAAAATCAACTGGAGGTTAGTGTGATATAGATTTCTAGACATTTATTCACAGCTATTCCACTGTAACCAGTCCTTGTTTTATTTAGAAGTGCTCCTGCTCTGTCTTTGGCCTGGACGTTTCTATATCTTCTCTTTTTCCGTTTGGTCACCTGGTTTGGCCTTCCTCAGCCCACACCCTTTGCCAATGCCATTCAGCTTCTTTTGACATTAAAGGTAAAACAAAACAAATTCTACACATGTTCCATATTTTCATTTCCTGATGTTATTGTTGGATAAGTCATTTTTTTTTTTTGAATACTCAGATGGTCAGTTTAGCCAATGAGGTTCAAAGTTATCACTTGGAGAGGAAAAAGGAAGTGAGCACCTTCACCAAGTCTCCAGTAGTGGCAGGGCTTTCCCATGAGCCTTCACTCTATGATATTATATCATACAGCTACTGCTATGTGGGCATAATGACAGGTATTTTGCATCTTGTTTTGAATGTCTTTGTCTATTCAAATGTTATGTACTGTTTGTTTTGCATGTGTGTTAACTTGTCTCTCTTGTTTTTCTCTGCTACTAGTTCAGTAATGTGTGAGTCTAATTCCTTTTCATATCTGATTGTGTTTATTATTGCTCCTCTTTTGTCATGGTTTGTCCTCTCATCCGTGTGCTTCACTTCAATCACTCTGTGTCAAATTGATGTGCCTCTTTTGCACTCCATTGCATTGATTCCACACCCTTCCCGTTTTATCCTAATATCATGTGCCATTTTTGCCCATCTGTTTCATGTCTTCATTGATAACTCTTATCATGCTCTCGTCATGTTCCTTCATTTTCCATTTTCTCTCCCATCCACTCATCGATTTCCCCCAGGTCCCTTTTTCCGGTATCAGACATATGCAGACTGGTTGCAGCAGTCAAGTCCACTGTCTCTGCCGGGGAAAGAGCCGTGTCTGCAGAGGCTGAAGATGGTTCCTGTTTATGGACTTCTATTTATTGCCGTCAACTCTGTCTTTCCTTTGTCGTATGTGCGTACTGAAGATTTCCTGGAGCACAACTACTTTTACAGGTTTGTTTTTCCTGAATGAAAGACCAATCCCGAATCTAAAGGCCTTGTCACACTGAGCGTGTCACATTAATGTGAGACAAAAACACTGATAGAAAATAAATTACTGTAAATTACTGTGCGCAAGGTGGCGCTGACCAAAACTTGAATTTTTTGACAGTTTGACTACTACGATGCTTATTTTGCATTTGCATCTTGTTTTTTCAGGTTGTTTTTGTCAGCTGCACAATATAAATAACAGTAAAAAAAATTTTAAAAAGTTTGGTTTTACACCAGAGATACAAACTATCTATCATGATTATAACACTTTAAATCTGGGGTCTCAAACTCAAATTGCCGGGGGACCATATCAGTGACTGACAGTTCATAGGAGGGCCGCTTTAACATTCAAACACAACTAAAAAGTGGAAACTTGATGTAATTGATGCACTAAGACATTCTTCCACAGAGTATATGCAGGCAAAGCTCCTTCTTTTTGTTTCTAATTGTACATATTGAAGGGGTAGTTCAAATTGCTATAGAAATACTACAATTTAATAATAGGCATAATAATTATTATTATTATTCTGTCCCAGTCAATTGTTGCTTAATCAAAAGTTTAACAGATAGCGCAAGAACAGCAGAAAGCAGATTGGGTAACTTTAGTGACTTTACTGGCAATTGTTCTTCTCAATATCGTTCTTTTTTGTAAAAGTACCGCAAAAAGGGGAAAGCATATATACAGTTGAAATTATTAGCCCCCTGTTTATTTTTTTCCTCAATTTCTGTTTAATGGAGAGAAGATTGTTTCAACACATTTGTGGACATAATAGTTTTAATAACTCATTTCTAATAACTGATTTATTTTATCTTTGCCATGATGACAGTAAATAATATTTGACTAGATTTTCTTTAAAACACTTCTATACAGCTTAAAGTGACATTTAAAGGCTTCACTAGGTTAATTAGGTTAACTAGGCAGATAAGGGTAATAAGGCAAGTCATTGTATAATGATGATTTTTTCTGTAGACTATCAAAAAAATATATAGCTTAAATGGGCTAATAATTTTGTCCTTAAAATGGTGTTTAAAAAATTAAAAACTGCTTTTATTTAAGCCGAAATAAAACAAATAAGACTTTCTCCAGAAGAAAAAAATATTATTAGACATACTGTTAAAATTACCTTGCTCTGGAAACATCATTTGGAAAATATTAAAATATTATAAAAAGAAAAAAGAAAAACAATTTAAAGGGGGGCTATTAATTCTGATTTCATCCGTACATGCTATTCATAAGCAGAGACAGATTTAGCAATTTGGGGGCCCTAAGCAACTCTAGCCGCGGGGCCCAGGTCCTGAAATGCACCCTTTCAACTATTATTTTAAAAAATGATTTAGCAGATTTATATATCACTCAATCTTCTTTTTATGATTATTCTTAATGTGATTTCTATATTTAAATGATTAATTTTCTTAAAGTGAATTTACTACTAAAAATATATATATTTTTTTTCAATGAATTAGACTGCCGGACTGCTTCATGATTGGGGGTGGTGGATATTTTCTTTTATAATATTATTACATACAGTAACATTATTATAAGATTATTATATTTTAGTGTGTATTAAAAAATATTTATGTAAAAATGTATTTGGTTGATTCTCACTATACAAAATATGATAGAAATTATTTTATATATTTTATATATGTTTATAGGTAAAATTTATACCTTAAAATTATAAATTATAAATTAAAAATTATATAGGGGTGGCTCCCCGATTTCCTGGTGCCCTAAGCAGCCGCTTACTTCAGCCGCTTACCCCGTTTACCTCACTTGTTGATTAAATCCGCCCCTGTTCATAAGATAAATGCAGGATTACTTTAGAATAAAAGTCGGCTCAGATATTTTTATCCATGTTGTATTCATATTTAACTCCTCAACAGAATTTGTTGTATAGTGGAATAAGAAAAAAAAGGTCTGGACCGTCATATTTTGTGTGCATCAAGGATCAGATGACTTGTTCGAATGAACTGAACATTTACTAAACAATTGTATTTTATTTAATCTAACCAAACATGACAGATGTGAACACATTTTTAAAGTAAGGTTCAAAGGAGATGTTAAAAAAAATCTCAGTTCATAAAATTTTATTTACCAAATCATATCATTGTTTTGGTGTTATATTTCAGGTTTTTCTACATGGTGGCAATCTTCTTTGTATTCCGGATGCGTTTCTACTCTGCGTGGTGTGGAGCAGAAGCAGGCTGCATCAGTGCAGGACTAGGCTGTTACCCACAGGGGGCGTTGTCCAAACCAGGAGGAGGACCAACAGTGAAATATAGGTAGGTTGGTTTATTTTATGACCTTTTTATAGTTTGACTGTAACTTGTAAATATGATGACTTTAATGTCCTGCCCAAAAAGATCCAGTCATGAGGCATACCAGGAAATAACAATGTTTGTTCTTTGAAATTATATTTGATAGATCTTTAATTGCACAAGTATAATTTACACGTTGCAGTAACTGATATAAAACAGGATCCCATAAAACACAGCAATAGACCACAGTTATGCAATATTAACCGCATATGTGAAGACAAACACTATTTGAGAATAGATGAAGGGGATGCAAGATCACTTAAAGGAATAATGTGCTGTCCTTAGATTTGTATATCTGCACTTCATGACTGAAGTTATTTTTATACATTTTAAAATAATTTATATATGTTATGGGAAAACGCTCATTCTTCAAAAACCAGTACTTTAGTTTTTAGTGTCACAAAATCCTTCAGAAATCAATCTAATATTGTTGGTGCTCAAGAAACATTCATAATCATCACAGTAAAACGGTTGTGCTGCTTATATATGAAGGTTGTTTTATTGTATATTGTATTTATTTTACATATCATCATTCATTTATAATAAAATTTTGTAAAACCGAAAAAAATTTTAATGAAAATCATGAAAATAAATATTTATTTACAAACATAGAAATACAAAAAAACTACATTTAACAGTGTTACTAAATATGAACTTTTCCGGGAGCATCAGACATTGTCAACAATAACTAAACGTGTAATTTGTAAACAATTGATGCAATGAGGATGCACAAAAATATAAATATTACTTATTTTAAAAACTGTTATGGTACCAATATATTAAATTCAGTACTCCCTTACTCAAAAAAACTGTATTTAGTAAGACTGTACCTACAAAAAAATTTAGAAGAAATAATAGCTCACTTGTGGTTTCATCATATGATTGCTAAAGTTAACGATATGTTGTTTATTTTTCAGCCCTGATCCTGAAACAGCAGTCGAGTATGACTTTAAAACGATCCAGAACATTGACTGCTATAACACTGATTTCTGCGTGAAGGTCCGGCATGGTATGCGCTACTGGAATATGACAGTACAATGGTGGCTTCACCACTACTTCTACCCAAACGCCCCATTCAGAGCTTATGCCCTCAGGTGTGAACATGTACATCTGTCCATTACATTGTGATTTAAAGGGTCAGTTCATAAAAAAATGAAAATTCTGTTATTAATTATTCCCGCTTATGTCAAGCCAATCCCTTGAGACCTTTATTCATCTTCAAAACAAAAATTAAGATCATTTAGATGTAATCCAAGAGCTCTCACATTCTCTATTGACGGCAATTGCCCAGTGACAATCAAAGTCCAGAAAAGGAGCCAAAACATTGTAAAACTATTTCATGTGACTTCAGTGTTTCAACTGTAATATACAAACACACACCCTCCAAAAAAGTGAACGGTACTCTTCTTGGTCAGGGTGTGCATTCACTACAGTTCATGTTTGGTTGATATTGGAACAAGTTGACCCAATTCAGCATGTTGAATCTGCGTTGCCATAGGCCAGAGTCAGATTGTTAACTCACTTTTATCATCACTTTTATCATCATTTGCATGAAAGTACAATTATTTACAGAGTAATAACAAGTATTTTAAATTAACGTTTTTAAAACTAGGATGATGGTTCAATATGAATAGAACAGATCCAAGAACTGTCCATCCCAGTCAAAACAGTCAAAGTTTAGCGGGTCTCATGCTGTCATTAGCCAAAATATCTTGACAAACCACACATAAAGGTCGTGGTTCATCAGCTGGTCCTGTCCACGTAAATCCTAAACTCAAATACTGATCATCATATCGTCGTCTTTTGGGTTTAAGCCCTGAACTTGAAGGCTTTGAATCGGGCCGTCTTAGAAACCGATCCATTGTATTAGCAGGCATTTACCTGTATTGGCAGGCTTGCCAAACAGAAGCGAATTCACAGCTATGGCCTTCTGGGTAAAAAAGGTTTTCTTATTTTATACGTATAAATTTTTTTAGCTTTGTTTAATTAAAACGTTTAAATATAATAAAAAATACATATAATAATTAAACTTAATAATTATATTTTTGTTATATAATATTTTTCCCGTGCCTCCCCTGACATGCTCTGGCGCCCCCCAGGGGAGACGTGCCTCACAATTTGAAAACCCCTGCCATAGGCTAAGAACAGCGCTCTGGTTATTTAGCAAGAATAGAGCGTGAGTGTGATGTAGTGAAGTTACATAGCAAGGAAACAATTCAAGTCACAAAACACAATACAAAGAGGCCGATAGTATTTTTGCTACAGTTTTCAAATATTTGCTAATTATATGGATTATTAGACAGTTACTGAGGTAATGGTACTAAACGCTGCATTGTTTATGCTTTGCACAGAGGTGCAAATTTATCAGAGGTTCTGATTGCCCATTGTAAATGAGGAAACAGATACTGCCATCTGGGAGGGTGGAAAGGCACGTATTCCCACACAGGCACAGAATGCCCACTTTCATTTTAGTCTGCTGCCGTCTGTTTGGTGTGTTCATGAGCAGCTTTTTCGACCAGACGGGACACAGCTGGGTTTCGTCTGCGCTAGTTATTTTGGCGTCGGCTTGGTGTGTACAGGCCTTTAAAGTCAGCATCACAACATGCATGCGCCTTATTGCCTGTAGTAAATATGTGCCCTGATATGACATGGAAGACATAGGTCAGGGATGGGCAACTTTCGTCCTGGAGGGACGATGTCCTGCAGAGCTTTGCTCCAACACTAATCAAACACACCTGAACAAGTTAATCAGTTTCCTCAAGATCACTAGAAAGCAACATGCAGGTGTGTTTGATTAGGGTTGGAGCTCAACTCTGCAGGACAGTGGCCCTTCAGTACCAAAGTTGCCCATCCCTGACATAGGTAAATAGTTGTTTTGCCATTTTGTTTTGGCACATTAAAGTGATCTTGTATGATTACAGTTGAACCACTGAACTCATATGGAATATTTTGACAGTTTTCTTTTCTGTACTTAGGAACTTAGCTGTGTATGGAAAATGAGAGAGCTCTTGAATTTTATCTAAAATATCTTAATTTGTGTTGTGAAGATGAACAAAGCTCTCAGGGTTTGAAACAAACATAGGGTGAGTAATAAATAACAGAATTAACATTTTTGAGTGAACTAACCCTTTAAAAGTACCATTATTGATCAACTTTCTCTTATGTTATGTCAGGGCTGGGTGGACGATGTTAATCAGCGCTTACTGGCATGGCCTTCATGCTGGTTACTACCTCTCGTTTCTCACCATCCCACTGTGCATCGCAGCCGAAACGGCAATGGAAGCATCAGTCAGAGCCCGTCTGGGACCAGCAGGCCAGAATATTTTCGACTGGATCCACTGGTTCCTCAAGATGAGGGCTTATGATTACATGTGCATGGGCTTTGTGCTCCTGAAGGCCAGCGACACTATCAGCTATTGGAGCTCCATTTACTTCGTAATTCACATCATCGCCATTGTTTGTATTGCAGTAGGACAGTTTATGAAAGGAGGGAGAAAGAGAGAGAAGAGAGAACGAGGTGAAGGAGAGAAAGAGGATGCGGTCAGAGAGAAGGCTGAGTGAAGCAAACATGTGATGTGATTATGCTGATTACTGGAGAGGTGGTATGTTTACACACAAACAACAAAAACATTTTCCAACATGCACTGTAATAGCCATGAACTGCCATTTAAATGTATTGTGTTAACAAAACAAAAAACAGCAACAGTTGTGTGTATTGGACCCAGGGACGTCAGTCTTTGTTTTATTAACGGTTTCTGTCATTTTCAGAATTCTGATGGTAGCGTTTATTTTGTTATTACACACTGTTTTGTCAGCAGTTCAACATTATATATTCATCTATAACTAGTCAGTATTGTTTAAATTATATTATTATTGCTCTAAGATGCTTTAAACAATTGGAAAAGGGTTTGTATTGTATTTCAGTAGTAATTTTGTTTGTGTTGATCAGTGACCCTGGGACTCCATTTCATCTCCCACACACAGTACTTATAACCGAATCCATCCGTTTACAAAAAACCTGATGAATGTTAGATTCATATCACTACCTAGAGCACAAATTAGTAGAGATTTCCTCTTTGTGTAATTTTGTTATTGAGGCAAAACAGTTTTTATTAGAAAAAGGGGTTTATTTAAGCTGATCTGCCTTGTTTTTCATCAATTCTAAATGGTGGATTGAGGATCCATTGATGGTTATGTGTCATATATCAATATTGTTACTATTATTATACAAAGAATGTGAATAGAGCTCATTTTTATATAAAGTAAGTGAATGTCTTTGCATTTTTTTCTTCATTAATTCTTTTTTTCATACCACATGGTGTACTGGAACTAACATTTTGAAGCCAAAACTTAGCAAATTAAAGTCTAAATAAGGATAAAAGATCAGATGTGAACAGAATCTAATTATTATATAAAAAATCTATTTCAAAACATTCAGGATTTTTGATTCACACTGGACGGCAGTGCTTCTGTTTTATTCCTGCTACTGTATACTGTACCTGTAATGTGGCACTCCTTTCTTTACCTTTTGTTTGAAAAAGTATTTTCATTAATACTTTCCGATGGACTTTCTTTGTTTGGAAACGATGTGACAGCATCAGATTTTTACATGATGTTACAGTTTTAATTATTAACTTTCATTATTAAACATTTTTTATCCGTTTTTCCCCACAATAAATAATTAATAATAGCACTAAGAGCTGTCATTTTGTCCTGATTTACTCAAAAAAAATCTACCATTAAAATTTGGCTGAATATACTGTATGTATAGTGTATAGTGTATGTATAGTTTCATATATATATATATATATATATATATATATATATATATATATATATATATATATATATATATGATAGTCTAAAGAACAAATCATCGTTATACAATAACTTGCCTAATTATCCTAACTTAATTATCCTAGTTAAGCCTTTAAATGTCACTTTAAGCTGTATAGAAATGTCTTGAAAAATATCTAGTCAAATATTATTTACTGTCATCATGGCAAAGATAAAATAAATCAGTTATTAGAAATGCGTTATTAAAACTTTTATGTTTACAAATGTGTTGAAAAAAATCTTCTCTCAGTTGAACATAAATTGAGGAAAAAATAACCAGGGGGGCTAACAATATATAAAACTTATCTAAAAATATAACTATATATAAATATATAATATTTCATATTTTTAAAAAAAGTAATAATTTTTTATCATTTTATTATCAAAAATATTCTTTATTATTGTAAGCTGTACTGCTTAATATTTTTTGGGGAAATGGATACATTTTGGGATGCTGTCAACCTGGCACTACTGTATCCCAGCCAAGGTGGTCAACCTGACCAAGTGCTCATACGAGGGAATAACCTGCAGAGTGATCTACCAAGGACGGCTCACCAACAGCTTCCAAGTGAAGATGGAAGTGCAACAGGGCTGCTTGTTATCCCCATTCCTCTTCCTCATTGCTATCGACTGGATCATGAAGACATCCACCAGTAAACGCAGAACCGGAATCCAGTGAACCCTGTGAAGCCAACTGGAAGACTTTGCAGACGATCTCGTACTTCTCTCCCAAAGCCAGCAGCAGATGCAAGACAAAACATTTTGTTGGCAGCCACATCATCAGGTTGGACTCAACATCTATGCAGAGAAGACCAAGATTCTTAAGATCAACTCCAGCTGCAACAATCCAGTAACCCTGAATGGAAGTTCCCTAGAGGAGGTACAGTCTTTTACCCAGCTGGGCAGCATTTTTCGAACCTCAGGGTGGAACAGATACAGATATAAAGGCAAGAAACGGCTAAGCAAGAACTGCTTTCATTCAGCTCAAGAACATCTGTGCTTCGAGAGAACTTACTTTGACCACTGAGACCCGTCGGTTCAACTCCATTGTGAAGTCAGCATTGTTGTATGGGGTAGAAACATGGAGGATAACCAAAACTACCACTAGAATCCAGACATTCATCAAGACCTGTCACAGAAAGATTTTACACATTCACAGGCCGGACAAGATCAGTAACACCGACCTATGTGGAAGGACCTGTCAACGTCCAATAGAAGCAGAAATCTGGAAGAGAAGATGGGGTCGGATAGGGCACACATTACGCAAACCACCAACTAGCATCACCAGACAGGCTTTCAGATGGAACCGCCAAGGGAAGCGGAAGAGGCCGTCCAAGAAACAGAGGCAGACATCACAAGGATGGGTTACACCTGGAGACAAGTAGATGGCCCAGTACAGATACTTCTGATGATCGACCTTTGGCGGCCTATATCCTGGAAGGGGTGGAGGGAGAACGTAAGTAATAGATTTAGTCCCACCTCAAACACGCTAATGACATGCTAGAAACAATAACAACATGAAACATGATAGTGTAAACATGATGTTAGCAACATGTTGGCATCGTGCTGATGTGTTCTAGCTGTGTTAACGTGCTAATTTTGCTAGTATCGTCATGCTGTCAACATGTTTACTGTGTTAGCAGCCACCCAGAACACCCCAGAAACTACCCAGTACTGAGTTTTGCCATGGCACCACTATCATTTTAGTTTAGTTACTATCATTTTAGTTCAAAGTTTTAGCCTGTTTAGTTAAAGAACATACTTGTAATGTAATCTACTTTGATCCATGGAACAAAAAAGGATTTAATGAGAACTAAACCACAGGAACAACTAACAAACAATACATTTGAACACATTTTAATATTTTCTTTAATTATTAGTCATTATTCAAACAATCTCAACTAATTTAATAAATCTGCAATCAGTTAAATCGCATTTACCTTATAAATATTCTAACTACATGAGTTTGTGTGTGTGTGTGTAATCAGTACCACACATGGTAACACAATCTGTCAATAAGTTGCCTTTGTGTTCGGGGTCTGACAAGACACAGTTAATGTTTCTAGCTTGTAAGGCTGGTGTTCAGCTGGCAATAAGAACAAGGAAGTGTTTCCAAAGTTTATTTCCATGAGACTCAAAGTCCACATGACAGAGTCCTGACACGCCTGTGCTCTTCTCCGTCAATGGGAATTTGCCTCTGTAACTATGCACTACTGAGTACTGCTATTTTGGTATTGTGTTGTTTGTCGTCTTCATTTTATGTGGTGTCCATCTGATTTCTGATGGAGCTAAGAGAATTCAACGATGTAGTACATCCACCTCCAGGTAAGAGTGAATGTCTATTTAAGAGCTAATGTTGTTCATATGAGCATAAGAGGACATAAATTACATTACAGGTTAGAGTTGCAAATGCTTGTCTATGGCTACACTGTTTTATAATATTATTTATAATTCTGATTATTACTTTATTTATTCATACACTTATAGCCGTATAACTGAAAAATCTTGACATTTTGGGGACTATTTGACAATTTCTAATATGTTATGAAATTATGTAATGTTCAATCCTGTCAGAGCTAATCAAATGTTGCTTATTCCTATTTAAAATGAGCTAAATTAACAGAATTTTTTTGTTTTTTGGGGACAACTTAGTTATTTTATGTTCAATCAACTTAAAATTGAAAAGAAAAATCTTAAGCTAATGTAATTGATTTTTGTTGGGACAACATAAAGGAATTGTGTGGAATCCTGCTTTTTTACAGTTTATACTATGTATCAGTATCAGAAAAAAATGCAAAAAATTGTAATAGCAATTAAAATAGATATTATTTACACATTATATACACTACCTGACAAAAGTCTTGTCGTTGGTCCCAGTTCTAAGAACAACAAATAATAACTTGACTTCTAGTTGACCATCTATAAATGTGGCAGAAGGTAAATTTTACTGATGAATCATCTGTTGAACTGCATTTCAATCACCACAAATACTGCAGCAGACCTATTGGAACCTGCATGAACCCAAGATTCTCACAGAAATCAGTCAAGTTTGGTGAAGGAAAAATCATGGTTTGGGGTTACATTTAGTATTGGGGCGTGCAAGAGATCTGCATAGTGGATGGCAACATCAACAGTCTGAGGTGTCAAGATATTTGTGCTGCCCATTACATTACAAACCACAGGACAGGGCAAATTCTTCAGCAGGATAGCACTCCTCATACTTCAGCCTCCATATCAAAGTTCCTGAAAGCAAATAAGGTCAAGCTACTCCAGGATTGGCCAGCCCAGTCACCAGACATGAACATTATTGAGCATGTCTGGGGTGAGATGGAGGAGGCAAAATCTTGATGAACCCTGGGAGTCCTGCAAGAACGCTTCCTTGCCATCCCAGATGACTTCATTAATAAGTTATTTGAGTCATTGCAGAGATGTGTGGATGCAGTTGTCATGGGAGTCACGCACAATATCAATTCTTTTCCCACTGCACCATGACTTTATTCTATACTGCACATTATTTCTGTTAAGTGACAAGACTTTTGTTTAAGCAAAGTCAGACTGTACTAATTAAATAGTTCAAATCAAGGCATGATCACATTTTACTCTGGTAAAATAAGTAATCTAGAGGCCTTTGCCTTTTATATAAGCCACTTCTGATATCAAATGATTAACTAAAAGTCAAGCTATTATTTGTTGTTCCAAAAACCTGGATAGGCAACAAAACTTAAGTCAGGTAAGTGTAAGTGAACTAATTTACACAAAATAACAATTAACCCAGAAAGTGCTACATTTAATAGAATCTACACTATTAGTTTTAAAGATTATTAAAGTACATAACTTTATTTATTTTTTTATTAATAGAGGCAAGTGACAAAAAAAGTCCTACAAAAAAGGTCCTTGCTCTTTTTTCTACTACAGACATTACAGAAAATTATAATCAAGGTCATATGTTTCACTTGTGCTTATAGATGCAATCTAATTAGGCATTTTGATTATTCATCACAGCTGCAAATACTTATTCATTGTGTGAGTTCGCTGTCTAAACTTTACAAAACTTTTCTGAGCAATTCTACACTTTATATATATATTTTTTTTTCTTTTAAACAAATGCATGATGCAAGTAATGTTAAGAGATTAATGCCTTGTTTACAGCATCTGATTCAAACAAAAGTTTCATAAATTCATGAACTGCTCTAGAGAATATTGTAATGAAACTACATTAGCCTACTTTTATCTATCTTATCTTTGCGTGTGACAGCATGTATTTACTCAATCAAATAACAGCTTTTAACTTTGGCATTGCCATGTTCTTTTGTGATTAAAAAATTTCACACTAAATAGAGCAAAGCTAACAGTGCTTAGATGCCCCATGTTTAATGTGAACTCTATTCTATTTTAAATGGACAGAGATATATAGGTCAGGGCTATGTATAGATATGTAGTGCATAGAACATTTCAGGAGCTCTCCCATTTTGTACTGTACTTGACTGTGTCTGTACAGTAAACATCATTTTAATATAGGGAAGAGCGGGTAAGGTTGCAACAGCTTTTGCATTTCCTTCAGTTTCTAAGAGACTGTTTGTTCTATATCTCCATTTTTTTGTATAACATTTTTATATATTCAAAATTTAAACCCACATGTACCAGATACCCACTCACATTGCATTAACGTTTGTACATATGATAGGCCATATGTAGAATTTAAACTTGAAAAAAGTCAAACGCTGCAACTCATCTCAAGTAATTAAAACCTATTTAAGAAAAATCTAAAACATCATATAGGACTTTATTTCATTTGTAAACAGTCTAAATGTAAATTGGGCAAATTGTTAAATACATTAAATTGGCCATGTAAGACAGGCTAGTAAAAGAAACGCAACAACCACATTTTGGTCAATTATTAGAAATATATTGTGTGTGTGTGTGTGTGTGTGTGTGTGTGTGTGTGTGTGTGTGTGTGTGTGTGTGTGTGTGTGTGTGTGTGTGTGTGTGTGTGTGTGTGTGCGTGCGTGCGTGCGTGCGCGCGTGCATGCATGTGTGTATGCGCGTGTGTGTGTGTGCGTGTCTGTGTGTGTGTGTGTGTGTGTGTGTGTGAGACAGCCTTCATCCTTCACTGTATTTGCTGCTGACTTTAGAACAGATATCTGCTGTTGGTTTCCACTCTCGTAGAATACTGTAAAAAATAAATAAATAAAATAAATAAAGACACTACACTACCTGGCAAATGTCTTGTCGCCTATGCAAGTTTTAGGACTAAAATAATAACTTAACTTCTAGTTGATCATTTGGTATCAGAAGTGGCTTAAATGAAAGGCAAAGGCCTCTAGATTACTTATTTTATCAAAATTGAATATAAGCCTTGATTATGAATTATTTAATTAGGACAGAAAGGTCTGACTTAGTTGAGACAAAGGTCTTGTCATTTAACAGAAATAATGTAAGTGTAGATTAGGGGTGTCAAACTCAATTACTGGAGGGCCGAAGCCCTGCACAGTTTAGTTCCAACCCTGCTCCAACACACTTACCTGTAGGTTTCAAACAAGCCTGAAGGACTCAATTAGTTTGATCAGGTGTGTTTAATTAGGGTTGGAACCAGGCACGTGCACACATAGGGCTCAACCTGTGCAGTGCACATGCCCTTTTTAGTCTTGGATAGAAAGTGCCCTTCCAAAATGGTCAAAAGTGCCCCCGCGACGCGGCACAGCTTCGGTCCCGCCCTTCAGTACGCGCGCGACAACACCGCCCTTCAGTACGCGCGCGACAACACCGCCCTTCAGTACGCGCGCGACAACACCGCTCTTCAGTACGCGCGCGACAACACCGCTCTTCAGTACGCGCGCATCCACTCTGCAGATCCCCCCCCCCCCCCTCTTCAAAATATTTATCCTGCACATGCCCTTTGGACGGTCTCTGCACGGGCCTGGTTGGAACTAAACTGTGCAGAGCTGCGGCCCTTTTGGAACTGAGTTTGACACCTGTGGTGTAGAATATAAAGTCAAGATGCAGTGGGAAAAGAATTAATATTGTGAGTGACTCCCATGAGCTTGGAGGACTGCTTCCATACATCTCTGCAATGACTCAAATAACTTATTAATAAAGTCATCTGGAATGACAATGAAAGCGTTCTTGCAGGACTCCCAGAGTTCATCAAGATTCTTTGGATTCATCTTTAACGCCTCCTCCTTCATCTTACCCCATACTCTTTCAATCCTGGAGCCTTCTTTGCTTTCAGGAACAGAGGCTGAAGTATGTATAGGAGCGCTATCCTGCTGAAGAATTTGCCCTCTCCTGCGGTTTGCAATGAAATGGGCTGAACATATGTCTTGATACCTCAGACTGTTAATGCTGCCATCCACTATGCAGATCTCTCGCACACCCCCATACTAAATGTAACCACAAATCATGATTTTTCCTTTACCAAACTTGACTGATTTCCGTGAGAATCTTGGGTCCATGTGGGTTACAGTAGGTCTCCTGCAGTAAAATCTACCTTCTGCCACTTTTCTAAATGGTCAACTAGAAGTCAAGTTATTATTTGTTGCTCTAACAAGCAAAAAAAAAAAAAAGTGTTGCTACTTGTTTAAACTACTTGAGCTGAAATAACACAATTTTTTTTTTTTTTGTTTTTCGAGGACAACTTAATTGTTTTATGTTCAATCTAATTTGTATAAACAGTTTGGTTAACTTAATTGACTTGTGTTGGGACAACATGAAGGACTTGTGTGGAACCCAACATTTTTACAGTGAATAAGTCATGTTGCAACTATCCACGCTCTCCTCTGTCATACTTTGTAAAAGTGATTGCTTTCAAAAACATGTGTTTTCACCATCAGACTACCCTAGTCCCGATGTCTCCCACCATTCCCTGAGGTTACGGACAGTTGCGGCTCCGGCTCCTGCTCAGCAGAGCAGCGGAGTTCAGTTTGACTGGGCTTCTCCTCCTCCTGAAGATGCTGAAGACTCCAGTGAAACACGTAACCTTCGCGAGCTGCCGCTGCACATGAGTCTAAAGAGAGCAGTAAGGTAGACATCCATTATCTTCTTACAGCAACCAACTTTTACATTATCAAAACTGGAATGGAAAGGGAACAGTTAGTCTATTTCTCTGTCCAACGAATTTCTGACAGAAATAATCACAGAAATTCAGTTAAGAAAGTTTTCATATACAGTTGAAGTCAGAAATATTAGACTTCCTGTGTTGTTAGCCCACCCTGTATATATTATTTACATTCTGTTTAATGGAAAGGAGATTTTTTTCAACACATTTATAAACATGATCGTTTTAATAACTCATTTCTTATAACTGATTTATTTTGTCTTTGCCATGATGACAATCAATAATATTTACTAGATATTCTTCAGGATGCTACTATTCAGCTTAAAGTGACAATTAAAGGCTTAACTAGGTTAATTAGGGAAGTTGTTGTATAAAGATGGTTTGTTCTGTAGACAATTGGAAAAATATATAGCTTAAGGGGCTAATAATATTGACCCTAAAATAGTTTAAGAAAAATAAAAAACTGCTTTTATTCTATCCGAAATAAAACAAATAAGACTTTCTTCAGAAGAAAAAATATTAAGGAAATACTGTGAAAAATTCCTTGCTCTGTTAAACATGATTTAGGAAATATTTGAAAATCGGGAAATCACAGGAGGGCTAATCATTTTAACCTCAACTGTAGTTATACAGTTACTATATAAACTATCATGGGTTGTTTCTGTTTCTGTCTTCCAGGCAGGTGCAGCAGATGAGAGTTCCAGTTGTGTCCAGCTCTTGGAATATTAAACATTCACAGACATTTCGGCGTTTCTGTGAGGTGGCCAAAAATATTCTCAGCTATTTTGTTTTGTGGAAGAGGGGGATCCAAAGAATAGGAGGTGAAATTTTGTTCATTCATTCATTCATTCATATATTCATTCATTTATTCAATAATTTTCCTAGGCTTAGTCTCTATTTCAGAGGTCGCCACAGCAGAATGAACAGCCAACTATTCCAGCATATGTTTTATGCAGTGGATGCCCTTCAAGCTGTAACCCAGTTCTGGGAAACCTTTTTTGTATTTTTATATACACAACTGAAGACACAATTATTAGCACTTCTGTGACATTTGTATTCCTTTTCAAATATTTGCAGCGATGTTTAACAGAGCAAGGAAATTATTCATATTAATTCCTACTATATTATATTATAAACCTATATATTTTCTTATGGAGTAAGTCTTCTTTATTTTTGTTTGGCTGGAATTTATTAAAATAAATTTTAATTAAGTTTTCAAAGACTTTGAGCTGAATACCGTCGTCTTATAACAATAAAACACTGTAATGTACTGGTATTCTGGCATTGACAAATTAAATTAGCTATTAAACATTAATTAACTATATTCATACTTTCATTTATTTTATTTTCGGCTTAGTCCCTTTATTAATCTGGGGTTGCCACAGCGGAATAAACCACAAACTTATATTACATGTTTTACGTAACGGATGCCCTTACAGCTGCAACCATCACTGGAAAACATCCACACACACTCATACACACATTTATAAACACAATAGTTTTAATAACTCATTTCTAATAACTGATTTATTTTAACCTTGCCATGATGAATAATATTTGACTAGATATTTTTCAAGACACTTCTATAAAGCTTAAAGTGACATTTAAAGGCATCACTAGGTTAATTAGGTTAACTAGGTAGGTTAGGGTAATTAGTTTATTGTATAATGATGGTTTGTTCTGTTGACTATGGATAAAAATTATAGCTTAAAGGGGCTAATAATTTTCACCATAAAAAAGGTGTTTAGAAAATAAAAAAACTGCTTTTATTCTTGCCAAAATAAAACAAATAAGACTTTCTCCAGAAGAAAAAATATTATCAGACATACTGTGAAAATGTTCTTGCTCTGTTAAACATCATGTGGGAAATATAAAAAAAAAAGAATCAAACGTAAGCTAATAATTCTGACTTTGACCTATATGTTTTGTAAAATACAGCAATTTAAATATAGAACATTTTAATTAAAGACAATCAATAAATTGTGAATAATTTACTGCCTTTGTCTGAATGTAAACAATAAAAATGAACTGTAACCCGAGTTTGAGTTTTTCAAAACATGATAAAATCTATTACATATCATTTTTATGACCCAGCACTGTATAAACTATGCACAAAGATATAAAAGTGTTTAATTAAAAACATATGCTGTTCTCATTTAGTACACTGCTCGTCTAGTAAAAGAAGCTCTGGAACATGATAAAATGAAGTTAATAGCAACAATCAAACTAAATGTATTCTCATTTCCCCTTCATTTCCCCTTCCCACTTGTTTTGCTCATAGGTCACTTTGGTGGAGGAGTCCAGTCCTACTTTCTATTCCTGAGATTTCTGGTGATTCTCAACTTTCTGTCCTCTTTGTTAATCGCAGCGTTTGTGCTCATTCCCAGCATTGTGTTTCGCTCCTTGAACTTCAACTCCACCTCCAACATCACTATAGTCAACACAACAGGTAGGAACACAGTCTCCCTCCCAGACACAAACACAAAGACTGTCACACGTCAGTGCCTCTAATGGGAAGATTCTTGCCGTTTACCGGATACCACAATCCTCTTTGTTTGGCCTGAGATCATTTTGAGTATTCATGAAACCAGCAAAACCAGTCTGGCAACATCCATCTATTTATACTTTACAAAGTCTTTCAAATAAATTAAAAAAACAACAGCACTTATGGCATGTTTTGTTCTGAACCATCGGTTGATCTGGTTAATAATTCATTTCAGTAACTAATCATTAAAAGATAAATCACTTTACAAAGAATTTGACTATTGTGGTTAACAGATTAAATTAGATAATTTCTTCCTTGTTCTAGTAAGTTTTCATTATGTTGAGCAAAATTGATTCTTGCAGTTTGTGATAGTTTGCTGTGCAATTTTACTAATCTTGCTTTCTTTTTTCTTAATTATATTAGTTTAAGGGGTTAAACACAATAAGGAATAACACTCTTTGTTGAAATGCTACACTCATTTAAACATTTAACACAGTATTCATTTGAAAAAACACTCTTTGGATGCCTGTCTTCATTAAACTGGTGTGAATTCACTTTATAGGAACTTTTAAATCACATTTGGATTATTTTGATTGCCACAGGTTTAGAGACCTGCATGCAGTATGATCCAAAACCTGATGCTCTTATGGTGTTCTTCAACTACTTTCTGGACCTGGTTTCAGGCACGGTATGGACAGATTTATAGATATTTTTCAGTATACAATAAAAATTCAGAAATACTGAAATATATAAAAATACAATCATATTGAGAACTATCACGATTTAAAATATTTTTTATATATACAACATATCAATAACTGTTTTAAATAAAGTATAATTTATTCCTTGGGTGGCAAATCATATTTTTGGTTATAATATTTAAATATCCATTTTATCCATTCCTCTGTGAATATAGCTATTATATTTTGGTACATTTGAAATAAAAAGATTTAATAAACAAATATATTTATTAACTTAATATGTTAGTCACCAAACATCTGTAGAAATAAAAAGATAATACACTTAAGTTAATGCAAAATATTGGGAAAAAAACTACAAACTTTCAACAAATTTTATTTTAAAAATTTGTTTTTCTTAAATTTTGCTCCTTTTTTTTTTTTTATATAATTTTCCCTAACATTAATTTGGGTGTACTAATTGTCGACTGTTATCATAAGTTATTTTGTTAGATTAGTTCCAGATGTGGCATCAGTACTGACTAATCTAATGTATATGCAGAAATATAATATTGTATAGTTTCCTATTAAAATGTGAATTTAAACGTAATTTGAATCTAACAACTGAGATACCATGTCGCCTTAATATACAGTTAAAGTCAGAATTATTAGCTCCATGATTATTATTTTTTTTATATTTCCTAAATGCTCTAACAAAGCAAGGAATTTTTCACAGTATGTCTGTGTCTGAAAATATTTTTTCTTCTGGGGAAAGTCTTCTTTGTTTTATTTCGGCACGAATAAAAGCAGTTTTTAATTTTAAGGTCAAAATTATTAGCCCCTTAAAGCTACATATATTTTTGATGGTCTACAGAACAAACCATCGTTATACAATAACTTTCCTAATTACCCTAATCTGCCTAGTTAACCTAATTAAATTAATTAACCTTTAAATGTCACTTTAAGCTGTATAAAAATGTCTTGAAGAATATCTAGTCAAATATTATTTATGTCATCATGGCAAAGATAAAATAAATCAGTTAATATAAATGAGTTATTAAAACTATTATGTTTAGAAATCTGCTCTCTGTTAAACAGAAATTGGGGAAAAAAATAAACAGGGGGCTAATAAATCTGACTTCAACTATATATAATGTATACTATTAAAAAGTCCATTATACTCACCATCATGAAATGTATCTAAATTCAAAATGAATGTTTTATGTTGACATTTTTTTAAATGAAGTGTCATTTATTCCTGGGATGGCAAATCAGAATTATGGGTGAGAATTTTGAAATTGCCTGATGAAACAGTTGTTATAATACTGTATATTTCTAACTATGTCAGTCTGTACAACTTAACTTAACTTAACTTAACTTAACTTAACTTAACTTAACTTAACTTAACTTAACTTAACTTAACTTAACTTTAAATGCAAAAATATAACTGATCCCAGACTTTAAATGGTAATGTAAGTGAACTGTATTAAATATGTAGCATTGTCAGCATTTTAGATGCCAGCTTTTACAATTGCTCAACAGCTCTTACAATTTTACAATTATACAACCTTTTCATTTAAACTTAAATGTAAATCAAATTAAAATAAAATGCACAATGTTTTTTTTTACAAAATGTATGCTACAGAAACTACTGTTCCAAGTTTATTTATTCTGACATGTAAGCTGTTTCTTTGTCGGTGAATTATTGCATAATGATCATTACTCATCAATGTCATCTCCTCCATCAGGGTTTTATGGAATATTCATACCTTTTTTATGGCTATTATAATAATACAATGATTGAAAGCGATGGCTTCTCTTACAACATCCCTCTGGCCTACCTGTTGACAGCAGCTTTCTACTTCCTCTTCTGCTTCTTTTGTATAATTATTAGGTGAGTCAGCTTTTGTCAGAGTTGTTAGAACATTGCTGTAGAATTAAACTGACGTCTCTGTCTGTCCAACAGAATGGGTGGTACGGCTCGTGTTGTTGTAGAGACGGGTGCAGGAGCAGCCGGGGGTTACTGTATGCTGGTGTTTACAGGATGGGATCACGGTCTTCAAGGAGACCGCGCTGTAAAGCTTAAACAAAACAACGTTCGCTACAGGTTACAGGTCTGTACATGGGAAACCAAAACTAGAAATGAAATGCCCTGAGGTATTTTTTGATGGAATATGGATTGGATCTGCTTAACATTCAACTATCTAATATTTTACCAAATGGATAAAACAAAACATTACAAAATGACAATCTTCAAAGGTGATTTTTGCTATATGATAAGTCTGCTGAGAGGGCCGGTTCTTTTTTTTTCAAAATGTGGACGTTTTTGCAGTTACTCACCTCATTTTCTATTTAACTACAATGTTTAAATATATCATTTTTGTGACTTTTTCAGCAATTTTTTGCTGGATTAGCATAACCACACTTTTTGATGTACCAAAAACATTTCCTAAAGATTTAGATTAAAGAAATATGAAAAAGTTATTATTATTTAATTCAGTTTATTTTTAAATGCAAATTTATCACATCATATATTATTAGAAAAAAGCTATCTATTAAAGTTAATTTATTAAAACTGAAGCTTCTTGTCATTTATTAGGCAGGTGAAAAACTAGGGTGTGTATCCCAAACAACGACATAACTCGCGGCTGAACTATCATATTATGATGCATCGATGGGAAAAGAACGATGGGAAAATCGATGGGAAAAGAATTATTATTATTATTATTATTATTATTATTATTATTATTATTATTATTATTATTATTATTATTATTATTATTATTATTGTAATGCTTTTTCTAGCCTCTCTTGTAAAACAGTACATTTGAAAATTCATAGATAACAACAATATTCTGATTAGTATTAAAATTACCTTTAATATGCTTTAAAATTACCTTTTACTTCACGCCTTTTTATTGGTCATTTTTTCTTTCAAGAACAAGATGTTCATGATTTAGAGTTAAAGTTACTTGCAATATGCTTTTTCTATTTAACAACAATACAGTAGGTAGTGAAAGATGACTTAAAGCATAGGTCTCAAACTCGATCCCTGGAGGGCCACAGCTCTGCAGATTTTAGCTCCAACCACCTCCAACTCACACCTGCTTAATAGTCTCTAGTTGTCTTGAACACCTTGATTAGTTGAATTAGCTGAGTTCGATTAGGGCTGGAGCAAAACTGTGCAGAGTTGCAGCCCTCCAGGAATCCAGTTTGAGACCAGTGACTTAAAGCCTTCTTCAATGAGTTACTTTTACTATTTATGATGGCATAGCAGTCAAAAAAGGTCTTTCCCGCCTGATTATGAGCCTGAATATTTATTTTAACAACATTAACTTTTATTTGACATATAATAGAAGAGATTTATTGAACTCAACAAATAAAGCTGTGTGGTTGCTGTGTGTAAATTTTTCTGATTTACTTCAAGTTTTTATATTGTCCAAGATGTAGCCAAGAATAGATAGATTTAGCCAAAACTAACCTATGGTTTTTGTGCTAGTACTTAATCCTGGTGCACACCAAGCATTTGATGATTTTGGTCTGAAAAAAATGTTGGATTTTTTAGCAGACATGCAACTGATTTCCTCCATGTAATCAATAAACCATCTGTACCTATGTTTTTATATTATTGCCGATATGCTGATCGCTTTTATTTAGACTAATATCGGCAGCCGATTTAAATCAGTGCATTCTTAGAAAATACAGTGACTCATTGCACAGGTTCTTTTTGTAAAATATTTTGTCTGTCATTATTTTGATTTTCTCTATCTGTCTCTGTTTTTCTGTTCCTCAGGTGGATTTAGAAGAGGAGAGGCTTAAAAAGAAGGCTGCCTCGCTGACTTTGGGCCAAACAGTCTCTCTCTATGCTCTTCGAATTTTCCTTAATCTAATAGTCTTAACACTCATCGTTGCAACCTTCTTTGGCATTGCTAAGGCAACACAGTTCAGCCAGGTCAGTTTTATATGTAAAAATACTAAGGGCTCCATATAAGCAATCAAGGTGCAAAGTCTAAAGGTCATGGCCCATTTGCTATTTAGATGGCGGACTTCGTAAGTTAGAAAAACTAAACACACCACTAGTGAGAAAATAGTTAAACAGACCATCTGTGTAAGAATAAAGAATGTGCCTCATTTATTTGGCCTCTTTACTTTCTCTTTAGTTTAGTTTTGTATTTACTTTACTCCTTTAGTTTCATGGAGTAAGGAAACGGTGTTGTACTCTCTCCATTGAAGTAATTAGCCTACATATTTAATTCTGTTTGTTAAGCACTAAGATTTGTTTCAAAACTATCTTTAAATTCAGTTCTAATTTCCAGCAAATGGATAAATGAACAATAATCCGCTTGTTAAGTGTGACGTCAGGCGGAGCGGCTTCTGGGTCCAAGCGCTCTATTCAACTGAATGGGGAGATTCATGAAATGGTAATAATAAACGTTTACAAAGCGATTTATTACTTTCGAAAGTCACGACCGCAGTATATATGTCCATGCCTAATATCCGATGGCCAGAAAGTGATTCATTGTTTTATAAATTGTTAAAATTTTGGTATTTGTTATGCAGCAAGCCCAGAGATTGTTGTGTACACTATGACTTTATGTAAAATTAACTATAATGTGTGATAGAAATAAAACGCAATCATAAACGAATGATTTCTTCACTCAAATGAATGGCGGCTTGGACCCGAAAACTGAGTTACAGTATATACAAACACACGTCCTATTCTTATGCCCCATATAGTGATGCATACGTCTCCAAAACCTGAAAGATGGACAAATAAACTTGTTTTAAAACTTGTTTTTATTAAAACAAATATAAATATGCATAAAATAAATAATAATGCTAATGATAATCACATTAAACAAAACTTGATCAACTGAGATGAAGAAGGCATGGAGGCAGTGGTTTTTATATTAATGTAGAAATTAATCATTTTAAAAACATTTTAATCTTTTTTTTTTCATATGTAAAGATATTTGTGTACTGCTCTACATCCTGTGTGTATCAAGCAATATGTAAGCATTTGGACCTGCATAGGTGCATAACTAATGGGCTCTGCGCTGGATTTTAGACCCGCTTTCCAAACAACTTGGCACAAAGCATGAAAATTACTGTTGAGCTGGTTAAAATAGCAACCAATCATGTCTTGCACCTTAATGTGCCGGGTGTATGATAGGGCCTCAAGAAATAGAAAGTCTGACAGCTTAAAAAATCCCATAATTGCCAGTAATTAATGCTAATTCCTGATTCAAAGTAGGGTAAAAAAGCAAAAAGTATACATTAGTATTATTTATTTATTTATTTTTGCTGAATTTCTGAAAATTATATAAACTAAATATCTTGTTATTTTGTTTTTCAGAGAATCTTAAGCAGTGTTCATATTAAAGGCTATGAAAACAAATATAGTGACAGTAACCATCAAGACTGTGCTAGACATTATCTGCACAAATGGTTAAAATCAAATGACTTACTAATATTGTAAAAACAAAAATTCATGCTTTAAAAAATTGACATGAAATTAACCAAACTGTTTTAACAATCACTTTATAATACGTTAGTTTTACAGTTGTTGCTATCAAAAAGTGACAACACTTTACTATACGGCACACGAAGTTAATATTAGTTAATGCATTTACTAACATGAACAAACAATGAAGGACACATTTATTACTATATTATTTCATGTAAGTGCCAATCTGTCAGCAGAACATGTATTTAAAGTATGTTTACTTTATCTTATGAGCTATTTTAAAGCCCCAGTATAAAGCATGACTCACAACAAATTATATTATGCACTTTATGCACCTCCAGCAGCTCAAATGCACATTTATCAAACTGTTGTCAGTTCACTAATACTCTAATGACTGCTAGTTGGCATGTAGTAATAAGCAGAAATAATTAATTGTTGCTAATCTCTCTTTTTGACTCCTAAGTCTATGAAAACAACAGGATTTACGGGGCTACTGCTGCAGTACTTACCCTCCATGGTCATAACAGCAAGCAATTTTGTGGTGCCTTTACTCTGTGACAAGATTGCATTACTGGAAAAGTATTCCCCCAGTACCACGGTCATCCTAGCCTTGCTCAGGTTTGATCAACACTTGCATCCGCACTGAATGAAGATATCAAAGAGAACAAACAACAGAAATATAATAAGCACTTCTTGTTTAACCTTTGTTAGAGCCCTCGATGAGAGCTCTTTGCAGACCTTCATTAAATAGCTTACAAAAAGATGATTTTAAATGAAACCATGTCATATTCTCTTAACACTCACGCATTGTTCATCCATCCACCGCTCTCTTTGATTTGGTCTTTGTTGTAATTCTATTTTCTGCTCTTGCAATGCTGCTTATTCTCTGTTGTTCGTTGTAGGGCAGTGTTCTTGCGTTTGGTCAGTTTGGGTGTTTTGCTGTACACTCTATGGGAGCAGATAACCTGTAAAGGAGAGATTGGCAGTGATGACTGTAAACTCTGCGGTTATTATTATAACCAATACAAGGTAAACGAAATGTGCACTTATTCATTAATTGTTCAGATCAGATACGCTACCACTAGTTAGCATAAAAAGTCATTGTATAAAAATGGTTTGTTCTTCAGACAATCGAAAAAAATTATACTTAAAAGTGCTAATAATACTGACTTTAAAATGGTGTTAAAAATATTAAAATCTAATTTTGGTATTGCCAAAATAAAACAAATAAGAAGAAAAAATATTATAGGAAATACTGTGTAAATGTCCTTGCTCTGTTAAACGACATTTGGGACATATTTGAAAAAAAACAATTCATAGCAGGGCTAATCATTTTGACTTCACATATTATATTGTAATAAATATTTATATATTATAGTAAATGTCAATAAAGTTACCATATAAAGTCCATATAAAGGATTACATTGTTTGAATTTTAATGCTGACTAGTGTATATTTGTTTAAACAAAGATGTAATAAAAACTTAAATTGTGCAATTTTGCTATATAGATATGTTGTTATTGTTTTAATATATTTAATATATGTACTTAACCCTATATATTGCTATGTCTTTTGGCCCTCAGTGTCTAGTGATCTTATGCTGATATTAGTGCTCAATACACATATTTTATTTTTAGTGATGAAAACATAATATTCTATGGAAAGCAAAATTCAAAAGAACAGCATTTTTTTATCAATTTAAAGCATTTTTGCTAAATAGGTTAGGTTAGGTTAGGTTAGGTTACTTTATTTATACCCAAAGGTAGATTTGGTCAAACATGTGCTGGATAAGTTGGTGGTTCATTCCACTGTGGTGACCCCTGATTAATAAAGGGACTAAGCCGAAAAGAAAATAAATGAATGAGTTCTACAGCTTGATACTAGAACCCTGCAACCAGAAGGAAGGAGCTGAACCTCTGAGTGTAGGGGATGAGCAGTGTCACTTAAAATTGAACTTATAATTCTCTTTTTCCTGATGTACACAGCCTTCAGATTGGCTAGTGACACCCTAGTCAGCTTACTGGACCACTTAACTATTTGATTTAGTTTGTTTTTACTCTTAACAGAAAGGTTCCCAAACCATGACACCAAAGTAAAAGACAAAACAGATTCAAGGAAATAATATCATAAAATCATCAAATAAAATCATCACGTGTTTATCAATATGGAAATGATTTAACTTTCTCAAAAAGAATAGTCGCTGGAGAGTTTAGAGTCAATAATTGTGCTAAAGTATTTGTATGATTGCACACTTGCGACAGTCTGATTTTTAATAGAACCGTTCACCTGTGTGTGAGCAGCCTTCCTAAAATCAATTATCATATTTTTTATCTTAAATACATTTAACTGAAGATATAACTCCTCACACCATCTGACAACATCGGTTAGTACTGGACCATGACCTGTCTCATTATCATAAGGTTGGCTGACAATGACAGTGTCATCTGCATATTTGAGATGGTTCTATTTTCCCAACTACTCTGGCACATATTTGTGTAAAGGATGTTGAGGAGCAGTTCAGAAGCAAGTTTTATCAGTGAAGCATCCATTCACCTTTAACACTGCGTTCGATTAGTTAAAAAGTAAAGAATCCAGCCCACCAGATTATCATTAAGGTCAAAGAGTCTACTAATTAAAATGTGAGATTGAGTTGTGTTAAAAGCAGAGTAGAGAAATTCAATTCTTAAACTGAGAAATGAAGAACTTCACACTTTTGAATAGTTTAAGTTTTAGGATTGATATCTTAGTGGTTATTGCCAAAAGTCTCACATTTTTGCAATTTTAGAAATGATTTTAGGTTCAATCCTTCTTTCAATCCTTCTGTTTAGTGCTGGGAGACGCGAGTTGGCCAGGAAATGTATAAATTAACTTTATTTGACTTCCTGATTACCGTTGCTACACTGATCCTGGTAGAGTTTCCACGCAGGTATGTTTCTTTCTTTTGTGTGTGTTGGTTCATACAAGTATTTAGTTAAATATCTAAGTCTGTTACTTTTATATGTTCAGGATCGTGGTGGATCATTGCTCATGCAAACTGAGCCAGCTGGTGGGACGGCAAGAGTTTCTGGTTGCCCCGAATGTTCTTGCTCTCGTTTACAGTCAAACGGTGGTTTGGACTGGAGCTCTTTTCTGTCCATTGCTGCCATTTATCAACACCCTCAAATTCGTCATCTTTTATTATTGCAAAAAGGTACCATGAGCACATCCTTCTCAGATGCACATATAAGTTTTTCAGTCATCTGCAGTCATTTTTCTTGCTTGTGTCAGATTACTCTCTTCCAAAACTGTCAACCGGCAACAAGAAACTTCAGATCCACCACCTCCAACTTCTTCTTTTTGTTGGTTCTGCTCTTTGGATGGATGTTGGCCAGTGTGGTTCTGCTTTACAGTGTTGCTAAGTGAGTGATTCTCCTCCATAAATGTTGGGAAATATTTCCATCTTCTATGACATCACTGTAAAACCTCAACTTTTGGTTCTTCCTACTGTATGTCAAGATTTATGATGAGTCTGTTTTAGGATCCATCCATCATATGGCTGCGGCCCTTTCCGTCTTGACCCAACTATGTGGGATGCTGTACCACAAGCTGTTAACATGCTAAGCACCACTAGTAGAGCTTTCCTGTTTTACATCGGCTCCCAGAAATGCTCTATTCCACTCTTCATCTTCTCTTGGTTTGTATAAACAGCCCTGCTACATACACTGCTGGTCAAAAGTTTGGGGTCAGTAGGATTTTTAAATGTTTTAAAATAAGCTTATCCTGCTCACCAAGGCTGCATATATATCATCAAAAATACAGTACAAATTGTACAATTGTGAAATTTCATTGCACTATAAAATAACTGTTCAAAAGTAGATTATAATTGAGTTTATTAATGTATTCCAGTGATTTTAATCATGAATTTTCAGCTTCATTAATCCAGTATTCAGAGTCACATGATCCTTCAAAAATATGTATTATTATTATTATTATTATTATTATTATTATTATTATTATTATTAATAGTAATAGTAATTAAAGAAATAATGTAATCATTTAATTTGAAACTACAAACAATAATAAAGCAATTATATGAAATTGTAATATATATTTAACAATTTAACAATTTTTTACATTTAATACATTCACCTCTGTGAATGTTGTTGGTTATTGTTCTTGGTGAATATTATTGATAAAGTAATTTAAAAAAAAAACATTTAAAAATAACTTATTGCTCCTAAACTTTTGACCAGTGCTGTGTGGTTTCATGTAAAACTTTATACACACTATCAGTTTTCTACTGCTTTAAATCTTGAACATTTTAGGACTTTTCACCCTGCACTTAACCCCAGGATGTACTGCCATTGTAAACATCACATTTACCTCTAAGTAAAGGAACATTTCACACTTACAATTTAGAAGCGCTGCTTTTACATGAAACTCTGCAGTGGAGCTGCAGAGTTAGTGGCTCTTTTACACTGTTAACCTCACATGGCAGTGCCAGAGCACAGATCGACTGGCCATTGTTTTACTTTATCCAATCTCTATGCTCTGAAATTGCAAACAAACTACATTGCAGTAATTTTATATATAAATAAATGGTAACACTTCACAATAATAGTACATGAATAATGATGTGTTCATAGGTAAATTATCATTATTATGAATTAATGATGAGTTAATGTATGCGCTAATCATGAACTAACTTTAAATACAACATGAGTCAGAATTTGAATAACAGCTACCTTAATTACTTGTTATTGCATGTTGTTAATAATGTAAAAAAATTACATTTAAGTTTAAAGTAAATGTTACCAACATGATTTGTGAGCTGTTAATGTATAAGCATGTCATGACTTTACTTAAAGGGGCACATCACCATTAACTCATACTTAACTATGAGTTTGAACTGTTGATGTTGATGCTGACAGAACACTTTTCTGTTGTTGTTCAGTGTAAACACATTAGACTGATCTGCATAAGGAGTTCATGAGTAGTTAGGAATGGGTTATTGATGATGTGCCCCTCCAAGTAAAATCATGATATAATTATACATTAACATGTGAGTTCAGGATGGTTAAATTAAGCATAAACAAATGTGGTAATTAATACATTAGTTTACAAACAACCATATAGTAACAAGTAAATAAGATGGCCACTATTCACACACAAACTCATGTGACTCATGTTGTAGTTAAAGTTAGTTCATGATTAGCACATGCATTAACTCTTCATTAGTTCATAATAAAGTAAAGCTTAGTTTAAATATGAGCTCATCGTTATTCATGTACTGTTATTGTAAAGCATTACCAAATAAACTTAAATTAACATTAACAAAGGACAGAGATGCCAAATACTCCCAGGCATAATATATAAAGTGTACAACAGCCCTTATTTATTTATTTAATTATTTGTTTCAGGTTTATTTGAGAGGGACGATGCACAATATTACAGTTTTTTACAATGGCTATGACACTTTTTTCAATACATTTAACAAGTTTGCTAAACTCTTAACGCAGCAACACACCTAAAATACACAATTGGCAAAACAGTTAATTTTATGCTCAAAATCAAACATTATAAACTAAACCTCTAAACTACTTTTCAAAATACAATAATAAACGAACACACTACACCATGTCTAACAAAACACTGCAATCATGTTTCAAAATGAAATTATTGTTCAAAACACTAACACATGTTCTCTTCCAACATAAACATTCAGTCAATCAGAACACACTGACAATAAAAACATTATCATCAGCTGACATTACAGAAACTCCATTAGTTTATGTGTCAGCTCTGCCCTTATATTTGAAGTCTCGTTACAGTTTTGTTTCGTTGGGTTAAGTAAATGCATGCATTTTCTTTCGTTTACGGCAAAAATTCTATACAAAACGTAAAAAAAGAAATATATATATGTAAAAGTGTGTGTAAAAGAAGTTAAAGCATTTTAAATTTGTGTTAACTGGATGCATTTTGTGTCAAAACAACAAGAAATGTGTTAATTGTATAGCCCACGAAGACGGATGTTGTGCTAACTGTGTTAAGAGTTTAGGAAACTTGTTAAATGTATTGATAAAAGTGTCATAGCAATTGTAAAAAACTGTAATACAAAAAAAATGTACAATATGGCAGATTTACCAAAAGGCTATTTTTTATCTGCAGTCTCTGGACTGGTGTTAGAATAATCACCCTAAAAAGATCAAATTAATTAATATACAACTATTTATATAACTATTTACACTGAACTGAACTAAACTGAACTTCACTTCTGAAAACTCTACTGACAGTTTCAATCTACTAGAACTTCTAGGTTAAGCTGCTTTGACACAATCTACATTGTAAAAGCGCTATAGAAATAAGATAACCGAATGAACCGAATTGAATAAATAAATACAAACATCAAAAACTTTTTAAAACTTACTACAATTTTTTTATTTATACTGATTATTAATTGAGGACTGCTCATGAGATAATTGATCCTGTGATAAAAACATTTATGTATACCCCTCTAATGTATGTGGAATGCCGGACAAGGACTGATTTTGCATGTATGTGATTTTTAATATACAGCATCCTTCTGTGCTATGTGAGCGCATTAACGTCAGTCCATGGGAAAAGTGTAGCGCTGCTGAAATCTCAGTGTGCACTGGTAAGTACTTGGATATATGTCATCCAAATGTGCAGATATTTAAGTAAAATTTGTGTAACTACCTAATTTATTGATAATATGCTAAATGTCCTTTGAATACATTTCAGCACAAAAAAAAACAGAACATAGACAAAATAAAATTATGTAATATTTACAGTAAGAAGTTTGAACGCTTACCTGAACAAAGACTTTCTTGCTTCCAATTTGATTTGTCTTTATCCGTGTGTAACAGGAACAGCGTGATAAGCAATTCCTGATCAGACAAATTGAGGAGCTGAATGCCACAATGCAGAAAGCAGAACATGAACCCAAGCTGCTAAATACAGAGAACGAGCCTTTTCAACACACAGCAGCTACACAGTGGAATCAACACAACAATTACGCTTTTGACCCCGATGAAGATCCAAGGCCGTATTAAGGCTTTAGTGCTGTATATCGCACCAATTCTAGTGTCTAAGTCAGATTTTTGCTTTTAATAAACAAGTGAGCGTATTTGATCAAAAGAGACAGAAAGGGGATTACAAATAGTGTTGAATAAATGCTAATCAAAGAAAATAAAAATAAGACCAAGGATTGGAGTAATGATGCTCAATACATTGGCATCACAGGAGTAAATTAATTCTAAAATAGACAATTTACTGTTTTTACTGTGTATTTGATCAACTTAATGCGGTCTTGGTGAGCATAAGAATTTGTGCGTCATTCTTTTTGACCTCAACCCTCTCTGTGGTAGTGTATATATGTTTATATTTATCCAATATTATGCCTGTTTATTTGCACGTTTACTCATTTCATAATTTGCTTGAATTACTTTGAACATTTTGTCAAAGTGAACAAGTTTCTGTGATGTATATTAATGCACTTTATTTACAGCAGCAGGCCATATACGCTGTGCCTCCTTAAAAATAAAATCATAATTATTCATAAACTCAAGCCTTTTCAATGATTTGGATGGGTTTCATTTATTTTCAAACCAGAAAGACTAAAAAATATATTTATTTTAGGCTCGTAGCCAGGCGGCTCAAAAGACCCACCCCTCACTGACAAAGTCCAGAATTTGGCCTTTACATTTGCTCGTTTGTCCCTGTTTTGTCTGCTGTGCCATCATAAATTGTGAAAATACTGATAGAAGGCTTTAATAAAATTTTTACTTTTAATTATTCATTTGGCCAAATTATGACTGTGGAAAGTTGACTGACATGGGCAGTTTTATTGACCTATAGGCTACACTTTTAGTTTACAGTTTTACCAGATTACTAATTTTTTAATATTTTATCCTAAATGATAGATGATAATTCAATTGTTTTCAAAAATAAGTCTTATATTCATATTTGTTTATAATTATTATTAGTTTAAAATGCTAATCTTATGACAAATCTAAAATTGTAATGATTTACAGTTGAAATGTAAATTTGTAAATTAATACCTCGTGATAAAAGAGTATGGTAAGCACTTTGACAAAATATTTTTAGTACATCAAAAAGTGTGGTTATGATCACTATCCAGCAGGCAGATCCAGCAAAAAGTAATGCTTAAAATTAGTAAATGGAGTATTTTAATCCCATGAAGTGAATAACTGCAAAAAGTCCATTTTCAGAAAAATAACCACCCCTTTCAATGGACTGGCTAAGGGCCTGTCTTTTAATCATTTTCTTAGACAGAATTTAAATATTATTATAGTTTCTTGAGTGTTATGAAGGTGTGATAACTACAAAGATATTTATCATCTCAGAAGGAAGTGTTGCACAAATCTGTCAGAGAACTGTTTCCATTTTAACTCCTTCAAACCCGAATTATGTTGCAAGTTTCTAAAAAATGTAAGAGTATGTTTTCGCAGTTCTTGAGTCTCCTATGAATGATGAAATAATTTGTAAAAATTAGAGTGACATGGTGGTGCAGTGGGCAGCACAATCGCCTCACAGCAAGAAGGTCACTGGCTCGATCCCTGGCTGGCTCAGCTGGCATTTTTGTGTGGAGTTTGCATGTTCTCCCAGTGTTCACGTGGGTTTCACCTGGATTCTACTGCTATATCAATAAATCTAAACAAAAACATTGCAAATGTGGCTCACATCTGTGTCTGGAGTGAAGTGATGGCATGCTGCTTTTCAGTGTAGTGTTGTTGTTGTTGTTTTTTGATCAAATTACAGCATCCCACTATTTGATTCTATATGGGGCGACTGTGTGTAAGATTAAAATGAGATTAAATGCTTAGGAACCACAACAAAAAAAAAACGGCCTAAAATGTGATGTCAACGGGTCCAAAGCAAAAAGCTCGTTGAATGTTTTTAGGAGCGCCCTCATGCGGTACATGACTTGGTAGTTCACTGCGTCGAAAATATTTTACGTGTGACGTAGTTCACTCACGTCAACTTACTTCCGGTGTTTTCAAGCTCTCTTTCCGTACAATCGTGTTGATATATCTTTTTAGAAACCTGTTTATTATGTTACGTTTTGTTTGTGAATTTGCTGTATGGATGTAGCGGACCTAACGTACACACGAATCAATTGACGACTTTAAATTTCGTTGCGTAATTGGTCGACGGGGCCGTTTCGAGTCATAAACTAAGCTGTTTGCTTGTTTGTTAGACATTACATGTTGTCGGACAAAACTGCTCCGGGCCTAGAATTATATTAGTTCTGACTCACTGCTCTCTTACATATTAAATAATGAACATTTTGCCCAAAAAGAGCTGGCATGTGCGCAATAAGGACAACATTGCGCGCGTGCGCCGCGACGAGGCTCGTGCAGCGGAGGAAGAGCGCGAGATTCAGCAGCGAGTGGATCGCGCAGAGCAAGAGGTAACCATAGCAACCCTGCATCCTTTCACTGCTTCTAGATTAATTTACAACATCCACATCCTCTCCTGCACTTACTGACCTTTACATGACATAGCGAATCTGATCCAACATCAGTTTTCTCAATAAACAATGTGTACATAAACGTGAATGTTATGTGCTTTGACTATTTTGCAAATATCATGAATATAATTTCGTTCGTGCACATCCTATCATTTATTATGAGCTAAATGTGGATTTCTGATGTATCCAGGCTCGAACCGAATTTTTAAGGAAGAAATCTAGAGGAGTCCTTCAGCAGACGGGGGAAGTTGGAGAGACGGTGGAGTCCAGCAGAGGAGCCAGAGAGATAGAACATCTCAATCTGTTTCCTCTGGAGGACTCGTCGGAAAAGAAAGGAAATGCAGAATACCTCAAAGAGAAGAAGGAAGAGAAGGTGTGAGAAAAGGCTAACACACTCTTAACTGTTGTCTTACCTGTTGTCTTATAGGTATTCAGTAGTCAACATTTGAAGTGGTTCAAGATTGTCTTGAGACGAGTGTTATTTTCATTGACGAAATCTTTTCGTCATAATTTTCGTGACAAACTAGTTTCTACAGACAAATCTAAATAAAAATTAAGGGATGATGACGACAACTATAATTAAAATATACTGACATTTTCGTTGACTAATAGAAATGAGACAAGAATGTGATTGAGGGATTTTTTTTGGAAAATATCAATCAATCAAAATAAATCTTGTTGTGTGATTCATGAAATTTATGAAAAAGTAACTGATCCACTGGTGGACGTGGACGATTATAATGTGGATTGATTGCAGACACATAATTTTACATATTACTATTGATATAAATAAACAGTGCATGTGTAATTTTTGGTTTTCAATAAAAAAAGCTTCAAATATTTTATATTTTATAATAATTGATTTATATACAACTATATTTATAAAACTTACACTTAAATTAATCCAAATATATTTTAGTCAACTAATTCTAGAGTAATTTTAGTCGACTAAAATCTTATGAAATGTGGTCGACTAAAACTAAAATGATTCAGAAGAATAAAATATGACTAAAACTAAAATGGAATTTTAGTCTAAAGACTAAGACTAAAACTTTTGTAAAATTTGCTGTCAAAATTTACTCTGCCTGAGACAAGAATAGGTTTTGTTCAATAGTTTTTGGACAACTTAGATGAAAGGTGATGATCCACTTTAAATGTTGACTGTAGTAAATACAACAATTTAAATGGTTACATCCTCCACATGTTCCAAAACTTGTTTGAGTTTCTTTCTTCTGTTGAACCCGAAGGATTTTGTGGAAAAGCAGCCATTGATTTTTATAGTGCTTTTTTCTACTGTGGATGTCATACCTGCTTTTTATCAATATTCCTTATAATATCTTGTTTTGTTATCAACAGATGAAAGAAATTCATAAAGGTTTAGAACCCCTTAAATGTGAGAAATTGGTGAGGAAATGTGCATTTTGAGCTAACTTGTCATTTAAAGGGCTCACAAAACCTAAATTCTCTAGATTGTTTTGTTGTTGGTCTGATAAATCATTGTACTATAAAATATCAGAACATAAAACTTTATTGTTAGCCCAAAACAGCTTATATTGAGGCCAATATGTTAAAAGGGTTGTGGAATGTGCCTTTTTATTATGTATTAGTGTGTCTGATCAAGACCTGCTTCAACATCACAGTCTGATCGGCTCACACATATAGAAGACAAATAATGAGAGATGCATATGCAGGTCTATGTGGAAACCAAATCTTAAAGATGGCTTCAAACAAAACAAGATGCTGTGTAGCATCAACTGAGTTCTTATTAGGAAGAATTAAATGAACTTCATATGTAAAGTTACGAACCAGGTTAGTGAGAATTTGGTCCTTTATTCACTTCCTCATACCACAAATTTGTTTACAATGAAGGCACGCAATTCAGCGCTGAATTTTGTTCAATGTTTTTTCACGTTATACAGAGCAAACACAAAAAAAATGACAAAAACAAAACACTTTAGGAACAATATATAATCAAATGTCCATAGTGAAAATAAAAGATGAATATATGACACAAGTTCCTCTTTTCTTATATTGTTTTGTTGTGTGCATCCATTTCCATCATAGGAGATAAAAAAAGGTTGCCAGACCTTATAAAATGTCTCAACAGACCCTCTGATAGTATGCCTTATATTCTCCAACTTAAGATGAGTCATGACTGTCCTTATCCAGTGGTTATGTGTTGGTGGAATATGGTCTGATCATTTAAACAATATCAGTCTTCTTGCCAGAAGAGAAGTAAATGCTAACATGTTTGTCTTGTGTTAAGAGTAGTGTTCTCCGGGACCACCCCGAACAATGCAAGAAATGCATTGAATTGCAGCCTGTCTGAGGCATATGGATGAGAAAATGCCTTGCATTGTTTTGTGCCAGATTGGTGTGCTGGATTTTAAGAAACATTGAATAAAAGATGATGACGTGCCATTTATGTTGTTGCACGAAACAAGCAGGTATTACATAGTCGTTATCGCATTGTTTGTTAATACAGATAATTGGACATTTACTGAGTATTTATGCATTTTTAACCTATATCATAGTAGTGCATACTCATGAACAGAGTGTCTGCTGGATCTTAAAAAGTTGATAAATCAATTATGAGAAAATAAATGCCCTTAAAAGGTATTAAAAAATCTTAATTGTATTTTTGCGAGGTCTTAAATTTTGTTTAAGCATTGTCCAAAGTGTTTATAAGTGTCCAATAACTCCAAAAAAATCATGATTTTAATTATTTTCCTCCTAATATTAACAACGGCGTACTCGATCTACGTGATTGGTTCGGGCCCGGGTGTCTGGCCAAGCTCCTCTGTCTGGTTGATGTCTCGTAATTTGCGACAAATGTGGAAAGATGATGTGACACTCTCCACATGTAGCGAAACCATTGAGTGAAACAGACGGCAAAATGGGAAAATGTAAGTTGCACGGGTGTGCTCCATTGATTTATTTACCTACAATTGTTTATTAAGTTAAAGGTTTGATACTGATTAGAACTTAAAGTAAAACTTAAAAGGTTTTTAAAAAGTCCTAAAACTGTATTGAAATTACTTTTAGGTTTCCTGCATATAGGTGGATGTAGACTGTCAAGCATTGATGAAGAAGTTTACATTGCCGTGCAAACTGCTGTCTTGTCAAAATATTTAGCCAATTATTAGTCAAAAAAGTAAGCCAGTTACACCAGTGAGCATTTACTTATGAATCTACAATCTACCGTATAAATAGTGTGCTCTGATGAGGGGGTCAAAACAAGAGACAGAATATAGCCTATTACTTCTAAATGATGTATTTTTTATGTTGATAACATTATAAGTGAGTCTCAGAGAACTGGCTAAAATTACATTTCACAACTCTTTATTACATTTTGTCTTGAGATTTGGCAGTATTCGCTGGCATGCAGTCAATTTGAAATTGTAATTTCAAAGATTTTTGTGTTTTGTGATGTTTCATTCTAGGAGAAGCAGGAGCGTGCCATTGGGCTTTTGGTGTCTCTAGGTCCTGCACCTGGAACAGAAGTCACTCCCTGGTACCTGAAAGATGGAAAGGCAAAAGAGGAAGAGAGAGGAAAAAATGAGAAAAGCAAAACCATGCACAGAAGCTTAACTGAAGAGGAGAGAGAAAAGAGAGACAGGAAGCTGAAAGACATTTTGGATCCTCTTAAGGAAATGAAGAAAGCACTGGCAGTGAAGGATGGGAAGGAGAAAAAGCATAAGAAAAAGGAGAAGAGAGACAGAGGAGAGAAGAGGAGTGGAGAGAGGTGCGAAATAATTTGTCTATTTCTGTCAACACAAATAAAGCATCCTGCCTGGCTACACAACAATTTAGTCATACTTCACATGTCATTACATTCACTGAGGCGTTTCGGCAAAGTGAAAATATCACTGAGTTTTTAAACCTGCAAGAAATTAATGTTGGGCTGTAAGATTTAAAAATATATATATTTTATTTTTTACTATTAAACATGCAACAAAAAACTGTAATGTGAAATAGCATTAGTTTGTTTCAAATAGTGTATGAAACAGATTGAATCATTTTTAAAACATTGAATTATTTCAATGAGATTGAATTTATTAAAAACATTTTTTCAAGACTTCACACTTAGATAATGCTTGAGGATGTTAGCAGGTTTGGCATGCTGTAGAGAACCCTGAGCTCGGAGATAGATGAGCCCAAGGCTCCTGCCTGTTCAGTGAGCATGTAAGAGGGTACAAGATCAGGTGCTTCTCAAATGCTCCCTCAATTTGTACAGCTTGTTCCTTGATTAACAAAGACAGCCATATAGGAATAGACCACCAATCACGCTAGTGCATACTCAGGTAGAGAAGCTCAGTACTAAAGTGCTTGTGACTGTACTATTCTTTCATTCACTTATTTCTCATGTCTTTGGACTGTGGAATCAAAACCAGGCGAACACGGAGAGAAAATGTAAACTCGGCACAGAAATGCTAATTGACCCTGCTAGGACTTGAATCAGTGACCTTCTTGCTGTGAGGCAACAGTGCTAACTACTAAGTCGCCGTGTTGCCCGATCCTGGATTAAACTAGAAAAGAGGAGGAGGGAGAAGGGCTGGATAAGGGGGATCTTCCAAAATGAAGATTAGGGAGTGAAGTCAAGCTGTGGTCATACTGCACTTTTCTCCCCATAGACTTCCATTCATACACACGTGAATGTGTCAGACCGGTAACCCAAACTTGTTTCGCAGTTCACTGCATTGGAAACGCAGAAAGAAAAGACCAGTGTGACCACAGCTTCAGGCAGGATATTATGTTGATTTTGGAATGATCTGATTGGCTAGCTAATGATTACTGATGGGGGACCAGCCGTGATCAATCATTTCACATGCTCCTCTCGAAATTAGTTTGTGAAACTTCACTTATGTTTTCGTGTTGTACTGTCAATATTGAAAGTAGTGCTGCTTATTATTAATGAATATTTGATTAAACAAGAAATCATAATTGTTTAAAATAAACCCTGGAAAATTCTAGCCAATATGTTCACTCATGGGCGACGCAGTGGCGCAGTATGTAGTGCTGTCGCCTCACAGCAAGAAGGTCCCTGGTTTTAGCCTCGGCTGGGTCAGTTGGCGTTTCTGTGTGAAGTTTGCATGTTCTCCTTACATTCGCATAGGTTTCCTCCGGGTGCTCCGGTTTCCCCCACCAGTCCAAAGACATGTGGAACAGGTAAATTGAGTAAGCTAAATTGTCCATAGTGTATGAGTGTGTATGGATGTTTCCCAGAGATGGGTTGCAGCTGGAAGGGCATGCTCTGTGTAAAACATGTGCTGGATAAGCTGGTGGTTCATTCTGCTGTGGTGAACCCCGGATTAATAAAGGGACTAAACCGAAAAGAAAATAAATGAATGAATGTTCACTCATGAATGAGTAGATGCTAAGTCCTTTTCGCCACCTCTTCATCCTAAAATGATTTCTTTTCCTCTCATGACAGTTCAATTGAAAGGTTACGGGCAGAGCGGCTGCAGAGAGAAGCAGAAGAGAGGAAACGGACACAGGCTTTACTGGAACAGAGGAGCGGAGGCGGAAAAGAAAAAGAGCCTGAGCGAGAGATGGGGGATAGAGACAGACCATACAACAGCGCCTACTTTCCTGAATTGGCAAGGAAAAGGCAAAGGAGAGACAGAGATCAGTATGGCTTTTATTAGCTTACAACACTAATGATTCACTAAGTCTAGAATTTGCAGAACTGTTTCGTGTTCGGACAAGAAATTAAGCCACGTGCAATGTGTGAAGACCGTTTAAAATAAATGATTGCTACCTAAAAGCAATCGATCTGCCCTCTGCAACACTTTTATTGGCATCAGATGAGTTGGTTTTAAAAAAATGTACAAACAGGAAATTTTCTTTCTTGCTGTTTTTCTGTGCTGGCGGCACCAGAGCGATTAAATTGTTGTAAAAATGACATCTTTTGATTTGTAGGAACTGCATCAGAGTTGTTTTCCGCTACAGTTCTGAGGCATCAGCATTAAAATGTGGGCCAGCCATTATTATGAGACTAAGAACATCTTCCCTTTAGTGCTGATGCTGGAGCCTGAAATATTTCTCTCCTGTTGTGTAAATGCATTCTACTGTCAGACCCTACAGTGATTATCTTTTTTATGATAAATACTTTAAAATAGTATATATCACAAATCTGTAGCAATATTTGTGAAAATGTAAATAAATAAAAAAACATGAAAATAATGCACAAAAAATGTATAACATTAATCATAAACACACTGTTTCACAGATATTCTTAAGAAAACAAAGGATGATAGCAATTCAAAAAATAATTTTGTGCATCATACACTCACTGGCTGTTTTATTAGTTACATCTGCCACTCACACTGCACGAAAATAAGAAAATATCCAATGGTTGAAAATTTCTTATAGATGCCAGAGAATAACAAGACTGTTTGAGTTGATAAAATGGCAATAAAAGCTCAGATAAACACTTAATTCAAGCACTTTGCAGAAGAGAATCTCTGAACACATTTAACCTATAAGTGGAAGAACACATTATTGACACTCCTATCAGAACAGAAAACTGAAGGTGCAATTTGTTCAAAATTGGTCAGTTAAAAATTGAAAAAATGTTGCCTGATCTGATGAGTCTCACATTCTCCCAACATTTCTTGGCACATGGTTAGGATTTGGCATGAACTACATAAAAGCATGAATTCATCCTGGTTCATCTGAACGGCTCAGGCTGCTTGTGGTAGTGTAATCCTGTGGAGGATATTGTCCTGGCACACTTTAGGAACCCTTAGTACCAACTGAGCATTAAAAAGCAGAGCCTTCCTATGTATTATTGCTGACCATATTCATGACTGCAGTCTCCATCTTGTGATAGCTATTTACAGCAGGATTACACATTATTTTACAAAGTTTTTACACACACAAATGTTATAAATGAATGCTGGGATTTTAAAGTTGATTGTAATTCATTTTGGTGACCATGGACCACAAAACCAGTCACAAGCGCAAATTTTCAGAAATTCAGATTTATGCATCATCTGAAAGCTAAGTTAATAAGCTATCTGTCGATGTATGGTTTTGTTATAATAGGACAATATTTGGCCAAGATAATTAGAATTATTCTAGAAATAATTAAATAATACTAATAATAATAATTAAGTCTAATAATTCATTTATTAAAAAATCTGGAGTTATTGTCTATTAAAAATGTCTATTAAATTGACCCAAATTAAAATGACCAATTACAATTTAGTTTTTTATATATTTTCAGCAGGAAATTCTCAGTGTCTTAATGGAACCAGATTTTTATTCAATATTTTAATGATTTTTTTCTGCATAAGAAAATGGTTTATTTTGAATCATACAATGTGTTTTGGCTTTCCCCACATTTAAGACTAGTTTGTGGTCAAGTGACACATTTAAAGGAATCTTTGTGGTAAAAATATTTGGCCTTTCTCAGACACAGACAGAGATTTGCATGTCATTAGCTTGAAGGCTATAGGGAATTTCAGTGGCACGCTCCGTGCACCTGTCCTCCCAAACGGATCATGTCACCGCTCTGTGGAGGTGGTCCGATTTAGGGGGATTTTGATGCAATGATACCCAAAGCCACGACACGGGGGCGTTGACGTCCTCCAGTCTCATAAACAAACGCTTTTGTCGGCAGACCGGCAGCGGGTACCTGAGCGAAGGGCATCGAGTGATTGCAAGGCAACGTCTCTCTACCTACGAAAATCACCGCGAGGCGCGCACGCAGCTCCACAGAGAACATAATAGCGCAAACTCGGTGGCGTCTGACGTAGAAGAGCTTCTTGGAAGAAAACATAGCTGGACCACTCACATGATGCTGACACGGTATATAGGATAGGATGGCATATATGACCAATAGAATGGCTTCACTGGTATTTTCGGCCCGTTTTCGACCCACTGGACGCGATGAGCTTGGAATAGCAAGAGCGCGCTGGTGAGGATGCGGACCGCGGGATTAGGCTGACACAAAAGAGCGTTCACACCGTGTTTAATTGCGGATTAAAGGAGGGCATCAGCCTTGCACAACAAGGAGACATTTCTTTATTTGCGGGAAGCCAAACGCGCGACGGGGAACGTTGACAGCATCGCTCGAATGGTGGTGCCGTGGACCGCGCGACTATGTCACAACAGTGTTGGGTGATTGTTCTGGTGGGGCTGATGTCGTACTTCAACCCGGAGAGAGCGCTTGGAGCCCCGCAGAAGGAAGGTGAGCGTGTCGTTCGGATGGCATGATGTTATTTACGCGCTCGAGGGGGGAGGAGGCGATGAGACGCTGTATGAATAAGGGGAATTTGACAGTCTGCTCTGAGAAAATGGGGGTGACGACTCTTGTGTGTGTGTGTGTGTGTGTGTGTGTGTGTGTGTGTGTGTGTGTGTGTCATTATAATTGTCATTTCATGATTCAGTCGCGTGTATGTACATCATGTAAAAAATGAAAATCATATTGGCATCATTTATGCGTCCATACACTGAAGCCAGGCATATCCCGCACTGATGATGATAATAAAGGTGTCTGGCTGTTATTCTGGTGCGCATGTATGATTTTTTTATTGTGGGCCTGCGTTACCGCTCTCTCCTAATTTTACATATGGGCCTGAGGTGAATCGTATTTGCATAACACGATTATTCCCTCAAACATCATCTATTCTTTTTTTAAGTAAGAGTGGTTTTATTTGCCGCAATTTTATTATTATGTGTATTGTTTTATTCCGCGTATTATTGCTGTGCCAACAGTAAGGTGCCAGCAGGCCCGCGTGTTTATTTCTGTGTTCTCGTATGCAGTATGTGGAACCATATGGTCAAAGAAGGGAACTGCGCACAGGTCCGTGTCTGCCAGTGTCTGGCCGCTGTTCCTCGAACAATAAAAGGTTATCAGATGAATAATAACACCCTTCATGTATGCACACATCTACCTGCTCATTAGCCTATATGTTTTCATGCTTCATGTGGGCGAATGCCGTGAGGTGATTCTCGAACACAGAATGTGTGTTTGTTTTTAATTGCAAGCTTTGCATTTGTGCTGATTATTATTTATTATATTTTACTCGATTTTTTATCATGATGCACTAGCAAATGCAGTGACCTTTTGCAATACATATTAGGTGCAAGTATTCTGAAATATCATTTTTAGAAATATAAGGCTGTACAATAGCCTATCTTTCATAAAGAGAGCAGACTTGATGTGCAAGGCATGTCTGCTAATTGAAGTAATTAGCTGAACAAAAAATAATAATTATGGTTTAATATTTGATTGTGAATAATGATAGTAGTATGTATATATTGAGTATATAACATCATAATAATTATTATTATGATATAGTAATATAATAATGAATAAAATAATAAAATATAATAATGATAATGAAGAAAACTATGATTAATTATTTCACACCACAGGTCAAAAGGCTGGAAATATTGGTATCATTAATGCTTTCTTTTAAGAAAGTATTATTTTTTCACTTTAAATTCCTTTAAATACACAAACCTGAATATAATATGAATATAATATATATTTAAATTTTATGATTTTTTGATGAAATTAGTTCAAAATATCAACTCTTCCTTTTTTAATTGCTATAATTTCTGCAAACCTTTTAAAGAAACATATGTGTTTTCAAGCAAACATTTAAATACAAATACAAATGAAGCAACACAGCAGTTTCCCAGATTGATTATAATAAATAGACATTTTTAGCAAGAAATAATAATATTAAAATCATTTCTGAATTAATTAAAATTTAAAACATACCTAGCAAGATTACAATTAATTTTTTTTTTTACCTGACAACTGACAATGGCATCTGTATGTGTCTAACATGAGCACCATCTTAAATGACCTCCACAGTTTTCACACAACAGATTTTAATGACTGCTTAGTACCCCATGACTCTTTTAAAACTGCCTACCCAAGCCTCAGACGAGACTGTCAGTAATGATGTGTCCAAAAAAGTCTTTGTGGTGCCTGTGCTATTTTAGGAAAAACCATGGCCTGCTGCTTCCAAAAGTTACACTTACAAATTATTAAGGAATGATTGTCTTTCTCCTCGCATTCACAGAACTGCTTTAATGTCATTATTCCCCCATTCTTTTCTTTGATATTCTCAATTTAAACGTATTTATTAAATATGCGTTGCATTTATTCTTTCACCTAAACTGGTGAGATGTAGATTCTCAGCAATAGCATGTGTGCTAAGCTTGATGAAGTGACAAGGATCATACATGTGATTTTATTTTAGCAGCTATTCAATCTTAGCATCTGGATAATCACAATACCTAAGGTATTTAACCTCCTTGCCCTCCTCCCCACCTTCTCTTCTCCACAGATGGCTCTCCTAAAACAAACGGCCAAATTGAGGTACAAAATCAAGTATGGCACCTTTCTTTCTGACCCAGCAACCCTCCAAAAACAAGAATCTTTTTCAATGATCCAGTCCCCTCCCTAAAAAAAAAAGGCCCTTCACCCCAAACAAAACTCCAAATACCTTTCCTACTTCAATAGTGACGAGTACAAGGAATGACTTGTATGATGACTCTCTGGTCTCTCTCCTTTGCTTCCCTTAAACTCTCAAACCCTCCCTAAACCCATTCTGAAGGTGATCTATTCTCAGTTCCTCTGCTTTTCTCTGTACTTTCACCCTTTGTGCAATGAAAACTCTTCATTGGACTCCTGTGCTATGTTCTGAATGTAACGCTGCCCTTTTCGATTTTTCCCTGATAGGAATATATACCGTACACGATCTTTCCTTCTATCTATCTATCTATCTATCTATCTATCTATCTATCTATCTATCTATCTATCTATCTATCTATCTATCTATCTATCTATCTATCTATCTATCTATCTATCTATCTATCTATCTATCTATCTATCTATCTATCTATCTATCTATCTATCTATCTATCTATCTATCTATCTATCTATCTGTCTATCTATCTATCTATCTGTCTGTCTATCTGTCTATCCATCTGTCTATCAGGATAGAAATGTAACACTTTATATCTGTTGGGCTAAAAATGTAAAACTCTTCCTGGTTTTTTCCTTCAGTTTCTCTGTCCCGGGACGACTCTCTCTCTCCTCCCCCTTATGTGATTATTCTCATCTCCTGCTCTGGACTGGTCTCTTTTGTTCTGTTGCTTCTCACCTGCCTTTGCTGCAAAAGAGGAAGCGTGGGATTCAATGTAAGTCTTTTTACTGTGTGCGAAATTTGCATAATGTGTTGCTGTTACATATATATATATGTTTTATTTTCTTTGGGTCTTAGTTGAATGTTATAAATAGATAGATGTCTCTTTCTTATTAGGAATTTGATAATGCTGAAGGTGAGGAGTGCTCCGGGGCATCTAGTCCTGTTCCTGAGGACAGCTTGTCCTCTTGTCCATCACTTCCAGAGGTCTACACTCTCCCTCTCCGGGACAAGAACTGCCACTCCATACCAAATGGCACAGGTAACCCACTGATTACATGCAATATTACATGCCATTAGCTTTACATTTTGCCACTGTCCTTCAAATAAATAAACAATTTTAATCATTAAATATAATATAGTTTTGTGTGATCACTGCTACTTTTGTATATTTGATTGAGTACAGTATTTTGTCATTTCATTGATGATTATTTGACAATCTTTAATATATTTTCTATTATTTTCAACAGACAGCTCCCAATGTTTCCGAAGGCACACTCTGAACTACCTGCAGGAGATTGGAAATGGCTGGTTTGGAAAGGTTGACATCTTTAAATAAAACTCAAGAGTTCATGCTAGATTGATACGTGTCTAAGAAAACTGAAAAGGATATGCTATTTCAGATAAACATAAACCTGAAAGGAAGCAATTACTACGTTTCATTTAAACCTAAAATATAAAATTTCAGGCCATGGTCTCATTTTCATCCTCTCTTTTTTACTTGATGACCATCTATAATTACACTGACCTGGATTTGTAGTGTGTTTGGCATGTGTGGATCATGCTGGTCTGTACGTTTAGTGATGCCAGCTTTATTTATTTTTTTAGCTTACTTTCTCTTTCTCCACACTCATTTGAAAGTGCTGTGCAATTTTGTTGTAGTAAACTGTTTTCTGGTATAACTTCTTGATCTGTCTTTGTTAGGTAATCCTAGCTGAGGTGCTATGTGACTGCAGCTCCTATCAGGCAGTGGTGAAGGAGCTGAGGGTCAGTGCTAGTCCTCTGGAACAGCGGAAGTTCCTGGCAGAGTCCGAGCCATACAGGTCAGACAAACTGGGTTACTCTGGCTGCTTTTATGCCCTGTTTCTACTTGTTTTTAACATGCATTTTATGTGGTCAAGCTGTGACACATTACCACTTCCACCTGGTATTAACATGGTTTCATAGAGACCCTTACCTCTTATTTTATTAGTTTTGCTGGAGTGCTTAGTGTGTTGCACAGGTATTCATGAATTAACAAAACCCAATGTTATGTGCCTAAATTTGAAGTATGTTGAAGCAAATATGGTCTTTTGTTGTTGTTTGAGTGCAATTGATGACATGAACATTCACACTATGACAAACAATAGAGTTTCATTTACCTCTGGAAGTGGTCAAAAAGGGACAAACTTAAAATGTTTTAGATTTATTAATGCCCACATGCAGCATTGTAATTTTTGAGTTTTAAGAAAACACATCTTACAATGAGGTATAAATAGTGCTTGTTGTCTTGCTGATTGTTGTTTTTCCTACTTAGCCCATTTTTTTCTTTAAAGGCCTACTATTATGCCTCGTTTTACTAGTCTTTGATGTTTCCAGAATGTGTTTGGGAAGTTTCAGTTCGAAATACCCATCAGATCATTTATTATACCCTGTTAAATATGTACATTTTCGGGTCATAGGAAATTCTATCTGTTTTCGCATGTGCCTTTAAATGCAAATGTGCTGGTTCTCCCCACCCACTGTTCAGGGGTTGTTGCTAGATCAGATACAGTTGCGGCCGGAAGTTGAAAACTATTATTTACATTATTTATTCAAATTCCCCTAAATTGTACTTTTTTTAATGTCTACCCCTACCCCAACCCTAAACAGTAGTTGTACTGAGTAATAATTATGTAATTTTTTTAAATACCGAATAAATTGCATTTTCTAACGTCTACCCCCACCTCAACTCAAACCCCAGTACTTTTAAAATAATAATTATTGTCTGCTTTAATAGCCTAGTGGTTAGTGCGTCGGCTTATAGCACCCAGCTGCGACCCGAGTTCGAGGTCCTTTGCCGATCCTTTCCCTCTCTCTGCTCAACATACTTTCCTGTCTGTAAATCTCCACTGTCCTGTCAATAAAGGTGAAAAATAATTATGAAAAAAATAAATATATATTAATTATTGTTATACAGCATCACAAAAATGATTGATGTGCGTATCCGCAGATTTATCCTATCTAGACTTTACCCTGTTCAGGCATGCTGCTTCAAAAGGATACCCAATATCAGATAAATGCAACACAATGATAGACAGCATATCAGTGATGAAGCAGATACCCAGTTACAAATACCAAAGTTTAACATGTTGCTCTGATTTTGCACATCAACACATCTCATGGCAGATGTTAATGAATGCCCACCATAAAAGTAAATATTCCAGTATTCCGTATGGAGATTTATTATAGCTTCCAAAAGTGGATTTTGTATGATAGGTGCCCTTTAATGTTGTTGATAGAAATATTTGGTCATTTCTATCGAGGCTATTACCTAGCACTTAAATTACTCATGTATGCTATTAATTGTTTTATTTTTGTCCTCTATCATTTACAATTAAAGTGATATCATAGTATTCATTTCTACACTAGACATGTGTGTCCTGGAAGGCTAAAAAAATATTTGCTTCAAATGTTCAAAAACAGAGAGCAGGAAGTAACATTTATTGATTTGCTTTTCTCAACTGACAGAAGTCTTCAGCATCCAAACATCCTCCAGTGTTTGGGTCAGTGCAGTGAGAGTGTTCCTTTCCTCCTGGTGATGGAGTTTTGTCAGCTGGTGAGAACCCAATATCTAGACCAGTTTTAAAGAAATGCAACTACTGCTTTGGCTAACAAGCTAATCTCTTATTTGTAGTGCAGGATAATGTAGTAAATTGGATTTGCTCATGAAACACTGGTTCAGTTTAATTAAACCATTTATGCAAGAATGGATGTGCAATGTATTGGAGTAGATGGCTAATGGATTTACAGACAAATTACATAGACATTAATCCTGCATGTTTCATAAAGAGGCCCATAGTTTTTTTACCAGTGCATTGTCCTATCACAGATTGTCTTAAACTTTTAATAATATACTTGATTAGACAAATAATCCTGTTCTCTGTACCATGTAATATTCTGGATTTCCATTTTTATTGTGTTTATATGTACAGGGGGACCTGAAGAGGTATTTAAGAGCTCAGAGAAAGTCTGATGGGATGACCCCTGACCTGCTAAACAGAGACCTCTTGACCTTACAGCGAATGGCATATGAAATCACATCAGGACTCTTGCATCTCCATGAGAACAATTACATTCACAGGTTAAAAAATTATTTACAATAATGTTCCATTAGTTTAGGCATTTACTGCCATGAGCAAACAGCGAACATATATTTATTGCAGTATTTATTCTTCATTATAAATAAAAAACAAAGCTGTTCATTGTTAGTTCTTGTTAACTGACAGCACATTAACTAATATTATCACACAGCTCTCTGGAATACTTGATTCTAATTGGTCTGGCAAGTAAAAAATAAGTAGGTTAGTGTAGTCTGCATTCATCCATTTGTAGACAATTCTTATTTCTGTGAGATTTATATTCAATGAAAGAGCTGTTGAACTATTACAGCTCAGATCCATGTTTTGTGTCTGATATTTTTGTTTCAGGTAGCTAATTAATACGTGGGATGTTTTCACAGAAAGAAAAGCCCTTTATTTTATATAACAGCTCTCCACTTCACATTGGGCTGCTTATAAGCATGTCGACTTGATGAACATTACTTAACAAGCATTTGGATTGTAATAAACTTTGGATCTTAATAATCTATTAGTAAATGTTGAACTATGATTGAGAAATGTTCTAAAAGTACTGTTCGTATTTGGTTCATGTTTGCAAATACATTAACTAATAGACCCTTATTATAAAATGTGACCAGAAAACATATATTAAAATGGAGAATTGTGAAAATATCAAATACATTTTTTACAATTGTCTATTTGTCATTTGTTCTTCAGTGATTTGGCACTGAGGAACTGCCTCCTCACCTCAGATCTCACGGTTAGGATTGGAGACTATGGCCTCTCACACAATCAATACAAGGTATTTAAACGATTACTGAACTCCAGATCAAAAAGACTTTTTTGACCAGGCCTTCAATCAGTCAGTGGTATAGCTGGCTTTTTCTGTTCACCATCAAAGAATATTTGTCAGTTTATTGTATTGTTTAATTTGCATTTTCATTTTCATATTTTACACAAACAGGAGGATTATTATCTAACCCCAGACAAATTGTGGATACCTCTCCGCTGGATTGCTCCTGAACTCTTGGAGGAGTTTCGTGGAAATCTGATTGTCACCGATCAAACCAAAACTAGCAATGTGTGGTATGGAAAATTCTGGACTAATGTATTTCTGAGAGAAATTTTAATGGAGGATTCCAATAATAGGACAAATGAAAAGTATCATTTAATTAGTTTGTTTTAATTAAAAAGCAACACATGCTTAAGGTACTTGAATTGGTCATGCTTCTGCTACTCTTGGCTGTTTCTAATGTTTAAACACTTTTTCCCCCAAAATGACAACCTATAGGTCTTTGGGTGTTGTGATATGGGAGCTGTTTGAATTTGGGGCTCAGCCGCACAGACACCTGAGCGATGAAGAAGTTCTCACCTTTGTCATCAGAGAACGACAGATCACTCTCGCTCAACCTCGCCTCAAACTCGCTCATGCAGACTATTGGTCAGTAATTTTAAACGCTTTAGCTTGATGAAATGTATCTATAGGTACTAGACTATATAGAATTCATCAACAGAACATACATTTTTTTTTATCTTGACTGTACTTTTTTAAAGATATTTTTATTGAATGTCTATAAAACATTATGTTTCATACTAATAAGCATATTTCGTCAGGTACGAGGTAATGCAGTCATGCTGGCTACCAACATCCCAGCGTCCTACAGTCAGTGAAGTCTTCCTCCTCCTTTCCTCTCTCCTTGCCGCAGAACAAGGAAGTCGAAAGAGCACAAGAAGAGATGAGGATGAGGAAGATTATGATGAAGACAGCGGACAAAGAAGGAGAGGAGAGAGTGATGAGTCGTTTGAAAGACGGTGGGATGCACTCCGGCCTCCAGCTTTCCAGTCAGCTGCACACAAACTTCTTAGGGAAAGAGTGTATGGGAGAGAGGATGGCTGCCTCAGAGGAAATGGAAACTCCTTCCCCCTTTTGGACCCCGTGGACAATATTACTCCTACATCTGAGCTTGATGACATCCTTACAGTAACAGAAACAAGCAAAGGGTTAAACTTTGAATACTTCTGGGAAAAGGCACATGGCAGGAGAGGCTACAAACCACTTCCTCCACCTCAGCCAATACCAACACCCAGTTCTGGCCACAGGCAAACACTGGACACACCCACAGTTGTCCCTGTGATCAGCGCTCGCAGCCCTTCACTGGCCAGCGAGTATTACATTCGCCTAGAAGAGCATACTCCCCAGGATAAGTCCCCTAGTTTAGGAAAAGGGCGCTCTTTAAGAACAAATGCAAAGTGTCCTGGAGATCTGGAGCTGGTTGAGCTTCAGACAGGGATTGCTGCAAAAGACAGGTCAGCTTTCTGTCATCAAGATGGCTTTAGAAGAGGTTCCTCTCAGACTGTCAGATCCAGCGAGGTAAAGGTTTTGGTTCCAAACACTGGCTTGGTTGAGTTTAGTAAAGAGAGTTGTAACCGAGTGACTGATTATGCTGTTATAGACATTGGAGAACCAAACCAAAAGTCGCTTGGTTCTCAAGCACCTCTCCTCCCACCTAAACCTCGTTCAATGTCCATGTCCTCTGGCAGCCATCTGCACTCACGCCCCCTGCCTGCTCCTCCACTAGGATATGCAAGAACATATGGGTTAGACATTTATCCTGGATCTTCATACCCGTCTGGCAAAGTTGAGACCTCTGATTCTTTACTAATGAGTTCACTGTCCAAAGCCAACTTTGACCATTTGGGCTTAAATCGAACTCACCAGACACTGCCTCCATCTCCTTCTCTTTCCCCTTCTATTCCTCCATCCTCGGGCAGTCACTCCATGTTCCTCCCGCCTCAAACATGTCCTCCACCTCTCCCTCCCCACTACAGACTCCAAAAGGGTCAAAATTACTCATCAGAAATTTATTCCAGATACAATACAATGCACTTACAGAGAGACCCACTAAGCTGTGAATTTAATGATGCTAGAAATGCTGACAGAGGCATGACACGATCTCAGTCTTTGTATAATTCTAGAGATGCTCCAACTTCACACATTACAGATGATGAATTCTCCTCCAGAATGACCCGATCCCAATCCACAATTCCAAAAATTGAGAGAACATCATCCTCTAGTCCAGAATTCTCAAAGGATGATGATAATAATGATTATGAGGATGATGATGATCCTTTCATGTCACCACACAGACCGATGAGTAGCACAACCATTCAGCACACCAGCCTGGCTGATGACCCAGCTACGACTGAGCTTTTCTCAAGGGGGATGAAGCGAACACAATCCCGCCTTGCCACCATTCTCCCAGCAATATGGAGGGAAGATGCAGTGATGCAGCGAGAGCGAGTTGCAGCCGCTAGGAAATCTCCCATACATTTGTTTCTGACTGAGATCTCCAATGACCCCGTGGATATGAAAGATGGCGAAAACTCATGGACACGAGAAAGTGAGGGAAGGAAAGACAAAGGAATGCGTCGTTCCCAGTCTCTCATCTCAGAACTTGACTCGACCTCACAGGCTTGGGCCTCAGACAAAGATTTCCTATCTGGTTATGAAGGCAATACCAAAAAGAGAGATTTGTTCCTTACAGAGATTGAGACATCTGTGTCTGATTGTGAGGATGCATATGACGGTGAAGGTGGGACTCCAGTCTCCAGATTTGGAACTACACCCCATCTATTTGCATTTCCCTCAGATTTGCCAGCATATTCAGAAGCTGAGGATGCTTTCTTATCAGGGATGAAAAAGTCTCATTCCCTGCTTTCTGAAATATCCGATGAGAGCATTGAACCTGAAGCGAAGAAAGGGGAAATGACAAGAGAGGAATTCTTAAAGGAGATTCAATCTGCTGAAACATTTCTAACTGAAATCATTACAAGACAACGTAAAAAAGAGGAGAGTGTGTCACCTACTCCATTGTCTCCTGAGTATGAGTCAATATGCATAGACCCAGAGTCATCTCAAACAATACAGTTTGAATCAGAAAGAACACGAGCAGGAAATCCACCAGGTGACACAAAAGAAGCAATTTATGCTCAAGTCACCAAGCGGGCAAAAAGAAGCGAAATAAAAGTTGCTATTCGCCCAGAAATCCCAGTACTTCAGATTGCATCTGAGTTACAAAATCTTGAATCAGTTCAGAAATTAACTAAAGTCAGCCAATTTACATGTGAAATAGAGCCAGAGAAAAATTCCCATAATGATTTCCCTCCCGCAGAAGTAATGCCTAAAAATGGACCTCATTTGGAACAGATAACTTCTGTTATAAAAGAGAAACAAGACTCTCTGCAGTGTCAGAACAAGCATGATAGTATACGAGAAGGTGCAATAGAAACCATTGAGGCAATCAAGGTTAATGGTTCACAAAGTTGGGATGAAAATCAGATCTCTTGTGATATGCATATTAGAAGTGTTGAAAATGATTTGAAGGACATGTTTGTTCAGTCAAAAGAGCGATTGCAGAAAAACGATCAGAGTGCATTACCTGGCATCAAGGTGATGACATCAAATGCAACATTGAGGAACAGTGAGGAACCATCAGAAATCCCAAAACAGACACCAAATGAATCAACTTCTCTTAATATTTCACCAAAAACAAATTTACCAGGTGGCACAAGCTCTACAATGACAAGAGAATACAGTTCAGACATAAGTCAACACTCCCCCACTGCCAACAGACTGTCTGACTCCTTTGAGCAAACCACCTTAACTGACAAGGAAATCTATTCGAGGACCACATGGGATAACAAAGACACAAAAGGTGCAAATGAGAACATTCTTCCAAGTGACTCTTTATTTTCTTTGAATGATTCAAGCACAGATGTGTTCCACTCGCCTATGGTGCATGAACCCAACTCTGATCAGTCACTTTCTACCATGACACCCTCAGATTCTGTCTTGTCACCTTTGACATCTAGTTCATTAGACTGTCTCACGCCTGGAGATTCCTGGTTGGGTGGAGGAAGCAGTGGATGGAGGGCCCTGGGAACTGAAACACCACATCGTGATTCAGCCTACTTCTCTGATAGTGACTTGGACGGTGGAGAAGGTTTAAGCAGAAGAGGCACTGATGTGCTTGGCAGTTCTCGTCCAGGTAGCGCTCGCACAGGAGAGCGAGGATTATTAATGGGAATTGAGGAAAAGATTGAGGATGAAGGACTGCTGGAACATTTTGAGAAGGAAGTGGAGATGAAACAGGACATACAGGAATTGTGGATTTCGAATAATTCAGCTGATGTAAAGAAGGGTCTCATACATCTGACTTCCACTGACATCCCAGGAGATTCTCAGAGTGAATGCAATGCCGAGATTATTGCCAAGTTATTTTTCAATGGTGAGGATGAGCCAAATAAAGGAGCTCCATTTAACAACTCTCTTAACTTCCAAAATTCCACTCTGATTAAAAAAAGTGAGCTGGAAAAAATGCTGCATGAATCAGGTGCTATGGATCTAAGACTGCTTGCCCATGTAGTCTCAGAGCCTCAAAACCCCATTTCTGAACAAGAGTGCGAAGAAGAGCTCATTGAACACTGTTCTTATGTGCAAAAAGCAAAGTATGAAGAAACACGTTGTACTACACCTGAATTTTCAATCGATGAGCAGTCATCAGACACAAGTAAATCTAGGTTATCGCGATTTTACAGCTTACAGTCTGATTATTCTAAATGCATTAGCAGCCCTGAGATGAACACCAAGCTCAGCAATAATGACACTGAATGTGGCATGTCCCAAGTCATTTGGTCTGAGACAAATGCTGAACAACCTACAGGAGTGAAAAGGACTGAGCTTGATATTCAAGATACAGATGCAAATGAACTAGGCTTGAGAAACCTCTCATATTCAGAAGAGGGTGAGGATGAGCAGGCAAAGGAGAGGTCGGAAAGTCAGCTAGCTGTAGGGGAACTCTGCTTCACTATCAAGGAATCGTCACAAAGTACTGCAGATGCAAATGCCAGTAGTTTGGAGCAATCAAAAGAAGAACATTCTAATGAATTTGGCAGAGGTGCATCTATGGGTCTTGAACTGAAGGAAAAAGAGTTGTGGAGTGCCCTTGATGAAGACTATGGGATGGAGGAAACTGTGAGAAGTGAATTCAACTGTCAGGCATTTCAGCAGGGAGAGCTTCACCTTTGGCCTGTGGAAAATGACCAATGGGCTGCTGCCGAAACTCGGACACCAGAAGCAGGACTCAGTTCAGAGCTTTTCCCGAGTTTTGGTAAAAAGACCTGGGTAGCTGATGAACACTTGGTGGTGAGCCATGAATTCTGGGAATCTGAGGCAAATGATGAGCTTGCAGATAGCGAGTCTCACCCTTCTGCTCAGAGAGTATGTGAAGATACATTTAATGATGAGAAGGTAGGACAAGCTGTTTATCCATCACCTGAGAGGCTGATCTTTTCTGATGGGACAAAAGGAGCTTTTTCATCTCTGCAAACACCTTTAGAAAAGCCGAACGTTCAGCAAGAGGAAAACATGGAAAATCCAGACTTGGAAAGTGGAGCACAAGAGCACGATACTTGCAATACAAAGATGGAAGTTGAGAATCTGGAGATCCCAGAGCAGGAGCCACCTGTTCAGCACAGACCTGTTGAAATGTTGATTGATACCCATAATTCCGAGACATGTTTACAAAATTATTTGGGAGGGGAAATGTTTAGGGAGGATGATAAAAAAGAGTTTGACAGTCACGAAAACATGGTAGGTGTAGGAGGTTGTGTGACTCAATCCCCCTCATTTTCTATTACAAATCCAACTGATGAATCTTTGAAAAACCACAAAGAATCACTTTCTGGTAACAACAAAAATGTGCTGACAGACCAAACCAAAGCCAAATGTGCACCCATGACTGAAGCTAGCAAAATGTTGGGTGCTGCCCATGAAGACCATCAAACCTGCACAATTAATATGTCAAACTCAATCACCGACTTGGCTGACAGTTCTCACTTCATTTCAGTGCACACTGACTGTCACAGTGCAGAAACCAGTAGACACGATCTTGAAAACAATCACTGTCCTACCACAATCAGTGATGCATTTTTGGAAAAAGAAAGATCAGATTCTCCATCCTGCCCTAGTCTTACCATTAGCACTGATCCAGAGCCATGCAACATCCACAGTAGCAATGTTCAGTGTTCAGCCCCTGCCCTGATTCCAATGGAGCTTTCTGAATGCACTGCTTCCACACTTGCAGAAGTGGAAAAGTGTCCAGGTTCAAGTAGTTTCCCAAATACCGTACACCACATAGAAATCAAGGCCAGTTCAAGCCTGTTCTGTTCTGCCGATGAAATGCCTGATAAAGGACACAAGGACCCATCAGGCTGTCCTGATGATGTTGAACTTGCTATAAGTACCACCACACACAGCAAAGGTATCACTGCAAACCTGGGACAGAAACTGCACACATCTCTCATGAAAGAAAACCACATTCAACCAGAATCAAATTCTTTACATGAGGATGACAGAAATAGCCTGTCCCAGAAAGCGGCCCATCCACCTCTATCCCAGTGTTCACTGAACTCCATCCCCGAGTTGTTGATCTCTGAGTGGAAGGACTTGGATGAGGAGCCTCTGGAAGATTTTGAAAAACTGGAGCAGCTATGCTGCATTTCTGGGGATGAAGAGACCCTTGGAGATCTGTTTTTGGGAAACTTAGATCTGCTTGAATCTTTGAAGAGAAATCCAGAGCAAAGAACAAGCAGTGCCAGTGGCATAATAAACCAGGATGACTCAGCAAATTCAGAAGAGAAGACAAGAGTAGAGCTAAAAGAGGAAGTTGACGGCATATCTAAAAGTACCACAGCTGTCTTACAACACCTAGAGCAATATGGAAACATTTCTTCAAATTTCCCAGGAGAAGCTCAACAGTCTATGGAGAAGGGAACAGGGCAGCCTCTTTCACCATGCCATTCTTCAGATGGTTCAAAAGGGCAGAGGTCACTTTCAAAAATGCCGACAAAAAATGGACTGATGATGCAGGTGTGTAAAAAGTTCTAGTGAACTGCCACTGTAATGACACACTCTTTTTCTAAAACCTTTGCATTTTCATCCAATATTTGTTTAGGTTTGTGAGGAAAGACTTCAATACTCTCTCAGTGAAAATGTTAAAACCAATGTCCTGTGGGGATCTACAATTAGTGACAGTGTGATTATACATCCTTGGGGAGCATCTACCACTTCGTCCTCTGAAGAAAATGCTGCAAGCAAAGATTTTCTGGACAATGAAAGGTGTGGTTATGCTTCAGAAACATGACAAAAATCAGAATAAATAACGATATTTAAATGCTGTTTTATATTCTAGTCATATATTCGGTATTTATGCAATCAGTGTGAAACGGAGAATATTGAATCTCCTTTTAACATCAGTCTTAATATGGCATTTAAAGAGCCCATATTATACATGAAATAAGGTCATATCTTGGTTGTAAGGGTCTCCAACAACAGTCTAATATGCATGCAAGGTCAAAAAACACTTTCATGGTCTTATAATCTGCATTTATTTTTATCTAATTATCCCAGCGACTCCTGTATGAATCGTCCAGTGATTCATTTGTTCCCAAACCCCTCCTTAGCGCGGAGCTAATCTGCGCTGATTGGACCGATGACAGTCTGTCGCGATTGGTCGACTGCCTTCAGTCAGAGAGGGAAATGGCCAATAGCTAATCAGCAATTTAAAAAGTAATCACAGTTCATACACGCTCGATAGTGTAGGCGTGGACTTTAGCTGCCACACTATGGCGAGTGGATAGTGCCACGGATAACCGAACGAAGGAGACAGTCGTGTACTCGCCATACCACACACACACAAAAACACACACACACCTCCGGATGACAACGCTCCCGCTTCAGCCCGCACCCGCCAGGTTTTAGCCTGAGAACCCGCTCCGTTTTCTGCCCGCCGCGCCCGGTCCCGCTAGAGCGGAGAACACAACCAAATATCACCCAGTATACAGTCCAGACAGCCAAGCTGTCTGTACACACACAGCACAAAGTACACAGAGCTCGTTCGTTCGTTCGCTCTCTCTCTCGCTCTCTCTCTCGCTCTCTCTCTCTCTCTCTCTCTCTCTCTCTCTCTCTCCCCGCGCCAGATTTCTGCGGCGCGGGAATACATTTCCGAATAAATCGCGGGAGCAGAACTCTAGCACGGAGCTCCATAAACAAACAGCACGCGTCGCGTTTTTAACGTGACTTTGCACGCGATAAGATAATATATCCAGTTAACCTGATACAGTACACGCGGTTACAAGTAACAAATCACAACTAAATACATTTGCAAGCTAGAGTAAACAAGGCAACAACTTTAACCGCACGTACTTACACTTGAGAAATGTAGGAAGAAACCCATCCTGACGTCCATCAGTTACTCTTTACTGATCCTTCCTTTAACAAACTCAGATGAAGTATTCTTTGTAGCATGTAGCTTCCAGAAGTTTCCAACTGCTTGGTTATAATGCTGAGGTTTCATCTTTGGGTAGAGACTCAATATATCCATCTGCAGTGTGACTTCAATCGACCGGCATGTTTGTGTGCGTGTGTTTGTGGGTGTGCGTGTGTTTGTGGGTGTGTGTGTGTGTGTGTCTGGGTTACTGCGTCAGAGGGCGGGGCCTCAGGTTTGAAATCTCCCGGGTTTGCGCGTGCACGTGAAAAACTTTGTTTCGTTCGTACGTCATGGCGAAACACCTAATGAGTCGGTATCAAGGCGACTCGTTTGAAGCACTATGATTCGACTCTTTTATAGATGAATCAACAGTTTTAAACACTATATTCTTACAGATTTAAGCCTTAGCTGGATACTTCACTTCACTTAGAGCTGTGTTACACACTACATGGAGGGGAATTTTCAAAAACCCATAATATGGGCTCTTTAATGTAACCACATTTTACTTTCAAAGTATCATTAGTAGATTGCATTTCTTGTTAAATGAAGTAAAGAACATATTTCTTCCTATTGTGAATGATTTGTCTTAGCAACAAAGAGGACACCCCACCTTCTTCTCCTTCTGTTTTATTGAGTGAACTTGCTGAAGCACAGACAGAAGAACTGACTGTGCTTGAACAGCCTGAGGTTACTCCCTCTCTACCAGCAGCAAATCAAGCTATGAAAGGTATTGTACTTTACAATAATTTCAAACAGTTCAATTTGGATTTGTGTTATTCCCTACTGAGCAGTATAGTTTAGTGCAAAACAGTATAGTATGATTAGAGTTGGTAACTTCTGATATGTCTTGTGTTTCCACTGCCAACAAGTACCCTTACTTAACAGTCATGGTGTATGCTAACAAATAGCAATCAATGTTATTTACACATGAAGTCTGTCAACCATTCTCTAAACCATTCATAAACTCTGAAACACTCTTAAGGGCCGGTGTCTCTGCAGAGTTTAGCTCCAACTTGCCTTAACAAACCAGCCTCAAAGTTTCAAGTATACCTAGTAAGACCTTGATAAGTTTGTCTGGTGTGTTTGAGTAGGGTTGAAGCTTAACTCTGCAGGACACTGGCCCTCTAGGAACAAGTTTGATGATCCTTGCTTTATGTAATGGACTACTGTATTAGATGCCCAATGAAGGGGTACCAAAAGAGTGGTACTGTTTGTTAGTTTTGTACCATTTACAGCTCATGACTGACAACAGAAATAGGAATAACTGTGTAATATACTGTACTGAACCGTTTACTCTGTGGTAATGAGCTATTAGTGTCAGTTGTACTTTTTTAGTGGCTGTTCACATTTTGGTTGTTAGATAACCGACATGCCATCTTGGATGTTTATCTTTTATCTCTCCCACTCCACCTTTATTTCAGCTAAGTTGGCCCGTCTCTCCTTATCCCTCCCTCCACTTGCTCTTTCTCTTCCTCTCTCACCAAATACCAAAGGAGGATTCTGGGAAGGGAGCGAGTACAGAGGGGGCAGGAGGAGGGCTGCATCGACAGGTAGCGATCCAGATGAAGATGAAGAAGAGGAACAGGAGGAGGAGTCTCCCAGGCGCGTCATCGTTGTCACGGAAACAGATGTTGACAAGAGAGTTGGTTTGCGTAGCTTGTTGAAATCGCCAAAGGAGCCCGTGGACAAAGAGAACCGTGACCGTGGGAGGAATGTGTCATTTTTCGATGACGTCACAGTCTATCTTTTCGATCAGGTATGTCAAGGGTGTTTATACAAGCATCTTCAATTACGAGGTTTCACACTGGGCTGTTAAACATCATATGTTTTATTATATTTCAATGGCTTGGCACTCTTCATATCAGGAAACTCCAACCAATGAGCTGAGCTCTGGATCTACTAGTACATCTCCTCATGGAAAGCACCCTAGCACTGATGGTTTAGGTAGGTGTATTCAGCAGAGTGTATTATAGATTGGCCCTGATCTGCATAACCCAAATGCAAAACTTGTGATTATCCGAAATGAGTAAAAGCTTTTTAAGCCAATTTTAAGGCTGACAACAAACTACAAAAAATAGACAGCCATTAATTAATTACATAAAAGATTTTAAAAATGAACACTCTAACATTCTGACATTGTGTCCTAACAACACGCAATGCAACTAGATTCCAGCAACAAGCAATTTGGTTATCCACACAATACGAGACATGACTGAGACATTTAAATACCAGAGCCATTCTGAAATGCTGCACTCCCAATGGATTCAATTTAATTCATGTTTATTTCTATAGCGCAATATAGTGAAACTGTCAGTCCAGTTTTTAGAGTTGAAGTTCGGTTTACTTCAGTTCAGTTTAGCTTTAATTTCACTGCTGAAAGTCCAAACACTGAAGAGCAAATCCATCGATGCACAGCTGTACAAGTCCCAAACCAAGCAAGCTAGTGGCGACAGTGGTGAGGAGCAAAACTTCACCAATTGACGAAAGTGAAGGGGAAAAATAAATGAGAGAAATAAAATGGTAAAATTGATATATACAATTTGTACATTTTTTAAATAAACATCACTAATGGTAAATGCAGAGTGACATGTTGTTGGTTCATAGTTCTAATATTCATTTCCAACCTATATGTTTGCTAGTTTTTTTCTTTTCAAAATCTGAGGTAAACAACTGCTGCTTTCAGGATGACAACACATATCATGCTGGTATTCAATGGTATTCAAACTCACACTGGTAACATCGAACATTGCATAAAACAATCAATACCTGAGGTGATCACTGTCATAGTAGTTTGTGCTGTTGTTCAGCTTGATGAAGCAGACATCAAAACTGTTTTGTTGATTTGTCCTATCTTGTCAGATTGTCCTACCTCCCATTCAAAAAGTATGTAGCACATTTTAATGACGCAATATGCTAGCAGATTTTGCTACCAGTGTACATTTTAATGTGGAGTAGTGTGATATGAAGCTGTAAAATCACCCTACCCTACCTAATCCCTAACCCCAACCTCAGAACCATTCAAATGCAATGTTGGTAGCATAATCTGATAGGATTAGGATTAAAATGTCAGGACACCATTTCTAAAACAAAGAATTTGCTCTACTGTAATCATGAAAAAAAAGCTTTTTATCACATCATGGGTAGTTAGGACACGGTGTGAGAGGAAAATATACACACATTATACAAGCATAGAGCTGTTTAATGCGTATCTGTTCACACACTGAATGGAATGCATTTTGAAAGGCCGTGCATCACACGTTATAAAAAGCCAAAATAATTTAGATGCTCTCTAGTGGCTTTCTGCAGTACATGTACAAAATCCTACCTTCTCTATTGCAATAAAAGAAAATCAGTTTACACCTATTTTTTTCTTCAAAAGATGTCATTAAGGCACTTTCAGCAGTTCTTATTATGCTGATTTATGTATTTTTAAGTGCACTGTATAATGTATAGCCCAATTTAAGTCTTAATTTTCAGTTAGTAGTATTACAAGAGGTATCATTTTTCTTTCCTCCTGATTTTTGTTTACAGGAACAGGCAGCCACAAAGCATCAAAAAGTAAAGAACATGTAGTGAAGGCAAGATCTCCAACCGGAGTCACGTCCGGCTCATCATCGAGGTTTACAGTGAGCCCTGCCGATGACCCACATTTAGTGTGACATACTCCTGTTCCCCAAACACCCTGGACAAAATGAACCCCCCCTGGAGTGAATGAGTGGCCCCCGCTGTCATCGGTAACTATGACGACTCCTGGAGGTTATTTTTGTAAACTGCAACAAAGAGGAGGACTCCCGTTTCAAAAGGCTGGAGGCAGTCCAGGTTTTACTCACTGCAGCCAGTGGAGTGGCAAATATACACATAGAAAGTACCTTCAAACAGCCAAAAACCTTGGGGTTATGTAAAATCTGACATGTACTTTCGGCTATGCAATGGGAGTCTTATTATGTACCAGCTTAACTGTTCTATTTTCATGGCTTCTTGAAGTACGTTTGTATTTTAATCCCCTTAAATGAAGGGGCGCACTTTCTCTGACCAGTACCTGTCTATTTGTGAGCTTAGAAATATTGACATTGTAAATTTGTTCCCATTGCAGTCAGACATTCTTGTAGTTTGTGGTCGAGGACGGCATCGTCTCTCCAAATCACAGCAGTGCAGTTCTCATTTAGCATTTGTACAAACTAAAAATCGAATTGCAACAGAATACGAACTCATTTTAAGACCCATTTATTTTAAATGTATTCTTAGAATGCATGAACAAACTGCAACTGTTATGTTTTATACCGTATTTTTATTGCAAATGTTATTTATTTGTTATTTGTTTATTTCACATTTGTTTGTTTTGTTTTTATCTAAATGTAAGTTTGTCTGTAAGCTTAATTCACCTCATATGTTGAAGTAAACTGTATATTTGCTTTGTTTTGTTTTTTTTACATTTATGCCATTTTCTGTTTTAATCGGATTAATAACCGCCTCAACGAACATATATCTTTGCATAGATACAAACACTTTGAAATGTTTTCTCTAATTTAGCTCTTTGTAGATGTCGATCTGTATCTAGTTGTCCTATGATGTGTCTCTCCGCAGGTGTTATTTTCTAATAATGTATTTGACATTAGCTTTTCCTTTTTTCTTTTTAAAGCAGTAATTATTGCTTGGCATGAAAAAAGAGATAAATCAGCACACATTATGAATAATTGACTTATTTATTATTTATTTATTTAATTTCTTTTAGTTTTTATTATTATTCATGCAAATGTCTGAGGGAAGACTCTAGGTCGTTACGTCATGTTCAGCATTTGTTTCATTTAGAGGTTTCATATTATTCTGTAAGAAGCTGAGGGACTGAAAATAACATGGAAACTGTGAAACATTTATTGAACTGTTTGATGACAATAAATTGTTCTGTCTTATAATATCTTTGTTGTCACCTTGCATTGTAATATATAAAATAGTGCATATATATTTAGCTCATGTTTCACAATTTTACTAAAATAACGTGTTCTAGTGCTATTATAACGTTTTATAATATTATTTAAAATCAAAATATCTATTAAATATTTTTGAAGCACAATTTAATTCACAATTTATATGCTATGTTCATAACATCTTTATTATTTTGTCATTTATTTCACACACACACACACACACACACACACAAATAATAATATAATAACCAAATAAAAGAATTTAGGTAGGATAAAACATAGATGTCAGGCTTTTCAGCAATGTAATGTAATGTGTATTTGGGAAACTTTTCAACTACGGGCACTTTTAGTCTTGTGAAGTTGAGTAAAAATTAACAAAACATGGCCTCAAGTTTAAACAATTTGTCTAGTTTTAAGATGTGTAAGAGGACAAACTTAGATAAGAAGAGAGATTGTTTATATTTAACACTTTTTCCAACATAAAATGAGCAAACGTCATTTCCACCACATCTCAATATACAGCTTTTATTTCAAAATGAAATCAATTATGGCAATCAAAAGTTGTCTGAGATCCTTTTTGTATCCAGTTTAACCAATCTTTCCACAATGTATACAATAATTATACATTTGTCAATTAAATAAATGAGTCTCTTTGGACCAAATGCTGAATTGTACACCTGTCACACTTTAAAATGTAATATTAATTTGATTAAAAGCTATAACAAAATAAATGAATTCAATTTGTATATTAGAGCACGAACTCATAAATTGTGAATTCATTTTTAAAGTGAGATAAGAACTTTAAAAAATGTTTTTAAAAATGTGTGTGGTGATGGAAATGACAGGGCTGTGGTGGAAATGACAAAATCAGTGTTAATGTAGAGAAGCATTAGATTATTATTAGAAAAATAATTGAACACTTTTTAAACTCAATTTACAAAATTACTAAGTATAGCCGCACAGTTTTGCATGTGTAGGGCTGTGATTGATCTAAAAACAGATTTGTCTAACAGATGAACAATAACAGTGCACTGTGAATGTCATTATTATTCAAATATTATACAAATTCATTTTAAAATAAAAAGCATTACACATCTACAGGGGCTGGACAATGAAACTGAAAGGCCTGGTTTTAGAGCACAATAATTCATTAGAGCGATGGAGACTATTGGAGCGATGGCGGAGAGGGTAGTGCTGGATAATGCTGGATAAGTTGGTGGTTGATTCCACTGTGGTGGCCCCAGATGAATAAAGGGATTATGTCAAAGGACAAATGAATGAATGAATGAAGGAATGAAGTTTATAAACTTCATTTATTCATTCATTTTCCTTCGACACCACAGTGGAATAAACCTATAGACCTTAAACAAATACATGCATCCAAATTATTGTTAATCGTTCAAAATTTAATTTCTTTCATGTCCAAAATGTGTACAAGGTGCAAAAAACAAATAGGTCATGGACTTTTTTTTTTATTTCGAATCTTCCTGAACACATTTCCCAGAAGCCTTTGCTGTGAAACATGTGACGTATTTACTGTGCGACTGCAGATCGTTGTTTGCTGTTGTGCGTTCGTAAGTCGTTGCATGTTGGCTTCTGTTCTTTCCGTAAAGTGAGAAGAAAACAGGCGGGTTGAATTGTAAGTTTGGTCTGATTTTACCTTGAACACTTTCTTAAAGACTGCGTTGATCAAACAGCAGTGTTTATTGTCTGTGGTTTATTTCCTCGCTGTCATCGCAGATGTCTTTGGCAGACGAGCTGCTTGCGGATTTGGAGGAGGCAGGAGAAGAGGACGGGCTGTATCCCGGCGGAGAAGAGGGAGAGAGTGATGGAGAGCCCGGAGAGAGACAGGTTGATGGAGGACTGGAGGACATCCCGGAGGAGATGGAGGTGGATTACAGCAGCACGGAGAGCGTCACGTCCATAGCTAAACTACGACACAGCAAACCGGTCAGTTTCTGACATCAATAACACACAGACAGCTTCATTTCAGATCTATTTTTAGAACCTAACTTATTGCAGACTTGTTGATATGTTGCAGTTCGCTGAAATCATGGATAAAATCAGTCACTATGTTGGAAATCAACGCAAGAATTCAGAAGGTAAAGTTGAGGTTGTTTTTATTCACACATTCAGACTTTGGTGTTCAATAAAATACTAAAGCAGATTTTAAAAGCCTAATATAGATTATTTATAATGACGTAATGTTATAAACACAAAGTAACTACTTGTGACAAGGTCTCTGCATTGTTTATCACGCTACTTTGGATATTATTTCTGAAATCCCATTCAGGCTAAATATTCAGACTTCAAAACAACATTAGTTCTACTGTTTGTCTGCACAATGTTGTATTTTCATAGTCATGGGCTCCTGATATGATTTCTCTATTTAGAATTTGTAAAAAATGCTTCTCTGAAATTGCATTAAGAAGGTGAGAGTCAGAATGGGCAAATATAACACTTACTTTACATCAATGAAGATAAGTAGCTTTCTTTTTTTGTGAAGCGTGCTGGTGAACATTGATATTAATTATTCAAATATATTTTTTTATTTTCAATAGTCTTCCCACAATACACATATTGAACAACATATTAACACAGTACATAGTTACAAACATACACCCCATAAAGAAAGAGGGAGAAAATTTTTTTTAATAAAAATAATTATGAAAATGGTGATAAAGTTTCACTTAGGATATAGCAACCCCTGAGCATTTAATTTAGGACAGGAAAGGCTGTCAAATCTCATAAAATCTTTCTGTAGAGCCTGGGATGGTGTATTTAAGGTACTTGAGTTTAAGATGTGATGACACTTCTAATACCCAGCGTCTGGCCAATAGTGAAGAAAAGGCAATGATTTCTACACGATTAGCCGATAAGTGCATTTCTTCTGGCACTGCACCAAAAAATTTAATTGAAGGATCAGGATCCATATCATTGTGACATAGATGAAAATGATCTAAAAATATTGGTCCAAAATTTATCTAATCAGGGGCATCCACAGAACACAACTCAGATCTGCTGGCTTCAAACCACATCTGGACCAAGATGAATCTGACCCTGAATACATTTTTGCCAGCTTACTCCTTGATAGGTGAAGCATATGAAGCCCCTTAAACTGTAGAAGACCATGTCTAATACATACAGAGAATACTAATTTTAATTAACATTGAAATTAGGAATTAAAATCTGCTCACCCTCAATAGTTTAATGGTTTAATTTAAAACAGTGAAATTAGGAATTAAAATCTGCTCACCCTCAATGGTTTAATGAGGTTTTTCTTTTGTTTTATTTTGTTGAATACAAAAAATGTAAATATTTTGAATAAAAATTGAAAACTTTAACTATTGACATCTGTATTAAGAAAAGCAAACACTATGGAAGTCAAGGGTTACAGGTTTTATGTTCAACCAAAGGAATGAATTTAAACAGTTTTAGGCACAAGTGAAAGCTTTTTTTAACATGGTATTTCCACTTTATTTCAGTGTCTGGACCGGTTGAAGCAGACCCAGAGTACAGGCTCATTGTTGCCGCCAACAATCTGACGGTGGAAATAGACAACGAGCTTAGTGAGTTCACTGTTTGTTTTATACCTGTGTATTAAAGTCACATTACATGAATTCTAACACTTGAGCTATAAAGGCAAATTTCAGATATATTTGCTTAATTATTAATTTTTCCAAATGAGCTTTTACCATGATTCTGACTGTTTTTGCATTTTAATATCCTGAATTTGAAATTCTGTGAAATTCTGCATACATTATTTAATTACGTTGTATTATTATCAATATTATTATTATTATTATAGTTTTTTTCATAAAATGTTATAATGCTTTTGAAGTGGCTCTTGGAGCATAGCAGATGAAGTTAATGTCCTCGTATAATGAAATGGCAGACAGTGCTTGAGTTTGTCTGTAGTAAACAAAGCCACGTGACTGATTTACACACAACATGCAGACTTTATTAAACCGCAAAAATACAGTTTATATATATTCACAAGCACTAGTCTGTATTCAATTGGATTACAGTTAATGGATGACTAGATTTTGTTAGCTTTTTCTGCATCATGAAGCCTCTTTAACCCTTTCAAACATTAGAATTATAAAACTTCTTACACATTTTGAGATCACTTTTGCTTTATTTCTTCCTCAGATATCATTCACAAGTTTGTTCGTGACAAGTACTCCAAAAGGTTTCCTGAGCTGGAGTCTCTGGTGCCAAATGCACTGGACTACATCAGAACTGTTAAGGTATGTAGAAACCTGCCTGTCTGTAATTTAGCTTTTATGAGCAGACTATTTCTGTCAAAACTGTGTTTTGTGAGTTACACTTTCTAATCAGCTGGGGTTTTTTGTTAATGAAGTTTAAACATTAATACTTGTGTGTTCGATAATTTGATGTGTTTGTGTGTCTTTAGGAGCTGGGCAACAATCTGGAAAAGTGCAAAAACAATGAGACCCTTCAGCAGATTCTCACCAATGCCACCATTATGGTGGTCAGCGTCACAGCCTCTACCACACAAGGGTGAGTGAGCGAGCAGATACAGCCAGAATGGTTATAGCATAGGTCTCTAACTCAGTTGCTGGAGTGCCGCAGCTCTGCACAGTTTATACAGTACTATGCAGAGCTGAGGCCCTCCAGGAATTGAGTTTGAAACCAAAAATCTTTATTTATTGTGTTTGTTATTGCTTTATTTTTTGTAAAGAAAATTTTAAAACATTAAAAATATGTAAAATAGTGATAAAAATGTGTTGCGTATGAAAACATGAATAAAATGGTACAAACCCTAAATCATTATTCTGATGATTGCAGAACGATGCTTGGAGATGATGAGCTCCAGCGATTGGAGGAGGCCTGTGACATGGCCCTTGAGCTCAACCAATCAAAACACAGGATCTATGAATATGTGGAATCCAGAATGTCATTCATTGCTCCGAATCTTTCAATTATTGTCGGAGCTTCAACTGCTGCAAAGATCATGGGTGAGCAAAAGATGTTGCTGGATTAAAAGAGTTCACGTAGAAGTCACCTTGTTATGTTCACAAAAAATATATGTTTAAATTGTTTTAGCATTTTGAATGTTTCAGCTATTTACTGACGGAAATTATACTTGCTTGGAATCATATATAGCGCTTTTTGTTTACTGTAAATTGATCACTTCTGTTTATATTTTTGAACATATTCAATTCTTTCCTTTTATTTCAGGTGTTGCTGGTGGTCTGACTAACCTGTCCAAGATGCCCGCATGTAATCTGATGTTGCTGGGAGCGCAGAGGAGAACACTGTCTGGATTCAGCAGCACATCTCTGCTGCCCCACACAGGCTACATCTACCACTGTGATGTAGTGCAGACTCTGCCTCCAGTGAGCATCAACCTTTGGTTTCATTAAAAGTAGTTCACTGACAATTAGTTCCACCTGGATATGACATTGTTGAGCAAAATAAGACATAAAGTTACATTTGCATGACAATAATGCAGCTTTTGATTTTGAAGTTTCATGTATATGCAGCAAAAATGTCTGATGATTATAATAATAATAATGTTGTTGTTGTCGTGTAAATGAACAGCTAAAATTAATTTAAAAATTGATATTAGTTACTTACTATTAGGTACATTTCATAAAATCATTGAGAAATAATAGAAATTGGCCATCAGTAGCCATGAAAAGACAAAGATTTAGTGCTTTAACAATTAATTGCATACAAAATAAAAGTTTGTAAAATATGTGCAAATACATATTATGTAGAGTTTGAAGTCAAAATTAATAATCATCCTGTGAAATTTGCACATTTTATTTATAATATTTCTCAAGTGATGTTAAGCAGAACAAGAACATTTTTACAGTATTTCCTATAATCTTTTCTTCTGGAGAAAATCTTATTTATAATTTGTATATAAATATTTTATAAACAAATAAACTTTTTCTATTGCATATAAATAAGAAAATTTGTAAATCTTAGTAACAATGTGGAGTTAATCTGTGTTTGCAGGATCTAAGGAGGAAAGCAGCTCGTCTGGTTTCTGCTAAATGCACTCTGGCTTCTCGCGTGGACAGTTTTCATGAGAGCGCAGATGGCAAGGTGACAGTAGATCATGATCTGCATCTCTGTGCTGTTCATTCACTTTAGAGTATATCAACTAGTTAGACTGTAAGCATTTGTATGTGGGTTGCTCTGCAGGTTGGCTATGATTTGAAGGAAGAGATTGAGAGGAAGTTTGATAAATGGCAGGAGCCTCCACCAGTCAAGCAGGTCAAGCCTCTTCCAGCTCCTCTGGATGGACAGAGGAAGAAGAGAGGAGGAAGAAGGTGAGGGTGGGAATGTTGTGGTCTTGTGAATGGCATATAAAATTAAGGTCTTGGTGCATCTGTGCTGGATGTGAGTTTTTGACTATTCTATAGCTATATATAGATATAATCTAATATTCTATAGATATAAAAATACCATAATATGTTTACAGATATTTAAAAAAAAACTTGCTAAGTGGACATTCGTGTGTATCTGAAAAGCAATGCTTAAGTCAGTTATTCTGCTTTAAAAATGTGAGTTACGTGCCAGAACGCTGTCTTTGTTTTGGTCATTTAACCCAGTTAAGCCAATTATATTTCAGCTGTCTAGGTTGCCTTCATGGAAAATAGCTTATTTGATTCTTTTAGTCATGAAGGCTCTCAAAGCATGCAGTAGCAGCCCCAAAATGAGACGCAGATTCAGAGTTCCACATGAGGTGGTTATTAATTAGCAAATCATATAAATATTACGAGCGTAAACATTAGGTGAGCAGATTACATTGTAACCCCGTGCCCTACCTATTAAACCTCTTTTACATTATTATATGCTAAATAATTAATATTTGTTGGCTTTAGTCACAGTTCTAAAGTTAATTTTCAAACGGTTAACTTAAAGATGATCTGCTGCTGCTTTTAGTAGTATGACAATACATGGCATGTAAAATGGCATTCAAACTCACATTGTTAGCATCTAACACTGAATAAAGCACATGAGCTATACCTGAGGTGATCCATTTCTCACAGGTGAACAACAAGATTAACTGTTTCTAAAATAGAAATTTACAGTTTTGTTAGGACAAAAACTCCTTTTTTGTATAACAAATATTTCTTCTATCACGTGCCATTGCTTTTAGTTGACAAGCTGTTCAAATCAGCCTTTAGGCTTGATAGTCAGGCACACTCGCATAAATCTGGCAACCTGCGCTTGCATGGACTTGTCAGAGGAGGAGCCCAGTGAAAATGTGTTTTGATCCTGTATTGCAATACCTAGTTCAACCAATGGGTGTCAAACTTGCATACTGCACTTTTAAATGACTAAGTTTTAGAGAAAAAATAATGATGATGACAAGTGCATTAATGAGAAAAAGTAACAAAAATATATACTCTTGGAATAAGCAGAAAAAATAGGTTTTCAAACATGAGAGATCAACTTTGTTATGTTGAGATCACAAGAAAATTAAGTTGTGATCATAAGAAAACAAGTAAACTATATTGACGCATGGCCTTTAAGGACTTCAGTCGATATTGTACGCATCAATACTAAAAACATGATTTTTGACCATTGTTTTTCCTAATAAATCATGTTTTTTTTTTTTATTGTTGTACTCCTCAATATACAACAAAAACAAGATATCTACAATTACAAAATATTGAGTTATCTGTCTTTAAAAAGAAACCTTTCATATATTAAAGAATTATTTTGATTGACCTGCATTTGTCCTGGTTCTCTCAGGTATCGTAAGATGAAAGAAAGACTGGGACTGACTGAGATCAGGAAACACGCCAACAGAATGACGTTTGCTGAGGTCAGATGAACTGCATCAGCAGCTCTCCATTAGTGTGCTTGCTTTTGAAATTCTATAGATTGATTCAGCTACTGCGGGTTATTAACGTTCTCTTTCTCTGTGTAGATTGAGGACGATGCCTATCAGGAGGATCTGGGCTTCAGTCTCGGTCAGCTGGGAAAATCTGGCAGTGGCAGAGTCAGACAAGCTCAGGTCAACGACTCCACCAAAGCCAGAATATCCAAATCTTTACAGGTACATCTGCAGCAAATACTAAGGGAAAATGAAGCTTTGAAAGCAAATTTTCTTTGCTTGGGGCATTTTCACAGATGGCTAATTTGCTTATATTTCCGAATCTGGTGCGTTTTCTTTAGAGATGTACCAAAATGAAAATTCTGGGCTAAAAATGAAAGCAGACATACGAAATGCTCCGGAAAACCGGAAATGCTTTGTAATAATTATTTATTATTTTATTAAATTATATAAAGTCATCTTTCAAGACTTTTTAAGTTTGACATAACTGAATTTATACGGATTTAAAAACAAAAACAAAACACAAGCCAGTAAAATAACCACATGTCCTTAATTTGAGCTGTATAGATTGTGTTATTGAAAAGTTCCCGATAAGTGATCAATTTATTAAAGAGATATTATAAATAAAAATTATATTAAATGACTAATAAATAAAGATTTTATTTATAAGCCTCTTGTGCTCGTCAAGCTGCTTTTATAAAAAAAAATTAATTGAAAAAAAAAAAGTGAAATAAATTTACCATTTATAATAAGTTCAACTATAATATTGTATTGAAAGCTATTTTGTTCTCATACATTTTAAAATAAAATATATGTCTATGATGGCAAAGCTGAAAATTCAACAGACATTACCCAACTACATTCAACATTACCCAACTACATTCAACATTACCCAACTACATTCAACATTACCCAACTACATTCAACATTACCCAACTACATTCAACATTACCCAACTACATTCAGTGTCACGTGATCTTTCAGAAATCATTCAATATAATTTGCTAATTTAGAGCTAAAAAAAACATGTATTAATAATATCAATGTTGAAAGCCATGAGACTCATTAATTGTTTGCTGAAGTCTATTTAACCGAATGTATTGTAATTCCATTACAACATTGATGCTGTAAAAGGAACATTATGAAATTGATAAGTCACATTAAGCTTTCACCAGAAGTTCATCATTGGCTGAAAAACACTAGCTCTGCATAGAGCCCATTCAATTATTAATGATTTCTTTTTTTAAACAAGCCTTTCAAGGACATTAATCTGGGATAAATCCTCCTGAATCACTTGTCACCTCTGAGTCAATTTGCTGCCTTGCTCTTCTTTAACAGAATTGAATGTGTCAGCTTGATTGTTGTCATTATTTTTATCCATTATTTCTACACACGTGGTCTTACATCAGTTGTGTTGTTGCAGAGGACACTGCAGAAGCAGAGCATGACGTACGGAGGCAAGTCTACAGTGAGAGACCGATCGTCTGGAACCAGCTCCAGCGTGGCCTTCACTCCTCTACAGGTACACTGTCTCGCAGTCCAGCTGCTTTTGACTCTTTTCGTGCACATTCTGGTTCATTGTGGCTTGCTGAATCTCAGACTGCCAGCGTTGGATTGGTTGATTTGTTAGTAAAGCATCTGTTCTCTGTCAGGGGCTGGAGATTGTGAACCCACAGGCTGCAGAGAAGAAGGTGGCTGAAGCCAATCAGAAATATTTCTCCAACATGGCTGAGTTCCTCAAGGTCAAGCGTGAGAAGGAGGACAAGGTCTGAGACGACGGCGGCGGCGCATCAGACATGCAGTGACAGCCATGGATAAATTAGCAGATGGACTTGTGTGGGGACGGTGACATCATGAGGATTGCTGTCATGCACATTTTGTACATTTGGTTTTCTTTTTGTATTTCATCAAACAAAGGTGTTTAATGCTGTCTATATAGAACAGAACATTGTAAATGCAAGTTTTCATTTTAAGGAATTTTTTATTTTTATTTTGACAATTACAAACAACACTGAGTGAATAAAGTTGCTCATCTAGTTGGACCAGAGTTTTTTCTTTTTTTCATTTTAGTGCTTGTTAACTTTTTTATTTGTCCTGTGAGAAACTAATATTACATTCAAAATAATCTAAAGTGGTTGTCTCAAACTTAATTCCTGGAGGGCCGCAGCTCTGCTCAGTTATGCTCCGACCCTGATTAAACACCGCTTCTCCATCTAATGAAGGTGTTCATAACCCTTTTGAACACCTGGATTATTAGGATCAGGTTTGTCTGCAACACACATCACATCTGAAGCGGTCCTGAAATGAGAAACAAATGTTGTGCGATGCATGATTTAATAAATAATGGCAATGATTTTAAAAATAAGAGCAAATTTAAATGCCATGGTGACTTTAATACCAATTAAACAGTAATTAATAGTAATCAAAATACTGCAGCCTTATGAAGACAAATCACACACAGCGCAGTTGTAGACTGCATTGGGCGATCTGAGCTACTTTCCTTAGAGAAGACCCCCATCATTTCTTTGTGCAAATTCTATTGTTTTACACGCACACACATTTTAGAAAAAATATGCAATATTAGTTTTGATAAAAACATGCAATGGTTTTCCATATTAGTTTTTCTCATTCGCTTTGGTACATTTATCAGAACACTAGTGCATTTGCACAACAGTTAATGCATTTCTCAAAACAATTAGTACAAACTGCAAAACCTAGTTGCTAACCTGCAAAAGCGCATCACATGCTCAAAATGGATAGTTCATTCCTCAAAAGCAAGTATTGATGTCAATGAAAGTGTCAGTGTCATCAAAATGAAAATTCCTGACACCATTGTTTATGAACAAGACCGTCAAATGGCTTTGTCATGTTTTCATGACAGTTTACTTTACATTTTTTCAATGCAGAATATGGAAGGTAAATCCTGCCAATTTTAAATAAATAAACATTGGAAATGAAAATCAAATTAACAATTTCATTTTAAAACACTGTTCGCAAAATATCTGCCAAAATTGAAAATGAAATTAAATTATTTCATTTTTATTTTCATTTTCACTTTGACAACACATCGTCCCAAACAAATTGATAATTAAAATGAATTTGCCGATTTAACATTTCATTTTCACTGCATTTCCGCATCAACACTGCCAATATTAAAATGAAAAGCCAAACTGAAAAATAAAATGCAAACACAATTTTCACAAAGCCTGTTATTAATGGACACAGGAGAACCAAACGTCAAACTTCCGTCCCGCAGCAGGAGTCGCGGGCTTCCTCGGTGGGCAGAGAAACTGCAGTGTAAGTGCGGAAGGCCTTGTGATGAAGTCGTATTGTATATACTGTATTAGGTTTTGTGACGTTAACAACTTGTTAGTCCTAAAATCGTTGAAAAACAGCTAAATTAGCTTGGTAAGCTTGTCCCCTGTTCCTCTTGCTCTACCAATGCAGCAGCTGCTTCACGTAAAAGCTGACTACCAGTTTTTCCATTTGACTTCTGTTATACTGTATTTACTCTAGTAACTCACGCTGCCCCATGCATCAAAACCATGCTTCTGCCCTCGGGCTCTGTGTGTGAAAGCACTCGACGTCGCTTGAATACGCCCCTCCCACTGATTAGCATAGGCTTTGCATGCAGCTTGAAGTTGAAAATGAAATCTAAAATGAAAACTGAAAAGAAAAAGTGTCAATAAAAGGAAAGTTTTAATTTATTTTCATTTGAATTGTGTCACTATTATAGCGTGAACATTAATAACAGGCTTTGTAAAAAAAGTCAGTTTAGCTTTTCATTTTAATATTGGCAGTGTTGATGCGGAAATGCAGTGAAAATGAAATGTTAAATCGGCAACTTCATTTTAATTATCAATTTGTTTGGGACGATGTGTTGTCAAAGTGAAAATAAAAATGAAATAATTTCATTTCATTTTCAATTTTGGCAGATATTTTGTGAACAGTGTTTTAAAATGAAATTGTTAATCTGATTTTCATTTTCATTTCCAATGTTTATTTGATTTATTTAAAATTGGCAGGATTTACCTTCCATACACATACACCCGAAAAAAGCAACTAAAAATTATTGTCTATTACTTTGTTCTGATTTTTTAAATATGCTTTAAATGGGCCAATCACGTTTCAGCTTGGTGTTGCTGGAATTTAGAATGTCAATTGACGTTCCATCACGTTCTAAAGTTGACGTGTTGCTGAATTTGCGTCATTACTCAAGATCTGGTAGTCTCCAAATACACGAAGACTATCTCTCTGATAGATCGGTTTTTCAAAGTTCTCGTTTTTTAGACTATTTACTCTTTTAAAATGTTTACATTACTCGGAGTAATTGCTTTAGTCCTGCGAGAAAGGACCGTCAACAAAACCCACTCAGATGGGGAAGAACTCGTGGAGAAAAACACTCCATCCACGATGACCAGTGATGGTAAATCATGTTATAAGAACACCAAAGTCTGTATATAGGGCCCTAATGTTACACTCGTTGTCGTTTAAGTGTTTTATTGTTCATTTTAATATTATCTTTAATTAGCCTAGTTTTATCAATCAGTTTTATAAAGTGTGTAACATACAGTCGATTGTGTATCTACAGTTGATTTAGTATATTTCTTCAGTTATTCTCCATATTTCCAAACCAGCACGTCTCTTGGATAAACTTATTTAAAGATCACGTTTGCCTGTAGGCCTATACAATTTTTTTGTATCTTTGGGCAGTTTTCATCACATCTCGTGCAGGAGATTTTGGTTTTATTTGTCTCATAAACTAAACGAATGAGCAGTATCTAATTTAATCTGTAACAATCTGTATAGAGGCAGTACGAAACAAGCGGCTTTGAGAATTTCAATTCTGATTTAATAAATATACCAAAGTGACTGAGAACATCTGTAATGCATTACAGTATAATATATATTGTGCTACAGAATTAAAATAAACAAATAAACTCATCATCATACAGTTTTTACATAGCATAAACGCTCACTTTGTCATGCAACTGCAATTCATTGCTTTAAGGTAGGAGGTAAGGTCAAAACACAAAAAGCATAACAAGCACATACATGCATGTTAAAACCACAAAACTAAACCCCACATAGTCACTTCATAATTTATATTATCCATTGATTAGGCTAAATAATATTTCATTTGAAATTTGAATTAAAAAAAATCCTTAGTTATTGCATATTTTTTCTCTTTTTAGGTCGAGAAATTGATGGCAGGACCGAACACCTGTCATCAGAGGAACCAAACACCAGTGGTTGTCCAGTCCATGTTGATGACCACAGTGAGGTCCTCCTTTCTCCCAGCTCTGCGCCGACCCTTCAAACTCCAGACCATGCTGCAGCTCAAAATATTGACGACGTCCCTACAGTCTGTAGTGAGGATGATGTCCTTCAAGCTGCAGTGCCTTTGCTAGCTGACTTGTGTGCACCTGTTCTTCAGGACACTGAGCCACAGTCATGCCAGCAGCAGGATATGGAGAAAACTATAACTGGTCAGTTTGTTAACTCACTCACCATTAAGCAATTCAATGATTAGACGGCAGTTTAATAAATTTCAGTTTGGTTTGTGAGAAAATTGGCAAAACTTAAAATGGCTTCCTTGTTTTGTCAGTTGTGAACATTAACAGTTTAAAACATTTTAAATAAATGCCTGCCTGGTTAAAATAATAAGAAAAATGGCAACAGTTTACAATAATATTTCATTGATTAATGATATTTATTTTTTTGCTAACATGAATTAAGAATAAAAAAAATGTGTACTGCATTTGTTGTAAACAATAGAAAATTCTTACATTTCTTACCCCTTAATCAAAATAAGAGCAAGATAAACAATTAGAAAATACAGTTAGCTAAAAATGATTGTACAAAATTAAGGAACACTGAATATTTATTTATTTCATTCATTTACATAAATGTGTTTGTCAATGTTTCAGTATTCAGAACACTACTGAGCATTTACATGGAGCAGTGTCACTTTTTCAGTGTTAATATTTCGTTTATCAAATGTGAATAAAAAAATCCTTAGTTATTACATACTTTTTGCTTTTTTTTAGGTCGAGAAATTGATGGCAGAACTGAATACCTGTCATCGGAGGAACCAACCACCAGTGGCTGTCCAGTCCATGTTGATGGCCACAGTGAGGTCCTCCTTTCTCCCAGCACCGCACCGACCCTTCAAACTCCAGACCATCCTGCAGCTCAAAATATTGACGACGTCCCTACAGTCTGTGCCATGTCCGACTGTAGTGAGGATGATGTCTTTCAAGCTGCAGTGCCTTTGCTAGCTGACTTGTGTGCACGTGTTCTTCAGGACACTGAGCCACAGTCATGCCAGCAGCAGGATATGGAGAAAACTGTAACTGGTCAGTTTAATACTTACTTACCATTAAGTAATTCAATGAACATGCACAGACTAGATGACAGTTTAATAGAAGTGTAATAATAAGTGGTTCAGTTAAATTTCAGTATGGTTTGTGAGAAAAATGGCAACATTTAGAATTGCTTCTTTATTTTGTCAGTTGTGAACATTAACAGTTTAAAACATTTTAAATAAATGCCTGCCTGGTTAAAACAATACAAGAATTAGTAACAGTTTACAATAATGTTTCATTGATTAATGATATTTATTTTTTTGCTAACATGAATTAAGAATAAAAAATGTGTACTGCATTTGTTGTGAACAATAGAAAATACTTACATTTCTTACCCATATTCTAAAAAAGAGCAAGATAAACAATTAGAAAATACAATTAAGTAAAAAATGATTGTACAAAATGAAGAAACACTCTGAAAATGTATTAATTTTATTCATTCACATAAATGTTTGTCAATGTTTCAGTATTCGGAAGACTACTGTGCATTTGCATCGAGCAGTGTCACTTTTTCAATGTTAATATTTTATTTATCAAATGTGAATGAAACAATCTTTAGTTATTACATACTTTTTCTTTTTTCAGGTCAAGATATTGATGGCAGGACTGAAGGCCTGTCATTGGAGGAACCAAACACTAGTGGCTGTCCAGTACATGTTGAGGACCACAGTGAA